TGCCGACGTCCGTGAGATATCGCTCGTACCAAAGCAATATGTGCCGGGTCCTGTGCCGGAGGAATCAGGTGTGCCCCCGGCGCAGCTTGTTGTGCGACCGGGGCGGGTGGCGGGTTGGCATATGGTACGTGACCTTGTTGGTCTTCGTATGCCCCCTGTTGATAGGCTTCTTCGTCGTAGCCGTCGTATTCGTCCTGTTGCGGATACCGAGCCTGGGCCTGGTCTTCATGACGAGGCCGTTGTGGCTGTCCTCCATACTGTTGTGGAGGGGGCGCTCGATTTTGTCTCGGCGCCTGCGGATAGAATCCACTCGGTTGGTCGTAGACTCTTCCGTGCCGGTTGGGCTGTGTTCCCTGAGCCGGCATCCGACCTTGTATTAGTCGGTGTGGGGGCACCCGACCTTGTTGGTCGGAACTGTCTTCTCCGTTCTGTCCGTCCTGCCGCTGGTCGGTCGTGTTAAATGACCGAGCCCTCGCTCGTTCAAAGTCGAACGGCGGGTTCTGGCGGAGGGAGTTCGGATTGGAGTTCGTCCTCGGTGGGCGATATGCTTCTATGCCCGGTCTCAATGGCGGGACTGGGAGACGTTCGGCGTCTATTGCTTGGTCTCCTCTCACGTTAGGTACCGGCGCGTACGTTGTTGTCCGCGTCGTGTACGAGGCGCTAGTATGCGCTCCGGCAGACGTCGTTGTCGCCACGTTCGACGTTGGCACTCGCGGTGCCGCGGTCGACGTATTGTGTTCCGGTTCCGGAGCAGCCGGAACTGTTGGTGGTTGTGGGATTGTTCCCACGCTTGGGTCGGTCGTTAAGACTCCGACGAAGTGGGAGGTGTTATTCTCCTTCTTCGCCATCTCCTGGGTCGGACTAATTCCCCACAGGATGTCACTGATTGTTCGTGACGGCTGTTGATCCTGTGCCATGGACGTCCGGTATGAAGGAGGTTCAACCCGGTTTCTTTCCCGGTATGAGGGAAGTTCGACCTGGCTTTGTTCCAGGTGTTTCTTCTCCTCCCTCAGACACCGTGTTTCCGTGTCCATCTCATCCATTTGCCGCATCAACTCTGTGAGATTGCGGGCGGCTTGTTCGCCGAAGTCGTATAGTTCGACTTCGCGAGCTTCCAGGTAAACGATGCGGCTGTGTTGCGCCTCGTTTACCTTCCGAGCTTCGTTCAGGCTGTACTCTAATTGAGCTCGGAGCTTCTGTTCCTCCTTGAGGACTTGGTTCAGTCCATGAACCTGGTCGGCTAGCTGAGCGTTTGCTTCCACCAGGTCGACATCGGCTGTCCTTTGGTTAGGAAAGCCCATGTCCCGAGCGTTCGCGTCGATGAATCGACGGCCCGTTCTGACGAGGAGGAGTTCCATTTCCGACTCGAGTTCGTCGGTTCGTTGCGTTAGACGGTCGATCTCGTTATCGGCCTTCTTGAGTTCCACCACGTATCTATCGACTTCGTTTCGATAGACCTCGGCTTCTTCATTGGCCTGGTTGAGTTGCTGGTGGAACGCTCCTGCTACCTGTTCCGACTCGACCAGTGCGGTCTGAACGTCGGCCAGGTCTTTCTGTGCTTCTTCGAGCGCTTTGTGCGCCTCGTCAAGCTCCTTTTTGATTTCGAAGACGGCTGCTGTTGACCGTTCCAACATGCCAGTAAGTATGGCAATTTGGTCGTCTTCGTATCGACACGGTAAGTCGGCTCGCTTCAATATGGCGTTGAGCCGGTCGATTTCCCGTTGTTGGGTGGCGATGCCCTTGTTGGCATCGGCCATGTCTCGTTCCCATTTCCTCCGTTCGAGCTTATGGGTGTCCTCCGAGTTTCGGAGGGATCCTTCCGCCGAGTCGACGATTTTGTCCGCCAAAACGATCTGTGTGATCAGTTTATGGCATCTCGCTCGGAGTAGGTCGAGGTCGTTGATCTTCTCGGGCGGTGTTGCCGCGATCCACTTCTTAGCCGTGTATTCGAGTGCACTGGCTTGGTATCCGAGGTTCTCCTTATCGGACTTGGGTGGTGTCGTAAAAAATCCGTCCGCACTACTTGGTCTTGACGCATTTGTTGCGTCGAAGACTTCGTTGGTCGGTGACGGAGTACTGCCAAGTTCGCTGGTTCCGAACATTGGTGGTGACAACCTTTGGTTCAGGTCGACAGGTCGACTTTGTGTCGCCTTAGTCGACTTCACCGTTTGTTGAGCTTCGGTTGCACGGGTCGACTCGCGTCCGGTTGGCGAAGGTCGGCTCAACGGTGAGATTATCCGTTCGTTCGGTGCCGGCATGTTAGTCGGCGATCCGGCTGGGTGAGGGCCGCTTTGTAGCGGTACTTCGGAATCTGTCGTTCCTGCCGGTGATTTGGTCGACTGGACGGCCGCATCCGACTTTGTGTCGGTTGGTTGCCGTTCCAGGCTAGTCGGTTGCTTGTTGCCGACTTCCTTTTCTCCAACCTCTGTGGTCGGCATTTGTTGTCCGACCTTTGGGTTTGGCGAAATCCTTCCGACCTGTGTGGTCGGTTGGACGTTACCGACTTCTGTTGTCGGTTTCTCCATTCCGTTCGAGGTCGGTTGTCCGACCTCTTTTGTTAGTGGTAGGTCGACCTTCGGTTGGTCGGCTTCCTTTGCTGAGGGCTGGTCGACCGTTTGTTGGTCGGCTTCCCTAGTCGGTGATTGTTTACCGACTTCTTTGGTCGGAGATTTTCGCTCGACCTGTGTGGTCAGCGATTTCCGCCCGACTTGGTTAGTCGGTATGTCCCTGTTGGACGAGGTCGGCTTCGGCACTTCTTCCGTCCTGTTGGGTGATTGCCGTCCGAGCTCGGTGGCTTTTGTAGCCGTTACCGAGTCGGGAGCTCTGTGTGAGCTCGACTGTTGGTCGGCATGAGACAATGTGGTCTCTGCCTGCAGCTGTTCCACATCCCCCCCGGTCGGGTGGGACGGGGCTGCTACGTCAGCTGGGGCTTCCAGGAATGTTTTATCCCTGGCGTCCTCAAAACTGTCATCCGAAGTTGGATTCGAGTCAGCGAGGAGAATCCGTTCGTTACGTCTCTCCTTTGCTTCGGCCGACTTGGTCGAGTCGGTTGAGGACGGCTGAGTTTTATCCTGACCGGCGTACCGGAGTGAGTACTTTCCGGTCATATTCGCACGCCGAGAATAGTCCGTGTTGAACTTTCTCGCGTACTCGTTTTCTCGAGGATTCGACATTGTTGTCGAATCAGGTCGGCTCTGGTGGAGCCTTAAAGGTTTTATTAGTTATAAAAGAGAAAATCGAACAATCCTCTGTGTGAGGATGTTCGATGAAATCAGGAACGTCTTTTGGTTCAGGAACTTCCGAGTGTCGGGAACGTCCGGTGAGATGTTGTTGTTGTTGTTGATGTGTCTGTTGGTGACTCAGTACACAGGGTTAATATGCAGTACTATGGTACGGTACAGTACGTTATAGTAGTACGGTGTAGTACGTCCTATACTACTGTGCTGACCAGTGTGACGTAACAGGTTAAGTGGTCTTGCACTTCTGCCTACGTCACAGAATGCGAGCCGCGTGCAAAATTTACAAAAAACGATGAATCACGCCTATGTTAGGCTATGGGAACTTTCCCCTGCACTCTGATTGGCTGCTTCTTAAGTACTGATAAGCGGTCGTTATGACGTCACAAGGAAGTTCAAGAATTTTCGCGCTATTTCCCGCGAGAAAAACAAATTATTTTTGCTCGGCTAGAAAGTTTATCTAGTCGGATTTTTGAGTTTTTAACCGTTAGAAATTAGTTTTATTAATTAAGAAAATTTCCTGGTGGTCGAAACACCGTTAGAAATCAAAAACAAGAAAGTTTCCGACCTGTTGCCGGTTAGCCTTTGTCTAACTGTCTAGACAGGTTCGTTGACCTAGCAGGTCGGTTCTCGACCAAAAGCAAAATTCCGAGTCGGTTTCTCCGTCGGAAATTACTTTTTAACCGTTAAAAAGTTAAATTTTACGGATAGAAATCGTTTTCTACCGTTAGAAAGTGAAATGCCGACCTAGTTGCGGCTAAAATCGACCTATAACCGTGACTTTACTAGTGTCGGTGTCGGTGTCGGTTCCGGTCGATTTCCTCCGTCCGAGGTCGGAAATCCGTCGTTTCCGAATGAAATTCCGCCGTTAAAGTTGCGGGTCGGTGTTCAAACCGATGGTCCCCGTATTATTGGAGTAATCCGTTCGCGCTGCAGACTCTCGTTCGAGTCTGATCCGTCAGTTGGGAGAATTCCGTGCTGTCGGGAATGTGCTCTTCAGTGTGGAAGAGACAGAGAAACTGTGCTCACCAGCTGGGTGAGAATCACTTCAGTGATCCTCGTTTTCCTCAGCTGTAAGACGGCAAGATCAGTCCGATCAAAGTCAGAGCAGAGATTACTTCAGTAATCAATCTGACAGTGACTTTCAGGTTCCTCACGAGTTCTCCGTAGATGAAGCCTTCACCGTCTCCTCAAAGGTTCCGTGGGAAGGAAAACCAGAAAAGATGCTGCTACCATGTAACAGATGTGCACGAGGAGATCACGAGTGATGCTTTATTGACAAATAAAGGGGGAACAATGCTGCGTATAGCAGGAAAGCAAGAACAATAGCAGTGATGGCTAAAAATAGCAAGTGTGTGCTAAAAGGGTTCTTGAGCGTCTTCCAAGTCGTGAAAGAAGCAACTGGCGGCAAACACGTGCTGTGTGCCATCAGCTGTGTGATGATGCGCAGACTGGACTCTATCCAACGCGAGCGTATGAACGCTGAGTCATACTGCGAGAGAGGAACGAGAGAGCAAGTGTAGCTCAGTGTATGCGCTGCGTATATCCGCTTCAGCGGATGAGTGCAGTGCAGCAGCACACGTACGTACAGCGAGAGAGGTGGTAACGGCAAGCAATGGTGCAAGTACGTCCTGTGTGGACCGTACGCACCAGGCGCAGTCGTACGCCTCTGACACTTAATTTCAAACTAAATAAACCTAATATAGCAGTGCACATCAGCACGTGTTGTGATGGAAAACCAAGGAAATTAATTTTATTATTTAGAGGATATCAGATCGCAATATTGTACACGTCGACAGCGTTAACGAATTTGCAACGCCTTCGTTATCAATTTGATTTTGCCGAATATCTTAAAATTTTTATGCATCATGTCTGAATCCATCAACTCCCATCCAGACTGCTCACGGTCAGTACAAAATGGGATGAAAATGTGGGGAGGTCGATTCGCGGCAGGACCGAGTTCCAGCATGGATGCGCTGAATAAATCCATATCTTTTGATCAGCGGTTGTGGCAGGTGGATATTGACGGGAGTGTTGCTTATGCTAAGGTACGACTATAATACATATTAATGAAATTAATTTAAGTCGTATTGCAAAAAATGCAAGTGCTGTAGACAGTACGTAATAATACATGTTTATGAACTATACTTATGCGCTTAATGTTATTTAATACATAATTATGCATAAATACACATACGTATTTTGTTTTTACCTGCACTGGCTCAGGACGTATCCCTATAAATTCTACTTTGTATGTTAATCATGACTTGTAGCGCGTTGGTTTTTTGAAACTAGAAACTTTTACATAAAATTAAATTATGCCGGTGCACAAGCATAAAAGCAGCTAAATAGTAAATTAGCATTTAATTGCACAAGCTTGCATATTTCAGGGTTTAAATCTTGCTGGGATTTTGAATTCCACCGAACTGAGTGCCATTATTACCGGTCTGAAACAAGTCAAAGAGGAATGGAAGAATGATCAGTTTGTTCTTCAGGAAACGGATGAAGACATCCACACTGCCAACGAAAGACGTTTAACAGAAATTATTGGTCCAGTCGGCGGGAAACTCCACACAGGCCGCAGCAGAAACGACCAGGTATTTACAAAAATTTTCGCCTTATACAGAATGCGAATATACTATAATGCGAATGCAATAATTCGTCGATTGTTCATCACCATTACTTTAGGTGGCTACAGATTTACGGATGTGGTTAAAAGACGAAATCGTAATTATCGAGGGACTGCTGGTAAAAATACTGGACGTTCTGTGTAACCGCGCGGAAACTGAGCTGGACATCGTTATGCCAGGTTACACGCACCTGCAACGCGCGCAGCCGGTTCGGTGGAGCCATTTTCTTATGAGCTACGCTGTGAGTTTTAAAAGCGACTATGTCCGCCTTAACAGTCTTCTACCGGAAATTGATGAGCTTCCGCTGGGCAGTGGCGCGGTTGCTGGCAATCCTTTAGGAATCAATCGTGAATATTTAGCCAGTTTATTGGCATTTTCCAACGTTGCACTGAACAGCATGCATGCCGTTTCCGACAGGTATACAACAGTGCAGTTTGCACTTCGCAGTGCATATTATTGATATTTAGGCAGTAATGCACTTTTTAATTCATGAATGGTCAAAAACTTCTAGAATCGTTTTTTTATCCGTGAATCGTACTATTCAATTGGCTTTTGTAGCAAGCGATTTTGCCATGCTTTTCTGTTTAAGCGGTACTCTTTAATTAATTTAATTAACTGGATTGATCCATCACCGACTGAATTTTGTATAAACTTTCATAAGTCAGTCGATAAAAATTGCAAGCGTACAGTATTATTTTGTTCTTTGTTCTTTTTTAAGGGATTTTGTGGCCCAGTTCCTGCAGTGGGCCGCTCTGACCGGAATACACCTGAGCCGGCTATCTGAAGATCTTATCATATACAGCACAAAAGAATTCCGTTTCATAACCATGTCGGATCAGTACAGCAGCGGAAGTAGTCTGATGCCGCAAAAGAAGAATCCCGACGTATTGGAGCTCCTGCGTGGCAAAGCTGGACGACTGATCGGAAATCATACGGGATTTATGTGTACACTGAAAGGGTTACCCAGTACATACAGCAAAGACTTACAGGTAGCGCATAATTACACCGCAAAGACGGAAGTTTCAGTGTGCTTACATATAAAATGTTCAGCCAACTATATTTACAGCATCTGCTGCTGTGAAATTATCATTTTATACATTTATGCTTATTATGCGTTTGGATACTACGCAGCGAACATCTATATATATTGTGCAGTTCAATATTTAAATATATTTGCAACACGGTGTAATTTGGTTGTAGGAAGATAAGGAACCTCTGTTTGATTCTGTGGATCAAATCAAGATAATGCTGGATGCCGCGCATGGCGTTCTTGCTACTTTAACCATTAATGCCAATGCCTGCCGATCGGCGTTGAGTTTCGATATGTTGGCTACGGATGTGGCGTACTATCTAGTACGTAAAGGTGTGCCCTTTCGCGAGGCACATCACATAGTCGGAAAATTAGTAGTCCTGGCAGAGGGAAAACAGTGCCACCTCAAAGATATCGCGCTAAAGGATCTCCAGTCCATTGATCACCGGTTCGCTGATGACTATGCTCAAATCTGGGATTTTGAAAAAAGTATGGAACAGTACAGTGCAACAGGTAGTACAGCACATGCTGCGGTGTGGCAGCAGATTGCTACAATTCGGGAATTTATTATGAATACGAAAGAGCGATTTACCATAGAACAGTAACGTATTTTGTGTTTAATATTGCTTTTTCATAACATTCAAGTTTAACAACCATTTGGAAAGTTGGTACTTGAGTACTAATAAATTGTATTATGATCGTCATGATCACATATTCGCATAATACTGTTAAATTGTGTCGGCTACTCGGTTGGTTGCGCAAGTGAGAATTTAGTCAAAATAGATCGGCACATTATTAAAACAACAGTGAATATTTCCCATACGTATCCAATATAATGTATATATATATATATATCTATATATATCCATACGTATCCAATATATGTATTAGCAGTCAATCATATCATCAGATATTCAGTGTAAGTTTAATCAAGACGTTGACACATACTAATAATAAACCAGCTAATTACCGTACAAAATAAGCACAACTCGCGAAGACAGTTGTACCCAACGCTGACGTGACGTGACATATCATGCCAAAAACCAAGTTCACAAGAAGCCAAAGACTGATGCTTGTGGAGTTGTGTGGTGATATAAATATTTTGGAAATGTTATATTCTGCCTACATACAGGACATAGCTTCATTATCGTTTCCAAGCCAGCTAAAACAGCTCAGAAGTTGTCTAAACTTAGCTAAACAGTAGTTTTAATTTGCCGGAACGTGTGATATTTCGGTCGAGTTGTGATATATATGCTGCATTGGTTGGTAATAATTACGTAACATTCAACGCAGAGTCTGTCTTCTTTACGCATTCTGAGCCTCGTAGTCTTTTTTGCAGTATGGTTTGCCTTCCACGTCGTAGAAACTTCCCTTTTCAAAAGGTTGTCGACATTCCTGCAAAAATATCAAGCACAATGGGAACGTTGTTAGAAATATTTTAAAAATAAGCTCAGCTTTGAATGTATATGAACACAGGTTTCTATAAATGCAGTGGTAATTATTGCAAAAAAATTTATGAAATATGTTTGTCAACTATCACCGTGGCAGTTTTGCAAAAATGTTCAAAAGCTCGTTTTTTATGAAAGGGTTAACAATAAGACTAGCACAGAATTGTTACAAACGTATATGACCGATTGCCCTATTAAATGGTGTACTGATGCCAGCAATTACATTGTGCTGCTTTGAAGAGTTTTAGGTACTTTTTTACCTACACCTTTTCTAAATCATACACATTTCATATATGAATTTCCATAATAGTTTTTCTTCAAGATGCTAAAGCACTGTTTGTCATATTTTTTCGTGTTGCAATTGATAGCGTTCTATACAGTAGCTTACGTGGCAGACGAAACAGGCGGCATGCCATGGTCCTTCTAATGCTGTCACATATGATCCGGAAATGGGTTTGGTACAGCCAGTGCATTTGGGAGCGAATTTATCCGCGTAGCAGGCGTCACAGTAGGGCTTATCGTCGCGTGTATGGAAGGATTTTTCAGTAAATTCCTTCCGGCAGCCATTGCATACGAAGCATTGTGGATGCCAAGACTTCTCTAGGGCGGTAAGGCAAGACTAGGGAGAAACAAACAAACATGCGCTCAGCATTTCTAATTCAAGTGCAAAAATGCCATATAAATATGAAGTGTATGTCTATCCATATCATGTAAACTATCTGAACACACGCTACTACCCGGCCAGGTGGCTTAAATCCACACATTTAAAGTATGATAAATTTCGGTCTGGGATTATTTTGGAAGTATGACAAACGAGTTGGAATATGCAAATCTTCCTCACACTTTCATCGCACGTCGAGAATGATTAACTGCCGGTTGGGGCGCATAAGCAGGACAAAATTACCAAACATTCCTGTTACTAGCACCAAACATGGAAAAATATAAAGTCCAACTTAGAAATAAAATTGCTTTGATATATACTAAAAAGGCTAGTCAAAATTTGATATCTCTTTTTAGTTTACTTTGATTTTAATAAAAGCGCCCCTAGCGTTGGAATAAACGTTTTACGCACATTCAATGTACCAAGAAATGCCACAAGTTTGAGAAAATTACTGCATTCGAAAACGATCAAAGGCGATAGTTAGATAGTTTATAATTGTACAGTTTATGCAGTTTTTTTGCAATAAGAGGTACATGCGAATCGGCCTTTAATCATATCTGCACAGCTAACGTTTTATGTACTATGTATTTCGATAGACTTTATTTTTTGCTAAAATATCGCAACACCCCATACTTACGCGTTCAGGTATGTTTAAGTTTTAACCCTTAAAAAAATGGAAAAACTGTTACACGGTACCTATTTCTTTACATAAATTTTAGTCTGCAGGCAGGTGTGAATCTTTAACGTTAATTTTTTTTCACTTACTTATACGAGTAGTAATCACGTAAACAAATTCAGCTTTAGTAACATACGAGTAAGTCGCACTTACGCGGCTATGTTTAGGATATCGCTTTAAAATATAGCGCAGCAGATCAAATACAGAGTACTTACTCCTTTAATGGGTTTAGAACATCCGGCACAGACATCCTTATCCGCCATTGTAATGCTGAAAACTGTAACCACTACGCGTCCCAATAAATCCCGAATAAATAGTACAAGTATCAGAAATCTACTTTCGGACGAAGCCTTGTAAAAGTATTTTTTGCTGTGAAGGAAAAGCTAATTTTAAAACGGCTTAATGCTCAGTATTTTTGTAAATTTTGCCGGCTGCTGTGCAATTTATGTACCAACCAGATGGGATTTCGAAAACGAATACATATGCCCTTCGCTCTATTTATATGCCTTTTTATCGCCTGGTGTACGTAAAGTCAAATTATCTCACAGTATGTGTGCGTTTCTACAGGTGGGAGGAGATGGAATTTTGCAATTGGAAAAACTCGTGAAGAGTTCTGGTTCGCTCGGGATTAGCTGAGCATAACCGTAAATGTGCAGCAAAGTGTATACATGCATACACTTCTGCTTTGTACGCAGCTGCACTGATTTATGCAACATTCAAAATGTCCAAGTGCAAGCACGCAAAATTATCATTAGTTTATTCTCCAGTACGCTGTACATTATAACCGGCAACGTTGCACAGGCAGATGTACGCCCCTATGCAATGCCGCAATACGTACATATACAAGGCTTGTAAAAAACAGGGAGGAGCCGGACTAGCACACACTTTGGATGCAGATCATAAATCTTGGCCATTTTGATTTATTGTTGCTTACACAATATCACTGGCACATGTGAGTGAAAACAAATAAATGCTTCTATGAAGAATTTGTTTTGCAGCTGAGCAGAAGTGCAAAGGTCACTTTCCTCATGTTATTCTGATCACAATAATTTGATCCGGTGCTGCACACAATATACAATGTGCCAGATTTATTGTGGAGTATAATACAGTATCGTTCATTTAAAGCATATTTAAACAGTAAAATGCATTTATATAATTACTATGAGTAGAATGGCAAATGATATTTACAACTAGCAACAGTTAAAACGAAAACTTCGTTACATCTGCTGCGTTTTTCAATTTTTATATTTAAAAAAGTTGATTCTATGCTCATATTTCACCTATTAAGTAAACCACCTAGAAAGATTGCCTATAAAGATTACCTTTCCTATTTCACGGATAAAGACTGTAAAGTGTAAACCTGTTAAGGTTGCTATCATTTGTCGAAGTTTAAATGCTTTGCTCTTTAAGTTTTTAAAATGTTCCGCTGACGTAAATAAGTAACAAACAAAGTATTAAATAATAAGTTAGTATTACTTATAACGCAGACATTTGCCCTCGACCGGCAAAACTACAGTAGTCTGCAAGGAAATCTATGCTCGACATTAAATTTTATGTCAGGGCACACTGCAACAGTACGATTAGGTTGCAGTAATCGGCGGAGTGTGTGTGATTTTGTTATCTGGCCTCGGTAACGATAGGAAATTTAATCATTTGCTAGAAAAGTCAATAAAAATTATTGTCATTAATCCTAAAACAATAGCGCCATAACATCGTGTGCTATCGACAATGCGGCATCAACATCTTTACAAACCCATTTATTTGGAATATTGGAGGTACATACGAATCGGTCTTTAATTACTAATGGTAAGTACTAACTGATAGTGTTACAGCTGACTGACTGCATTTTAGGCATCTTTCCTGTGACGGTAGGCTGCTCTTCGTTTCGGCGCCCAAGTCCTGTTGCTTTTGCTCTTATTTTTTATTTTTTCTACTTGGGCGAACAAACTGTAAATCGCTGGAAATTTGATACCAACCAGTGTGATAATAAAGCTGAATTGTATGTAAAACGGTATTGCAATAAGTACTTTAATAGCGAAAGGCCAAATAATGGCGCGCCAGTTATAAGTGAGTTTGTTGACATAGCGCTGCCGTGTACAATTGGTAGAGTACGTCGAAAAACTACCGGATATTACAAAATAGCTCATACGTTACCTTACACTTAAAGCCGTTGTTTTATCCACAAAAACCGTTGTCGCTGGTTGACCACTGGGCATCTATTGCACTTTTACAACATATGTACATCAGCCGCCTAACAACCGGCATTTTGCAATATAGTGTTGCATTATAGTGGTCTCGCACGTTGACCACTATCAAAAGAATTTCTTTGCTTTTCCGCTGCTTGTGAGCATTGTTGCTCCTTTTTAATTTCGCAGATTTTGATAAATTTTTGCCTGTATCTGAAACTTTCTGATTTATCCAGCTTCGAAATATGCCTCCACTGTTTAAATTGGCATGTTTATGCGGCAGTTGCTGCACAGCAGATTTTGTTTTTAAAATGACTGTTTACTTTCTTACTTTACCAGGCGGGTTTCTCTTCTTTCTCGTCAGAAATATTTTTTTTCACCCACGCTGAAAAGGAAGCTGCTGTTGGTGTTAGTGTTAGCGACGACATCTACCAGACCTTTGTGAAGACCACAAAGGTCTTATGACCACATTTGATGATTGGGCAGCGGAAGCCTGATCGCCATAAAACTCCGGATTCGCGCAAGTATAGCAGTTTGCCATGCAGACCCAACAAAACGTGTCTTTCATCCACAAACTGCGATTGTCAGTGCGTTCTTCAGCGGTTTTGCCAACGAGCATGCTCCAATACCATGCAACGTCCAGATTCGTATAGAGCGGCATTTTGGCTGGCACAAATGGCGGTACCGTTGGTATCAGTGGAATAGTCTGGTGTCGTCTGGCGCAATGTCAGAATTGAACTGGTTGACCAAAGCATGTAAAGGTTGTACGTACTTTACATACATCTGATCTTTTTGAAATGATGTTGTCTGCGTTCTGCTTCAACCAGAAGCGTTTTGGTAAATTCGCTGTCATTTGTACGTTTGGTTTACTTAAATATTAAGTTACTTTGTATTAACTATGACGTATAAGTATATTTTTTGTGCTGTTCAAGTTATTTGATATGTAAATGCGCGATCGTGGCATTCTAGAAGCCATATCTGTATTGACTGTACAACCAAGCGATGAACCAAGTAACAAAAAATAAAAATTTATTCGCTTCAAGGCAGAATTATTTTATCCTCGACTTGTTATAGCTAAGTTCACACTGCTGCACATACTATAGATATTAACAAGTAAACAGATCCGTGCCATAATTATCCGCGAAAAATCTCAGTGCGTCTGCACGCTCTTTGACATACTCGTACCATGGAATTTTTGTCTGGATCAGCCAGACAACAGTTAATTAACTTTGTTACATGGTCAACATGTCCATCTTCCCTGGACCGTTCTTCAATACAAGTACGAGTATATCAAATAAATAAAATCAATAAGACCTGGAATCGTTTTCTGGATATTTCATTGTGGTTCGCCATGTCTTGCACAGAAGCACGAACACAAAAAGAAGGAAAATATCGACAATTAAGGTTTTTCACTTTGGAAGAAAGACGAAAAAGCCGGAAAAAGTAGGCATCAGTTACACAACGTAAACACGTCTTATTGTAATGCAGGAGATGCTAAAAACCGTATACCTTTGGCAACATCGTCGAGTCGTTCCAGAGTGACCTCTGGTGACAGAAGAAAGTGACCTCCGGTCGTATACTTGGCCATCTTCATATAAGTCGGGGGAAATACGGCCTGACAAAAGCTTCCGGTAGGGTAGCTCCGCCGATCTCGTTCGGAAATGCGCGCGTTCGTTCGGACAGCAGGCGCGGGATCTCCAAGTGCTCCACGGGCAGCAAACTGGAAATACAGTCAGCTTATTAGAAGCACGGTAGGTAAGTACAGTAGATTAGCTATATATAGATATATGTAGCATTATACTGTAATTATACAAATACGCAATATGGTTAAGGAAAACGAATAAACAGAGCGACTGGGTTGCTGTCACACACTATAATGCCATGCTGAAAGTATATAGCGACTATAAAACGTAAAAATTACAAATATTTCGATTGAAACACCGAACATTACTGCATAAAAATACGGAACTCAAAAATGTTAATTTCTACGTCTGGTATCCAAAAGCTAACCGAGCAAGATCCACACTGGAAGCTTACTGTTAGTAAATCGGCTTTCTGTTAATAACTCTTTGTGAAGTCGGCATGAAGATGTAACAGAATTTGATAACAAGCAGATCTACACTCTGGTCAGCAGATCATCCATAGTAAAGTGTTTGTAATATTTCCATCAGGATACTTTTGGCCATATTTGATCCTACAGAAAGCAACCTCACTTCGATACTTTTCTCAAAGCCATCCTCACTACCGGCAGCGGTGTCTGTGAAGTGCTTCTGTAGCTCCGGAACAAACCTTTTCGAAAACGAAAGCATGTGTCGTAATTGCCAGATATCCTGACTCCGATGGCGTTATCAATTTTTTGTTTTATTTTTTGTTTTGTTCTATCCAAAGGTGACGAGGTGCAGTTGTAATATAGGTAGACCTTTATTCCTGGATAACATGATCCACAAAATTTTCCACAAACAAATATAACATCCAAAAATGTAAAGTAGTAAAAGATAATCGTATGGAGTTTTCATACATATAGCCGTTCGACCGTACAAACCTTACTGTTAGAAGTATAAAATAATAGTCGCAGCCCGTACTCATAGCATAGACTGTTGATGTTCAACAATGTTTCAGTTTTTCCAGAATAGTACAGATGAAAATGAAGCGCCAAGCGGATAGGTATACTCCGATTTTTCTGTTAGATGTCCGGATTTTTCCAGTGTTGTTCCCAGCAACTGAACCACGTGGATGTAAGCCGCTCTATGAGTCTGTGAGACTATATCGGCGAAGTAACCGGCACAACACAGATCATGGCCAGAATAACACTTTAAAACACTGCATTCCAGCCGGTGCACTTCCCACCAGCACCAACACGAAAGCAAGTAATGCGTTCCTTCCGTCGCAATTGTCACCAGCAGAACTCGGACAGTTAATATCTCTCGAAAAGGAGACGGCCCGATACTAGAATAATTTACCGAAAATGCACTCGCAATCATCGTTATGTGGATTAGTAAAAACAGAATACGCCCATAAAGTAATATAGATTTCAATGAGTAGCACGTCCGCCGTACTGATGCCGCCAGCAGTAAACCACTTGGTTTATCCAAAACCAAATGCTGTCTATAATACTCCTTAAACTGTAAAACAAGGTACACAGCGTTTTTTGCCAGGCCGACAATTATCGACAGATTGCCTAACGCTATCATCACGCAGAATAAAATACTCAGCGCAGAAGATAAAGCGACCACTGCGGTTAAACAGGGGTTCGTTCCGCTGGGTCCCATCTACAATCAAATAACATGGAAAAAGAAATAAGTACTCATACTGCAACAGTATACAACGTTTCATAATGAATACGGTATTAACAGTGAATGTAAATATAGTAATCATAATGTGCTATTATAATAACAAATATAATAATATGCAATTGTTTTAACGTACTATCAACTTGTAAATACTGCAGTGACAACTTCTAAGCTGTCCCTAGTGGAGTGGGTTACACACCCGTACCACGATCGGAAGTGCTGGTGGTGTTAACGAATTACTTTAAGATCGCTTATGTAATTAACTCTTAACGAAAGCCGGCAACGGAACACATTGTCAACGCGTACGCACACATTTTTATTCAGCTGAAAACATTGGAGAGGTCAAGGGCAAGGGCAAGAGCAAGAATGATTTTAGATCAGTTAGACATTTCCCAAACCAGTGTAGAAATTCATGATAAAAGTGAACATTCGTACAAGTACACATTCAGATGTTTTCCGCTTCAACTTCAACTAGCACCAATGAAATCCTCATCATCACTACTGTAACACTGCCGATCTTATTTGTACGACTACAATACTGTGTACAGTATTTATTAAATGTTGTATCTATATGCAGTATTTAATAGTGAACTAATCAATCGTAATGACTTAATGGTCAACCTAACATCATACTCATACATAAGGAATATTATATTTCCGTTATTCAAAATAAGCCCGGGCAAAAAGATAAAGTTGGAAAAGAAGTAAAGAGATAAACGGTTTAAACTTCTAGAATGACTTAATCGTACACAATTTTAGCTTGCAGCAGCAGAGCAGCTGTGATAGCTATCTGTACTCTCGCAACTAAAAATAGAGAATGTACCTCATCGAACCCCTGCCGAAATGCGGGAGCGGTAATCACTGCCGTTTTCCATACCATCGCACAAAAAATAAACACCCGAACAAGTGTAAGAACAATTTCAAGGGTTACGAGAAGACCGATTAGCGATATTCGTGTCCATTTGTTTCTGATGCACCTTGTATGGAACCTGGCTAACGAGTTTTTGACTGTGTTGGATACGGTTAACGCCGCGAAGAATGTTGTCGTGTTAGATGAATCCATAATTTAGAAGCAAGAAAATATAAGTGGTAAAGTATGTCATAACCGCAAAAAAAAACATTAGGTATGATAACAAAGGTTCTCGACTTCTCGGACCTACTTTTAAGAATGATACGCTAGGAGGTACGGTACTTTCAGTGATGGCCACTTAATGTGACTATTGCTGCCCGATCAATCGATGCACTCTGGAGTCCTGCTTTCCCAGATTTGTGTGCTCGCATCAGTCGCATGGGCTGCATATCTGAATATGGTTGCGCTCATGCTGACCATTACTTAGTATGTACACGAATGTATCTGTACACTGTTGATATCCCCACACAACCGACATGCGGCCTGCAAATCCAGACGCTTATGATCGCTAATGTGGAATACGAATGCTTGGCTACAAAACTGGGAAATGTAAGGAATCCAAGCGAAATTTACTGGTCGCTGGTCAGGCGCGCTTTTTCGAATTAACAAAGCGCTCCGCAATCGGCAACAAGCCTAGCGCCGGGCAACATTACCGTTTACTTCTAGATTTGTTGCGGTTTAGAATGTATATCCTTCAAAGCCGTATAGAAATTGTATTTAGGACTTACCATTAAATTAAACTGTGTTTACTCAGGATAAACGGACAGTAGCTTTGTTGCCAAAAATTACCCAGCGTATAAATTTGAGCTGGCCTATTACGCACGTCGATCGGACACAGTGAACTCATAAGTTCCTTCGACTACAGTGTATCTGTGTCTTCTCCAACCTGTGGCAAAGCACGCGCGTCACACGATAGGTTGATGACGCTGTAAATAGAACGTTGAACAAAAAATTATACGTTAATGGGATGTCATCCAATACTTATAAGGTGCAACTCTGCCTTACCTGGTCATTATAGGATTTTCAATAAGTCCTGCTTGAGAAACAACATCACCGGAAGTATTTAAAGCGATGCGAAAGCGAGCACTATAAAGTCACTTGAGGAAGCGTACGGATATACTCGGATATTTACATCTTCACCATGTGAACTAATAAAGTGCAATCCGGCTACGTGATCGGAACACGGCAAGATCCCTTGGTGACCTTTATAATAATGACGCCCAAGTGGGTCTGGATGGTCATTCTGCAGCTGATGGCCATGCAGTGCATGCTGTACGGCAGTAACAAAGCTGAAGCGGGCTTCACGAAATTTTATTTTGCCCAAAACAGTGCCAAACAATTCCTACCTGGTCCTGCCGGACTTCTCATGCACTCGCACTTGCCACGATGGTCCATTGTACCTAAGGTGCAAGGTAAGCGGGAAGGTAAGTTGCCTTACTTCGTATGGCTTCAAACTTTTGACCTTATTATTTATTTTTATTCTGGTTAGTTAAATTTCGGACACATGTATTTAATTTCGATTCACTTTCTTCTTTCTTTAATTTACTTTTTTCTGCAGTTAGATATGATGTACTGTTTATACAGCTTTCGAAGTGCAGGTTGTTTCTCAAAATATACCTTTTCTTTCGCCAATGAACGCTGAATAAAAAATTCTGTATATCTATATCTACGTTCTCGTACAGTATGTATTTAATGATTAACATATTATTATGTATGAGTGAAATGATACCGTTGGTCAGTTAACTGAACAATACTGTTGTCTTAAACTCGTAAGTTTCCAACCTTTATTGTAACAGTTTTTTGGCAAAGTTGGTTTTTCCAGTGGCAATGAGAAAATTGTTTAATTGATTGTGATTACGCAGCAGGTCAAACCTTCGCCTACAGCCCTGTGCCGGCGGGTGCGATAATGGGAAAGTCTGGAACTGTCATCGGAAAATGCGATACACACCAAGAATGCCGGCAGCGCCTCCTCACATACTTCAACCGGATTGTTAAAATGAAGAATAATGGATGATCACCTTACAACAAAATCTTGTCCTTTTTTGTGTCCTACACATCCAGAATAACCAGTTTGAATTACGCATGATGCATGTAACTGTGCGCCGCCGATCACCATGGAACACCACTTCAAAACCTATCAGCGAAAAATATAGATATGTTCTGATTAATAAGTCTCTGTCTTCTATTTGGAAGGATTTGTGAATATCTTTAATTTTTAAATGGGAAACTAATAATTTACCTATTTGTCAGGTAAAATGTGAGGGTGTGTGCGTAAAACATACTCGAAAGTAAACTACACTGTTACGGCACAATAACTCTACTTGTATTATCAAACGCGCTGCTGTTTATAGATATTGCTTACGGTTGAGCCCAGAAATAAAATTGCGTTTACCAGAAATAACGTTTTGTTTGTCTGTTTTTACGCTGTCGTCGTAGTAATGAAAACTGTTAATCTTTAAAACTCATCAAAAATACACAAGAGCAAAGTAATGACTCTTCGTTTTTAGAACAGCTACCCGCCTGTATGTATTGTACATTAAATTTTTGGTTATGCTGTGATAAAACCCTGCAGTGTATTACAGTCTTTTATCGGTTTATGTTGCAAAATAACGTCTTAACATCATGTCCGCATATCACACAAGCGCTGAATCACTTGATTTTTCTTTTAATGCACGCCGAGTTTGTGAATTTCCCAGGTACGAAAAGACGGTAACAAAGGCATATGCAACATGAAATAATATTGATTCATCTTAGAAAATAACATAGCTTTTTGTGATGCTGACATAGGGAATATACTAACCCAGTCAGATGTTTGCCGGAGCCGCAGTTTTTCGATCCTTGATGTTGCAGATGATTTATTCATTTTTGATCAAGCAACATTTTATTATCAGGTTTATGGTATACATATCTTTCAGTTTATATTAATAATAATTTAGCGGTGCGCTAATTTAGTGACAAAGGTAACAGCATAATACAACTGCTATTAATTTTAGTAAAATACTATCGACACTATGAGAAGGAATATCAGCGATGATACTCATCCATACGATGTTCCAATGCCGGTTAACTTGTACACCATCGGTGCTACAGCTGCCGAGATACCGGCAGCAACTTTTCGCAATGTGAATATTGGGAATCTTCAAACTGGAGCAAGACTCCAGGTTAATCGCCCTGTTTTCAATCAGGAAAGGTTAGTTATAGCCTGTAGTTACGTAAGTACTTATTTGTGTTAGACTTTAAGGATTTGTATCGAGTACTTCGTAGTTCGAGCTAATTCAGTTTTCAATTTTAAACAAATATTATGCGGGTTACCGTATACCACAGAATCCCTGCCCTCTATCTTTTGTAAATAATAATAATATCTAAAATTTGTACTGAAAAAATGTGTTATTCCGTTGATTAAATTAATCTTCCTCTCTTTGCCAGCTTTGATTCATCATACGAATTATCTGATCCCGGACTTCCGCTGAATCCGCGACAGAAGTTATACAAAAAGGGGAAATCTTGGTTCCCACCAAAGATTAAATGGGAGCAGGCATGCAGTGTCCAGTCGGCATATGCCGTGCTGGTTCGCTGGATACCTATTTTATATTGGCTTCCTAAGTATAACTGGAAAGCTAACTTGTTGGCGGATGTTACAGCAGGTGAGGTAGCATTCGAACAATTCTTTCGTTTTAAAGAAACTGCTTAATACTCCAGCAAACTTAAATAACAGTTACATGCATACCAGTATTCTCCCGCACATTACATTTACTCGATACATAGAACAATACAATAATAAGCATACAACATACAATAAAATACGAAACGAAATATTTGTATGTATTTGCAAAATATTGTGCCAGTGTAATATTTTAGGGGTGACAGTGGCATTCCTCAACACTCCGGAAGGTGTAGCGTATGCTCTTTTGGCTTCGGTCCCTGCCATAACTGGGCTGTATACTTCCTTTTTCCCTTTACTGATTTTTATCTTCCTCACCACAACGAGACATTCCACCTACGGTAACCTAAACTGAAATGTCTTGCATCTATTATACAACACTAGCTCTTATATGCAGTACGTACTGTACAAAAATTGTGAAATTTTTGTGATGATACAGGCACCAACGCTATAATAAGCGTGATGACCAGCAAGCTTGTAATGCAGCATGCTCAAGATTATTTGCTCGTCGAAGAGGTGTCCCTCGGCGAACAATACTCAAACGAAACGCTATCAGCTCTCGAGACGAGCCAAATACGGGTTGCTTCCGGTGTGGCCTTTTTAATGGGAGCGTGGCAGGTAATACACCAGATACCGCTGTAAAAGAAGTTATTATTGTAATTTTTGATCTTTTGTAACACAAAGTATACAAGATTCTTTGTTCAAGATTCGAAATGCTTAATACTATGGGATATGCCGACCGCACTTTACTTACTTCAAAGAATTCACAGGCAACAGAGAAACAGTGTTTTCAGGTTCAACAGATACAGTATCGACGAAATCTTGAAAATATATTAAGCGTCTAATTAATAGCTGTTTGGGCTGTTGAATAATCGAGATGACCTTTTGCAGCAAAAGTTAATGTTTTCAGCTCATTTTTGGCATAGTTGGAGCAGGCGGACTTGTGGTTTATTTCTCCGATCAACTAGTGCAAGGGTGAGAGAGGTGCACTATGTCCTTTGTTTTTTATCCATGCGTACCATTTTTATACCATTGCATAAAATAAATTTAGATGTTTTGTTGATTTCTAAATGTTGATAGATTTACCTGTGGAGCGGCAGTGCATGTATTCAGTAGTCAATTGCCCACAGTGTTCGGCATCCACGGTCTACCAGGATACCAAGGCGCATTCAAGTTAATACGCGTAAGGTCACCTGTTTTCGATTATGGAATTATTATGTATATAGAAGTACTTATCTCCGTCTAGACATACGTCGCTTTCTTCCAAGTAATCCACACTACTCACGGCACCACCCTCATCGTTTCCCTGTTATCATTAATCTTCCTGATAATCATCAAATACGCCATCAACGCCAACCAGCGCATCCGGGCGGTGATTCGTGTGCCCATCCCGGCGGAACTGCTCACCGTCCTCCTGGGCACATCCATCTCCTACGCCATGAATCTGCATGGTCGCTACGGCGTCACCATTGTCAACCGGATGCCCGCCGGGTTTCCGGCACCCGCCCTACCCGGCATCCACAATATCATGGGCCTAGTGGGTGACACGTTCATTATCAGCGTTATTGCGCTGTCGTTGAGTATTACGCTGGGACTGTTGTTTGCCAATAAACACGGCTACGCCATCGATCCCAATCAGGAGTTCCGGGCGCAGGGCGTGGCCAATGTGATTTCTTCATTCTTCCAGTGTTTTCCGTCCTGTGTGTCGGTGGCATGCACGGCACTACAGGACGGAGTGGGTGGTCGCACACAGGTGGTCAGTATGGTGCACTGTACCATTATTCTGATCGTTATTGTCGCGCTGGGACGCTTTTTGGAGCCGTTGCCGCATGCGTGTCTGGGAGCGATTGTCATGATTTCCGTGGTGAAATTAATCGCGCAGATTGTCCAACTGGTTGCTCTTTTGAAGGTGTCCCTTATTGACTGGGTCGGTAACACACTTATCACTTATTTTAATAACAGTGGTAACGAAAAAGTAATAATATTTACGAAAAGGTCACGAGTATATTCTTACTAAAATTTTTTTTGACAGTCGGTGTTCGTCGCGGTATTTTTTGGAGTGGTCATTCTGGATGTTGATTATGGTTTAGCCATTGGATTGGCATGGTAATTGTATCTAAGCATGCACGAAGTTACCAAAATTCTCGCAGATGCATTTAGCTAGTACGAGTATAATGATTAGTTTTAAATTACAGTTACTGTTCGGTTTTGATATTTAACCCTCATGATAGCAGTCGGCTGACGATGCGACTGATCGCATATGTATTAGTTACAATAATTCTGATGCGTAAGCAAATAATAATTTTAATTCCATAATTCTGTAGGGCAATACTGACAATTATGCTAAGAATGCAAAAACCGAAAGTGGCTCCCATGGGAAGATTACCGGGAACGGACATTTATCAACGGACAGATGAATATATCATGGTCAGTATGCTCGTGCAAAACTCTTTCATTCCATCAATGCATATAAACTGCAGATTTATTGTACTTACAATTTTACAGGCGACAGAAGTTCCAGGCGTAAAGATAATAAAGGTCAACGCACCCATCTATTACGCCAATGCAAGTATCTAGATTGTAGTTTAAAGAGATCAAGATAATTATTGAAAAATTGAATCGTACACTGTATTTTACTTGTTAATATTTTTTTGCAGTTTAATGTGTTGATACTTTGACTGATTTGTAGGCAGCATATATTAAACTCCGTTTATACGCATTTGCCGAACTCAACAGCCTGTTGCAAAAGCCGACCATTAACAATTCTCGTCGCGGAAACCGTCTGGTCAACGCATCCACTCAAAGCGGTTTTGATCCAACGGTGGCCGAAAATTATGCTTACGCAGACCGTTTAGACAATATCTCCACGATTGACCGGCAGAAAATGGAGGCAAACCGCCGGCCAAGTTATCAGTTCCGGCGCAGCTCCATAGCGTTTCGGCAGAGCGCCGGTGCGCCGGCCGTAATCAGTCTGGAAGAATTTGATGATCTACAAAATGACAGCCGCACTGCGGATCAAGCAGCGCAAACCCGGCATCTGATTGTTGACTGCTCGAGTGTGTCGTTTTTGGATGTCACCGGAGCGGGATTTCTCAAGAAAACGCAGGCGGAATGTGCCGGGATGGATGTGGAGGTCCTATTAGCCTGTGCATCTAGTGCGTACACGTACACATACATTGTACACTGAATTAACAATTTAAAAAATAACGTTGGAGTGAAAATGATGTTAAAACGATAACGAAAAAAACAGTGGTAAATATCTTACAAATTGCATGGGAGATGTACATGTACAGGTATTTACATGCCTGAACAATTCCGTTGTCGTTATAAGGTCAGGTAAACACAACCCAAAACATTCCGAATACCTAACCATTATTATTTGTTCTTGTTCTAGAATCTGTTCGGGAAATGTTATATGTGTGCGGCGCCGGTGAATATATTCTGCCGCATCAGTATTTTGTTACGATTCACGACGCAGTATTGTATGCGGTCAACACGCAGAAACAGCATCCTAACACAAGAATTCTTCATAATATTAATAATGTACGTACAACATCCTACAATACTTGGCATGTTGCGCCGAAAATTTTTGTAAATTTCTGCTTTACATCTTTTTCCTTACTTACTTTTACAGAGGGTGGTGAGATTAACTGCCGGAGTGGGCACATCTCCTCGCACAGAAGACAATAGACCGGAAGATGTTCCGGAGCGGTCGAACGATAACGGGAATGCCATCATTTGCAGCGGTCACCGGCAGCGAGCTGCTGGCTACGAAACTATGTGAAACTGCACGCGGTCGTCGTTTTTCGGTCTTATTGTTGGTTAAATTGAATAACAAACAGTGCAGCCAGTTTTCTTCGTTTGTTCAACCGACAGGCGACAAGTAGTTATTAGGTACTGATTTGTTTTCATTCAGCCGCGCAAGCAGAACCATATTATAACTTCGGAAAAATACAAATTTTATTCTCATTTCAGTAGCAAACAAACCAAACAGCGCGCGCTCAGTTTGAAATACCGTTCTCCAAATTGGCGAAATTGCAAAAGTGAAATCTACAAGTACACTCCAGATGCATTATCAACAACAAACGAATTCCCGAGCGGAAACAACGCGCATGACTACCAGCAAAGAATAACAAAAAGGATTTGATCGCTTTTACAACTGCACATAATGCCATCAGACCGTTGAGCATGTAATAACTAGAGATAGTGTTATACTAATTGTACGAAGTGCCCAAAGGTTAAAATAAAAATACATGTCACGCAAATATAATAGGAACAACACTACTACTTTGGAGTCAATTCGAAATACTGTATTTCCTGTTTACATTCTGGATTCCTCCTCGTCCGCGTCGGCTCCTTCCTCCACTTTGTCTTCACGGTGATAATGAGTCTTGGTGTAGTAAAAACACCTGTATAAGTCGCTGTTCTTGGGTAAAGCAGTGCCGTACATCTTGCAGTAATCCCGCACTAATGCTGCAAACAAAAACGGAACATGTTACAGTGCACACCGCAACCGGGCTAAATGTACGAGTACGAGGACGAGCTTAGTACATGTGATAGACAAAAAAACTAGGGAGAGAATCTGATAACCATTTGCGTGCTGTGCAACACTGTCAGCCACCTTAGGCTGGCGGTAGCCGCGCGCCGTCACGCAGCCGTTAGCTGAACACGGTCTGCTATTTACTGTAACGCACACTCGTATTGAAATTTAAATGCGAGTTTTGTTTTGGTTTTATAACTTTGTTTATAATTGGTTCTCCGCAAAATTTCCAGTAACCAGTGACTGACATTAATTAACCAATCTCTTGATAGTAATGTTATAAAATTACCATCTAAATATAAAGATTCATCTGGCGAGATGTACTACGATGAGAAATTGAGAATATCACCGACGTACGGCTACCTGCCAGTTTGTTTTCTGCACCTGCGATGGAGATTTCTTTCACGAGTATCAGCGTTGTTTCGGGCCTACCGTTGAGTGAGAATTGTGTGGAGGAACCTGCCAGCGACGTCCTCAGAAAAAGAGAAAACTTAAAGATTCTCGTCTGCGCGCCGAAGCAGGGCTTATTGCGACTGACAGTAAAGTAATCGCAGCGCTCGAGCAACGGGAAGCAGAAAAACTGATGAAGAAAAATAAGCGAAAAAGAAACACTCGTAGCGGACTTAGCGATGTGACAAATACTCCGACTAAAATTGAAAAATCTTTCAGAATGGGTAAAAAGTGAGTACTCTGAAATTTCACATGTGGTTCTACAAAGTCAAAGTTTTACTGTAAGAAATAAAGCGTGCGGTATTACTGGGGTGATTATTTGTATTAAATCATTTAAATGTGATGTATTTACCAGCACTGACAGACCTGGGTGGTTGCCCGTGTTGCACGGGCCGGGCATGGTTATCAGATTCTCTCGCTAGTTTTTTTGTCTATCATATGTACTAAGCTCGTCCTCGTATAATAATATAAATAATTATCAGATACGGGATTCCACTATTTAACACTACCAACCCAACGCGAGTTTCAATCGATTCCTGTCAACACTCTGAGTTGTTCCATCCGGTCGCAGTTCAGCAGCAGTGAACAACCTGCGTAAAATCTGTTTGAAACCGATGCGCCAATTAGCGCAGGCGTTGATGGCTTGCTGGAAAACGAAAACATCACAGGTACTAAAGACCGGCTGAACATATCAGAGAAAATTTTAAAAATGTTTTAGTGGCAATGGCAAGTAACGGTTCATGAAATCCAAAATTACCTGCAACGACGCCAGGTCAGCGCCAACAGCCGAATTACAGGTCGCGGTTGGTGGAACATGTGACAATTCGAAGACAGAAATTCGTCCCCGATGCTTTTCAACCCTTGCTCCAGAGTTCTAAACAAGAAACAAAATACTCGTAAATCGTAAAATAACATACATTCAAACATTTACGAACTGTACTGTCAATACGAATTTGTATTCTAGCCCGTTACTGTCGCAACATTCCACTGACCAATTCCGAGTAGTTCAGGCCCATCTTAGCCTTACGAATTTTCCGCATCGGTCCCCCAGATCGTGATCCAGAAGAACCCCACAGGCTGTTAAATTTGCCAATCTTGGGCTGTGTATTGATCTCCGGAGAAAAACCCCGTCCATCCACCGAGAGCGGACGTTGTTGACGAGCATTTTTTACGGCCGGAAGCACCGTCTGAGCCTGCAATGCCACATGTTACGATCGCGAAAACCATTCAAAAACAGATTCAACATCATTACAAAGCATAATAAAAAATAGAAGGAAAGTTGTCAATTGAATTTATGGAAAAGTGGAAGCGTACCCGAGGTCGGTACTTGATACTGGCTTTCAAGCACGCGCGAGGGGTGTTATTACTAACCGTCGCTGATCCCTGCACGACAACTGGACCATTGACCATACCCAACGCATTGCGAGTCTGCGTAAAATACAAAAATTCCGTAACGTATTTTTTAATATTTCCCATTAAACCAGCTGCACAATTTCAGTCTGTAGCTTACTACGCTATTAGACTTAGGAGCGTCAACCTGCACCGGCGGTTGGATCGGTGCTTCCCGTTCAGCACTCCACTGTTGTCCGATCTCGGCGTACCACTCCTCAATTTCCTCCGTGAAACGTTTCCGCAACTCTTGCCGATTTCGGACTACACAGTACATCAAATCAGAACAGGAATGTAGAACTTAAAAGTGTTTTAACAACATAATCCTAACAATTGTAAATGTTCCAAAATACCTATGTTGTTCGAATTCTGTTGTCCGTAGCCTACAGGGGGCGAATGGGACAATACACTTCCATTATTATTAATATTAGAAGTTTAATTACCATAATTTGCCTTACAAGTTTATAACAATCAACTTCGAATTGCTCACTGTGATTTTATCACTAAAGTACTTATGCTAAAGTCAGTTACTTTGCCTAACAACGTTCGCAACTCCAGAAAGCTTCCATAATTACGTATAATACTGCAACATTGTGCAGCAGTCGTTTCAATATAGCGCTCAGCAGTTAAACTTAAATGTTCCTTGATAGAAGATGGCTGTTCATTTACTTTGGACGGAGCAGTTCGAACATGACCTAGTAACAGGCAGTAACAACTACCTACAATTAACAGATCTCGTTCCAGACTGCCCGTCAATGCCGTAAACAATTTTGGAACAGTGCAAAGTGACAAGCAAATTAAGCAGTCATTTTAAAACCAAATAAAGAATATGACGGAATAAAATCTGCTTCGATTTACCTTTATCCACATGCATAACGATGCAGGGAAATTCTGTACTGTTGCTCCCATACTGGCCCATACAGTAGGTGCGCTCGATGATGACATCCTCAGCCTTAACCGGCTTCAGACTGGCCAGTGACACGACGGAAACTTGGCAAGGATGCAGGAACTCCGCTGGCAACTGCCAGAAGACCACGGCACTTCCCGCGAGCGCGTTATCCATATTCATGGAAAGGAAATCGAAACGGTAAGAACTTGATGTATGGTAAACTCCAAGAACCCAACTTCTCACAGCCACGACCTACAAACCATACTCGTATACTCGGCAACAACGCTGAACCAGTAATGCAAGAATCTCTGCAGTAAACTTAAAAACTTGTAAGGACAGGTAGCATCAGTTCAACTACCGAACACCAAAATCAACGGGAACAATGGACCAACTAACCGTGAGCTGAAAAAGTAAAAACCCAAAAAAGGTTGCAAGAAAAAATTCTAGCGAAGTTTAAACAGCAGTGCACTTCCGGACAATGCCACTTGATGCACATTACACGCACGAATGCACGCGCCCAGCGCAAGAGCGAAAGGCACCAAATGCACTGCTGCGCCCGTGACTGCAGTTAACGTTTAAAAAGTTAGGAAGTATCAAGCCAGATCTCAATACTGGAGTATTGAGATCTGCCCTGGAAGTATGAACTTATGGATTTGTCTATTGGCAATCCAACTCCAAAAATTTAAAATTGTCAAATCCATATAATTTGGACATTATTTGGTATATTATTCCGTTTTCTTGACCTGTGATTTGCATTGTTCAGTGGACAACATAACCGTCAGCGTGCTTGTATCGGATTAATTCTAAAATGTGGATTCAGGGTTGTCGTGCGCTGGTTGCATCCAGCAGGATCACTTCTGCTTATCGACTCGTTGGACCGACAACCACAACGCGTTTCCCCGTGCGATGTTTTGCAAGTGCCAAGGATTTTGAAAGTGCTAAGGAGCGTCTGAATACACTCAAAGAAGATCCTGGACCAGATGTCAAACTCAAACTGTATGGCTTGTTCAAACAGGTGCGTCTGCTGATTTTCTTTGTTTTTGGTTTGTAACGCTGTTATGGTCATAGTTCAAGGGCTCATTTGGGCTCATTTTTGTTTAATGGTTTTACGTCCGCACACATTCAGGGCAAGAACCCAGTTTTAGGTATTTGTTGCGCTGCCGCACTGAAAAGATGCTTCTTTATTGGTAATGCATGTTTTAGCTGGTCAGGAAGGTAAAATTCTGCTTAAAAATGCATGCGTGGACGGTATCTCACTTATTGTAGGCAACAGTTGGACAATGCAATGCTCCGAAACCTGGAATGCTGGATATCGTGGGAAAGGCAAAATGGTCTGCATGGAATTCTTTGGGCAGTATGTCACAAGTAAGAGTATTTTGTAGAGCGCTCACGGCTTACTATATTAACTTGAGCATTATTATGTGATTGGCTAGCAAGCTGCGAACAGAAACCGCTGCATTCCTTTTTAATTTATGTTTTTGCTCCCCTTTCACTGGATTTTTAATGTTAGTTGTCTATCAGTCGGAGTCGGATGCAACATCCCGCACCCTATAATTAATATAATACTCGAAATACTACTCACCTTACTTGTTAATAATAAGTAAAGACTAAAGCAGTTCTGAAATTTTTTACTGTTTATATTTATGCTGTGTTACTGTTACTGGTGTAATTTTCTTCATTTATTCGCATTTCCAATAGGACGATGCGAAGAAAGAGTATGTTAAAGTTGTGGAGGAGCTCGTGAAAAGCAGTGGCGGAGATAGTGAAGAATCCGCCAAATCGGATTCGCAATCGTCTTCCGGAGGAAAATTCAAAGAGCTCATTTATGAAGAAAAAGATAAAGTTACATACATCACCATGAATCGGTATGTCTTTTATAGCTAACAGTCTGTATTCATTGCGGGACAGCTTGACAGCAAACATACAGATATTAGGCTGTCTTATCTAATTTTCAGGACTTACCAATTATCAACTTGCACAATTACCGAATTGCAGTTGTTTGCTTATTTGTAAGTCGGTATTCTCCGTAGACCCAATAAGATGAACGCTATCACCTCCAACATGTATTTCGAGTTTGTCGATGCCCTTGAAATGGCGGCCAACAATAAGAATTATGCTACGGTTATCACGGGTATGCACCCTTCTGTTTCGTCATGCGACTCGTGCCACATCCCGCATGACTGATATTTTCCGTGTCAATCCGTTTGTAGGTGCTGGGAAATATTTCTCCAGTGGCAATGATTTATCCAATTTAATGAAAGTTGGTGGTGGCAGTATGAAAGACATGGCGGAAGCAGCGGCTGTCATGCTAGAGTAAGCGGATACTCTCCTTTTCCTGCATGCTTGAAATGGTATACAGTACGTCCCGTTAAATGGTTTTCAGACGAATATTCGCTTGTAGAAAATTTGTCGATGCCTTTATTGACCATCCCAAATTACTGGTCGGCTTGATTAATGGTCCCTCAATCGGTATTGCCTGCACGACTCTTGGATTATATGATGTTATTTACGCTACGGACACTGTAAGAAGTTAGAACTGAACATAGAAAATGCGGTAGATTTATCTAATCGTTCAGAAACGGATGTTCACAAAACGCTGCTTTACAAAGGCAACTTTTCATACTCCTTTTACCAATTTGGGACTCACACCAGAAGGATGTTCCAGTTACACTTTCCCCAAGCGAATGGGCGCAATGAGGGTATGAATCAATATTTTAACTTTTATTTGCTTGTATTACTTTGTATTGTTTCAGTTATTGATGGCTGTGTTGTTTTCCACGAAGTAGTTTCGTTTGAATCGATAGACCTTTGAATTTTCGTAGGCGAATGAAGTATTACTCCTGGGAAAGAAGATGTCGTCAGCCGAGGCCTTAGAGTGCGGTTTTATTACGGAAGTATTTCCGGCTGATTCTTTCCAACAAGAAACGCAGCGGCGATTGCAGAGCTTCGCTAAGCTGATGCCTATATCTTTGAAGGAATCGAAGACCTTCATTCGCTCGGTGGAGAAAGAGAAGCTCCACCAAGTTAACCATGAAGAGTGCACGAAATTAATTACTATGTGGCAAGGCGAAGAATGCATTTCAGCTGCCACTAAATTCCTGTCTCGTAAATAATGTACGCACAGAAATGAAGTGCTCAATTTGGATGAGAGAATTTGAAGTTCTAAACTTCTAATTCGTTTAACGACTTAACGTTTTTGTTGTTTTAACTTATGGTTTCAAAATGCAGTAGTCGAATAGTGTGACCAGCCACACAGCCCCATGTGAGCTATATCAAGATACAGCCTGGCGTAAACAAAATCTTTAGCCACAAAGAGAACTGAGAGAATATCAATTAGTTCTATATTTGGGCAATTGGGCATAAGTTGATAAGACCAGAATCGACAGATTTCCAGTCTTCTCTGTATCTCTTGTTATGTCGTTTTAATGTTCTTAATTGAGTGATCTAATGCTTTGCAAGTTTCCAGAAGTTTCTTAATGTGGATGTTTACCCGAATGTGGCTATATAAGCGCCAAGCTTGCAAGTGCTAGATGGTCCACTCTGGTTTAGTCCACTGGAAGTCATCTAGCAGTCACTGGAATTGTGTTTCGTAAATAAAGTCTCAAAATCCACATCGGGATTTCTACGTTAGACTTAGCTACGTACAGTGCCTGGGGCAGCACATAACGCTAGTGGAGTTTATAACGTAACAATAGAAATTTTATGAAGTGCGTCGCATTGTGGGTCGAATATTCTAGCATTTTTGCTGAATGTGTATTATTGATTATAATGACTACTGTGTTAGTAATAGAATTTTGATTTGCAACTACAAGCAGGTATCTGCAGTGGTGTTATTGTAGGTATCGCTAAATTCTAAAATATAAATGAAGGGGTTTTGTGAACCACAAGCTTCTCCACATAAAAAGTTACTGTACTTGAAGGTAAAATGAAACCGCAAAACAACGACTGAGCTCACTGGATCACTCGAGATTTTTAGGGACAGAAAAATGACAGCTACCTAATATAAAAACAGCAATTAAATACCATAATAACAATTCCACTTTAGGTGCTAATCACTCCAACCAATTTCTTCGTCCTCATCATCATCGTCCGACGGCTCAGTATCAGAAGCTAAGATCCTTTCCGCAACATGCTGGGAGCTTCGTTTCGAAGAAGGCAGTAAACCAAACACAATCGCAGCGGCTCGTGAGGTTGGTCCTTTCTGCGTAACGACGACATCTGACTCTTTGGCGATAACTGGCGGCGGCATTGATGCAAGCGGCACTCTGGGCGTTGCCGCAATAGGTTCTTGATGTTGCGACGCACCTTTTGCAGCGCGAGATTCCACTGAAGTGGCACTTTCTGCAGTTGCGGCAGGGCGGACGGGGGCTAATGTTGACTGCGGTGCGGTGAAGGGCACTTGATCCTCCACAGGAGGTGCTGCAGTCTGAGGAGCAGCGGTATTTTGTGCAAGGGCAGCACTATCCACATGCTGACTCTGAGATGCGGATTGAGTGTTCTGTGGGGTGATTTCCAGTGTCGCAATGGTAACATTCGCTTCGTACTGATTTGGCACTTCAATGCATATAAGAACCGGCCTAAAATAACGATAACAAATTAGCACTAAAATCTTGCAGTAATCCAATTTGACGCATACAGTGATACAGAGACTTTTTTCAAAAGAATAAGTATGTGTTAGTAAATGTAACATGAAGTATCACTATTTTATCAGTTAAAGTTCAAGTCCGCTAAAATTTCAACAGCGGACGCGCTGCTTTCGAATTTTTTCAAATTTCAGACAGCCTAAATTAGCCTAAAGAGGGCAGCAATTACGGACATATTAGTTGAGAAAATATTTCCCTGTTACGGTAACAGTAGCGTATCATTTGCAAACAGAAGATCGTACGTCCCGTAATACAAATAAGAAGGCATAAAACTTGAGCGAAATTCCGATTCGAATTAAAGATTTCTGGTCATAACAGTTCAACGAGCTTACGTTCCGGGCCCGGTAAAATGAATCGAAACAGGAAGACCAGTTGTGCCATGGACATCCGACTGATATGTCACACTAGAGATGAAGCTTACAACACCCTAAAATCCAGACATGAAAGCCATAATTATATCGTATTAAACTATTAACATGTACTACTGTAGTATGGAATTAATAGTAGTGCTTCGCAAACTGCACTTACAACATTTTTCAATTTGTTACCTTTAACTCTTTTAACGTAATAGTGACAGATGTTTCTTCTTGAATGGAGTAATTTTCAAACTCCTCGATATCCATTTGAATTTGCATCTGCGCAGTCTGCTTCGGATCTGCGATAACATAACAAAGTTATCACTGAACATTAAGAAACCACAGAAAATAATATAACATTTTTCATTGCGATATCGCACTTCGCATAAATGACCATCTATGTACGAGTACGTAATTCATACCTGGTGTATCTCCCATATAATTGTTCACAATAAAACTATCCTTCCGAAAACTGAAAGTGATCTCATCAATATTCGGAGGAAAGTTTTCTATTGTGTCGGTCAGGAGTTTGGCGGATGCAACAGCGTAGCTTTTGGTATGCTTTTTTGAGAAAGACGAGTACAACGGATCACAATCCATAAATTCCACGCTATGACGGTGTATTACTTCTGCAAAGATATCAAAACTCAGAAAGCACGGCATCAAACGCCAGAATACCAGCGGTGCAGCATAGCAGTACGCGAACAGTAATTAAGTTAAAATCAGTTCCATTCTATGTCGAAAGTAATATCCGAGCAATAAACTACAGAAAAAGCAAAACAAATATCTCACTATAAAAACGGCAAATAAATGAAATAATACACAAATAACGCCATTCAAGAAAGAGACTTATAAAATTTGGACGAATTTTTTATCTTCAAAAAGTAAGAAAACCGCAGAAAACTTATAAATCTAATTACACTTAATGTTAGCACCAGAAAAAATGTTGAAAGAAATTTAAACTTAATTATTTTAGTCTTTACGATACACACATACTAAAGAACCAAGGTGGTCCATGAGATCATAAGATCCCAAATAGTTAAATTCTCCTGTACTCAAGCCAGTTTTCTTACTTGATTTTCGATTGAACGAAAAGCGCACTCGGTTGCCAGCCAAATCCACTTCCAAGCCACAGCTTTCCACCTGTCGATCGCACGTGTGGGCCGATTTAAAAACGTTCAGTACGGTCTATAATCAAGATAATTACAGAGTTATTTTCGGAAAGAATTAATTCCAAATGAACCAATGCACTGTATCATCTGCACACCCGCATCTGCATTTTCAGTCGACTAATGCCGCTTCCTTTGCTTCTTCGGCCATGGGATATCGAATCCGAACGATACTCGCTGAAAAACTCATAATCAAACACAAAGGATCCATACGCAGATTTGGACTGGCTGACGGCGCGCAAAATCATCTAGAAACAGAAAACGACTCCAGGTTTAGATTCGTTTCTCTTCGGAACAGCAATTATAATCAACCTGATTTGGAGAAAATTCCAAATACAGTTCTTCCCCAATTCGTGACAAAGCCGCAATCGCTCTCGAAAACGCTGAAAAAGAGCAGAATAATGAGAATAATAATCAGAAATATTCTATACAGCGGCTTCTAGCTATAGAAGTAGCTATGGAATATTAGCTTGCAACCCAACAAAATCCAAAGCTGCAAACAGAAAAATATGCTGTAAATAAGCCGAATGAAAAATCTTTTTAATTACTATTACGAGCTTTAACGTCTGTACTATAGCTAAGAATATAAATTAATTATTAATACTAATAATTAACAGAAGCCATAAAATCAATTCAGTGATTCATCAGTTAAGTACTTTTGATACTCCGTTGTGGAATGAGGCAGTTCATGGTCAGTGGTCGCCGGATCACGTATAAATTCGAACAAAATCAGACAGACGACTGTAACACCGCACTTCGTTAAGATAATCCAGAAAATTTACAGAAAACGAAAGAAACAACAGCTGCGAGCCTGCGACAACCGATGATGCAGTTTGATTTGACTACCGAAGTTATCAATGCCAAACACGTTCCGTCATGTTGATACAGATACCCGTACGGCCGTACCCACTGAAGGCTGCGTGTAGTCCCGATGACTGCGTAACTATCGCCACTCAATATTCTGGCTTCCAGTCTCATAGGGATCTCTGGAAACAAATACTTAATTAAGGTGAATGTTTGTCTGGAAAGTCCGAAAGTGGCAGCGTACTTTTGTTTGAGTCAGGAAACTACGAAAACAAAATAAAAGAACCGTTTCAAAATCTCCAAAACATGAGTAGTAGATGTCGATAGAAATGCATTTCCGTTTCACCATTGACGAACTGCAAGGCGTAACGAACGAAGCCTTCTCTGTGAGAAACTGCTGCAAGCTGGGAAAAGGATTCCAGCTGCAGGGGTCTATACTACTGCAAATTAAAAATAAAACGAAGGCGCAAAATGATACGTGGTTTGCGGGCATGGCAGCCAATCAGCGCTTGCAGGGTACAGGCAACCAGTTTAACCCGTCCCGCCTGACTAATCCATATTCCACTGATCTTCCGGCATGCTGACAACATTTATGCGGAATGTAAACGGGCTCCTTCAATAATTTTGGAAACCCCGACAAACTGGCTTTACATTGGGTTTAGAGTTTTCGTTGCACAATCCAAAGAACTTGGAATTCATGTTATAAAATCTCTTGTTTCTTTATGTTTGCTTCTTGATCGCGTTTCTCAGTTCGTCTTTTACTTGTGCGACTTATCGCCTTATTGATCAGGTGCGTACTGGGTTAATTTATGGTTATATAATAATTATGATCTTAAATTACATACATCAAATAAATTTTGTGTTTGAAATTGCAGCATGGCCGATCAGTTAAAGAGCTCTACCGATGAAAAACCCAAGCCCAATACCCCTTCAGAGCGCCTCCAGCAGCTGCAGAAGCTGCAGGATCAAGTGCGCATAGGCGGTAAGGGTACGGCACGGCGCAAGAAGAAGGTGATGCATCATCCGGTCGTCAAGGACGATAAGCAGCTAATCAACACCCTGAAGAAACTGGGCGCCAATCCCATCCCGGGTATTGAGGAAGTTAATCTGTTTAAGGACAACAACACGGTGACGGTGATTAAGAATCCTAAGGTGCAGACAGCGCTGGCCTGCAATACATTCTCCGTGGCGGGCACCGCGGTGGAGAAGCCCGCCAGTGAAGTGGTCCCCAGCTTCAACGTCAACAGCATGCATCCAGATAATCTGATGCAGTTGCGTAATCTGGGCAACCTGCTGAATCGGGCCCGTCAGGAGGGCAAGATGGGCGGCGGAGCCAGTGCGCCGACGGCCAATGATGACGATGTGCCCGTGCCGCAGGAGAATTTTGATCAGAATGCCTGAACCGGAGTCTGACGGCTTGCAGCAAATGGCTGGCAACATTCGTGGTGTATGCGATTTTTTTACGTAAAAAAACACCTAACTAATGTTGCTCTGGGTCTAATGCGTTGCGGTTACTTTCATGTTGGATAATGAATGCTGGAGAAGATTGCGTCTCCGTTTGGATTAATAATACGCTTTTGACACTTCTTTGTAAGTCGGTGATGTCAATAAACTTTCAGTAAATTCGTACGTGGACGCTTTTGCCTCATATGATTTCCTGGTTTTTCTCATTTTTTGATAGTTGATACATTTTCATTTTTCAGTAACGCAGTTCAGTTTACAGTGTTACAATATCATTTGAGAAAACACTGATGTTCCAAAAATTCAGGTGAGGTTTTAGATTTCGAATAGAATTTCAATGGGGTTTTAATAACGTTTAAATTAATAGGGTTTCAATTTAAAGGTTAATAATAAAAATACAGTAAGCAGCCAATACTAATACACTGAGCCATTCATAGTGACTTTCATACAATAGCGGATCGACAAAAGTAGCACGCCGGCGACCGGACGGGCAAGTCTTGCGTCAGAACGGGGTAGTCGGATGCAGAATTCTTTTCCTAAAGTATGATTAAATCATAACTGTTACTTTGCAATTTGCATTAGACAATTTACGCTCGCATTAGACAAAGGTTCGGAGATACAGTCAATTGGAATTGAACTGAGTGTCGACTGGTCAATCTTCTTTTAAAGAGCTTCTTTCGAAATTTAAGCCGCTCACATACATAACCCTTTTAGTGTTCTTTTAAGTATTTGTACAAGCGCATGTTTACAGCAATAATTTGCTTAGCAGTAAATTTATCTACGAAATGACCACAGCCGTTTGAACTAATTGTAAAGCAAACCCGAATTTGTTGTTGGTCAAAGCTGTACACAACTGACCGCTGGATCGCACAGGGAGAAGCAGGTACATAGTGAGTGGCACAGGGCATGGGGTCGTAGTCTAGGCGTAGGGGAGTTCGGTAGGGGAGTACAGTACCAGAAACAGGAGGGGGAGGCTGCCTTCACTGCTTCACCAGTCAAAAATTTCAAAATGTTTTATTTTGAAATCCAAATTTGAATGCTTTGTGATTTTATTAACGTTTAAAAGTTGCTCTGTGCGACCATCAGCATGAAATTTCGTTAGTTTTTTCATTATTCTTTCGTTACATTTGGAACATGCCTTTTCGTTAACTACATATTTTGAGTTAAAGTCTTACAGACAAACTTACTATACCAGAATAGCATATGCAAGGATTTATGCCATCTGTCAATCTGTTACTGTTACGAACAGCAAACTGTCACGCACTTTTGACTTTCTGAAGCCTCTTTCGAAGCCCTGATTTCTACTTCACAATGGTAAGGTGCGCTCTGGAGCATTGCGTGGTTCGCTGCATATCTGCGTTGCAATATTGTCCCGCATTTCTCAAACGCCGTATTCAGTACTGTAATTGACAGCCGTGTACGATTGTTTCAGTTTGTTCTTTATATTTTGCAGTTGGTGTTGGTCATTGGAGATTTTCACATTCCCTTCCGATCATCGGGACTTCCGGGACAGTTTAAGAAATTACTCGTACCGGGGAAAATTCAGCATATTATCTGCACCGGAAATTTGTGCACGAAAGAGACGCTGGATTATTTGCGCAGTCTTGCTGGAGATGTTCACGTGGTGCGCGGGGACTTCGATGAGGTGAACCGTAAACTTGGGTTAGCCTAGAATTATTAAGAAAAACTAAAAAGTGTTTATTAGAAACAGCGCTTTCCGTACGTCGGGATACTAGCAGCATTGGAATTTAGGTAGATTCTCAAGCATAATATTATTGTGCAGTTTCTAATTTTACTTGTTATTTGCTCATGCCTTTTCATACAGTTTACTTTCAAGTTGGCTAATCTGCAATGATTTCTGTATATTTTTATTATTTTGTTTTCTGCATAGATCAGGGTTATCATGCTAAATTCGCTAAACTGATTATAGTTATAGAATATTTTTTGTCCTGAGAAATTTCTTGAATGGGGCATTTGTGAAATATTTCTTGCATTCAGTATTATCATTTTGTCTTTAATTATTTTAATTTAATGGTAAACGTATATAATATGCTGTATATCCTATATAGTTACTGTTAATACTTTCTTACGGTACTTTGAAGACGGTACGGTACCTTTGATATGCTTAAAATTTAACGGCTTTCGGAATCTGATTATCTGCATCGACTGCTTGGTACCTGTCATTTACCGTTCGAAATTTCCTGATGAATTATTAAATTTTAAAATGTAGTGACGTAACGTTGTGACATTCTAGCAAACAGATTGGTTTAAAATTTTTGAATGCTGATGCTTGCTTGTAGGGAATTATGGCATTTTACCTTTGTTTTCGTTTCTACCTGTACAAATTTCCGGTTTGAGCGTAAAACTGTGGAGAGTGGGTAACTGTAGAAGGATCACCGGTTGGTTAATTGTTTGTTTCAGGGTCTAAATTATCCCGAGCAAAAGGTTGTTACCGTCGGCCAGTTCCGAATTGGAGTATGCCATGGACACCAAATCATTCCTTGGGGTGATATGGAGAGCCTGGGTAGTTTACAGCGTCAGCTGGATGTTGACGTCCTGATAACTGGGCATACTCACCATTTCGAGAGTTTTAACCGCGATGGGAAACTGTTTCTAAATCCCGGTACGGCAACCGGAGCGTGGACCGGTTTGAAAGCGTAAGTCAACTTAGTGAAGTATTTCTTTAAGTTAAAGCATTGCTTTCTTACTATTGCAAAAGTTTACATATATGATATGAGTAGAAAAATACACAGATGGCGTGCACACCTGTCTGTACGGATAACACTTTTTTGCATACCTCTGAATAGCTTTTGAAAGTTATTTTAGTTAGTATCTTTGTTCGTTTTAGGGAAGTTAATCCGTCATTCGTGCTCCTTGACATTCAGTCGGCAACTATCGTGATATATATCTACCAGCTCATCGGCGATGAAGTAAAGGTAGAAAGAGAGGAATTCCGGAAAGCAGTGTGATTTTTTATTACAATTGAAGTTTAATGATTTTTTTGCACCAGTTTAATCGTGATTGGCAATCACTGATTGCCATTAAAACATTTGTACGTTTCTCCAGATTCCTATTAAATTTTGGTAATTGTGCATTGTTTTATTTTTACTTAATTTATTTAATTTTTTTTGTTAAATGTTCCGATGTTTTACGTAATGAAAACGCTTCCGCTCCAAGAGTTAGAAAACTTACTTTAACGTTACTGTGGACCAATTGCGCGTGTGGTGCTTTTCCTTGGCAGATCATCATAATTATAGCAGAACCCTTTTAAATGTCAAAAATGCAGTATGCATTATATTGTTCTCTCTTAACACGGCCACCTAAACCCGTTATCGAAATTCATTTTAATTAACATCGTGTACGCGTCGTATGATGCAGAAAAAAATCACGTTTGATAGTCAAGTTATAATCAGTAGAAAAACCTGCTAATAACAAACAGTCACTCTAGAACCGCAGCCGATCCAGCTTTACTTTGGGCGTAACATCACTGGAATCTTCGTTATCTCCACGATGTTCGCGCGCTGTATTCAGTTCCGCATTTTTCTTGGATACTTCGTCGAGTTTGTCTGACATTTCATCGGACACGGTGAACAGCGCTTCATAATCAGCTGTCCCGGTGTCAAAATCAATTCTGGCAAAGCGTTTTTCGATTTCCCGCTTTACTTCCTCCATGTCTTGATCGGGTTTGATAAAGCTGGTCTGTGGTTGTTGTTGCTGCTGCTGTTGGCGCCGTTTGCGAGATAAAAGCGAGGTGGAAGAGAAGGCCATCGATGACTGTGGGCGGGGCATGTCGGGAATAGCGTCTAGCCCTCCCGACAGAGAACGGGCCGTAGCTGGAGCAAATCCCAAGGATGATTGCGAGCGCGGAGGTGCGCCGCCTTGATCGCTGAACATCAGCTGTGAATCATCCCGCGAAAGGCTCCTTGCGGAGAAACCATTGAGGCCACCTCCGGTTAGCCCGCGAATCACAGTCTTTCGGTCAAAGTAGGTTTCCAGGTTTTTATACATTGAGCGGGTAAGGGGATCCTGTGCAAGAATTCGAGAAATCCATCAGTGAATATTACTCACAAGTGAATAGTGAATATCCATACATCGAAGTGACCCGACTGTGAACCTAATGTGCTGTTTAGTATGGCTCCGTATAAATTTCGGACACATGTCCTCTTTTCGGACATAATGTAAAACATTGAATCCTTACCAGTAGAAATCAAGCCTATGGGGCTCAGCATCCTTCTCATACTTCGTACACAAACCGAATTATCGGCTCCGCGCCTCAAAATGATTGCATAGTGTGTGCGTATTAAAAATTTTAAGTAATTTTTAGAGTACATAATATAATGATTATGACATACTGAAAAAGAGAGGGTAGAGTTCGGAGTCACGGGCAGAAACGCAGGATTTTCTGTGGAATAACATTCCATGCCGCCTAGTTTTCAAACTGCTTGGTGTACTATGTTACCACTCCATCAGTATACCACCAACCTGTAGGAAAAGCAGCTTTTTTGAACTATCCTGTGGCTCGTCCTCATCTTCTTCCACATAATTAGGCGAAACACTGCGATATCTCCGCGTATTCCGCGGTGACTCTCGCACGTGAAGAACCTCATACCTTTCGCTTAGCGATGAATCAAATAAGCGTTCTTTGAACGCCTGCCAGGCGTATGATACAGGCGTGAACATTTCCCCATACTGATTATACCGTGACACCATTGTCGTATCATTATGAATGGACGCATCATAGTATGGCGTGTTGTTAAACCCACCGCCGCGTCCGGCTGCTGACCTTCCCGGTCCCACACTGCGCGATCGCTGCCGGTAATCCTGTCGTTTGTGGCGAGCGGATGTACTGCGCAGTGAATTAACACTCTCCATACTGGCGAAGGCCGAATCGGCATCCTTCGGTCGCCGTGACCCCGCTGAATCATTCTTCCGCGAGCGATGCGTGGATGCCGAAGAAAATGACCGCAACGATGTCCGAAAACTATTGGCCACATCTTCCGGTGCGGCCAGCGGGGAAACTTGGAAGGCGCTCATAATCGACGGGAAAGTATTAATGTGTCAACAGACAATTATCATAGAATTCCACGACAAGATGTATGCGTCCGTGAATTTCATCTGCACAACGCTGTTAAGGACGTAAATAACGTTGACACACCGTTGCCCATGCAAGGTGTACCGGAAGCGTGCATTAAGCACACCTATTCACGGACAGGTGCCAAAACGCTTTCGATCGCCCTGCATAATCAAACGGAAACGATCGATTCCCATCAGTTACTCCGTCGTAATTCTGTCGTATCCTTTTCCCAAAGTAACTGCAATTTTCTCCGAACGTTCTGAAGACAGGTAAGCATGTCTGGAGTTCAACGCTCAAGCGGCGAAGATCAGGCGAAAAAAAGAATAAATCTATGCTAAGAAAGGTACGTCGCAAGGATGTCTTGTGAATCAGCAATTTATCAACGGGAAACACACAGAAAAACAATTCGCGTATCGCCGAAGTACAAACTAGTGAAGGAAGACAATATTTATAAATACAACCGAATCAATTCATCGCTCACAGCGGACGGAGTTAAAATACCCAAATCAGTGAAAAGGAGGGTAATATAACTAGGAGGAGTGTAATCGGAATATGGGTGCTCCTTGCTCAGATCTTCTTTGTGGCGCAACAATGTCGCTTGGGTGTACTGCGGCAAAAAAATCAAATTACTTACTTGTTATTAACATGACAACATTAAGAACATTAAGAAACATTCGTACAGTATAAATCCAGCAGACAGCGCAGTCGATGGCAAACAATACTGCCTGATCAAACTATTCGTACCTTAAAATGATTGGGAACATCGCGCTGATTGAGCGGGAATAATCTGACAAACTTAAAGCTCTCCGACAGAACGAACACCGGTTTGTTGTGTTCCTTGGCCGCAATGGCCACCGTGAAAGATCCGATCTGCAAAGCAGTACGTACGATGACTGACTCACTTTAAGTATAAATCAAATGCAGGCGCGAAAGTACTTTATTGATGATTCCGCCGCTTTCCACCACTCCTTCCGCACCAAGGATCACCAGATCGACTTTCTCCATGATATAACCCACCGCCGCGTCCAGTATTACAGTGGAAGGTATGCCGCACTCTGTCATGGCTTCGTGCATTTTAACGCCAGACTTGTCGGGATTGGCTTCCGTCACGTACACATGAAAGCGCTTTCGGTGCTTGAAAGCTTCCTTCAGCGCTTGCAGTACCACACGAGATTTGGAATGCACCAAGATTGTCTGTAAAAAAAACCGCTTGGTAAATCTGACAAAAAGGGGTAACCACAGACCATCAATTAATTACCGTCTGTCTCTCCCGAAACGTATAAGCATGTATAGAACTAGTAAGCCTCGTAATAATAATACGCAGGTAACAGGTTCCCTTTAAACTTTATTAACTACTCACCTCAGCAGCATTCTTAAAACTCGTGTTTAACAAGAAGCGCATTTTATTCTTTAAAATTAAACTGAGAGAGAGCTTCACAGCAATACAATCTTCGATATTCCACAATCCACATTATGCGATACTATGCCACACCTAACCGTTCTTATTGATAAAATGTAATAAAAAGTGCAATCACTGCGATGGCGTTACTTAATATCGGTACAGTGTACACAGTACACTGTATTTTCATGCCATATGCAATTTAAAAAAACCGAAGCCCGTGAAGTAATTAATCGTACTTAATTAGAAAGTAATACTCGTAGGAGAACGGTCATACGACTCATACCCAATATGTACCACTGTACGTACGTACACAAGGTACACCGGATGGTAAAAACGATGTCCATTTCAAAAATGCTTTAGAGCAGCAATCATATAAAATAAATAACTCACCGCGCCGTCCTGAATAAACGGATGGAAATATTTGGCAATTTTATCACGAGATCCTGCCACGTTCCGTAGGAAAATGTTCCCGCGCTCAATCAGTACCTCCTTACACTCGTCAAAATTCTACAGAATGAACAACAATTTAAGAACTGTAAATGCCGTCAGATATTATTGCAACTTTTTTACTATTAAAATTTCCGCGATCTGAATGTATAAGATACGCTGACTGAATTTCATGATAAGTACAGGTTTTGTGTCTGCCAGCAATCAAAATTACCCCAAAATAAAGCAAAGTCTGCATACTAAGCCCAGTTTTACCGAGTGGTCCAAGGCAGCCAAAGTGATAAATCTGAGAAACAATTCACATCCAGACGATATGGAGGTTCCCGTAATATAACTGTCGGCTGCGCATAGTCGTTCTATCGCATCCTTAAGATTCTTTCGCAGTTCCACCATAGTTTCAGCTGCAGCCCATAACGTAAAACATCAGCCAAATGACAAAGCACACATCTGATGCAATAGTCAGTACAAATAACCACTGTGCGCTACTTGGTTTCTGCCATACTCGTACCTGAATTGAGCTTGAGAAACTCGATCAAAGTCTGGATGGCCGCCACAGCTGGCGACAAATCGGGATTGTCTTTCATCGTGCTTAAGAAATACCTCTGAATTTCTGCAAGTTGAAGTAAAAGTTGAGCATAACAAGTAACGCAAATCGTGGACGACGGGAAATAAACATTACCAGACTTATCCATCTTGAGTCAGCTGCGATTAAGAAATCGAAGTCAGCCTCCCAGACACTTCAGTTTTCTCTCACGCGTTAATGATTTTCAATCGGAAAAACAGTTGTAAATAAAAGCAAACGAACAATCCGGGTGCAAGAAATTCTTATTAATGATCAAACCTGTAACGCAAACCACGATAAATAACTGTAGATGCAATATTTCCCAACGAAACGAAATGATTCTGTAAAGACTTAGCAAGCCATGGACTTAGTAACTTAAGTACTTATAACTTCATGCAAATGCACCTACACTAGTATGCGCCACTATAAACAATCAGCAAGCACAATACTAGTACTCGTATGTTCATGTGCCGGTGGCTGCGGCGTTTAACAGTGCACTACTGCAGCCGGTGATTTGTATTTTACAGTGATTTTGGACCATCAAAAATATCAGATCTTTAATAATTTGTTGACATTCATGCTTGCAAACATGTTGTGAATTCGGAGTAAACGGCACCGGCTGTAAGCAGATGTTTTGTTGCAGTTACGGTGGCTACAAGCCATTCTGATTTATTATTTATAACTGTTTATTGGCGGCTATTCATATTCTGTTTATTATGCATAACCCGTACCGGCCGGCGGCCACACTTCATAAGCAGCCCAACCAGTAAGTACTAGTACTTCTAGTTCATATCAATCCATTTTTTACGCATTCAGCGTTGTAATCGGTTACTATAACATTGAAAACAACATAAATTCCTTTGTCCGAAAGGTGAAAAAACCAAGGCCCCAAAGGGGCGGGAGATCTTCAATAGTGGCTACTGGCTAGTCACACCTGCTGGAAAGGAAATGGAGAGAAGGTGCACCTTAAACCAACCTCGTGCGTTTATAATAATATTATGATTCCCAATCATCAATTGTTGACTGCTCTTGAGCTTTCGCACCCCATGTGACAGCCTGTGCAAGATCCACTGATTGGTTTTCATTATCCTTGCTCGTTGCCAATCTTTCTCCTGTCAAAGAACAACAACTGCGCAAAGCAAGCAAAATTAAGAAATGCACACTATTGAGATTTTAGAATATCTTTTCAACAAAAGAAACGTACTCGTAAAACAAATTTCATAATTTGACCAATGCATGAATCGCTTCGTGAAAAATCAATGCTAGTATCGCTCCTATTCTAAAATACCTACACCGCTTACAATTCGATATTCAATTGACCTTATTATTCATATGCATAATTGACATCACAGTGTTTCTTTCATTTTAAAAAGTATTGTACAAGATATCATCCTACAACGCACGTATTAACTCCGCGATTGCGCGTTGTGTTCTTCTTTCCAGCTTTTCCAAACTTTTCGCAACATCACGCTTCAAATCCCAATCGGGTTTCCTAGGTGCCAGATTCAGGAGTTGCTAAAAAAAGCAAGGAAGGGCGTAAACCTGCAACAGCACTGAACCACTACGCAGAAGTACGACATACAACTGCATAAATTCCTGACGGTAGAAAAGACAGCAATTGCTTTCGCGAAAGATTTTCGAGTCTGGCTACAAAAGTGGTTTACATTTGCTTAAAAAAAGAAAAGAACAGCGGCCCCCGTCAACAATAGTATTCATTAAAAATTGATCAAAACAAGCATGCGTGTAACGGTGTACACTGTACAGTGAACGCAACGCTGGAATATGATCACAAGTTCAAAACCCAATCATGTATACCGGAGATTTAAAGGTTTAAACAGCCCATTTCAAACACTCATATCGCCGGGGTAAATTCGCGAGGTGCAAGCAATCCTTACCACATCGTCGACGTTCTGAGATTTTTCTCCTTCTCCACCTATTCCAATATTCTCCGATAGCCCTCCATCAGCAGCTGCCTCCAACTGATCGCGTACTAGTGCGTTTACTGCAACACATAATAACCAAATGAAATCCAAATGAGTTGAGGCTTTCCAAAAAATCACTCTCGTCTCACAAAACCCAAATTAGGTATTTTTCTATGTTATGCGCCATGAGTAGATGACGAAAATGATTCAAAGCCGAAGTATAATGATATTAGACTATTAGTAATCAAACTCAAATAGCGAATACTAATCTAATGCACTGCGCACTGTGCGCACTAATCCACTTACTAGTAACTAAACTCCTTAAAATACATACAACTTTTCTTATTGTTAACGCAAACACAGCTATCATCAGCTAAATGCTATTCATTTCGTTCTAAAATTTAATTCGTATTTAAAAAATTTTGCAAACTTTTATTAATAGAAGTATCATTTACGTTAGTCTATCCGTGCATTGTACTGTACATCGTACATACCATCAACAGGTACAGCCTTCGGCAGAACCGCGCCTTGAAGCTCTTCGCTTTTTGGGTTATAACTCCGAAACTTTGGCCTAAGCAAAAAACGACAAAAGTCCAAAGGTCGTACAATTTCACCGAACGCTAAAAACACAATGCCTGGAGAATTAAAGATAAAAACACAAATACCACCTCCGATTAACAAAATACCTTAATAGAGTTAATAGTAAATACCTTCAAATTTCGACTCGCTGGTATAAATGTAACTCATCTTAGTTATGATTAATGATTTGCATAAATCGCTTGTTATGTATTTCAGTGGAAATGCGTTATCGTCCATAACTGGCTTACGAATAGAGCTACCAGCTAACGATGTAAAGAGAATTCGACTCACTTTGGAAGAACAGGAGCTTCTGCCTCGTCGGCAGGCCTTTTTGAGCGGGGAGAACCAGGTATAGCTTCAGTGCAATCGGACGCTTCGTCCATCGTTTGTTTTCTCATCGCTTTCAGACGTTCCCGTCGTTTCTGAGCCTCATCTTCCAAACTTCCCACACTGTCTGCCATACTCACAGAATCGCAACCGGCAATTAAGAAGGTCCAATGTGCCAAAAGCTGAAGCTCTTGATAACACGAGTTCGTCCAATAATAACCGTCTACACTCTACAGTCTACACTCGTCTAAACTCTACACTCTACAGAGTCTACACGACACTACTCGTGCGGAATTCAGTGTTTACGAACGACAAAAGATGTCTCCAGCTCCACAATCAAACCAGCAGAACGATCGCTAACTGCTCAAAAACAGGTTCAGAATCTTTAGAGTTTATTTAAAAGTTAGAGTCTACTCAGTTTAGGCAGGCACAAAATGTTAAACATAAGGAATGCAAAATTGCTAATCCACACTCGTCGAGCTTGCAAAAAGTTTGGAAGCTGGAAGGTGTCAAAACAAGCTTGAAACCGCCACCCGGACCAATCACTTTTGTTTCGGGGTCAAACAATCAATTTATAATAATCAATTTTATTTCGAGATTTACTTTCGCGGGAAAACTTTTGCACTTGCCCTTTGCAATGAAGAGAGACAATTTTCTAGAGCATCGAAAACTCCAGATTCAAAATGAACTGGATACTGGGTAGTTCTTACTATTACAATTAGTAATTACAGACTTATACAGTACTGTAACTTCAGTATCTCTAGGCGACAATCTCATGATGGTTTCTGATGCGTTATTCTCCCAAAGCACAAACACGCGTCAAATACTCGTACATCGTTATACACATTTCCTTATGCCAGGTGTGCACTTTAAGTTTTCTCGAGATCGCAGATGCGTATTGTCCGTTCCAAAAGGTGAAAAACAACAACACAAATTATTAACCATTAAAAATACTCACAATTAAGTTATTGTACTAATAAAAACGTCAGCTGACACACAAACAGTCCTCGCGGTATTTACAGGACAACATTTACTTCAATATCACATCGTCCAGTGGTATTCAGTTTCACTTTGATTTTGCAGCCTGTGCGTACGACTTGCTTCCACTGCTCTTTGAGTTCGAGGGCGAAGATTTGGCTGCTTGAGCATAAGACTGTTTACCCGTATCACTCTTGGTCTGGGGCAAATTTTTCTTGTAGTCATCATCCTTTTTGGCCTTTCCATCCACAGCCGAGGTGGCACGCGCTGGTTTGCCTCCTTCACTCGAACCGGCAATTCTGGGTTTACCCTTGAAGATGCTGAGCAACAACAGGAGAATATTCACCACGTAGGTAGCAATGCACACTGGACACCATTCTTTCAAGTTGAAGACCAAATGGTAGGCCAAATAACATGAAACCAAGCACGAAATGAAGGCCAGATTCAATTGTACCAAGGAGGCTTTAGCGTTCCGTGCGTAACCTACAAAATTAAAAAAGTGCTCAGCGGTTACTTACTTCTAAACTCGAAAAAAAAGATAAAACCAGCAACCGCAAACTACAAACTGGTCAAAAGCAGGCATGTAGGTTCTACTTCTAAAAAAAATTATTTACGGTGATTACGTACCTAAGCAAGCCATCAATGCGTAGAACATAATCCCATACAAAGTATTTGGTTGATTCAGCATGTGGCTCTCGCCGAAAACCGATCCCAAAAATCCAAAACCCATGCCGTATCTGCAAGCAACAGCTTAATTCAACCAAGACCAAAAACTACTCTGCTAAACACAAATACAAATTAATAAATACAAATTACTCTGCTAGCTAGCTGTTTGCCAATTCAGCGCGTGAACATCGTTCGTATATTTTTGAAGCTGAAAAGCATAATTAAGACGTTCAGCTCAAGCACCTTGATGACAACGCTTTGCTGCACCGAACTTCTTTATTGAAATCGCACAGAGGTTTAAAGCTGGGATCTTGATGCAACCGGATCTCCACGTAATATCCATATGCAGAAATCCCGAGCCCGATTAGACTAACGACAACAGTCAGGTGACGAAGCCATCGCCGGTCTCCCACAATCTTTGGTTTCTGTTTGGAAGCCATAATTCTGTATTTATTCTTTCCCTTCTGAAAGAATGCCGATCAAAGTTACAACCACACTATACTGTATATTTGAGGTATAAGCAATCCTTTTTTAACAGAAAGATTCTGATGATAAGGAGCACAGATGAACTCCATTTTCAGTTGACTTACAAGTACAAAAGGAAGATTTCCGCGGCAAAATGTTACCGTGTGACGCGAGATTTACAAACGCGCTCTTGAAGTTGAATCAATAAAACAGAAATAATGGCTGATCACGAATATATTTTTGTACAAAGCGAGTGTGATCAGATTTGCCGAAGAAAGAGCGTCTTATTATGCCATGGGAATCCTTCTTTGAAATGTGATCGGGAATCTGATCAAATGCCAAACGAGGAATTTTTTGTCAATCTTTTTCGTCTTCCAACTCAATCAATGAATGACTCACGACGGAGGCGGAGTCTACCGGCGTGTCGGGCGCGAGATCGTAAGATTATGACCATACTACTAGAACATTTCTGAAAATAAAAAGTACTTAAAAACCGAAAAAACGTCGTTAAAAAAACATAAAAGTTTATACCTATCACCTATGTCCTATGTATTTAACATTTCAATGCTGTCCGCAATAAGAAGAAATATAAATTTTGTTCGAACTGAACGGCTGTGATTTCCTGTTGATCCTCATTCACGGGGGCGAGACGGCCAAAAATGGTGGCGGTTCCCCTGGATCTCCAAAATTTTGAATGTCTGTTGAAGAATCACGACAGCTTCCTCTTCGATTGCGATGGTACGAACATGGGATACGACGTGATTTGCAGTGCAGTGCTTATTTAGAAACAACCCATCTGTCTGTTTATGTCCTTTATTTGCGTATTGGCAAATGTTGTAATGGTCGCTTGAAAACTAAAATCGGTAGTCAGAGTAGTACTGTTACTTGCGTAAGCACTTTTCTACAACTTCTCATGGATTTCAGGTGTTCTGTGGCATGGAAATACCTTGATTCCCGGTGCTGCCGAGGCGCTGTCGCTTTTGAAAGCTAAGGTGAGAAGTTTGAAATTTATAAGACGTTGCGCGGCTTATTTGCGTCGCACCGCTTAATTAAACGTGAAGCGATACATTTTTCCTAAAAGATCGTATAGCCGGTGAGTCGGTGACCATCACGCGTTGAGCTGATGATTTAATGACACAAGATTTTTTAACAGGGCAAGCAAGTGTTCTACGTCACAAACAACAGTACTTCCACCAGGGAGCAGTATGCCGAAAAGTGCCGGAAACTCGGTTTACCAGCCGAAAAGGTAAATTTTGCATCCCTGCAAATTCAAATTTATGACATTACTGTACCGTCGAGGTGTAGGGTGATACCCATACCGTGTACAAACTATCGCAACCGAAATGCTCTTCAGATTTATGAACAGGAAATAATTTATCATGCTGCAATAGTTTTGCGTGTGATAATCGTGGCAACAGAAAAAATCACAGTTGGCTTTATTTTTTGCAGAAGGAGATAGTCTGTACGGCTCATTCCGCGGCACTGTACCTTCAAGACTTGCTACGCCCAACATTCACATGCCGTCCGAAAGTTTACCTTGTTGGATGCGTTTCCATTGCGGATGAACTTAATGCAGTTGGGATTGATTCCGTTGGACTGGGGGTACATTTGCTCACTCGCTATGTAGTGTGTATATTCAGTTAATCAAGAAAGCTTAGGAATATTGTACATACCAAAACGCTTGCAAACTGTAAGCGTAACCAAAAGAGTTAACCTGCTGAGCGATTACTGCTATGAATTGATGAGTAAAGGAGATCTAGACTGAATGCAAAGTTGCAGAAATTACTGAAATTATTTCCAATACCGTCAGTGTTACCTATCTGAGCTAATATACACTGGAATATTAAATGCAGAATGAAGTATAACTGAAGTATAACAAAATAACGAAGTAAGTACTGTACTATATGCGGTATAGGTAATTGAATTGTGCATGCACAAGTCGGAAGTGATGTTTTTTTTCCAGCCCGATCCAGTTGGCGAAAACTTCACGCAGGATAAATGGCGCTCTGTGGAGTTGGAGGACGACATTGACGCAGTGGTTGTGGGATTTGATCCTCACATCAGTTTTATCAAGATCCTCAAAGCTGCCAGCTATCTGAAGAAGCCTCTGGTCCATTTCGTGGCTACCAACACCGACCAGTCTTTCCCTACTACATCCAGCCGCATTGTCGTGCCCGGCACGGGATGCGTAGTAGCGCCGATTGCCATGGCGGCTGACCGGATTCCGACTGTGATGGGCAAACCGGAAACGTTGATGTTTGAGTATTTGCAAAAGGAATTTGAGTTGGATTCGGCGAAGTGTGTCTTCATCGGTGATCGCCTAAATACTGATATTTTGCTCGCTCATAAATGCGGGATGAAAAGTGTTATGGCATTAAGCGGTGTTTCTACGCTGGAGGAGGTCGAAAAATACCAAAACAGCTCTGATCCACAGGAAAAGCTGTTGGTGCCGCATTTTTTCATGAGTGATATTAATGTTTTAAAGGAACTTCTGGAACAGATCAATTAAAGGAAAACACTTGAAAACATGAATGGGATGGAGCTTGCGTTTTGTATATTCTGTTACAGAACTTTGTTAACTTGCGCATATTAAATGAAAACATCGTAATCTAGATAAATGCATATGTACTGTACTGTATTCCGTAAGTGTCACATTCAGTGACCAGTCGACGTTTCGAACTTCGAAACTTAAGTTTAAATGAATAAAATTAAGTTTAAACTATTTAAAATTTTTGAATAAATGTATTATAAACAGTAGCATTCATCTTTTTCCTCATTAACTGTATCGCTATTTGTTGCAAAACCAAATAGGGTTAGCACTGTACCTATTATTAATACGAAGTGGATGAAACGCACTGAATCTGCTGAATTTAATCGAAATTTAAGTATAAAACGGTCGATTTCGTTTAAACCAAGCAAATAAACAGGTAAGGCCCAAGGTAAACTAGAAGTATGTCTAAAACAAATGAAACTCAGAAACTGGAACTGATTTTACGAATTTTTAGGGTCAAACATATCCCAACTTGCTTAAAAAAACTGTACAAAATAGTACTTATTGAAACTTGGAAGCCTGATCGTTATCCCGTTCGGAACCTGATCAAGGATGGGAATCCGACGCTTTCTGGTTGCGATCCGTAGCGTGAGCTTCGTGTTCCTCTCGCTTTTCAGCTTTCTTCTGCTCATTTGTTTTGTGATGCTTGTGGTCCGTGTTGTCCGTAACCGCGTTGATTTCATCCACATCTTCCGGCTTTCCTTTGTTATCATGCTTTGCCAGCTTTTCAGCTTGTCGCTTGCTCTGGATTTTCTCGTCTGGAATGTTCATATCACCGGAGTCAGAGGACATGTTTCTGGTACGTTAATCCTGGTCAGTCAGCTAATTAAACAGTCAACTTCCAAACACAATAGTGACAAGACTGTAATAAGATTAAGTATAAAAGCACAAGTCCCAAACGTTCACGAATGACTGCAAACGGCGAAAAAGTTCTTAACTCAGAAGAAACTGAATAGTGGATGTGGCAGCAGCACTGAAATGAATATAAAATTATTATTGACTTAAATTGTCGAATGTCGATCGACCAATCCTTGTGTTTCGGAAAGTTCCCACCAGCGAACAGCTGATGCAGCCAAACATCTGCGGTCACAAACACAAACGCACCGGTAGTGATCTACTACATATTTTCAAGCGGGCACCTTTGTCACGATACCGTACTTTAAAGGAGTACGTATTATTGTTGCTCGTTAAATTTACATCAGTCAACTTTGGCATTTGTAGATATTACAGTACCTAAGTGAGTACTTTCTACTTACTGCTGTTAAATGTGGTATATGTGGTATATTTATATTTTCATTCTTCTGCTTTAATATGGCTAGTTGCTGCAATATTAATTTATCTTTAATAAATATTGTTGCATTATCCACACTTGATTTTTAAACAGTTACAACAGCGAACAAAAATGAAAAATACTCGCAAGAAGCCCTCACAATTCACATAGTAGTCACATCTCGTTAAATGGCAAGAGTCACATCACATCTCGTCAGCCGGCAAGAGCCATGAGCATTCAAATTTCACCAGGAAAAAATACAATAATGTCCGATACAATAATGTCCGATTCAAGAATCAAGATAGACCGTAAATGTAAGTAGTTTTCACTTTTCAGAATGGCTAATCGGATTCGAAAATGTTTTTGTCTTACTTGTTATAATCAGCACTTTACTTTGATCAGTTTGATGCTTTAGTACCCTATATATCTTGCTTTAGTTGTTTCGGTAAAGCACGGCGCGGCGATTTTTCGTATGCAATAGTATGTATGTACTGATAAGTGTCTGATAACTGAATGATATACATAATAATCAGTAAACGAACAAAGCATTTCTTATTACGGTTGAAGTAATTTCGGCACTGTAAAAAGCCTCGCACGTGCACATAAAACATGACGAAAAAGGTTTGTACTCGTACCAAAATGCCCAAAATGGCCATAATTTCAATTTTCAACTGCACTAATTCAAGCCGGATGACAAAATTTGACGCTGCTGTTGCAGATTGTGGGTTACTGCGGCACTCATCGTCTCTACATACTTACTTACTCCGATACTCGTGAGTTATGACTTACATTTAAGACTTTCTAATTTATAGTTTCTGTAATAAGTATACTAATATTGATCATGATCATGAGGTTTAATTTCCTTATTAATGTACTGTATGTAATTTCCTTAGTAATGTAGTTAATGTAATTTCCTTAGTAATGTATCTTATTGTTTTCTTAAGTATTACTGAGTAGCAACAAGTACTACCTACGGTAGGCTAACGGTGCAGTGCATAATAAGGGATTACTATTCGCATGCAGGAAGTCTTTTATATGCACCACGGTACAGCCACAGAAAACCGTAAGTTAAATGCAGCTTGAATTATCCCAGGATTTTCACACAAATTTACATACATCAAACTCTTAACGTCCGTGGAATATCACAATCGAACTTACTCATGTTCAATACAGCAGAACAAAGCAAAGAGCACACACAGGCACCGGTAAAATTAACAAAATAAAAACCTCCCTTCAACCTGCGGCTGCCCGCGTCCATCACGAAGAAGGCCTCTTTTTATCAACATCCACAACGGTGGACGACGAAGAGGGTGCTGGCAGCGGAGCTGTCGTCGGTTTAGGTCTGGCATCACTGGGCGGATCCACTTGAACACCAACCGACTCCATCTCTCTTCGAAAGTCCAGCCGAATGGGCGCCAACGGTTTGTACTCCGGAACTTTGACATTCTTGGGCTTCAGCGCCACACAAACACGTGTCAATTCACGAATCTGAGCATCTTGTTTTTCAATGGCCATTCCCAAATCCACAATACTGTTCTCCATTGCAAAGAGCCGTGCTTCGTGTGCGGCCTCCCTGGCTTGCTCTTTCCTGGAGGATCGAATGTAATCCGCAATCAAGCACAGCGCCGCAATGCTGAAAATTATCATTTCACCCAAGATCTGTGCGCCCTGCTCGATAGCCTGTTCCTCGTTGAGCTTTGCAACTTTTACGGGCTGGCCAAGATTGAGCATCCACATCTTGATTTTCACGTCCGCCCAATGATAAACTGCAAAGTCAGGAATAAAAAAAGTGTAATGCTGTAACAGACTATCGAATCTACTTATTATTAACCTTGCACGGGTTCAACTAGTCGTCAATAATTTTTATATTGCACTGTTGCAATCTGCTGCTTCGAACAGCCATGGGCCCATGCTTATATAAATTTTAACGCAAAGTTCAAAGAAAAGCCTTCGCAAAATTCTTGCAGCGTAAGCAGAACTACAGACCAATATTAAGAATTTCGTTAACAGATAAATTTTGTGCTTCCTAGTTCCTACACTGCTTCCTACACTGCAGTAAAGACATCTACATCAGTAGAGACACTTACACTGAGCAGGTGGCATGCAAATATAGGTTCTGAAGAAAGGACTGGCTTTCGCGCGCGTCTGAATGCCTTGTGCTATCGGTTTACTGATCTGACGAACTGCCAAGTAGGCCAGCTTGGCCAAGGGAAATGCAGCCGCAACCATCCTGAGAACACAGTGCTATCCAAGAGTATCTTCCGGGATATCCGTTCCACAGAGAATGAGAATGACGCAACCGTCAGGTGTTAGGCACCCACCGTGGAGGTCTTGGCAGGTGCTTAAGCGGAACCAATGATCCCACGTCTCGAAGCCATCATAACTGACCATAAGAAACGGGAGAATTCAGATATTACAGAGCTCCGAATTAAGCGCTCAATTATTAGCCCAGAGCGTCCCCACAAAGCAAAATGTTCTATAAAGATTTGGAACTGGCAAGTGAAAAGTCACAACCGTTCTTCAACAGCCTCACTGGTTGGAACAAACGGCGACTCCGTTGACACTGCGTATTTTTAAGAAAGATCACACACACCTAAGAGGTGCACTTCTCACTTCATGGTACGCTTGGTAGCATTTATATTATAGCAAACAGAAGCGGATTTAAAAAGAAAGATATTATGAATGATTTGAAAGAATTCCAAATATTCAAGCTCTCCAAAAGCAAACACGAAAAATCCAGGCAGCGGAAGCAACATTTTCGTCCTCGGGTAGTGTATGTCCATTTCTGTTGTAGGGCGGTTACGTGTTTAATAAGCGATGAATCACGTGGTACGGAAGACAAACTGGATAACAGAAAGAGGCGGGCTCAGCTGCAGAAGTTCAAGGGTGTGAGCGTTTTAGATTGTTTTCAAAATTTTGGACGTAATCCAACTTTTGATTAGAAATGAGCCTAATTTTTGATTTATTATTTATTACGTTGGATGTTAGTAATTTCTTCTGAATTTCGATAAACTATCTCGAGACGCCATTACGTAACTGCAGTATATTGCTTAGTATTCATTTATCGACACAGCAGCTGATTCCCATTTACGAATTCCCACGCTGCAGAGATCTCTGCGACCGAGATTCGAGTTCGCCCATTTTTGCCTTTACCCAAGTTTACTGAGTGAGCGCTCCATTCACCTGCGACGAGGTATGTTTATAATTTTTCTCTCGAAAAGAAAAAATGACCAAAAATTATAGCGATTTCGAGTAAGTGCGCGCCGTACGGCTTCACAAAAGACTGTTTCACTGTTTCTTGTTGCAGTCAGTGGTGTAAGCTGTTTTCTGGATGAAGTTTTTTAGTTGTTGGCAGTCTTGAATGGGTTGAGTGTGGTGGAAGGAAGTAAAACCTGGAATCTTTGTTGAATATATTTTAAGAATTGCGAACTGAAGTGCCACTTGTACATGGTTTCTAGGGAAATCCGTACAGTCGCACATGTGTTTCAGAATTTTGGCGTGTAACATTAGAAAGTTAGTGTCGTGACTGTCGTTCCTGTTGTTGCGTGTGCTCGCTGTAATATTTGTATGCCTTATCATTATGGACAGGAAAAACTGGATGTCCGTCCTGTGCAGGCTGCGTATAACTCAGTCCGAGGGAAGTGCCAGCATCTGACGTTGCTGTATCGCGGGGGGTCTCTATTTTAGTTTCTGATTGTGAGTTTGCTCACCCACCCCCAAAATGTCGCTGCTCTCGAAGTGTGGCATAAGGATTGGCCGTCCAGCAGCAAACTTTGGCGAACTATTAAAAAATGTAAGGCTTTGCTTGAGTTTGTACTTTGCAGTTAGAATATCTGTCCTGACTGTACAAATACTGGTAACATAAATTTCGTTTATCAAGCCGAAGCGTAATTAAACGACTAAGTTGTAAAACCGGATGTTTTTAGAGCTTTCCAGCGCTTGGATTTGCTGCACAGCAAGTCCGAAACCTCGCCGTACATGAATATATCTCGATGAAGATCCTTCAGGATGCAGGAGTGCCTGTACCAAAATTCGAAGTAGCTGATACTCCCAAAGCTGCTCGGTCTGCTGCAGAAAAAATAGGTTTGTGAATTTTATTGCCATATTGTTATGTATATGATTGAATTGTGCTCTATGTGTTGCATTGTTCAGGAAAGAGTGCATAAGTTTTATTTTGTTTATATTTAAATGGAGCGATGTTATGGGGGAAAAATTTTATTGAGTCTGCATTGGGGTAGGAAGCAAAGACTTGGTGATCAAAGCACAAGTTTTGGCCGGTGGGCGAGGGAAAGGATACTTCGATTCGGGCTTGCGAGCTGGTGTCAAGATGGTGTTCTCGTAAGTTGACGATTGTGATCTTATTTTTGAAACATGTTAGTTTGCATTTGGAAGACGTTTTTGTGTTCAGACCCGAGGAAGTGGAGCAAGTAGCGGAAAAGATGATTGGATATAAACTGATTACTAAACAGACGGGCGAACAGGGACGGATATGCAACCAAGTGATGATTAGCCAGCGTTTATTTACGCGACGAGAGTTTTATTTTGCGGTTGTTATGGATCGAGCTACTCAGGTAAACTGCAATGGCAGTATGTTAAACAATTCAGTCTGAGAATATTTTTATAGCAGAAGCGTAGTTTCAGCAAATAATGACATCAGTTGTTTAAAATTTTTGAAACCTTTTTTTAGAAATCATTTTGCGTCTCGGGGTGTTGTTTTGGTCTTCTGTTATTCGTAAATTTCGACAATTAAGTAATTGTAGTTTTGTGCATGAATTTCATTTGTTGTTAATGCCACAGTTTGTGGCTGTCATTGGCGTTATTCTTTTTCTCTGACCATTGACCAGCGATGTTGCCGTCTTCCAGAACGTATTCAGTTTTCGAGATGGAACAACATAGTTTGCATTTACAGGGCCCAGCATTTATCGCGAGCTCACATGGTGGAGTAAATATCGAAGAAGTTGCCCGTGATTATCCGGATGCCATTAAAACCTTTCCCATCAATATTGAAAAGGACCTTACTACAGCAGATTGCCTTGAATTCGCAAAATCGGTTGGATTTGACGATTTATCCGAAGAAGCTGCGAAGATTATGATGAAATTGTATCGAATATTTCTCGACAAGGACGCTACAACGGTTTGTTGCCATATTTGTTTTCCAGTTTTGTGCTTCTTCAGTGCTAGCAAATGTAAATTAGTAAATTACAGTAAATTAAGATAAATTATCAGTAAATTAATCACGTTTACGAAAAAATTAAACTGATCGATCATGGTCATTTTGCTTATCGATTACTCCCGTTACTGATTCTTCTTTTTACAGGTGGAGATTAATCCGTTAGCTGAAGACTCTAGTGGCAAATGTGAGCCGGTTTGTGCTAACTGATCATATTTAAGTGCTCGTCATAATTAAATTGTCTGCTTGATTGCGACAGTATATTGTGTGGACGCCAAACTGAATTTCGACGATAATGCCGAGTATCGACAAAAGGAGACCTTTGCATTGCGTGATTGGAGTCAGGAAGACGAACGGGAGACGAAGGCGGCCAAAGCTAATGTATGCATTCAGTGTTGTGTGCTTTGATTTCAGCTTCGGGGAATCAGTCTGTGCATTTCCGTTTTATTCTCCGCAGATTAATTACATTAGCCTCGATGGGAACATCGGCTGTCTCGTCAACGGAGCCGGTCTGGCCATGTCAACGTAAGGGTAACATATTACGACATTAGTATAAGCGGTAATTATTATGCACATGTTGTACGTACTTGCATATATCAGTTTCATCAAATTTATCCCTTGATTACTTACATTTTTCAACTGCGGTTTTATGATTCGTCTGGAGAGGCTTTTGTTCTGTAAATGTAGCACAAAATTTGTTATGTGGACAACTAATATGAAACTTATCGGTAAATGTTGCATTGTGAATTCTGATACGAATATAGATATTATGTACTCTGTATATCGTATTCAAGTTTTTGCTGTCAGATACTAGGTGTTTTTCCTTTGTGATAGAAACACAGCTAATTGTTTGTACTTTGCAACGTTGCAGAATGGACATTATAAAGTTGCATGGCGGATCGCCGGCTAATTTCCTTGATGTGGGAGGAGGTGCCACTGCGGAACAAGTAATGGATGCCTTCAAATTAATCACATCCGATCCCAATGTAAATTGACTGTGGACAAGCTGGTTTTGACGTAAACATTGACCGATGAATCATGGAGAATTGTATTTGCAGGTACAAGCCGTGCTAGTGAATATTTTCGGCGGCATTATGCGCTGTGATATTATCGCGAAAGGGATCATATTAGCGGCAGAGAAATTAGAATTAAAAGTTCCTATTGTCTGCCGACTGCAAGGCACCAACGTCGACGACGCTAAAGTTCTTATAGCCAGTAGTGGACTCAAAATTCTGGCTGAAGACAATCTGGACGATGCTGCGAAAATGGTATGAACCGATAATGAACCACAACTTATATTGTTTCCCAAAAAGTAATTTTTGTCTAATTAGGAAATTGTCTGAAATACTTAACAGGGTTTGAAAGATGGTAGCTTGATAACATTCCTTTACCATGGTTTTCCTGAATAAATAAGACCATGGTTTTCCTGAATAAATAATTTGAAATCGAACATTTGCTAGTGTGATGAGATGGTTAGCGTCAGAGTCAGAAATTCATAAAATTATTCTAATGCCTTGCGTCGGTTCCATTACAGGCTGTCAAGCTCGCCCAGATTGTCCGGTTAGCGAAAGAAGGTGGACTTCATGTGAAATTTGAACTGCCTATTTAAACAAAGCGTTTTATTTTGTCAACAGATGGATTGTACAATCTCGTTTTTCTGAGTAAGCTTTATTATTCTATAGTACGATATTTTGATGTCCGAGTGTGTTTAAAAAGTCCATTGGTCAGCCCCGACACTACCGGTCCTAGTCGTTGCTAACACTTTGTTTTACGATGCATGAATTCAGTTGTACTTGTGCTAAATGGTTTGACTTCGTTCACTATGTTGTGATAATAAAGATACTTTTTAGAAGTATGAACTGAGCTTTCTTGCCTGCGAAAAGCTACACCTCAATTCAAGTGAGTAATTACTATTAGTAGCTATTTATTATCACGATTCACGAAACTCAAAAAGATCACACAGAGTGAGGCTGAAGCCGCTGAACAAGTGTGCTACCCCACACTGCAGAAAGGTGATCTGGAACAAATCAAACCATATTTCCAAACGCTTTATTGGTAAATTAACATTACTAAGAATACATTCAAATTTTGTCTCAATCAGAAGGTTCGCTACTGAATTAACAAAGTGCGCAACGTCATGGAACCCGTTAACATTGTTTTTTTACAATAACTTTAACGCTATTGTATTAAGCCGCATGCAATCATCAAGTGTGCAAACGTGGATAAAACTGGCAATTGTACAACCACCACACCAGCCCCGGCAACACGTAGAATTAAAACAGAAACATTCATCCGGGTTTATCGTCAGGAAAAGAGAACAAAACCTCCTTAAAACTGTACAAAAAAACCTCACCAGCGGAATCCTTAAAGCGTGTTTGTTTATTAAGAGTGTTTGTTGACCAATTAGATTTTCGGCTTGACAATATTGACAGTGTGCAAACTACCAACGAACTCGCCGAATGTGCTGGTCACTTGATCGGCAATGGCACTGCGTCGGACTCGCTCCTCAGCCGTATTATCGGTATTAGTACTGACATCCGCATCATCGCGAGCGATTAGCCAGTAAGTCGGGAATTTTAGGCATTCGCGAGTAATGAATGGTCCAAGTACGGAGTAGTCCATCACCGGAAGTGGGTCAACATAATACGTCTGCCGAATAACCGATCCATCCAGTGTGTAACTACCATCCTACAAAACGGCCAGTCCATGTTAGAGCAATTTAAGGCATTCTCGGCAATAATTTATAGCCCTTGCTCTAATTATCCATCGATCCGCTTTGTATTTTCGGTCTTTCAACTTTCTATCCCACCACTAAAAAACACTAACAAAGACCAAAACGACGATCCTCCCGCAAACTGATAACCAGCAAATATAGAACTTTTCCCAATAATGCCAAAAAGTACTTACTTCAACTTCACGTTCAATTCAACTTTTACCAAAAGTGATTCAATGCCTCGCCAAGCAAACTATAGGCTTCTTTATCTGTACCGCAAAAATACAAAGCGTAATTTATTTTCAAAATACAATACCTTAATTTTAACGGCGTATAGTTTACAAAGTGAACTAGTAAGCTATCCGCGACAAACCACTTATTTTGTTTACTAACGAGTTACAAGCACGAAGTCATCATTATCCTGCAACCGCGGTTGACAACCGGAAAGATTGTTTGACATGAAATGACCCACGGTAAACAAATTCACAGCATAATTCGCAGTGACAGTGGCAGTATCCACACTAAAACCTTAAGTAATCGCTAAAACAATTTTCGCCCAGACGACGGACATAAGTTCAGTCCGATGTTATATCTCTGCCGTATTTGCATTCTTCAGTGCATATTACACAGTGGACCGATGGAAAATGTTATTAGTAATGGTGCTAATAACAACTACAGACTGGGAAATGCGTGCGCGTGGCAATTCCTGAATTCCGATAAACAGTTATGACCAACACCAACAGCGTTAGCCTGAAAACGAGTCCAAAGCTCAAAGACAACTGCATTTTTCATGTCCATAATATGGTCAATAGCGTAGCCTTTAACAGCTGTGTGGAGTGTGGACAGTGCACACCCTTGCTTACAATTACCGATAACGTACCTGCATGCCGCGTAAAAATTCGAATAAATCTTGAGGCGGCTTGATGACTGAACGGTTTAATGGCATGATATAGCATTCGCTGTTCTGTATGTCGTAAATGGCTGTCAAATTCTACAAAGACAACAAATCTAACAGTCAGCTAATGATAAATACGTGCACAACCTTAGTCTAAATGGTTTCGCATTATGGCCCTGGAAAATTCATAAAAGAACAAGTACGTTATATATATAGTACATAGTAAAGTATCAAGTAGTGGGTGACAGAGCTACAAAAATTGCTACAAAAAGCGCTACAATACGATAACTCGAAAATATTTACAAAAATATAATATTATCAGATCATGTATCCATCGCACTGCTCACCAGACTGAAATCATGAATGAAGCGGGATGGCTGATTTAAGCCCAGTTGCGGCACACGGGGAGTTTGCAGGATCTCCCACATTTGTCGGCGCAGATCCAGCTCGAAATCCTGTTGGAAGCTGTTGATTATCCGGCGCAGATCCAGATCCAAGTCACCGTTGACGCCGGACTCCGTGGGGGTGCTCAGTAGACGATTGCGAGCCGGTTGGAAGGGATTAACCACGTCGGCGGCCAAGGGCGAATTGGGCTGTGACTGGAATGATGCTGATGGGATGCTGTCGTCTGGCTGTGCGTTAAAGTCAAACTGCGGGTTGTTGAAGCGGATTCGACATGTGCCACGGTATCCCTGAAATCATTATCATGGTGTGCGTACACTATCTCAGTAAATGTCTGCATCAATGCAACTACAGCTGTGAATAACAAATAAGCAATTGTACAAGCAAAAAGCGCATTTCCTATTGAAAGTTATTTCCTATTGTTTCCCGGGAACAGTTAAAAGTTTAACATGTAAAAAGATGCAATTATTCTGCAGCTCGTTTTTTTAACTGTAAAGATGAACTAACCATACCTCTGGCTGAGAAAAGCGATAGTACAAATAAATGCCTCCCATGGTGGCGCATCCAATGGTCAGCACAATCAATAACCCCAGGCATATCAGGAAGCCAGTGCGGTGTTTGCGATAAGGATGCTGATAAACCGTAATCTGAGACTCTGCATCCGGTGCGTAAGGCGGTGGATCAACTGGAAAAGCCTGCAAGAGAATCCTACACATTAGCAATTATGGTAATATAGAATAGACTAATTATCACCATTCCTGTGTTAAACATCGCTTGAAACATAATTATGCGCTACAGACATAGTAAGCACTACATTACACAGATATTCAGGCACGTGTTCATCCTCCCCGAACTCACGGTTACAACTCTCTGAATCAGAATATACAGTAAGTCATAATAAAATGCTAAATTTTCTTCTTATTATGGACTTCTACCACATTTTAAATCTAATTCTTTTTTCGTATTGGTGCACCAGTACGTGCGCAGCATACCCAAGAATATAGGAACTTCCGGTATATTTAGAGTGAAAACTGAGAAATGTGGATGAATCAGAAGTACACATAACTGGAATATTATATGTCTTTAATTACAAATTACACGCGTTGTCGCTTGTCCTACTGCTGATATTTCTTTCATCGTTATACATTTTAATTACCTCACTATTTCTACAAAATAAAAAGCGCAGACATGTGTTAGTTAGGAAAAAATTGGATTTGTATGCCAAGGTCTGCTGAAATCTCACTAACGGGCAAGTGATGATGCAGAACAAAACACCAGCAATCCTGGTCAACAACTTTTTGTACGGTCTGTTACTCCGTCTAATCAAACATTTAAGCCCTCTTTAAATCAAAATCAACCAACTTTTACCGCACCACGTAAGTGTATAGGAACATTTTTATTCTGGGCACTTAGAAAACCAAGTTTTACCAAAAAGTTTTTCTTCAAAACTACCAGCATCAAATTAAAAACAAAAACTATTTCGTTTGTGTCAAATGTAGTATGTATATGCACATCAGTTTCATTCTATGTCGGCACAGAATTGTAAGAGAACACTAAATTCAGGCAGATGCATTCATTCTGGATGTCCAAACAATGGGCCAGTATATCTCAGAGAACTGAAAGCAACCCGGCTTAATCCATTTAAAACAGCTATTCTTCAACCGACATACATGAAAATGTCATTAAAAACTAAAACTGTCATAACCGATTGCATAATAGCGCCGAGCTAACTTGTTTCTTGCAATGTAAAATTTTCCGCTCGTTATCATCGAAATTCCCTACAAAGAGTCCATTTAGGTGTTGGACTCTGATTCGAAACGCGAAGAGGGAAATGTGGATTGGAAATCAATAGTCAGCTTCACTGATTATCTTGTACAAAGAGAGTCTCCCGACAAAAGCCTGCGTTCACGTCAAAGAAAAAAGCAGAGAAAAATGTATAAAGTCCTGCGCTCACTATATGCAGATCCCTATTTCGGATCGCTGCACAGCGCGCCGGAAAAATCAATAGTTCCTTTTTTCAACACCATCCGCTGGTCTACAGAGCGCCGAGGATGATGTATAGTGCGCAGGCGGCCGGAAATTTAACCAGATTCCGTGTAGGGGAATCGATTGTCTATTCCCGAGCAGTTGCTGCACGCTATATCCGGGATGTTTATGAGAAAATCACCTAAGCATTCGAGGAATTCGAAATACCGGCGCAATTCAAGGTTATGACTCGGCAAAGATACTTAATCCCTAATAAACAGCAAAAAAGCCGAACTGCAACATTATAACGATTAAATTCACAACAATTAAAAAAGCATAACATTTCATGGCACATTTCAGGACAAAAATCTTACGCAGAATTTTTGCGATTAAAACTGCGACAAATGGAAAAAGAGGTGAGATTTAGCGTTTAGCAATTCACAATTTAATTCATGCACTGCTTGCTCTAGTTCACTTCTCTTTGCTGGCACATTTAAATTTTATTCCCATTTATTTTTATTCAGAGCCAAGGAAAAAAATTTTATTAAAACCAATTATATGAATTTTTCAAGCTAAAACTACGTCAATTTGAGCACCAGTTTATTTTTCACATAAATTTCGCATCAGCCAAACCCTGATAGGAAAGCATGTAATCAAGTAAACAACATCATACCAAATGCGCATTAGCTGAATTTAACTCTACCGCGCATGTAGCGCAATGTAAACAAAAATCCTCAACTCTGCCACAGAAATTACGCGATAAAAATGAAAGATAACATGAAAGCATCACAGACTAGAACGAACGAAACACAAACGTGCAAATTACAGCATGCGATTTTATCGGAAAGTGACCTAGACCATCAGCAGAAGGCACTTCGTTTCTAAGAATTACTTCATAAAGCGACTGACCGTGCAAATATTTCATGAAAACCGTGAAATCTTGAAATTTCTAAAGCCAATGAAAATTTTATCCTGGATGGCACATTTACCGATACCGTTTGCTCCGCATGTTGACATTATTAATTATTTGCATGTTCACTTACCGCACTCTCGCTATCCACAACCAAAGGTTTGAGGTCTTTCTTCTCATCGGTTAAGGGTTTCGTTACAATCGTCATTTTGTCGTATGGCGAGGCAAGTTATTAAGCAGAAAATTATTCCAGCATTTAGTTTCGTTGTCTGCAATACAGCAGAATTTGTCGAGTTACAAATTTAGTAAACAGATTGTGCAATACATAAAGCAGTCAGCATTTGGTAGACGGTGGAAATGTTCTTGTGAATTTGTGATTATTCTTGTCCATAATTATGCACATACCTTCCTCGCACAGTTTCCACAACGATCCGTGAAAGTAATGCGATCCAGCACAGTAATAAATTACTCTAACAATAGCACCAAAATCGGAATTCTCCAGTTTTCTTGGCAATCACAGTATGCGTCTCACATTTTTTATCCAATATGCGAGTTAAAGTGAATGCAGTGACTTAAAGTGGGAACTTTTCAAGTTTACAACACGACAGCCTGACTTTTCGCATCGTCTGCCTTTGGCAGCAAATGGATGGATAAGCCACGCCCTCGGCAATCCTTTGGCTTTATCACGAGCCTTTGTGCAAGCGCAATGGATCAGACCACACACGCAGGGTCGCCGCAGACATCATACAGTACCGGGTACAATACGTATGAACATTCGTATAGAACTAAAGCTTATTATTAAAATTAATAATAATTATTGAACTATTTTTACTTGTACATATTACGTAAACTGTTAAATACGCGGGGACTCACTAGAATTTTTGGTAAAATTACGAAAGCTCACTTGTCAGCTGATTAAAAAAGCTCATGTCAGGCGTGCACGGTACCTCACAGGAGTACTCTCCGGGGTTGTCATCTTCCCGCTCCCGATACCGGAAGCAACAAAACGATGCGTTCCATGTACATTCCCCGGTTGCAAAGCGGATTCTCCTGGCTGTTAAATGGAGGAATTTTCAAATTAGCGTAAATTACAGTAAGAACGACCGCATAATTGCAACTTTGCAAGTGTTTATATCTATATTACTATACAGATATCTATATCTACATACAGTACACACAACTGATGCTAATAAGCTCACCGTTTAACCGCGAATCTAACATCAGCGTATAGCGATACGCTGATGTTAGATTCGCGGTTAAACGGTCATCCGTTGTTATACCGGAAAGATCGGTGAAACATCTGCTGGGAGTGATACTGGAGAACATCTCAGATTGGACCGATCATGTTAAAAAGATCCAAAAGCATGTTCGGTACGGTATATCATTGTTAGATCGTGTGAAAGTCGCCTACCAATATCCCAAAGCATTCTGCTTTTCTATGCTTTTGTGTCCAGTCTCATCTGGACACTGCTCCCCAGTGTGGAGCAGGGCTTCCGTGCGCTTCCACAAAAGTGGCAAGACATTGGCCATTATGCATCATAGCGGCCTCCGAGTGGCTGCAAATTGCGCGGGAGACCCACGGAATCGTTCACGAGCAAGTATGGGATCCTACCGCTTTTTACCAGATGGCAACAAACGGCAGCGATATGGTTGCACAAAATCAGGCAGCAGAAAAAATTCCATGTGCCGCAGTACATCGTCGAATTGGTGAAATTCGAACAGCACGTCAAGCCGTACAACCTTCGGAAAGGAAACCGCACCGTAATCAAGGCGAAAGCAAAGAAAAAGCCGGCGAATAACCATTGTTTAATTGGAGGTTTAAAAAAAAATGTGTACATTTTTCGCTAATCGTAATTCTTCTGATATTCTTCGGATACTCGTATTATTGGTGTGTTTCAAGAATGCTTTCAGCAGTGTCAAATTTGATTTTTCGGACTGTCTTGCAGTTCCTTACTGTTTGGCCAGGTTTAAAATCCCGTACCAGAATGTTACCCTCGCCGGATTAAATGGGTTATTTGCTCAGTGATAAATACGAGTAATAATAATAATGTGGTGATTCTGTTTTGCCGTTCTCAAGTACCGGCGGATGTTTGCCAGATGGGAACAATTCATACTAGTTTTTTCTGGTCGTTGTAATTTTATAGTTTTTATTGCATATTTGGATGTGCTTAATTTTTCAGTGCATGTTAAGCAAATCGACCTGCGAACTTCGAATTAGCTTTTAAGGCATGACAGCATATCACCGCGGCCCACCAAAACCAGAAGTAAACTAACCGTAAAGCGCACTGAAGCTGTGTACATAATTTCTCTCACGAAGCATTTAAATACTATAGTACATAGTAATATTATTGTGTACAATTCAAAATTATAGACTATACACATGACACGTCAAAACAGAAAATCTGGGATACTTTTGGCATAGGTTTCAGAATGTTAAATGCCAGCCGACACTCCAAGTAAATATTTCTTATTTCCTGCCAAATTTTGCTGGGCCCATGTACGATCGGGCAGCGGCATAAGCATTGCAGTTGAGGACACTACGTATAGGAAGAGGAAATCGACTGCGTTTCTGGAATGAGGAGAGCGATGCGTTAAAAAAATACTTTTTCGATACTGGAGAAGTGCAAGTCTTTGAAATTGTGCCTTTAATTACCGATGCGTTTAAACAGGGGAACTTCAGTGTCGTTACGCATGAGTAATCCACATCCATAAGGTACATAAGGTCACCGGAGAATACCAGCGCCACATCTACTGCATTGCCAAGCGATCCCAGTTGGAAACTGACCACGGCATCGATTGTCGACGGAATTGTGGATGCATTGCCAATAAAGAATTTGCTCTTTATTAACGGAACCTTTTTTGCACGCGTTCCAGCTTGGATAAACTGTGAATTGGGCTCGAATCCATCTACACGTTAAACAAACGTTGTAAGGTTTGTAAAGTCAATTGTTTTATTAGCGTTTTCAAAAGCGCAAAAAGCTCCTTTAAGATAATTTAACAGTATACAAGTGTCATAATAATATTACGAAACCTGGGTACAAATAATCCGGACAGTTACTGCTCACTCAGTATTCATACTTAAAACCGATCTCGGTTCCCACTTACTATAAATACGGAATTCATAGTAATTTCCCGGGTTAACCAAACTCGGGAGCGTAAAGACTGTTTGTAAATTTGGCAAAATGAGGTCATCCTCCACAATCGGCAAATAGTCCAGGAATGTAAAGTCCGTGTACATGTAGTCATTTTGCGCCTGTGTGGATCAAAAAAGGTCAAGAGCGTTCAGTAATACAGTGAGGTAGTCATTTAATATATAGGTAGCGCGCTACCGGGCGAAATTTTACCGCGATAATATGGGTGACGCGCTGGTCCTTCTCCGGCACGGTGTAAGCAGCGGTTACCGGCAACGATGATAAATCGGGGAAGTCTTTCACAATAGCTAATGGGCCATCACGGATGTATCCGGACGTAGTAATCACATAGTAATCGTTTCCTAAATGCACAACCAAAAGATACGTGAACTAGCAAAATATTTTTATTTTTATCAATAAAAAAACGAGAGAATCTGTGGCAGTTGCGGTTCACAAAACAATTATATACACATCTACAATACACTGAAAACCAACAGTAACGCTCACTGCTTAAAAATAGGTAATGTTTTCGAGTGTTTTAAGAGGGTCATATAAAACAGTCTATAGTTTCAGCTTGTCGACACCTTTTTTGGTGCACCTTTTTTTTATCCACGTGGATAGCCATACCTGAAAAAATTACTATCCTGCCATCTTGATTTTGTACCGCCGCATCCACACGGAAGCCAGGATCGCAGATGTTCCGCTTAACACTGCCGCCTTTTCGCTGTACAGCTACGTAATCCGCTTTTGTCGGATCGGCTATCAAATTCCCTTGTACATCCGGGAAATAATTTGGGAATTGTTCTTCAGCTGTCGTCGTTGATGAGGTAGTCGTAGTTGTGCTGGTCGTCGTTGTGGTGGTCGTGGGTGGAGTGGGCTTAATAGTGGTGGAAGTGGTTGGAGCAGCCATGGGAATAATTTTTGGAATGTCCGCATTGTAAATGGATATTGAAGGCCGGTTTTCCCGGTCACGTGAAGGGACGCCGGCTAACACCGTGATCGTCGGTTTGTACGCTAAAATGCTCTAGATTTCTTTTTGTACTTAAATGACTATGTAATTACTAATTACCTATGTATTAACACAGTAGTACTGATTGTACGTTGCACTATTTTCATCCATCACTTCCAGTCAGTTTTTAGACAGATGTTGAAAATTCTGCTGAAACAACTGCAGACAGAATTGTGACATAGAAAAAAAACAGAAGCGGTGACGAAGTATACTTAATACTAAAATTTTTATGTAAGTTACGTAACATTGCAAAAAATATATAATTTTTATATGAAACTACAGTTTACGCGTACTCGTATATATCATGGAAGTTTTAGATACTTACAGTCCAAATTTCGACAAAGGTCATTTTTGATAATGTCTTGACACTGATACTGGATAGCCATGGCATAACAGTCCCAGTAACTCAAACGCGGTTTATCGCCAATAGTTTTGGTTGCATCGCGCACCGTGAACACCGCTGTTCCCGGTTTAGCGTATGCTGTTGGCAGATGATGCGTCACACTATTGTAATCATAAGGAAATCCTTGATAATAGACGGTAGTATCCAGATATTTCTGGAACGGATTAAAAGGTACAAATTCTGCAATAAGAACGAATTAAACCTGAACACTTAAGCATAATCAAGATTCATAAGCGCAACCAAAACACACTAGTATATGTATTCAAACAGATATTAGACCAATGACTTATGTACGTTATATCTAACCATCTTCCAGATTTTCCAGATGCATTTCCAGATAATCATCCCGATCCGGTCGATTGTGCTCGCTTCGTTTTCCCAGAACATGAAAGAGTGTTTTCATCACCAGACGTTTATTATGCAGGCAACCGTTCTTTCCAGCAGATATTCCCAGTTTTTGACCGGCACCGTCGGTTGACAGCAGGCCAGGATATGACCAACATGTTCTATAACGTGCGTATATACTATATATTTTCAGTTTATTATCAATGCAACAGTATCAGCATATCTACTCGTAGTAATTACACACAAAACATTATATTAGCAAATATAAAATGAGAGCTATATGCAAAAAACAAAAACTGTTTTATGCTACCAGATTTACTGAAAAAATTGGCAACCGTATTAGTTCTAATTTTACGTAATCGTGGGACGTCACTAAATACAGATGTTACTCGTACAATTTGTGATAACCGGATCGAATATTGTCAGTTTTAATTTCACCCAAGTGGTTCATCAAAAGTCAATAAATTACAAATTATAAACTTATAATGATTCAAATTTGATGTTTGCCTCCACATTAACAATACCGGTATTGTCCTAGAACTAACCATATTAAGTACAAGTATACTACGCGCGGCGCCCCATAGTTTTGAGATCTCTATAACCAGAAAACTTCTGGAAAAACGGACAACGCCATTAGATCCGGGATAGTTCAGAAGTGGCCGGCATGTGTTTTTTTTATGAAAATATCAAGCCGGTATCAAGCCGGCATCAAGACCAGATTGATCCAACCCATCTTAAAGGTCACCTTGAAACTTAGAAATATTTGCCTAGATACAATACAAAATACCAATTGACATAATTATCACACTAATTAAACCGAAAACAAAATAAATTATTGTACTTATTCAAACACTCGCGTTATTCAAACATTGCTGCCGGTGTTGCCGAGCTCGAAACGTTTAAAATCAACTGGTATAAAATGTAAAAAATCAAATATAAAATCAATACGAAAAATCACTGGACGAGTGAGTGACCGAAACACTATCACCGACCACTGAGCGGAATCTCCAGATGAGTGGGTGACCGAGCTACCACCACTGACCAGTAAGAAAAATCACTAGACAAGTGAGTGACCAAAACACCATTACTGCCCACTGAGCAGAATTTCTAGGTGAGTGACTCATCGAGCGGACTTTGCTCTTGCTCACCTAACGGCTCTGTGCACTGGACAGTAGTTGTAGCAGGGTTACATCCTCACGTAACGATTTTTCTCCTTACCTAGCGATATTTCTTACTGGACAGGTTGAGCTCGGTCAGTCACTCACCTAGTGATTGAGTGCGTCAAAAATCGCTAGGTGAGTACGTGACCGAGCTACCACCACTGTCCAGTGCCCAGAACCCGTTAGGTGAAAGAGTACCGAGATACCATTACTTTCCAGTGCACAAACTCCGTTAAGTGATCTAGTGACCGAGCTACCACTACTGTCCAGTGCATAGATCCCGTTAGGTAGATGGGTGACCGAGCTACCAATACTGTCCAGTGCACAGAGCCCGTTAGGTGAACGCGTGACCGTGCTACCACTACTGTCCAGTGCACGAATTCCGTTAAGTGATCTAGTGACCGAGCTACCACTACTGTCCAGTGCATAGATCCCGTTAGGTAGATGGGTGACCAAGCTACCAATACTGTCCAGTGCACAGAGCCCGTTAGGTGAACGCGTGACCGTGCTACCACTACTGTCCAGTGCACGAATTCCGTTAAGTGATCTAGTGACCGAGCTACCACTACTGTCCAGTGCATAGATCCCGTTAGGTAGATGGGTGACCGAGCTACCAATACTGTCCAGTGCACAGAGCCCGTTAGGTGAACGCGTGACCGTGCTACCACTACTGTCCAGTGCACGAATTCCGTTAAGTGATCTAGTGACCGAGCTACCACTACTGTCCAGTGCATAGATCCCGTTAGGTAGATGGGTGACCAAGCTACCAATACTGTCCAGTGCACAGAGCCCGTTAGGTGAACGCGTGACCGAGCTACCACTACTATCCAGTGCACGAACTCCGTTAAGTGATCTAATGAGCGAGCTAGCACTACTGTCCAGCGCATAAACTCGAGACCGAGTTACCAGTACTGTCCTTTGCATAGATCCCGTTAGGTAGGTGGGTGACCGAGCTGCCAAAGCTATCCAGTGCACAGAGCCCGTTAGGTGAACGTATGACCAAACTGCAATATTACTGAGCAAAATAGAGCAGGGCCTGCTAAGTTCTTAATGAGTGACCTATCTAGCACCACTGTCCAAGTCTTAGCGTCCTTTTAGTTTGTAATGTGATACTCTCGTGGGTGATTTGATTCGGATGGTTTTTCGCTAAGAAAATTTAACAAAAAATGATCTGTAAAGTCAAAGTAATTGCGTTCGACTGCACGAAACCAAAACATCCATTTTTTTATAAAATTTTTGTTATCGGGCTCTTCAGATTTATCCGCTCTAAGTTAACAATCCGTAAACCGGCCAAGGAGTTTAGAACCCAAGAAACGCGGAGGCGAAGCCGAGGCTGTTTCTTGTATTATATATCTATATCGCATATATATCTATACCGCAAATTTGTATAAGGTGATGTGTGCTAATTCTTGCAATAGCGACACGATAGTGATCGGTTAGGTGCGATCAGTCACAACAATATGTTATTGTATTCATTTCATTCTTTCCGTATGTTTAATTACCATACAGGAAACCGCATAATTACTTGTACTAATATGTGCATGAACCGGATCCGGTGTGATGCAGTGAACAAATCATGGTCATTAATTATTTTGTTGATAATTGCAGCCTTTTAACGCATAATGTAGCAAATCGCTCGCGTAGCTTTGACGTCTTTTACTTACCCATCAACAGCGGGACTAATAATTATATAATCTTTTCCAGCATCACTGCGAGCATCGTAATCCACAAAACGAACGCAGCCTAGGCTATCGAGAAATATTTGGTCCATTGCTTCGTGAATGGTCGCCAGTTCAGTGGAAGCTATATATTTAATACATAAGAATGTGCAAATGTCAACTTAAAAAAAGAAACTTTTTCGAGTTTTACTAAGTAAGTAACTATCCTATGATAAGTTACGGAGCATTGGAAAATACGATTTACTACATAACAAGCGGTAGAAATAATGGTTTTATTTTTTTTAAAAATAGCAAAACTGACTTATACATCTTCGGAAAAACTATTACAACATATTGTGCAGCGTTAAGGAACGATTTCGAATACTGTGCAACGGTTATTGTTGAATAAGTCTCGTGTATTGTACTTGGTGTTTATAACTTGTCGAATTAAGTACGTGTGTCTTCAAATCGTTTTGATTGGTGAACTGAATTGGAAGAAGTGTTTTATGAAGTCGAATTAGTCAGATTGCTTTATAAAACCAGTGATTAGGACAAGACAGGAAAAAACTTGAAAATTTGTTGTATTTTTTGCATTACTTTTTACACCCACATTTTTTCTAAGCTTTGTATTCATCTGATTATGCATATGCTGATATGCTGTATCTGTTTGATAGGTTTAAAGAAAACACCAAAATGTATAGAAATTTAGAATGAAATGTTTTAAGAAACGTATGTAAACTTATGACAAATACACAAACTGTCAAAACGCAGCGTTTTTCATAGGAGAGCATTACTGTGTGGTAAAAACCAATTTGCTAATTGGTGGAGTAATACGCACTATATCCGTCTGAGATCAAGTAAGGAACATGGGATGGGTCCGGCCACCGTGAATAACGGGGATCGGTGTTCAGATTTAGCCTCCCGAGCTACAAAAAGGCCACGCACACTGTTAAGTATTAATTAATTAGGTTAATGCACTTGATAGTTCAAAAATTCTCCGAGTCATGCCTAATCGTAAAATAATCACAGTATGAAGTAATTATAGTAGCAGCACCTTATTGTTTTCCTTATAAAACATTCTGCGTTTTTCACGGACATGGATTTCTGCGATTACAGGCAAGTAGCGTGCATGCGTTTGGTGTTATGTACAAATAAATACCTGTGAATACTGATCACCCGTGGCCCATTTTCCGCTGACCTTCCGAAACAACACTGACGCAATCGCGGCATGTAATAATATAAACATGCCGCCTGCAAATTACACCGACATGATTCATCAAAAAATTTAATTGTTTACTGGTACATCGAATTTTTTTATAGTGGCACTCCAAACTTACACAGCGAATGATGTACGTTATTCTTCCGGGTGATCATCTCGAGTGGTTCCAGATCAGTGCTGACTGGAAAATTGAAACAGCGTTTCACAGCCGCAGAAACAGTAAAATGTATAAAAATTAAATATTTTGGATAATAAATTATTAATCCACACCACCTTTTAAACACTAAATTCCAATCAGTTTCCGGTGATGATTATATACGTTTCGGCAGTAAAGCCACTTTACGGCATCATAATACCATAAAAAAACTGTTCCAACTGCGCATTAATAAAGGCAACCGAGACACCACGCGTGCGGTGAAGATTCGTCCAAAAAACTTAACGATTTTTCTGCTACCTTTCACTTGATGACACCGTCTGAAAAATGGTTATACATAAATGACAGATTTTTAACTTGACGGATGGGAAATATCAAACTGAGAAAAAATCAAGATCAGTAGGAAAAGAGTCAAACAATTAATAGGTTATTTACCCGCATCTGTAACGTGCGCTGGGGGTTGCGACATTTGCTTGGAAATTAAAGAGGCCGGTTGTATGGTGTCGAGCCATCCAACACTATAAACATGTAGGTAGCCGGTGCGACGAAAAAAAGCGCACACGATGTGTTAAGTTACGCCTGAAGGGATGCTCATGAGGCACTTCCTATATAATCATTGTGAATGATCATCATACAAAAGTTTGATGCTTAGGTCAATGAAAGTAGACAACAACAAACTTAACGAAAGTCAAGGTAAAGGTGTCTAGATCTAATATTCCAAAGTAGCATCTTGTAAAGTGGGCGGTTGATGTAACTTCCCGTCGGCAAAGGCTTTTTTATTCTTGTATATTGAAGAAGCTTGTTATAAATCGTTTTGTGGTCACAATGAATTCTTCATCCAAGTTGCCTTATTTACTAACGCAGATATCGTACACTTTTTTAGCCATACTTCTAACTCGACCCGTTTGCTAAAAGTATTTTTTACTACTAATCAATTCTGTAATTTTCAAAGAATGATTTTTAAAAATTTGTTAGTTTAGATATACTGTTTGTGATTCAAACACTTTAGGTGCTTACTAGATGTCAGATAAAGCTATTTTGTTGCATCAATTAAGTAGTTGCGCAGCTATAGCTTCCGGATGCACATGTGGAGAAAATTACACCAATCGTAGAAGTACATATTCTAACGTACAGAAGCCTTTTCGTAGTCAACACGCCGTTCGCGTTCAAATATTTGCAAACGTTCACAAAAGCCACACGACTGTTGACGTTGTGCACGTTTTCAAGAAAATTCTAAAGTACTTATTAGATAAGCATGTAAATACGTAACGCCGTACCGGAACGTTAACATCGTTAATTAATTACACAGCCGAGTGAATCATGGGTTCCTTCCCAAATGTGCATCTCAGGATGAGGCCTTCTCACACCATCCAGTGTGTTAAATTATAAACAAACCACCACCCCCTGTTGTCTAAAAAAGAACAGGAGATCAATACAACATTCATTACTTAAGTGCTTAAGTTTAATCCGCCTTATATTACCACGAAGATTGTGGGCGAGTACATACGGTTTGTTCGACATATACATACGCAGTGCGCCAGGCGGTCTCGAGTGTCTCGCCAGGGGGGCAGTATCGTGCGTTTAACGCGTAGTACCGTGCGTCGGCTTGTTCGTGACCTTTTCATTGTTTTGCCATGATGTGCTGGGATTTGTCTTCAAGGAATTCACGCTCCAATAACCTGCTTGGATGAGTATTTAAGTTACGGTATCCAACAGGTACAACGTCAAATGTGCTGCATACATTCGATGCCACTTAGGGATTTGTATTTTATGTTCTGAATCTGTGCATATGTAAGATGTACAAAGTTGTTGCACCTTGTTGACTATACAAAGGTCACACCATTTTCTCTTCTCTTTTTTAGTTTGCGTATTAATAGATACTTGACTATTCCGCAATGGATAGCCAAACTTTTAATAGAGTTGTCGTGGGTTTGGGGATTGCTCTCGTGGCTGTTGTCTGTGCCGGGAATGCTGAACCGGCCAGCGGACTCTTAAAGCTTTCAGGTAACAGAAACAATTTCTTGTTGAACTTTAACATTAAGCTAATAATTACTATACTTGTTGTACCCTAATATTGTGCAGCTATGATAATTCTCATTAAAAAAGTACTTTGCTTCTTGTGTACTCACAAAAGATTTCAATTACCCAAATAACGATCGCATCCAAAACGTACACACAGTACTTTTCTACAATTCATAGTACTTAATTATCATGACCTTTTTGACTAATGCTGTTGCATTTGAATGCTTCGTTTTTGCGACTCGTAGTCTAGTTTGTATTCCCGGATAATACAGTATTCTGTCTTCCGCGCTTATTTGCACACGGTAACCAAGCATACATCCGAGGTAAAGCGTTATTAAAAGCCATGAAATCTGCCAACGTGTACAGAAATGGCCGAGTGGGGCCATACTTTGTGGATGTTTCCCGTTTTCGACCGTAGGAAACCGTTTTCAATAATTCTTACGAACCTGTTGATTATTAGCATATTACACGGATACAGTATTAAAGTCCGCTTATCACGTGCAACCGTAATCTGCGTGTGGCTTGCAGAGATCAGGTATGAAACATTCTTTCGTTCTACAGGTGACGCCGACGGATTACAGGTAGATAATGCCATCCCGGACAATTCCATCCGCCGATATTACATGCCCAGTTACTCCCTTCCCTGGAGTATGCTGTATCGAAAACCATTTCAGACGATTCGCCGTGCCCCCAACGACATGCCTAACACACTACTGGGCACTGACCTTTTGTTCAAGCGTACTGTCGGCTCTCCCATCGAAGTAGAGGCCAATGAAGCCCCGTGGTACTTAGGCAAACGCTCTTCCGAGCCAATAATTGCCTTCGATCAAGAAGATTAATTACCTGCAACGTATGCTAATTAATATAATTATATTATGTTAGGATTTAGTTTGTCCTATCCAATAATTTAGCGCTGTAAAGCGTTCACACCGGCGAAAGAGCACTGCACGCGATTCTCTATTTACACCTGAAACAAAATACAACTGGTTCCATGAGGATACAGAGAAAAAGAAAATGTGAAATTAATAAATAAAAAAGTACTCGTGCTACCCATCACGACTGTGTCTTTTGAACACCTGTTTCTAATTTCCAGTAAAAAAATCAACCACTTACAGTAATTATCGGCGACTGCTAAACGCGTAACAGAAAGAGTGAGAATTAGTGCCACTCCAATGTATTGGAGGTATACATGGTTTATGTAAAGCGTGGAGGATGTTTGAATCTTCGACATCTGTAATTCTCTCATCAATAACTGACTACAAAAAATGCCTAAATATTTACTAAAAAATCAATACATTTACTTATACCTACTTAACCTGCAACAATTCTGTTGTTGTTCTCCATTTTGTTTTTCAATATTTTGAGCGAGTTACAGGAAACGCACCCACGAAATTTTTAGTTTTCTACTGTACGTTTCTACGTTCACTAACAATAAGCGCCAAACAACAATAGCTATGATATATACAAAAAGGATGGAACTAATGGCTACAAAGCAGTACGACGCGGAACAGCAGTATATATTAAATGTTTCAAACACCGAAAATATTGTTGTTCGAATATATTATGCATGGTACACTCCTTCCTTTAATGGTCCTCCTTGCTGACTTTGCGCGACCGATAGTCGCGTTTTCGATCGCCCAGTACCAGATGAAAAAACAATGTAAGCATCAGCGACACCACCGCCACCGATGTCAGGACAAATCGTAGTCCTTTGTACCAGTCCGGGTAAGGTGAGTGCAGCACATCCACATAGGCCATCCCCACCAGACTGCCGGCCACGGTCAGCAGGGCCAACGGTGTCGGGAACAGCAGGCTCAGCCAGGAGGCCACCACCGGCCCGATGGCCGGCGCCAGCACCCGGTAGTCGATGGTATCCGGTGTACTGCCGCCACGCAGACCTAAGGTCACGGCGTACCGGATACCGCCCAGAAACGACAGGATGGACGCCGAGTAGGCCACCTGAGAGAAAGCCCACGATGCATCGCATGACCCACCCATCAGACACATGAACGGCACCGTGACAAACGGCAGCATACCTGGAATAAAAATTGTTGAGGGTTGTAGTGAATAAAGGCCACTGTAAAGAATGGGTGGAAATCTTGGGAAAGCTGGACCGCACACATATTAATCCTACAAGTTCTAACATTTCTAAAAGCCTTTAAGAAGTTCTGACATTTTTAAAAGTAAATAAAGGAAACAACGCATTGACTTAAGGATGGCCGAAGTATTACCAATTAAACTATAAGCAAACTGATTAATTAATTTTATTACAAAATAAATATTTGTTACATGCGCAGTCGATATACTGTAGTTAGCCGGCGCCGTGGTACAAGAGCGGTGGTACATACAAAGCGAAAAATATTTGTGAAAATACCTTATATCGTTAGACGTTATGGTACCTAATACTACCTATTAAAGTCAAAATACTATCGTAATTATGTATTAACAATTTTTCGATTATCGATGTTTTGCAGTTTGACGGCAACAAAATGATTCGAGCGGGCAATTTCTTAGGTCAAACGATTAGTATTTTAAAGCAGTGACCATGGCACAGCTGGATAAATATAAATAATGTTATAAAATTAATCAGGGACAGAAAAATAAAATAAATTAAGTACGTACTTGCGCCTCCTACTACCAGAACAGGCAGGGGTCCTTTGCCAATATTCTGAGCCTCCTGCATGGCTGCATTGAGGTCACGTTTGGCTTGGTCAACAGAATAATATTCCCTCGTGGAAATGCAGCACAAGGCAGACCCAGGAATAGGATGGGGACTTTTCAGAACAGTGCGTTCAAGAGCAGACGAATCGTTCCTGATTTTTCCGTCAGTGAGTGTACGAAAACAACGCTGTCGAACGGCGGAACTGATCCGAAACATTTTTTGTTTATCTCTAGTATGTATAGTATTAGAAATTGATGCTTTACGTCATTCACATCGAAACCAAGATTTTTTGTTCAAGGGAAAAGTTGTGTAAAAGATGACATTGCGCACCGCGATATTCAATTAGCTATTATAGATTTTCTATAAGGTGTCGATTGTTGAAAGTTCGAATTTACTGTACATTTCTGTGCTAACTACTGCGGTACTACCGTACTACTTCGTAGATTTTGTTCAACGTTCACCGTTAGCAACCGATGCAGACACAATACTAAACCAATACTACATAATACCGACAATTGCTAATCATTGGCAATCAAAATCGAATCGCGACTAAAATTCGAATCACATCAGCAGCTAATGTAATTAATTTTTAGTCATCGTCCACCAATGCCGTAAGTACAGTATCGGTACTGTATTATGTGTACATATAAAAGCGTGCGGGCGCCGCTGCTGAACTGGCATTCACCGTCAAGATGGGGAAGTACAAATCGATTACTGATCGCTGTTATTTTGTCCCCATTACATGCGAAACTTTTGGCACTTATTCTGACGACTCAATTGTTTTGTTAAAGGAGATTGGTAAGAAGCTGTTCATGAGAACAGGCGAGAGTCGTTCCACTTGCTTTTTGTTTCAGCGTTTAAGTTTGGAGATTATGCGGGGCAACGCTATGAGCATATTGTGTACAGTCCCTTCTCATGTTAACTGGGACAAATTCTTCATCTGATTGTACTATACTGAGTGGTTCTCGTTGTTGTGCATATTGAAAAATAAAATGAAAAGCGTCATTCTTACAGTGGCAGCACATTAATTGCGGCTAGTTACGTACATTAATAATACCGTATTTAAATTAGTGGCTAGACTGGCGATTAATTTCTTGATATTTTGTGGTTCTCTAACTCTGCAAATATACAACTCAGTTACTTGGTATTCAGTCAACTGAGTATAAGTAAGTCAAAGCTGGGGAAGGTTTTTATTTACGTGAACGTGAAGCCGCCGACGTGTGAGATGTTTGTCACACATCAGATTAATGGGAAAACTCTCTAGGAAACGTTTCCTCACGATTGTAACAAGCACTCCTATTTTATCGGGTGCAACAACAGGCCAAACAGATTGCAACTATAGAGTATAGCCGAGAGGTGCGGATCGGATAGAGTTAACTGTTAAGGTCATGGCAGCTGCGATATCTGGTGTCTTACTGCTGGCGTCGGCATCCCGTTTAGGTAACTATCGCAGTGTCTTCAAATGCGTCCGTTATTCCTTATAGCCTGCAGAACAAAATTTAAAAAATTGTTTATGAGATTGTGAACACCTTATCTCTCACGTGCTTCCCGGAAATAAAATTGTATTAACCTGGAATGTTTGGTAATGAGACTAATGACTGAGTTTGATCCAAAATGCGAATTCGCATTTCGACCAAATAAATGCAACTGTTTTCTTAGTTCTTTGGGTTACAGCAGTTAATGTACACTTCGTGGCAGCCGGAAACGCCACTAAGAACGGTATGAGTAAAGGTGGAAAAACACGGGCTGATTTCATAGTTCAGCATAATAATACGGCACACAATTCAAAAGTAAGGAAGGTAAGGTGTAAATGCTGTACTGTATTAACCGGTAAGTACTACGTTGGCTGTCCAGCAGTCAACAGCGGGTGCAAACATAACCAGCATCTCGGTGCGTAAAGCGCATAAAACGTGCTTATGCATAAAACGTTTTATTTAACACGGTATGGGTTTTTTTCGATGCGAATATACGGCTAAAACTAAGAGGTTCGACAGCGGACACTGTACTATTTAATCCTTCCCGTGCTAGTGGAAACTTGGTAAAACAAAATAATTATAGTACCGCAGTAAAAACCGAGTTTTTGTTGGACAATTTAAGGAGTTACTGATAAATGCAGATTTAATTTTTTGATTTCGTTACAGGATACAGCCATGGTTTTGCCTGTACTTTTGCTGACAAACGTCGATGGCGCTTGGAGGGCACACAACGCATGCATTTGTTGTTAATACTGGACAACAACAGTGCGAGTTCCATTTTCCATTTTGAAAATTGATCGCACCGCAACGTATCTACGGGGATTCATGCCGCATGTTCAAACATTTAGTATGCTTGCGCTATTTACACAAGAATCAGCTAAACAGGAAATAGAAATATCCAGCGGTTTTACTAGTATGGTCCAAATTTTTGTGCGCAGCTTTTATGTGCATATGTCTAAATTTAAGTTTGCGTTTATTATTCTTATTATTGATCACAGTTCGAATTAATAAGTTCTGTTCTGCACGCGGTCGTAAGTCAAATTTTTTCCCGGTAGACGCCGCCGTGCAATGCAATTAGTAAAGAAATAAATTAAATTTTGCATGAAAGTAAACGCACTCTAAATGTTAAAATCGTGAAGGCATTTGCTGTTTTTCACTTTTACGTATACAGGTGTATCGTTATCACATTTCGATCATACGTTCTTCAACGCAATAATTATACTGCTTCCTTGTCTACGTGCAACTTGACACTTGACAACTCGAGCGATAACTCCTACATTACTTCGTTTGGACAACCTAGGCAAATACGGTTGCGGGATCCTCGCTTCACTGCCTCACTTTTTCGCAGTGGAGTTTGAGTTTAAATGCTTTACTCATGAAGGTACAAGTACTGTACCTACATGTCGACATTGGCATAGGTACGACCTCGTCATTGCCAATAAAATTTCTGCTTGTGGAGTTGTTTCGGTTCCTTATCATAATAATACCGGTCGACATAAACAGCGCCGGTTGTGATGGCGTGTGGTGCAGTGCTGTTTGCCCGACTACTGGACAAAGCCGGGATCATTCTAAATCTAAATTAGGGGCCAGAATCTGGCACATTATTTTGGAATATCAATACTGTCAGGCAGTTTAATGGAATTAACACACGTTGCACTCATTCAGTATCATAAATAATTACGAAGGTTTGGCTTCTCGGATTTTTGTTATGATTTTGTAACATGGCTATAGCAGGAGGAGTGCTGGATTTTCAGCTGGATAGTGCTCGAGAGGTAAGTGTTACCTAATATTATTACTAATACTTGTATGATTTGATTACCACTTATATAACGGTTTATTTGCATTGCTGTATAAACTGTAAGTAAAAAGTGTAATATTGAAAAGAAGGATGTTATTAACTCAACATTTGTATACGATATTTTTAATGAGCAGCGCTCAGCCAGTGAACAGCTACAAAATCACCATGACGGCAATGTGGAGGAAAATGTCGGACTTTTATTTGTAAGTGAATTTATTTGGAATGTTGGTACGAGTATATACAACTCCAGAACTACTGAAAATAAACCGTTTTTTGACATTCAAATTAGATACAGTTTTATTACGACGATAAACAATTTTGAATTACTTGTACAAAACAGTTTCACGATGCATTTATAAAACTCCAATTTAATAATGGATTCTCACTGCATTCGAAAATTAATGAAATACCTATGTAATCTGTTCTCGTATGCGTGTATGTACAATACAACACGCTTATGAAAGTCGCACATGCCTGCAATTTTAGGCTCCATTTTCCCTTGCCAGAAACGTGTTGAAGGGGCAACTTGTTAGCGACACGGTAAGCTTCCAGCTGATAAGACAAAACTTTCGACAACAAATGCGAAAGATACGTTACGCTGTCTTAATTATTGCATTTGCATAACTGTTTACATACGTACTTGACTGCATTTAGTAGTGTGACTACATAGTGGTTGAGAAATGTCAGAGTTTATTTGTCATAATTTTATAATTTTTATTGGTTTAATTGTGCGGAAATAATTTACTGCTTTGGGAATTGGGTTCCTACAATTTATCAACCCGAGTTAAAACGATTTGCCAAAATAACGTTAGCTAAACGTTAGGAAACGGCTGAAACTGACACACATCCGGTTACGTAGCGGTAGTTTTTCCTACAAGCTGTTCTACTCGGGCAAACAACTGGATAAAAGACTTTTCGAGTGTTTTATTAAAGTATTTATCATAATTTTCTATAATTGATGAATAACCTTAAATATTGCATGGAATAGGAACGACCGTTTATACAACTGGGAAAAGAAGCGGCTATCGAGGCGGCAGTAAATGCCGTGTTCGATAAATGGAATCTGAAGAGTCCCGATATAATCATATCGTTTGTTGGAGGAACCCGTTTCTTCAAAGCATGGAACAAGGAGGATCATCGCGCTGCACTACAAAATGGGATTGTCAAGGTAGACGTTACAAGGGAACAAACCGATGTGTGCCGGTCGATTAGCTGTCGATAATGTCTTTGTGAGCTTTTCTGCATGTCGTAATATATAATTTATCGTTAACAGTTGGTAAATACCGCCAATGTCTGGATTATGACCAACGGACTACACTACGGCATAGCCAAACTGATTGGGGATGCCATACGCAATGAGCACCGACATCGGGAATCCAAGCAGAAACACGAAGTGTATACCAAAGCCCACCTAAATAAAAAGAAAACCGATCTGGTCCTTATGGGAATCGTGCCGGCTCCATTACTGAAAGACCCGGATGTCTTCGCTGCTGTTCAGGTAACCGGTATTTACACGAGTAAATTTGATTATTAATTTTGTTCCGTTTTTTATAAATGTGGTACATGTGGCAGATGGTTTTTAATCTATAGTATTACAAAGTATCTTTACATATACATGTTACGATAAAATTGGGATAAATCGCATGGTACAAATATTACTCGTACTGCTTTGCTCACATTAATCAAATGTTTTAATATGAGTGCATGTGCAGGGTGGACGAATTAAAATGAGTCGTCCTAGTGAAAAGCACAATCGGCAGCAGTATGATATGGATGCTTATCATACACACTTTTTTATCCTAAAACGCTCCTATAAAGCTGCCGCGTTATTCCGAGTGCAACTGGAAAAGGAGTTGGCGAGAGAATCTGGACTGCGGACCAAAGACAAAGTCTTCATTCCAGAATATTATCGTAATGGCGGTTTCAAATGAACAGTACTGTCTACGCATCTGCACATATTATGGCATCTATCTGTAAAGGAAAAATTTAATGCGTAATCGTAGAGAGCGATTCCGACGACGAACAAAGCCCCATTGCGGATAGCCCGCGCTCGACGGTTGCTCACCAGCAGATTCCCGTAGTAGCGGTACTGGTCCAGGGCGGACCGGTGGAGTTGGATCATGTGCTTACGTATCTAAAAAACAATGTTCCCGTTATTATTATCAAAGGCACCGGGTTCATTGCTGATATTTTGGCGGCCACATTTGAAGATTACCATTACGAACAGTAAGCCATATGCACGTGATTGTAACACCTACATGCACTTGACAGTTCATCATGTCACTGCATTTCTTCATGTGCGTTGATTCTGGTTGAAGTTTAATTAATACATGTATAGTACTCTTCTCGTGAATTTTCCATTACGAAATTGAGCACTTAATTAAATCTGCACATATAATATACCGATTGTAACAAATTTTAGTGGACGCAATATTCTCGAGTTGAACTTCCTGCGACCGGAAGTGAGCAGACGAATCAACCGGTCATTCCCAATCAGTCTGCTTGAGCACGAATCTGAGCGCATCAGCATGCGAGATAAGATTCTGGATTGTGTGGCTCTGGGATGTCCCGGTAGTGGGGGTGTACTGTTGACAGTGTTGTCTTCCAATGAAGACTTAAGCAACCTGGATGATCATATCCTTACGGCGGTTTTCGAAGGTCGACCCCAATTGACGAGTAGGTAAACTGACCAGTAAACAAATGCAATCGCAATAATAATCATCAGTAACACCATGCAATTGGTTGTCCAGAATAAGGAACAAAATGAAAAACACACTGTAATTGTTTGTTACCAACCGGCTCGTTTCGATATTAATTTTTTATGTATAAATTTTAATAGTATGCTCTCATTAAAAATATACTAATATTTAATAGTATAGTACTAATATTTAATTTAATTAAAAATATACTAAATTTTAATAGTATGCTCTCATTAAAAATATGCTCTCATTAAAAATATACTCTCATTAAAAATTAATCTCAGAACCATACAATTTTGTGACGAATGCATACAGTTTTTATTGACAAGTTGACGCGTTTAATGACGCGTTAACATTTTAGTTGAAAGAAATCATAAGAACCAATTACGCAGAATACTGCATAAGTAACTAATTTCTGTGTGCCATTCCATTACTGACTCAGAAATCAGAATACAAATGTGTTACTTATTAATTTAACTTTGTAATCATACATAACCGGCATACGTAGGTTCCAATGTGCGAGAGCAGATTCGCTCGGATTTAGTTTTGACCATGCAGTTCAATAAACCTTTCCTTGCCGAATCGAAAGTTATGGGAAGGGACGAATGGCACAGCTTAAAAGTAAGCAGCAGTTATCAGACAGCTCCCAATATCTTTTTTAAAGTTAATGCTTTGCGGACATAACAAAAGGTCATAATTGTAGATCGATAATGATCTCTACGAAAAAAGCTTACTATGGAAAAATCGCGAGCGCTTCTTGGAACATTTTATGGAACAAGATTTTGCCATTCATAAATACTTAAGCCATTCCAAACTTTTGCATCTTTTTCGCCGGGCAGAGGATGCCGAGTTTTTTGTTACGGTTGTTTGGGAGCAGCTTTTAGCGCGAATCACCGGTAGGAGCGCAATTTTTGCAAGAGTAACTTTTTATATATGAGGCACGTAGCAGAATTCTACTGTATTAGATGATGTTATGAAGGAGTCCTTCGTTACAAAGGATTTAAATCTAATTATCGAAGAGTTAACGGGGATTAAGAATTTCCTAAGCATGGCGGAATTATCGAGGAATGCCATGGGAATTATGGTGGAGAATGACATTGTCGCCGAGCGAAAGGTAAGCAAAATATTGTACACTGAACCAACATATTGCACAAGTGCGTTGTGCTGCCTTATGATCTCGGTTAACTTCGATTGCGTGCTGCCCGGCCTTTTTTTTCACGGTCTTTGAAAGTAAAACTACACCATACCGTAAATTTTTTCGGAATCAAGTTAGTATAAATTTCTGCCGCATTATTAGCCGCATTTGGGCAATATACTGTATCTGTATACTCACAATCCGTATAAAGATATAGAAATTTCTTGTAGGCCACCAATGCGCTTCTCGTATGGGCTGTTCTGATGAATCGCTCGGAAATTGCCAAAAGTCTGTGGCGTTTTTGTGATGACCCTATCCCATTGGCTCTGTTTCTTAGCGCCTTATTCCGTAATCTGCGGGAATTCTGTCCGGAATCGGAAACCGCCGTGAAGTTGCGAGATCAGAGCCGGGCCTTCAGTCAGATGGCCACCGATGTGCTGGACATAAGCTATCGTGAATCCAATGCACGGGCTTTTGAGCTGCTCAACCAGAAATTTCCAGATTTCAATGACAAAACACCCCTTAAGCTGGCATACGATTGTGAAAATCGGTAAAACTACATTAACAGATCGAATAAGATTTTGATCAATAATGCAACGTAATAATACCATATGAATTAGAATTAAGTGTTTAATTCAAAAGGTCACCGCTTAATTCAGCTTTCCAGATACTTGCCCATATATATGTCTCACCACAACAAACGAATAATAATAACATGCATTATTATGCAGCTACTTTCTTGCTCACGAATCCTGTCAGAAATGGCTAACGCACATCTGGGAAGGAGGAATCGAGGTTGCCGGATCACTTGAAGGTCACATATTTGGACTTCCAGATAGCGTAAAGTAAACACAAACAGCATCCAGATCCTCGTCATTTACTTTGGAAAAATTATTAAAAATACTGCTTTTAAGTCATGATTATATATTTCTACAGGCTGATATTGTCCGCACTGTTTTTATTTCCAATACCATTTTGGATACAGTATCCACGGAAGAATTTCGAGAAACAGTACAGCATGGATCATAATAGTACGAATCATTTTCATCGCTCAGATGAAATTATCCGCACCGACTCTGTCGAGAATGTGCATGGTAAAGATAGAGCAATTACAGCTGCTTAAACATAAAACTCGGTATAGTATTCAAGCCCGCTGTTGTAGATCCTTATGAAGTGAATATCCATAATCGAGAAGTTACCGCCAGGAGAATTAAACAACTGGAACTTATTGAAGCTGGTCAGCGAGGAGGAACAACTATACCGGCAAATCGTCGGCAGTCCGCCGTGCCGTCAGCCAGTTCCAGTGCCCTTTACATAAGAAAAGAATTACCGTTCTACCGAAAAGTCGTGTATTTATGGACAGCACCCAGAACCAAATTCTGGATGTTTCAGGTGGGTACAACAACAACATTAAATTTCTTTTATACAGAAGCCTGTAATATTCTTGTATAAAACAGCTTCCTACACTTGGCAAATCCTGTTACAATTAACAAACGAAATTTTTTATTTACAATTTAGCTAATGTATTGGGCCTATCTGGCGTTGTATTCCATAACAATCCTAATGCCGACCTGTGAAAGCATGACTATGGATATTGTTGTAATATCTTGGACATTTCTTATGGTCATCGAAATGGTTCTACGGTACGTTATACCGAATCTAGTATCAGTTACATATATGACTGCAGCAACTACGTATATACCTCGACCATACCTAATAAATTGCCAAATTTGTCCCAACAATAAGATTAAGCGAATACTATAATTTGCACGAAAAAATATATTTTATTGCATTCCAGGACGATCTATCAAGTGAGGCGGGATTTTCCGGTAGACCTTTTTGAAAGATTTGCGGAAATCTTGATATTATCAACATTTGTGATACTGGCGTTCTTCTTGCGCATTGTCGGCATACATTTTGGATTAGTGCGGCCATTTTATAGTCGCTCACTAATGTCCATCGGTAATTCCAAATCATAGAATTCTTTCTAATTTAAATACAAATTACATATTTATCTGTTGCAGGGCTTTTATACATGTATTATAGGATGATAGCAGTATTCTTTCCCATGCATCCCACGTTAGGGTGAGTGTTTATTGCTTACTCGTATCTATATATCAGCGTTGTTGACCATACGCGTACGTTTTTTTGTGTTCGTTCGCATGATAACTCAAATCTTTATGGCTCTTTGCAGACCAATGTTGTACAGAATTAAAAGGATGCTGGCGGTGGATTTTGTCAATTTTCTCAAACTTGTCTTTCCGTTTCTGGTTAGTAATATTGTGGTTTTATCCTGGAAAGCCGGTTCGCGTCGTTGGCTAAAACTGCCATGTTTTTAGTTAGCCAATATGTTCGTGCTGCAAGCGGTAATGTATCCGGATTTTCCATTTACTTCCGAAACCTGGCGGCGCGGTTTCTTCCGCGCCTTTTTCACATTATTCACGGCTTTCCTAAACGAAATCGATTAGTAAGCATTTGTATAATGATGCCTGTAATCTGCAATAAATTTCATTTTTTATTTGTTTGTGTTTGCACGCAGATCTGCATTAACAATGCAAGCTGACCGAACTATATAGAACATTATCGCTGAAACAGAATTTAACTGATGATCATATAGGTACTTATGATCACGTGTGTATGATTCTAGATAAGAAAACGTGTGTATGATTCTAGATAATTATGCTTTTACGTTTGTAGCAATGAGCGATGTGAACACGATCGGATTGTTAACCATACAAGTTACTGTTGGACTGGAGATTACACCCATCACGAATGTCCGACAATTAGTTGGACTAGTTATATCATCAACATCCAGTATATGGTCATCCTGAAATTAATCCTCGTGACCCTGTTATACGCCTTGTTTTCGTAAGCCACTATTCATTTTTCAAGTCTTGCATTATTTCTGAAAACGGTTTAATAACGTATAATTTAAAGGTTATTGGCCTTATTTAACTACTGTAATTCATTAATTTTTTGATTAACCTATACTTGTTTTAGTGGTACACTGATGAAAGTGAAGGAAGAGGCGGACTACATTTGGAAATTCCAGCGTTACGGTATTATCCTGGATTTCGCATCGCGGCCGGCATTGCCACCACCTTTTTCCGTGTTGAGTTATGCGTTCAGCTTTTTTGTAATGTGCTGCGGGAAGATAAAGGGCATGAACGATGAGCGCGTCCGCGGCCTGACAAAGCGTCGCGATATTCGCCTGAAGCATCAGAAAAGCCATAAAAATTCCGAAACAACGTACAACTACTGGATGGGACTAACTAAGGAATACTACAGAGTTAAAGCGCAAGAAGAAAAGGATAAACGAATTAGCAAAGATCAGTTCAAAATGTATGTATGGAATATGTGATGGAATAGTTCCAGTGCTAAACTGTTATAATTGTGCCATGTCGACAATACGATTTGCAACGCACTTCAGAACAGAACAAATCCTGGAAGCCCAAGCCTCAATGAAAAGCAATCAGATCCGATTTCGAGATCGTCTCAAGGAACTGGAGAAGAAAACCGATGATAATCGACTTTATCTGGAAGATATTCGGCAGACCGTGGAACGTATTGGTAAGTCAGAAAATTTTTTGGGTGATTATATTGTACGAGTACATACTGGTCTTTTCAAAATTAAACTAGGAGATCAAAATGTACAGCAGCTGAGATTCGAAAAGTAGCAATAACTGGATGTATTACGTACTTCCATCTGCAAACCTATAGCTAGGCGTAACGCAAATGGCTGAAGTTTTGGCCAAAATTAGTATACCGACATCTGTACAAAACTTTTGATTAATTGTATTTTTGGTTATTGTAAGATACATACAGACTATAACCAGTGCAGTATACCGGAGTCTGAATAAAGCCTGTTTTGCTAGATACTGATTCCGGCGCTAAAGATTCCACAATGCATCGTCTAAGTCGGGCATCACCTTATCCAGGAACAAATGTGCACCGCTTTAATGTTTTCAACAAATTTATACCGTGGGAGGTACAGAGTCTGCATGAGCTATCAAATTAATTCATGCGGGCTACTGTTGTACATATTATTATCAATATTATGCTTACTCGTCCATATTAAATTTCACAACAGTTGACGGTCACCGGCTTAATATTAAAACTGCCCTCCGTGCATTAGGTGCCATATGATATGTATGACCCGGCGGATTATTCCAGACCTATGGAAGAATTTCCAGTTCCAGAGCAGAATTATGTTGATCCCAAAATTAATTCCAAAGTGGAATACAATACAGACAATATTGTCCCTAATAACATTTTGGATTTGGATGAAGATTTTGTGCATCCACTGACGGAACCATCCCGACTGTTCTGCTGGAACGATACAGCCATGGTGGACGGCGTTTGTATTGACCGTCGAAGCTGGATTAAAGCACCATCTGGACGGTCTGGATACCAACTGAACGACCTTGGTCTACCACAGTTCGTGGAGCCTTGTTAGTGCACATAGCGCAGGAACTTGTACTGTCCACTTGTTTTGCAGAAATCCTTTAGGGCGAACAGGGTTAAGCGGAAGGGGCAATTTGCACCGATTTGGTCCCAACCACTATGTACAACTAATCGTAACACGAGGGATGGCCGATAACATGCAAGTAATCCTGAGGAAGACGTACAGTGCGGGAGGGGATAGTGGACGATTTCCAAAGGTCAGCCTGCTACGCAAGCTGACGATATCATAATTCTTTTGGACATTATCATAATATGACTGACAATATTATTATTTCGGCTAGACGCCGGCATTCTCTTCAGAGAATAATCTGCTCAAAATTGTGGCTCATGCATTGGCCAGTTTCTTTGATGATTATGAAAGTATAACAATTCCAGAAGTGCAGGAAATCAGCGTATTGCCAAAGGTAACCCTTAACTAACATTTTTCTCCCATAATTATGATTTGGCTTCGACGTTTGCCAATTTCAGATGCTAGAGCTGATCGCTTTCCATAAACATACTTCTGGGAATCTGCTGGATCTGCACGAACTTGAGCGGGGATATCTGGACGATACGGAGAATACGGATAATGCTTGGATTGAGGCAGCTACTTGGCACATTCAGCTACGATCGTACAGAGAATTTGATCGCCGTTTGAAACCTGTATGTCTCAATCTTCACTTTTGGCTTTTTTAACTGAATAACTCGCTAGGAGTGTTTTTCTAGGATCTTGCGTGGGAAGATGCTGTTGAAGGGCCTATCGGCAGGATATTACGGCGCTTAAGCGTTCGAACTTGAATAACTATAAGTACTTCTTAAAGGTCACAATGCACGCAAACAATAACAATACTTACTTTGAATGCTACTAAGCCATGGTGCAAAACGGGATACTGCGATGTTGATAAAAAAACGAGAAAATTGTGAAGGTGTAAGATGAAAGAAACTACGTAACACATATGTATACATTTTATGTCAATAAAACAATTGTGACAAAATTCTATTCGAGATACAAAGCGGTACATTGTCCAGCAGATATACTAGTCCAAATCTTTCCACAAAATTCGCTGGTATACCACGAAATCAAAAGCTGTGGTGTTGTTGATGTTGCGCACAGCCATCCAACGGTATTTCTACAGAATTACAAAAATCAATAGGGTAACTAAAGTCCAGTACAAAGCTACGTATGCAATAAACTCACCACTGAGCCATCGAGGGTCACAAGCGAAGTCCGCAGCAGCCACACCACACCTTCCACCCATGCATTGTCAGTGTTGCGGTTATCGTCGATGTATCCACGATACAGTTCCTTGGCGCTGACGGCATGGCCCGCACTATCCCGTATTCCTATTGCCTCCTGAGACACGTCGTCATGAAGTTGCGACGTAAGGGCAGCAAGCAATCGGGTTACGCCTTCGGCTTCTGATTCTCCAATTCGTATGAACGTCTGCAAATCCACATAACGTCGACATATTACAACAAAAAATCATATCAACCTTAAAACAGTACTGGATCCACCGTATTTAACAACAAGCAATTTTAACTGTGTGTTTATAAACTTTCCCCGTTCAACAAAATACAAGAAAGATTTGTGCAACCTGTGGGATAGTGGACATTCCGTGGCGGTGAATTTCCGTTGCAGTAACCAATTCACCATCATCGCTGCTGCTGACCAGCACCAAATAAATGCAGTGGTTAGGTCCATACTTATGGAGAATTCCGCGACCAGTCATACCGGTTCGGCCCAACGGATTTCTGCAGAAAAGCTTAAATTTCAGCTAAAACATGACAAGCTGACGAGGGCATCAAAGCAGCTGTAAAAGTGAACGCACAAGGGAAACCCATTTAACGCTACGGTATATGTTATTGGTGCGCCTTCACTGGTTTTAATCCACGATCGTCGGTCATTTGGCTCCTTTGCGCTTATGTCGATGGTGTTCCACTTGTAACTGGTCAGAATGGGGTTTGGTTTGGCGGTGTCAACATCATATCTCAAGGTTTCGGGGTACATTTCCAGTGGTTTTGTATACTCTTTTGGGTCATATATGCTCAATTCTGTCTGAAAAAGTTTTTACGGTAGAATGATTTCTATGCCGAATTGAACAAAAAACACTGTCGAATAACTATTACAACTGATCTGGAATATGCAAATAATTCTTGATAGTTGTTATTAGAGGTATTAGGCTTTAAATACAGTACGTTCAAGTACGGACTTTAGTGTACCTTGCAAGTGTTCGCTGTATACTTATTAGTAATAATTATTAATTATTAAAATTTAGTCCTTTTAATTAGTGTAAACTTGCGGAAGCATACCGATATGTGCACTGGCTGTTGCCTAACAAAAGTATTATTATTAATTAAATAATGTAAGACTTATGAGATGCAATAGCACAATAAGTAAAAACTCAGCTGACCTGCCAAGAACAATAGCTGTCCAGTAGGGTAAAACGAAACAAAGTCGTTTCCGGATAAGGCGATTGCCGGCTAAGGATGTGCACTTGATCACTGCTGGAAAACGGATCCATTATATCTACAAACAATCTTGAGATTAAGGTCTTAATCTAAGGTTTAAAAACTGAGAGCACAAATTGCACATGCATACTTCTGAGAGTAAACAAAGAGATTACTGAGAGATTACTGAAACAAAATTTCACATGAAAACAATTTTATACTGACAGGAAAGCACGCGGATGCGACAAACCCGGTTCGCCAAACCACAACTTACTCATGGACTTGACCTTGTGGCGAACCGATTGGGCTTCAAAAGCCGCTGTTGTAGCCATTTTGCCAACATCTCCCATTTTATCTCGCAGCTGATCCAAGAGTCGACGCTGTGCATGCAAACTGGCACCAAAGCTGCTAAAACTGCAAAAACGCATACGGTCTGGAAAGTCTTTTGGGAATCTGTTCACGCATTGCTGCAGTGCATGGCATACTTTTCCATGTGCCTTCTGGACATTTCTTGTTCTTTACCATACTGACTTGCCGCAATGAAATAGTCCTTGGTAAGATTCGTCCAGTAGTTATAATACTCCGACTGATCGTACATAAATGTATTAGCCCCGTAATCGTCACCTTCGAATGGTGTATTACGTTTTCGATGCAATATACTCTTGACCAGCCTGTACATGTAGCCAAACATGGCAAAAGGCGGTGGAAGAGTCGGTCGCGATGCAAACTGCATGATCAACAGGTAGCGCTGATACTTCCATATTGCATCGGCTTCTGCCTTGATTGCTGTTAGGGTGTTGCTGAAAAATTAATTTCATATAATACAAACAAAAAATAACTAAATGTGCAATTAAAAAGATACAGAAAATTAAACACTTGAATTATCAAGTGTTTAATCATTATTAAATGATAATCATTATTAAATGATAAAAAATAAAAATTTTTACGCATTTCCCCGCTTACTTGAACATGGCTGTGAGAATGACCAAAAGTACTAATCGCAGCACAATCATAAACTGAATGGTGAAACCATAGCTGAACAATGTCACCGTGGGACATGTAATGTCGCTGTATTGCCCAGCCATGCAGTGATCATGTGGCAGGACGGTGCCGTTTTGTTGGTAAATAGCCGTTGCCTCGCACTTATTTGTGCTGTAAATATTTGTTTGCTTAGTATGAACGAGAATAGACAATTCGCTCGGTATGACCTTTCCAATTCAGCCTGCATTGGCGCAATGAAAATACCGAAGAAAGCCCGATGGAATCCCTTTCTCCACGTATCCCCGGTCATGGGCCAATCTGGATAAATTGTAGTTTGTAAAACAATGAGATTGGCCACCTGAAAAACCATAATATATGTTAATGCCCCTTTGGCTTGAAAAATTTAAAAAGTTGTACGAAATCGTACAAAGAATGGGAACAGCAGCTTCAGGAAGATGACAAAATCTTCGGCTAACATTCGCTGGAGGCGATATAGCATCGGTCCCAGTGTTCGACTGATCGGGAAGAACAGCGTGATCACACGATAGTAAAAATATAAGACACCTTCGGAAATACAATTTATTAAGGGTTAAGGATTATTATCGGTTAACCTGCCAAGCCTTAAACTATACCACTTTCCTGTAACTTACCAAAGCACATGACAATACGTCCCGCAAATGCTCCAAAGAAGTGATTAATCATCTGTGAACCGCTAAAGTACGTCACAAAGGAGAACTTTAATTCCAGCATAATTTCGAAAATGATAAATAAACAGTTGAAGATAAAGATAAAGACAATCTCCGATATTCGATAAATCCAGGAAAATGGCATACCGTGCATGTACTCATAGGTCAACCTGAAAACATATTTTTGAAAACAAAGAATAGTTTTCTTAAGAATATACTTAACAATAAGCGGATAGTGAAGAGTCTAGTGCTCATTCGATTCGTATATTATTTAAAGTGGATTATCAAATGTACAAAACGGAAAAATTTCAAGATTTTCGCCATAAAATGCGAAAATTTTTTTTCACCTTAAAATGCACTCAATCCAATAGGACACTGTAAAAGCCAATACCACTCCATTCAGAATGGTGTTGCGGCAGTTTGGCATCATTGTGGCAATACCCAAAAGCACAAGGAATGCCCAGTAGGTCGCTTGGAAAGTCCAGAACTTTGTCACCGGCGCCATCCACATTAACCGAATCATTGTACACAGCGGCGGCCGCACCACGCGCCCTCGATGAATTAGTTTCTTAGGCGTCCTGACGTTATCCCGCCGCTGAAGCTTCCTTTCATTATCCCTCAATCGTTGAAGTTCATCGACAATATTTTTCCGATGAAGATCACAGTCCACATCCATAATCGCGTCCGCCATAACGCTAGTCGATCGCGATCTTCTAGATGAACTCCGATTTTTCACGTAACGCGGAAAGCGAATCCAAAAGTACATCGGAAATATCAGGAATGCCGACAGAATAATTTTTGCATCCACGAAGCGTTCGGAAACTTGAATTTCGCCCATGAAGAAATTATTTAACCATTCTTGGCAACTACGATGCGCCAGAAACCACCTGTAACCAAAAAATGCTATTTATACAGCAGTTTCGACATGCTGCTGTAGATAACCCGTTAATATTTAAAATACGAAGCGATCACTACATATGCATTGCCTAACCGCTTTTACCATTAAATTAAATAATTTTACTGTAATTTTGTTTTGTATAATTGTTTCGATATAAATTGCTTGCTTTAACGCATTCTGCACTTATTGTTGGAATCATATGCCATCTGTATTGGTGTCCGGTAGCCAAAGTCGGGAAAGCGCTCATTTAGGATATCCGTTAGACGATCCGCTGCCTGGTCTTTCACACTTAAATCCAGAATATCTGTCGCAAACACCGCAAAATCTTTCCGGTGGTTGGATAAACGCTGCTCCAGCTCGTAGTCCGTTTGGTGTTCAGCCAGTCCGCGGTACAATGAACTGATGAAAAGAGCAGTCGGTATAGGGTCATCGCAGTACTTGCACAGTAACTTGGCCAACGCGGCACGATTAAGTAACACCGCCCAGGAAATCAGTGCTAGGCAGGCCTAAAAATTTTGAAAACAAATGTTAACACACTTGAAAACAGTACTTGCTGCATATAGAAGAGCTGCAAAACAGAAGCAGAAACGCTTACCCTCCGTTCAGCTACTGTAGCGCTCAAGACGTAATCACCGAGAGAGTTCATCGACAGCCTGTACGCCGAAACCGCAACCGGAAACTTGGCCAGATGATTGAGTAGAGACGGTAGCATTTCCTCCACAAATGCTGGTGGGACAATATCTGCATTAAAAATCCCACCTAGTATTACATTCACACGTGATTTTGTTTCTTTGATGCCGTACGATCCAAAGCAAAATACATAATTATTATTGTATTTCGTAATATATATTGTCGAAAGTCACTGTATGGGCAGTTAATTTAATTACCGATACTTCAAAGTGGAAAACACACAGGATTACGCTTCTTACCAAGAAAAAAACAAAACTACTAGACTCACCTTCCGAGCGCTGAAGAATTCTCTGCCATACAATATCCATAAAGAATTTCCCATCAGTCGCCCGGCGAAAAATCTTCACCAGCTTCAAATGATTTAGATATCTGTGCAGAATAAAATCTTGCTGCATAAACATGTCAACAAACTCTTCGCGACCCGCAAGAATAAGTGCAGCTTCGAATGACGCATCTGGTATCTGGAAAACAGAATATATTAATTATGTAAACTTGTTCCCAAAAGCACGTTTTAGATGCCAGATCCTACCTGCATTTTTTTCCAGGGCTTTTTACTGAGAATGTCTGTCTTTGCAAATTCCGGCCGATTGCATCGTATTGTGAGCTGGAGATTGCGATCAAGAAGTGACATATTTGGAACTAAAAAATTTGCTTTAAGAACACTGCATAAGGACTTTGCGAATGAAAAATGAAATCATTTTTTACCATTGCTTTCAGATGCTAAGATGGATTTGAGCACAATTTTATCAAGGTCAGAAAACTCGCTGGCCGGTGCAGTGCAGTCCATAATCGAAATTAGTGACATCGTTCCCTGACGCGACAGTTTAACGCACTCCAGGATTTTCTCCACGTAGGCCATTCGTTCCGAATCGTGTCCGCGGAGTTCTTCAGCATAATCATCGGAAAGACGGGTGGAAATCTGATGAATAAGGGCAGCACGATCAGACCCCACAGCATCCCTAAACGAACGCAAAAGTTCACTTCTATGTTCCGGTTGTTCTATGTTCCGGTTGTCGTTTTCTGTTAATACAAGGACAGTTTTCGCTTGACTATAAAAAATTCCCTTCTTTGGCTAAATGTTAACTAAAACCTGGTTATAAAATAATCTCAATATATTGCAAAAGACTGAGAAAATTTGGCTATAAAATAAACTCTATATATTGCGAGTGCGAATTATATAACAGTGACCCTGATAAGTGAGTGTGTGACCTTTTCGAAATCATAATAGGTACTGACCTTTCCCGAACAGCCATAGCCAAAGTGTCCGCCAAGTACCCGCATCCCTCTAGCAGAATGACCGGCACGCGGTTCAGCAGATGCTGGTGAATGAGATCCAACTGTGCCAGGTCGCCCTGAAACAGCAGCACCACAAACGGAACCTTCTCATCGGATGGATTCCCGGTTGCCGGCATGGTTCCATGTGCATCTGGCAGATCTGGATCTAATGCGTTACCAAAATCGTAAACGCCCACAACACATTCATTTTCACGAAAAAGTAATATTACTGGCCACTTACTGCAAAGCAATACGTACCCGATCGTTGTTCCAGTATTTCATGCCGGATATTCTGCACGGCCAACGCCTGTTCTAGAGCGCGTTCCAGCTTCGCTCGGAATACGCAAGCAGCGGTATAGGGCTGTTCCAGCAGAACGAAATGCGTATGGTGCCAGTGCAATCCAAATCGTTGTCGCTCATCATCGTTCCCGTGCTGTGCTACCGGAACAGTTTGCTCCTAATTGCAAGGAAACATTAGAAAATCTGTGATTTTAAAGGCGGCATAAAACTTTCGGGGCTGCAGCGTACCTTGCTATGTAAAACTTGTTCGGCATCGGTCAGCAGAGAACACGGCACCATACTAATAAGAGTTACCGTTCGGGATGCTTTCCGATGGGGGGACGAATATTCAGTAGAGTTTACATCCCGGTACTGCCGGTGCTCTTCATGCTTTATTGCCGTTCCAATCAAGCGTGTGATACCATAATTCAAACCGTCCGTGATCAGCCATACATCCAACGCTTTCATAATCTACAGCAAAATTATTACAACCGATTTGAATAATCTGGAATGCTGACAACAATTACACCCGCACATTACAAGAGACAAGAAAAAAGTCATTTAAAGCGTATATTTCAATTATTCGCGCCTGATGCGGTCAGCCTAAGAAGAATATAATTTAATTACAGTAATTTGTCGTGGCCAGTTAGTAAAACATGATGCCAACTTGAGTGATATCGCAGGATATAATTGGAGGGCAGAAAACTTTTCAAACACTAGTGTTAGTATTTTAATTATTATTCCAAATTGCATACTAAAGGAAACATATTTTGTTGTTCTTATTATAGTTGTAGTTGTAAACATACAACGAAAGACACTGTCCGCTAAGCAAATGCTACAGAACCGGGCACACCTTCATAAGACCTTTCTGGAAAGCCGCGCGATGGTCTTCCCGCTTCCATAAATCGAAATATTTAGTCCCACCAACAACACTCAACAACAAATGAGGAAACGGAAGATGCCAAGTATCCAGTATCTTCTGTGCGCATGCAGTGGCCTCTTCTTGAGGCTTAATGACCATATACGGCTTCTAAAAATCCAGTTATGGATTTAAGGAACGACACACAGCGATTTGCAATATGTAGTTCTCATCAGCTATTTCGGATAGGGTGTCATTCTCATAATTGCCATGCATATGTAAAACATAAAAATTAATCTATCAGAAAGTCAGTTTTTACCTCAGGAATGGCATAAAGGAACGATAAAGGATCTTGATTATTGCGAGCACCGGTCTTACGGGATGCTGCTCCAGTTTTCTGAATACAAATTTAGTTGAAAAACGAAAATTTAGTAACTACCGAAAGCTTTAGGGAATACTTCTTACCTTCCTTATCGTTGGTCGATTTGCATTTCCATTGGTAAATCCCTGGTAAGAATGCATTTGTAAATAGTTTTCCGACATTTTTCAAAGCAGACGATTAGAGAAATATCATGCTAGCAATACATTTATAATATCATCCGGTGGAAAAAACTTCAGCATTCCACCCCGCATTGTGAGACGGAAAAAATCGTCAACCAGCAAGTTTCTGTTACCGCTTTACATGTCCATTACTCTTCGATGTATTGTTAGAAAACACAGATTTAACAGCTCGCAACAATCCGGAACGAATGGTGTACACAGTTATAAAAGCAGAACAAACTGGCATTATTCAGTCGTCTGTAATATGCCTGTAAAGCAAACACAGATATAAAATGTCAATAACAAGCATAAAATCGTGCCCTTTGAAGAGTTTCCCCGATTTTACCATCGTTTCTACCTTGCAGTTTCGAACTGTTTGATAAGAGGCCGTCTATAGAGTGTTTAAAATTGTTTGTATATATCCCGCTTGACCTTTGATGTAGTAGGAAATAAACTTTAAAAAGAAGTCCACCATTTGATTACAGAAATTTTGCAGCAAAAACCATTCAACTATCTCTGCAGAACTTACTCAAAACACTTACAGTTGTGAGAGGTTGTCCAAAAAATAATACTCGATTACTTCGTTTTTCATGCGAATGTGGCTTTCATATTGCAGCGCATGATGCGATTGACATTGTGCAAAACAAAGCTCTCACGTCACTGACGGAAGTACTCGAGAAACGACAGTGAGTACTAGTAGCGATGTCGATGCTAGTTTTTCGTAGGATCTTCACTACTCTAGACTATAGACAAACGAATAAATAGTTTTAACCGAATATCTTACCGATGCTCCAATTACCCACACGGCAACACGTGATCAATGATGCCAGTATTAAAATGATTATTTTATCAACCGCTTAAATGAAAACTTCTTCCAACATCTCTTCGCCTCAAACCGATACAGGGCACGTGTATAACAAAATCATTTGAATCTCAAGCTAAGTAAAGAAAAGAAGATATCATTCTACAGGATAAAGTTGACTAATAATTACAGAATACATTTATTTACCGTATGCAAAACCACAGCAGTAAGATGCATGGATGCTGTGGAATATAAATGTCGTACAGGTAAATGATGTGGTGCTGTGTGATATTCATACACACTGATTCGAAATTTCCCAGATACGCAATCAGGCAATTGTTAAATCAACAAATTTTATTTTACCGAATAACGTTTTTCCTTGCTGTAGAAAATTTATATGTGAAATTATGAGCCAAATTCAGATTCCTCCCCATAAAAGGATTAAATACCACAGGACGTATGACATTCGTGGCATCATAGAGAACAGATACAGTAGTTATACCATATTTAAGTGCATTCTTCTTCAATTTCAGAGCAGAATTCACAAATAATAAATAAATTACAGGTTATGCACTTTCCCATGAGTTGTTAGTTGTTACTGGTTGAGTAGCCGATAAATTTTCATGCCATTCAAAATCGTATAATTATTTGCAGTAAAAGGGTAATTTTAAAATATCTGCCATCAACAATATTAACTTGTAAGTAATGCATATACGTACAAAACAAAATTTAAAATGAGCTACGCTAATAATTTTAAGTAATAATTAATTCAATAGCAAACAGCTTTTTCAAATTAAACACTGTACAAATTACAGAACGTTACGAGACGAATAAACCTGAATTCTACGGTAAGCACTAACAAGTAAGCAAGACAAAACCAGTCGAACGAAGAACCTTTAATTCTGATTGCAGTATCCGAACGCATACGATGGATGGTAAAAGTAAGAAAAGATCACAACCAAAATTAAACTGCTCGTCGTTACAGTTTAGAATCTCAATTTAGTGAAAAACCACTTGTTCTTGCCGGTCTTGTATCTCTCCTCGAATTTTCTCCTCACTTCCGAGCGGGCTTTGCGCCTGAGAGAAGGATCTCTGAATGCGTCCTTGTTCACGACGTTCTTTTCAAAGGCGATGTCGACTGAATACCTAGGGAAATAACACGGTGTATAAAAGCATCAGCGAAGCAATTACAATCGGTTTACTACCTGGTGGGCATAACATGATTGTAATTGCAGATTTTGACGAAGGGCTTGATGCGAGATCGCTTTGCCAGCTTCTTGACTCCCATAGTCTTGGTTACTTTGCGAGGATACACATCAATTCCCGCCACCAGAGCATGACCATATTGTTTATTTGCCGCTCCTTCATCGTAATTCTGTAAAGTTTAGTCAGTCAAAAAACGTTCAAACTAAAAATCGCCAAGAGGAAGTCGGCGAACCACAAAAATTCTGCCAAATACTGCGTGGGATACCTTTATGACAATGGCTTTGCGACCAGCATATTTTCCACTGAGGAGAAGGACAACTTTACCCGGTTTCATAATCTTCCCCATGATTGCAATTTATATGATAAAAACGTTTTCAAAAATGTTTATCCAGCTATTAAACCAGGAAAGTATGGTGGAATAAAACTTTATAAAAGCTGCAAAAAAGCAGTGTAGGTTTCCGAAGATCCACAATTTTCAAACCACCGGTCTGCTCATCACGTCGGTGAGAACTACGTTGCATGGCGAGTCGTTTACATTAAAAAGGGAGGGTGGCATGGTTTTTCAGAGCGATGTTTGGGCTGTCTTTGCCTTCGTCACGCTACCAGTATCTATGGGCGGTACTAGCGCTCCTTCGGTAGTCAAAACGTTCAGTTCGAAAGAGCACTTTAAACAATAGACCGCGTGCGATGACAAAGTGCTGCTTGTGGCAAAATTCAAAATGCACCATTAATTGGATTTACGCCCATTTTTTTACTGGAATTTTCAATATTTTTAAGTTAAGCAGTTTGACATGGTAAAGGTGCTGTGCGACTGAAAAAAGGCAGTAGCAATATGCATGGAGAAACATAAATTCAAAGATTGTTATTCGTAACTGCTAGACAACGGGAGTACGGCACGACGACACAGTAGATTTGGAATTTCAGACACTCTCGGCATCTCCCCGAAGACGGGAAAATGAAAATTCCAAAAATTCGGTTTTTTGGAATTTTCAGAAGATGACAGGTTCAGCCAAAATGCTTAGCCTGGCAAATTTCCGAGCCGAGCTAAAACTCTGACCAATCACAGCTTCCTTGGCGTGACGTCAATTTCAATTTTCGGTAGCACGATCATTTTCGACTTCCGGTTGCATTTTGCTTTGGAGCAAATCGCACTAGGTACAATTTCCGATTTCCGAACCCAAGAAGACGAAAGGAGTATGTAAATTGTAAAGGACGTTTTCCTATGTTCTTTTCACAATCGTATTCTTACGAATTATGGTTATTCTCAACTTATTCTTACTGTTTTCTTACGTTTCCCATAATAATTTGTTGATGCGAAAGTAAAACACTGCCGACATCTTGCTCTTGGATTTTTAGCTTTGGTGTGGTGTCGTGATCTTGACAGTTTCCTGATTTCTTCGGATATTCCTGTCATTCTGACGTGGAATACTTCACCTGTCTGTGGAATGCCATTTTAAAGCCATGTCTCTCCGCCTTGGTTTTGCGCAACCGGTATTTCGTCTCTCCTGTCGCGGATGCAAACTCCATAACGTTTCCCGTTATTCTGACACTTTGAAGCGTTACTATGCCACGCGCGCGGTGCAGGAGAAAAATGTTTCGAGCAACGCAACTCCGCAACCCTCAACAACAACAACAACAACTCCGAGTAGTGGCTCCAGTGAACCACTATCTTCATTGTTCGTTACGGGGGCTACAGCACAGACGATTCCCTTCGCTGTGGATCCTTACACCGAATTTGCTGAATATTTTACGGAATCATATGATCTGCAAACCCAGCTGTCGGCCCGAAAGATTACCATGAATGTGCCGCAGTTAGCAGCTGCATGGCAGCATCTAAAGGAGCTGCGAATGCAAAAGAAGAAAACCGAGGCATTCATGGAAGCACATCGATTGCAGCACGCTTCTTACGCGGGAGATGAGCATGCTTATGTAGATATTTTACGATCCATTCGGGAAGAGTTGAAAGAGTTTGATAAGAAAATCAGCAGTGTGGAAACGCGTACGGTATTGGACCTGTTTAAAATTCCTACAAGACTGAGTCAGAGCGTTTTGGAAGGCAAGTCCGATCCCGTTGTTGTCCACGTCAGCGAAGTCGAACCGAAGCAATCCGCGAAAGATTTGGTCCAAGCTAATTATGTTGAGTGGACGGAAAACTCGCCTGGCGGATATTTCTTGAAAGGACCAGCTGCAGAATTAGAATGGCATTTGATCAGTACATCCCGAAGACAACTGGAGGAATACCAGTGTATACCGCTTTCAGGACCAAATTTGGTGAAGTCTGTCATACTTGAATCGCTGTGTGTGAATTTGCAGAATCCTGAAGAGGTACGAGGCGTTGTTGTTCTGAACTATTTCAGTTTTTCAAAAAGGACGCATGTGGTCACTGCTCCGCAGCCTGTATCTGCCATTGAGGCGCAGTGATGAATTTGAGTAATGTAATTAGAATAAACGATGTTCTGCTTTGCATCATTATCCAATTCGTACTCTGTAATCTAATCAGTAATCCTGATAATTTTTTTGTATATTCTGGGATTCTGTACAAATGTACAGAACTTAGTGAGCAAGACTTGGAATTGTACTTTTGTGACCAAATTCCTTGTATTTGCAGATTTACTGATTGTTGTTCCTTTTTATAGGCTTATATGCTCGGCATTAGCAAAAGGAATGGAGCGGAGTATCGTTCTCTCTTTTTGACATCGCTCCCTTTACATATTTATACGGCCTATCTGGCAAACGGTGAATACCGCGAAGGTGCTCCTTGTGTGAAGTTTCATCATTCCGGTCGAATATACAAACCGCAGACGCATCAAGGGAACGGATTGCAGAGATTATTCTATCCATCCCAGACACACTGTGTTTCTTTCTGCATTGGATATGAAGATTTCGACCGAACCGATGAATATTTTCACCAAGCTGTCGACATGTTGAAGAAATTTTACTCTGAATTGCGGCTGCCCTTCCGGATAATGGCCCAGCCGGCGCCTGCTTTAGCAGCCTTCGAAGCTGCCCGGTTTGATGTTGAAGTGTGGTCAGTCAGTCAGAATTCGTATATTCCTTGTGGATTTGTATCGGCAAATAATGATTTCATCAGTAGACGAATTCGCTGTCAAATCGGGAAATCTGATGATAAGTTCATGTACATGATCCACGGGGCACTTGTAAATTTAACTCCTCTTGTGGCGTCTTACTTGGAGCATTATTGATATTCACTTGAGTAAAGAGTTATATTTGCGCGTTGTCTTTCGATAATTTAAGCCGTTCCTTTACATTTTCTGGTGCTACGAAAGTTAAGACGGTATTAATTAGCTGCAGGTTAGACTATGTGTTGTTAATTATTTCGTTTCGTGTATACCCGGTATCGATTGAATTCTTTTTATTCCAATGTTGCCATCCATTAATGGGAGGTCATCCACTTTTCCGCTGGAATCCCAGCTGACTTGCCGCTGTTGCTTTAAAGCTTCCTTGGCTGCGTTCTCTTCCTCAAATAAATTTCTTTGTCCTGCACTTAATTCTGTAGATCGTTTTAGTTGCTGAATGGCATCTTTCTCAACGGTAGCCACAATTGCTTGACCAGCTCTAATTGTTGCCGGGTTCGTATGCAGCTCTATTTCCCGTTTTTTAAGCATGTCTGCGGCACTGGCATTCTGTGGATAACATCAGTTTGCAAGACTGTTTGGGCGGTTTGCAGTTTGGAACCTTATGGCACGAACTTGCGGTACTGTAACTTACTTCGTGGTACTTTTCTGGATCGGGTGCAATAGTATCTCTGTTGGAAGCCACTTCCGCCTCCATTTTATCGTGGAAAAACTTCATGCAGAATTCACATAATTGGTAATCTTTCGGTTGATTTTCAATGACAGCTATTAAGAGATCCTCAATGTATTCCGCGAGACGGGGTGGAATGTAAAACGATTCTTCTGGTATCGCATGCTTTTTCCAGTAAGCTGGACTATACAGAGCACTTCCGCTTCGTTGCCCTTCCACCATTTTTTAGCACACTGCAGATCTGTATACAATTTATGCTTGGAAAACATCAACTTATGCGGGTTTACAGGGATTTCCAGGATATTTATTTATCCATGTACGCATGTTCTCATTCGTTCATCTTTAAGTAAGTAGTGAAATAACAGGAATCGGGCAGGAGTAATAAAATATGGCAACATACCATTCATTTGTCGTTGAAATGTTTCCATGGAACTAAAAGCACTTCCGAAGCTAGTAAGTACTTACTACGTATTCAGCATGGGATCACTTAAACTTTTATTATTGCTTGTAAGTACTATGCAGTAAGTGCTTAAAATTTTAATTCATTAATAAATTTTTTTAATAATAATGGATAATTTACTTATTATCGTAAGATTGGTACAAGGTGCCTCTCTACATAAGTACTCGTATGTTCCGTTATTATTCCTAATTATGTTAATCATGGTATGTTATTAACATTTGATTGGATTTACTGACAACTGTAAAAGTTATTTTACTGGATCGTACTTACTTAATATAGTATTGTACTGTATTAACCGTAAGTGTTGATTTAACTAGAAAAAGCCGTAAGTACAGCCAACGCGGTTCTCTAGGGGCTGTATTGTATTTCATACAATATTGTATTTCATACAATACTATTTCATCTTCACTGTATACAATACAGTGAAGCCCCTTGAGTAGGGCTAATCAGGCGACGCGCATTAATCAGTTGTGGTCAGGGCAGGTCAAGCTGGTGGAGTATTTTATTTACGATTAGAAGGAGCCATTCAGATAGAAGCCATTGTATCGTATGCAGGTATTAATTTTGAAAACCCGACTTCTGATATACTCGCAAACTCTGCTACTTATTTTTCGTTGCAGTTTCATTACTCTTATTGACAGTTTTCTTTGTCGCTTGTCTTTGTCTGTTAGCAAGCAGATTGGTGTATTATAATTGTATGGTCGCTAGGTTTGTCAAACGCTGATGGTCTTCATATAGCAGCGGTATCACATGTACAATGGCCGATGAGAGTATTCAACAAAATGGTGACGGTGATGCAAAAAACAACATCTTTGTGCGAGGTCTTAAACAGCATCGTTCCGGAAATCGGTTTGACAGTGCTCCATGCTCCACGCCGTCCTCGAATCTGCCGAATGCTGTCAGTTCCAAGCTGTCCGTCCAAGCACGGTGCGGAGATATCACGCACGAACCGCGTGTTGTTTTATCCCCGGCCGATATCCTCAAACGACACCGTGAGCATGCCGAATATCAGGCGAAACTGCTAGCCAAGAAGAAAGCGGAAGAGGATGAGCTATCCGACAGTGATGTTAGTCTGCAGTGGGATGCCGATTACCGCGATGCGGATGTGGCCAAGCAGACGCGGAAGGCCAACACGAAATCCCAGCGAAGAAAGAACGCGGAGTTTAAGGGCAAAAGTGATCGTCAGAAAGAGGACGAGCTGAGGGAACGACAACTGAAGGGAGAAGATATTGATTTTGAAGCACTGAAGGATCCTTCAGTTCCTTACAGTCCATACTCCGGCGACTTCGGCGTGGCTCCGCATCCGAGATACATTGCATCCTATATGGATGTGTATCGTACACCAGTTGGAGAAAGGATGGCTGTGAAGATTGTTGGATACGTCGGTGGAGTACTCTCCTGCACGTGGGATGAAATTGGTAAAATACAGGTTATGACATCTTGCTGTCTGTGAGATATCAACGTTAGTCACAGACTCACAGTAACGTTGGCGCGATGTTTGTTTTGACTGGATGCAGTTGTGATATTACTGGTAATTTTAATAACATTTTATTTGCGAAATTTGGCTGTACCATTGTTTTGTGTATCTATGATTTAAGCTGTTGAATGATTTTGGCATTGCAGACGCTGAACGTACCGAGTATGAGAAATTGTCAATGGACTTGGAAGAGTTATATCCAGCGGGCGTGGATCCATGGGAAGTTTTCCCGGGCGAGATCGTGGAAGTTCAAGAAGGTAACGGTGTGGCTCCTGCATGGTAATTCTTGCCGGCATATGATCGCCAGTTGTAATTTTGTTTTTAAGGTACCGGTAAGATGTTTAAAAGAGGAATTATTTCGGAATGTTTCAAGAGAGCTCAACTACTGGATATCTTGCTGGTTGATTACGGGAGCAGAACCGTTCGCATTGGAGCGGAGTTGGTCCGACAACCACGCCAGAAGATTTTGTATGATCCGAGATGGAGGAAGTTTTATGTTTGTTTTTTCAAACCAACAGGTATGACAGTTACACGCAAGCGTTCAGAAACTTTCCAAAAAGTATAATAATCACTGTTCATTACATATTGCCTTTTTCGTACAACTTGAATTTCTTTCCCTGTGATATTGTGCCAAAACGTTTTTCGAGAGTTTCGAAATGGCCAAGTTAGTATTTTGTATTTTCCGCAGCGCCTCTGGTAGTTGAACAAGAAGAATTGCTACGGTCTGCTTCTCCGGAAACGCCGGTCCCCGCTGATGTACTGTGCCATGAACAAAAAGGAAGAATTTGTATCGGCGACATTTCGTTAAAATAACACGGTGTTCGTAAGCGTTAACGAGATCAGCTGTTTTAAAAACGTTACGTTTAATCATCTGCAAAAGTCGATGTATTGCTTATTCACTTTCGTTTGTAAGTACCTATTCGTGGTATTTGAGATCGTTACATACTTTAATTGCGTCTATAGTACGAGTATAAGCCAGATGTTTGTGTTAGCCAATAATTCGGAAGCGGTTAACTTGCATCAGAGTCATCAGACTGATTTGTACTTATATGAACACATTTATCTGTTACTGCACTTGAAATTTCGGGATCTCAGTGGTTGTGATTAAGTACGAAAATATTGGTTACCTTCCTGCTTTTAAGGGATAAAGTACAATGGACACCATAAATGTGGTTACACTAGACAATCGGTCCGAGGACCGATATTTTAACGGCAAGACCAACAGCAGACCAAAATAAGTCGGTCATGTCCATTGCGCGTAGACTCGTATGCTAAATTCAGGCACTTGGAACTTGCACATTTCTCAACGAAAACCACCAAGCGATATCTCAAAAGAATAAGAAAAAAATTCTAAGAATTTTGATACCAAACAAATTGGTTTTTATTACATCTAAGAGAAAATCGAGGCTCCTAAAGTTTCCCGTAGACAGAGCATAGGATTTGAATCCACGGTTTGGTTTGTTTTCACGCATATGCTTTGTCTACGGGAAACTTCAGGAACCTCGATTTTCTCTTAGATGAAACAAAAACGAATTTGTATGGTATCAAAATTCTTAGAATTTTTTTCTCATTCTTTTGAGATATCGTTTGATAGTTTTCGTTGGGAAGTGTGCAAGGTGCAAGTGTAAACATCAGCAGGCCGATGGCCAGCACGGAATTGGCAGTCTGAGTACAGATAAGTATCTGGTTGCGCGCGGTTTAAGTGTAACCACATTTATGGTGTCCATTGTAAGCTAACAATAAGAAATTTATGAATTTCAGCTCGATAACGAACTGCTTGACCCTTTCGAACGTGTCTGCTTATGTCTATCGTGAATACCACTACACTGTGACTACAGGCGGCACACTGCGCTCGGATACCTTGACCGCGGATTGTAATCAAATTGTAGTTTGGTCTGGCAGGCAGAGTCCATTCAACAATGGCTATCGGCGTTAGTCTGCTTCAGGGCAACAGTTTATCACGTTCAGACCTAATTATTACTTTGTCAGGGAGCTAAACTCTTGCCCAAGAGTTAAGGGAGTTTTAATTTTTAGAGTTTTACGGCAGTTTTTTTACGATACTGTGATGGCGAGCTTCAATCATATCATTATGAACAGCGTGAGTCCAGTCGTACTGCGGCTCATTTCTCCATCTTCGAAGACATCGCGTTTAGATGAAGCGAAGAAAGTTTTGACGGCTCTGCGGAATGCTGGAGCATCCCTGATTTCTCTTCAATCGCACTTGGTTACATATGTGGATTTCAAGCCTGCTTTATGCAAAAATCCGGACGATCGGCAGCGGTACTGCAACCTGTTGCTGTGGATAACAGACGCCGCTGCTACGCAAGATGGAACAGTGCCACTGCGCCAAATTGGTGGCTGTGGGGAAAATGGGCACGACGAGCTGGACTTCAGTGTACTGCGGATTGAAATCGGTCCCAGGTAGAAATCTTAAAACTTCTCGTCAGATCAGATTAAAGAAAACTAATAATTAATGTACATATCTCAAAGGCTATTGAATTGACGAGTGAATAAATGTATGTAGTGGGGTACCGCACGCGTAGTGACATTCATTCTTTAACAGAAAATTTTGGTTGAACAATGTCCATCTACACTGTTCAACGTTGCGTCCCATATTTTCGCACAATACTGTCGTAGCATCAGTTATTTTTGTACAAAATTAAACCATCTAAACATTCATATTTTAGTAGTAATTATAATATTAATTGTGACAGCATCTGTAGACCATCGCAAAACGTTTTGCCCAGTATCACCTTTAATTATGGACTGCAAATAATATGATTAACACAGCCAACTAAATTTCAGGTTGAATTTCAAGACAAGCTTTTGTACGAATGCATTGTCGATTATGGCGGCGCTGCACTTGAACGCAGTGGAACGGATCGAAAGAAGCAGGATCTATGAACTACGGTTTGACCGCCAGTTGAAGGCCGCTGCATTCAAAGAAATAAAAACTCAGGTTTGCATTACCAGTTGGCAATAATATCTCAGATTAAATTATTATTTGCCGGACAAACAGGACAGTGTACTGTGGGATCAAATAAAAACGCAGCTGTACAGCATTTTGCACTGATAATGGAAATGTCTGACCGAAATTACAGTTTCTGGAGCATTATATGGACGCGGTTCTGGAATGCGAGTACACTGCGCCTATCACGTCCTTCGCAGTTGATATTCCCCGGCAGCCGATTAAAGAAATTGATGTCATGACACAGGGGAAAGAAGCACTAATTTCGGCTAATAAGGAATTATGTATGCACGTCTACCAAGAGTTTACCTAGAGGCTCAATGTATATAGTAGAAAATGTTAACCAAACAGCCTAGTATGACTAGAAATATATGATTTCATAACTTTAAGACATAACTCCTTGGTATTGGTTGTCCATTTTCCATGATTTTTGACGGGTTAGCGCTCGGATTCGATGAAGACGATTTGGAGTATTACTTCCAACTTTTCGCATCGAAGCTACACCGTAATCCCACGAATGCCGAATGTTTGGATCTAGCGCAGTCCAACAGGTTAGGATGTCATTATAAAATTGCAGAATGTACAATAATATTAATACTAGACTCGCTCCTTGTATTGATTGAGTACTAATACTATTGGATAATTATAGATGTTGTTACCAAAATTTTTCGATTTATTGAACATTAAATTTATGTGCGGTATAGTTGCTGTTAGTTTTGCCTCACAGGTCAGTTATTTACTTATTAGTTACTATTTTTTGGGTAAAATAATGTGTGAAAATGCATGAATTGCTGTTTTTAGTGAACACAGTCGGCATTGGTTTTTCAACGGCCGCATGACCATTGATGGCAAAGAGATGCCACGATCGCTGTTTCAAATGGTCAAAGACACTCAAAATTACAGCAACCCGAATAATGTCATCAAATTTTCGGACAACAGCAGGTGAACGAAACTAGGGATAATACTCCACGCACAAAACAATTACCGAAAACTAATAAGTGAATATATATTTTAGTGCCATAAAAGGGTTTGAAATTCGCAAGTTTCAACCCGTCGTCGCAGGCGAGCCGGCACAGTTCATAGCGGCGGAAGGAGAACGGCATATTATCTTTACTGCAGAAACGCACAATTTTCCAACTGGTATGTGTAGGAATAACTGATGTGTCGGCTACACACGAGGTGTCATAATATTTTCATTTCTTGCAGCGGTGGAACCATTCAGCGGAGCTACTACTGGAACCGGAGGTCGAATTCGGGATGTGCACGCTACGGGGCGTGGTGCCCATGTCATCGCTGGTACAGCGGGATATTCGTTCGGCAACTGCCATATTCCAGGTACAAAGTTCTTACCTGTGCGGCATACTCAGTCAAAAGTTATAGTTACATATTTATAGGCTTCAGCGCCGTTTGGGAAAACGATACTGATCAGTTCCCGGGGAATTTTGCTCATCCGCTCAAAGTTATCATAGAAGCTAGCAACGGCGCTTCTGACTACGGAAATAAATTTGGAGAACCGGTTATTTGTGGATTTGCTCGGTCATTTGGTGCACGAATTAATGGCGGAGAGCGGCGCGAATGGATTAAACCGATTATGTTCAGTGGCGGCATTGGAAGCATCGATGCCGAATGGATTACCAAGTTTAAGCCTGCAACAGGTGGACAGTTTGTGTTGTAATACATTTTCCAAATATACTGCAACTCGGTTACATCGTATAAAAGAATCAGCTTCCCACACTTTAAAGCGCGTTTTGAAAAGTTAACGTTATCCAGCGGTCAGCGGCGTGTTTTGTTATACGCGCTTTCCGTCTAATACACGTATAAAACATGTTTTGCGAAGATGGATATCTTATACCGAAATTTATGTTCAGGCATGGATGTCGTAAAGATTGGCGGGCCAGTGTACCGGATCGGGTTAGGCGGTGGCGCTGCGTCTTCAACCGTAGTGCAAGGATCAAATAATGCAGCCGTTGACTTTAACGCTGTTCAACGTGGCGATGCGGAGATGGAGCAGAAGCTGAACCGAGTTATCCGCGGTTGTATTGAATCCAAAGATAATCCTATAGTTTCCATACATGACCAAGGAGCTGGCGGCAATGGTAAGGAATAATTAAGTTTATTGATCTTCTTGTAACTAGATAGGTGATACCTTTACCTAATGGTTTCGCCTGTTTTAGCAAACGTATTGAAAGAAATTGTCGAGCCAGCTGGTGCGATCATTAGGGCAGACAGTTTCACACTGGGCGATGAGACCGTGAGCATCCATGAATTATGGGTGGCTGAATATCAGGAAAGCGTTGCTGTCCTTGTACCCAAAGACCAAATTCACGCGGTAAAACAGATCGCGCAACGGGAACGATGTCCGGTTGATGTCGTTGGCGAAATTACCGGCTCAGGAAACGTAAGTACTGACACTTTAAGTTATAGTTATTTTGACAACAATACATTTGTACTCGTGAGAACCCACGCAGCAGATTGGGATGTGTGTAGTTACACAGTGACATGTGACATTTGTACAGATCATACTGGAAGATTTTGCTTCCTACGACGAAAGTGCACCGCCTTCGATTAAGCCCATCAATTTACACCTGGATTTGGTTTTGGGAAATGTTCCAAAGAAGGTAAGCGTTTGTGTGTCTTGAAATCGTGTGCACAAATGTTTCGGTTCAACTGAAAGAGTGGAGTTATAAGCTCTTCGCGAAATGCTGTAGTACTTGCATTTGCAGCATTACGAGCTGGAAAGAATGCCCGAAATTCTGTCGAGATCGGACGGAATTCCTGTGAGCAGAAGTGATTTCTTGGAAACCGTCAGACAAGTTCTACAGCTACCAAGCGTTGCTAGTAAACGATATCTGACTAACAAGGTGAGTCGGATTGGTGATTGTAAACAAATTATGAACGATGGATGGGTGAACTTTAGAGAAAAAAACCGACTGGTTATAGGTTGACCGTTCCGTGACAGGACTTGTTGCTCAACAGCAATGCGTCGGTCCCTTCCACACTCCTTTAGCTGACGTCGCTGTGATTGCTCTGTCCCATTTCGACACCGTCGGAAGTGCTACTGCTATTGGAGAGCAACCGATCAAAATGCTGTTTGACGTTAAACGTGGGGCGCGGTTGACCGTCGTGGAAGCACTGACCAATCTCATGTTTGCTAAGATTTCATCCCTAAAGGTGACATTCTTGTTTTTTTGTCGAGGCAAAAAATAATCCCGATTCCCAGGGGATGTAAATTGTGCATTGACAATAGGATGTGAAGTGTAGTGGAAACTGGATGTGGCCGGCTAAACTGCCGGGCGAAGGCGCCGCGTTGTACGACGCCTGTGAAGCCATGTGTAGCGTGATGAGAGATTTCGGGATTGCCATTGACGGTGGAAAAGATTCGTTGAGCATGGCTGCGAAATGCTATGATGAAGTGATCAAAGCGCCAGGTAATCCGAAAATTCCTGTACATCAGCACAAACTACTGTATTGTGCTCTCCGTTGCTTAAAGTTTACAATTAACGTGACTGTAGTTGTGATATGTATGAGCAGACGATTTTGTATGTTCTGTACGTGTATTATTGTAAGTTTGTATATACATGTTAGTATCAACCTTAAAGTCTAAAAAAAGTCTGGCGTCTGTGAAAGTTTTCCGAATTTTGCCAATAAAATTGTCGCGTGTGTGTATGTGTACTTCTTAGTCTTTAATATGAAAATTTCCCGTTATCGAATATTGTTTTGCAGGCACGTTGGTAATATCAGCCTACGCCCCGTGCCCTGATATCAGAAAAAAGGTCACCCCCGAGTTCAAGGCACCAAACGGAAGAGGCAAGCCATCCGTGTTTGCGTCGAAGTGGTTTTACCTAATGCAATGATAACAAAACTTTAGGGGCGATCTTATGGGTTGACTTGAGTAACGGACAGCGTCGCCTTCAAGGTTCGGCGTTTACGCAGGTCCACAATGCTTATGACATGTACGATGAAGTTCCGGATTTGGAATCAGCTGAAGATTTTGTGACGGCTTTCAATATCACGCAACAGTTAATTGACGGTGAGTGTGTATCCGTCTTTTACAGGTTTCTGCCGTTTGTAATTTGTATATACTTGCTGTTATTCTCTGCTGCTCTAATAAGTATATAATACTATGCATCTTACATATATTTACATAATTCGACTAAGACACGATATATTTCATTGTATCTGAATTGCCGACATAAGAAAGACGACATAAGAAAGACATAAGACGTAAACACCTGAACCGAACCTTGAAGGCGACGCTGTCCGTTACTCAAGTCAACCCATAAGATCTGCTTTTAAATGTACGGTTTTCTGTTAGACGAACTCTTGACAGCCGGACACGATATTAGCGATGGTGGCCTGATGGTATGCCTGCTGGAGATGGCCATTGCTGGGAATGTTGTTTTCGATGTGAAAGTCCCAGTTTCCAAAAATTACGGTATATTTCAAAATTTATTTACATGAAGGAATGGACAATTTTATAAACAGTGACTTTTAATAACTTTTTCAGAATGCGAACCGGAAAGTGTTTTGTTTTCGGAAGAAGTTGGATGGGTGTTGGAAGCCGATTTTTTGAATTCCTTGCGCATCCAGAATGCATTTCGAGCGGCAGGAATTACCTGTCAGCTAGTGGGACATACACATGCTACTCTTACCCTCGCACGGGATCTAAATGGAAAAGACGTATATCCGGTAAATACAACAGTCATAAATTACGCCGAACGATTGTACTTTGTATTATGTGCAAATGTACGAGTATGTCTTTTTTCAATTAAACACGCCTACGAATGATCTGATAACTGCGGAGGTTTTAAATTGAATACTGTTCGGTACTATCTTTCTTAACTGGGCGCGTATGTAACATGATTTTGCAGTTTTGTTCCAGTACAATACACCGTAGTTACATGTTAATTCAAATTGGTTCCCTAATCTTAAGACCTGAAATTTGGAAGTTTATCAGTGGGAATGACTGTCAGATGGTGGGATTGCCCCCTTTTATTTGTTGTAGCCTTTTGTCAGCTTGAACGAGCGCCTGGTCTATGGAGCAGACCGCCGAGGAATTGCCGGAATACGGTTACAGTGGGAAGAGTTCAGCCAGCAGATTGAAATGTTACAGTGCGATCCAGAGTGTGCCGATGCACAGAAAGAGTGGCTGGCAACTTCCGCATGCCCATCGTTCCACGTTAATTTCATGTCGGATTTCGACTTGAGCGATGTTGACTTCTTCCGAAATTTGAGTAAGCTTTCATAATTTTTTCTGACAGCAGATGTTCCTTAAGTGACCAGCCTCTTAACGCCTTAGCATTAATAACTCCCGCGCACCGAGTTGCCGTCATGCGAGAAGAAGGCAGCAACGGAGACCGCGAAATGGCCGTAGCATTTCATATTGCCGGTTTCGAAGTGTGGGACGTGACCGTGCAGGATCTACTCGATCAGCGTATTACTTTGGATATGTTCCGAGGAATTGCTTTTGTTGGGGGTTTCAGCTATGCTGATGTATTTGGATCCGCTAAAGGTACCGCCTTAGTGTTGTCCGTTAATGAACACACTGTGTTAAAGATCCAAAAATCGTTAATAAATTAGTCGATTAAGTGCTACGGTATTTAATTTATGGTTTTACTTATAATTGTGATTTTAGGATGGGCTGCTGTGTTGGCATCAAACGATATTACGCGTACACAGCTGGAGAGATTTTTTCAGCGATCGGATTCGTTTAGCTTGGGTGTGTGCAACGGATGTCAGTTGTTGGCCCTTTTAGGGATTGTCGGCAGTACTGCTCCTGTTAAATTTGGTATTGAAAACGCAAAAGCCGTTCTCAAGCATAATCGCTCTGGACGTTTTGAATCAAGATTTTCTACCGTGCGAATTGAGAACACATCCGCCATTATGCTGAAAAATATGATCGGGACCCAGATTGGTGTTTGGGTTGCACATGGAGAAGGTATGTGTTATATTGCATTTTTTTAACTTTTTGGAATAACTGCTCTAGGTAGTGGTAATTATATGAATTATCCACTCTTTTAGGTTAATTTATGCAGTTAACCCATGGTTCTACTAGTGTGACGACAATTATACAATATTATTGATGTGTTATAGTTCTACGAATGATATCATCGTGTTTCAAATGGCGTTTGCTTAGGTCGTTTTGAAGTTGAAGAGGACGTGGGGCATCTGAGCCAGCAAGGATGTATCGCTGTGCGATATGTTGATGATACCGGCAGGCCAGCGGAAACGTATCCATGGAATCCCAACGGAAGTCCGTTCGGCATAGCCGGAATGTGTTCTATCGATGGACGTCACTTGGCTATGATGCCGCATCCTGAAAGGAGCATCTTGACTTGGCAGTGGCCATGGCGCCCGGACACATATAGCTGGCCAAAAAATGCTATCTTGTCGCCATGGACCCAAATGTTTAAAACGGCTTATGACTGGTGTGAATTCGACCGTTACGGTTGAAACCTGCTAAGATGCAATTGTTTCGCACTATATTTTCGATCAGTATTATTCTATTATTTGTTTCATATTGCGCTAATATTCAAGTTCACGATTTGTTTGAACGTTTGCGGTTCGTTAATTGTTTCAAAGTTTTGCTTCGCTGTTGGAGCGGTGTTTATGTTGCTATGTATTACTGTACTGCATCTTTCAGATGGCTGGTTGCCAGTGGTTGGTGTCCAAACGCATGTTTTTTAACATAAAATTGATTGTGCGCAACGATTTCAACTTTTCTGTTTAAATCTCGATATAAGCAAAAAACATTAAAAGATAAAATTATAATGTACTCGTACATCCATGCAAAACAACGTTTAAATGCAATCAGCAGACAACACCTGTCAATTATTAAACAGCAAGCACACTAGTATCGTATCAGAAGAGAGCCCCGAAATTATTCGCGTTGTTCACTAATCTTCATCACTCCATGTATCAGCCTCGAGATTACGTGCCACCGCTAACCGCTGCGAGGATTTCTCCAGTTCTCGCCTTTTGGCTTCTTCTTGTTCTTCAAAATAGTCAGCGAAATCTGCTTCTGGTGCCCAGACCAGTATGTTTCTGTCTGTTGATCCAGTAAACACGTATTGGAAATGCGGATGATATGCACAAGTCAAAACCTGTCCAAAGTGACCCGTCAAAGTGGCGACTTTTTCCCCGCTAAACATATCGAACACCAACACCCGGTCATCGCTGGGTACAAAAATGAGATCCGGCCGGACGCGACTGGTCAGCGCTATTTGGAGACGCCGGCGAACATCATGAAAGACGAAGGGAATTCTCCCGTAGTTGACACCGGTATTTTTTCCTGTCTCAATGTTCCATAAACGCAGTTTATGATCAGCACCATATGATACCAGGTGCGCGGCATCTTCGGTAAATTCCAAACTGATCACAGCGTGGTGATGCGCCACATTAATCGTGGCCGCAGTAGCCGCTGTCGGTGGATTATTATTGTTGTCCAGGTAGCCTAACAGCGAGCGCGCTTTGCGAACGTCCCATAAAATTATTTTCCCATCCACGCCCCCCGATGCCAGAACGGAGGGAGAATGCCGCGACCAGCGCACACAGTTCACCGGGTGGTTGTGACCGGAAAATGTGTGAGCAGAGGAAACGGTACGCAGATCACAGATTCGCACAGTGTTATCGCCAAGTGCCACTGCGAAACCGGAAGCTTACAAGCAGAGTTACAATAATACGCATACCACGTCTACAGATGCAACAAGTTCGTTAATTTTAAGCGTTGTGGGGATTTTTAGAAATTTACAAAACGTCGACTCACGCTTTGCTTATCCTTGCAAGTTCCAAACTTACAGTACAACCACATTGTGAAATACGGTTACCTGTCTACACTCCACATTAACAACTTATTCATTATTCTTACTGATGATTTTCACAAAAACGAAGAAATAAAGCAGTACAGTACGAAACTTTTAATCAACGTAAATTCACACATAAATCTAAAACTGTTAAAACCGAGAGTTCTGCACTACATTGCGTATACGATCAATGCTGTTTCATTCTTAGTTTGCATGCACACCTGCTATTAATGGCCTGGCGGAAGCAAGGTACGACATGGAATGATCCGCCACTGGTTTATTGAAGGCAAACTGATGCACCTGCATCATCTTGGCTGTATCAAATACCTTCACTTTACCATCATGCCCTGAGGTGGTAAAGACGCCGGGATCGTGGGGATAAAACTGGCAAGCACTCACGGCGTACTCATGAGCAAAACGAGATCCACTGAAACAAGCCGTATGCTGAGATAATAAAACAAATACGTAAATGAATGAAAACTAAGTACTCGTACTCTGAGTACATTAAACTGTAAAAAGCCCGTGGTACTCATTGTCAGCATGAAAAACATGTAGGTCAAATTTTTGGACCAGGTTCACTGTTAAACTTACGGAATGATTTTTCCCAGAACAGGAAAAGTCTGCTGCACAGATCGACTGTCTTTGGTTAAGCCATGGATATTGATGGATCCATCTCCTCCACCAGACAACAAGCTGCGATTTTGAACACAATCAGTATTTCAACAAAAATTACTTTTATTTTTACCGACATTTAAGCGAAAATAATTTTTAAATATTATTTTTATTTTTTAACACAATCAGTGTATAAACGAAATCGATATTTGAAGGAAAATAAATTTTAAATCATAATCTGATAATCAGTCTTACAATCGTCCTCCATCCAGCGAGACGTCCAGACAACTGCAGATGGAAGCATAGCACCGTTCAGTTTCCTTCAGACGGCTCAAAACAATGGAACGCGCTCTAGTATTACGGTGTCGATCAAGGAGTCGCCGTCGATCAATTAAGGGATTCTCCAGAGCTAAAACAAATCCACAGTGTCCCAGCGGCTGCCTTTCCAGCGCCATGGTCCATGCTAAGGTCCAAACACAAGGTGGCAACCAATCCGAAATCTACAAGTTTGTGCAATAGCAGAACAAGCAAGCTGTAAGTTCGTAATATTACAACTGCACGTTTAACATTTACTGCTAATTCTGAAGAAGTATTTTTCTTCTCCCTAATTACTGCTAAATGTAATGATCGATTTTCTGGGTAATAATTTCATGTAGCAGCCTACTACAGGCAGTTGCTAGCAGAACAAGTCTGTAGAAGCTGAGGATGAGTACTGATTGTGCATGTGCAATACTTTTTCCGATTTTGTTGATTTGCGGAATGTGTTGGGAACTTGGGCAGCCCAGCTTTTTGTTCATCTGTTCGTGTAACGGAAATTTGGAACTTAACGTAGCATGTTTGCTTATGGTTTATCAGCTCTGAATTACTGAATACAAAACAAGAAAAACTTCTTGTCACTTGTGATGAGGATTACAAGGGTTGCTTCGCCAACGATCTCCGTAAAATGTTGATATATAGCTGGAAGGTGAAAAGTCCACCTCCAAGATGGAACATTTCATCGTTATGGTCCTTGTGGATATTATTGTTGCTGGCTGTTGTTGCGGCTTCAGGGGAAGGATCGGGTTTTAATAACGATACTAAAGGTATGTCAACAAATAACTTTCCACTATTATTGTCATTCTTTCAGCTGGCTACGTTTCGTTGAAGTTGTTCAGGCATCGTTCTCTCCTGACTCGCTGAAACTGGAAACATCGCAGAATTCGTCGTTCGCAATAGGTTTCAGGTTAGACAAAAAGATGTGCTTGGTTGTTACTAGTGTCATGTACTTTAGTTGTGTGGCATTCTAACGATAAATTGATTCCCTTGCAACGATGAAGATTTTCAAAGCCAGTGCAATAACCCTTGTCATGTGAGGCCGTAAATTATACGTGTAAATGTTGCGTACAGTTAACTGAAGTGGTATTTATTTATTATTGTGTTTATTAAATTTTCTTCTTCCTTGTACTTATATTTTATTATTAGTACTGCTCAATTACTTCTCTTCTGGTTTCTCTTATCGTGGTGAACTATTGTCCACTGTGGTGTATAATTTTCGTGAATTTCGGCCGATGCGGTTTTACTACAGTATCCGAGTATCGTTCTCTTTCGCATATTAATTTGTATTTATTTCCATTTTCCTGTTAAATGTCGATGAGCATCCGCAGTAATTTATGAATCTACGGAATTTCAATTATTCCATGTATTCCATGTTTTTCAATTATTCAGTTATTGTTTTTTGCCCGCATGCAGGTGAGAAATAGTGGGAACCGTCGGATGGAACGATTTAGTTTCTTCTTTGTTCACACACTTTTTACATTTCGTTTAGAAAAGCATTGTACAATTTATTGTGTACTATGTGCATTTTTGAACATGCCTTTGGATCATATTACGATGGGATCTAAAATCACGTAAATTTACTACTGCTTGCTTGAGATGGGTAATTGGGTTACCGGCCTGTAGCAGTTAGACCGTGAAAATCAGTATAATACGAGTATAATTATGTAGCCATGGCCCATGAGAATACTATACGATAACTTCGGATTCCAGTGCGTTTATGAGTGTCTCTTTACAGTTCAGCCATTGTACGATCAGACTGACTTTTTTATTTTGATTAGTAAAACGTTTAATGGAGTGAAATATAGTAGTGTGTGTTTTGTGGCATCCTGAGGACAATCGACGATTGCGTTTTGAATTGAAACATGGTTTGCAGTGGCGCTCTTTCTGATCCAATCTTCTGTTACTGGACATACGATCGGAATGACTTGATTGCGCCGCTTCCCAATTTCACCGTTACCGCCTCCGACCACGTGAATGATACCAAGCGTTTTCTCATCTACTCCCAAGGACACGCTGGAACTTTGACATTGGGTGTTGAAAGTGATTCCGAGAAAGTTGCAAAGTATGAAAATGTGGAGGACGTTGGTACAGTAGTACTGTACTGTACTAGATCTGCTAGCGCTTTGCAAAACTGCTTACATATATTTCATTTTTTGCAATTTGCAGCTCGAAACGAGTATCCCTTGTTGTACAATTTGTACATTCCATCGCCCTGGCGACGTTTAGTGATGTGGTCGGCTGGATTTATTTCGTGGCCTGGTCTATTTCTTTCTATCCTCAAGTTATTACCAACTACAGGCGAAAAAGGTGAATTACTCGGTGATAGAATGTTGCCATAAAAAATCTTGATTTTAAGAGCTCTCTCTGTAGTTAGGTCGGGCAAAAATAATTTGATGTACGTATGTACATACGTGGTACCGCATACATGTTAATGCATATTGGTAATTTGATGCTACAATACAGCAGTGACTGAAATTGTTTTGTTGGTTTGTTTTCGCTGGGTGTTTCGTTTAGGGTACGTTGTTTAAGATATCACATTGTGTCACCATGTTTTTTGTTCAACAGTGTCGCTGGACTAAGCTTTGACTTTCTGGCCTTGAATATCACCGGTTTCCTTTGTTATACAATATTTAATGTCGGATTGTTCTGGATTCCATCGATTCAGGTAATTGCATTGTTTCTCCTAGTATACATTTGTCATGCTGACAAATGAACAGGCTTTCATATTATTGTTAGCTTTGTTGAAATATTACATATATTGAAACAACTGGCAGTGCACCAAAATTTTGTAATACCTGTATTATGTAGGAGGAATATTATTCCCGACATCCTCGGGGTGTTATTCCCGTCGAAGCCAATGACGTCTTTTTCGCCCTCCATGCCGTAACGCTGACTCTTATACAGATCATCCAATGTTTTATTTACGAGGTAAATTTGCAAATTATTCTGGCAGGGAATTTTTGATCGGTCTGAAACATGAATAATCTATGCCGATAAATGCCAGTTTTATTGAAAACACTACCGTGGATTCACGTGTGTACTGCAATGTACTCTGTAGTTTGGACTTACTTTGCACGCATTGTATATAGGGATGGCAAAAACTTGGTGAAGTCGACTTTTCAAGTTAAAAACTTGAGTTATTGCGAAAAACTTGGGGGAAAAGTTAAGTTAAATACTTGGAACTTATTCTTTCAAACCAAGTTACTCAAGTCGAATTCGAACGTGAAACAGAGTCTCCAAGTTCCGTTTCAAGTCGACTTGAAAGAATTTTACAATATTTCGAAAATATTCAAAGCGGTTTAAGCAAACGGACCAGTTTAAACATTTTTCCGTTTAATTTACTACTGTTTTCCCTACGACTGCCTCATATTTTTGCCCTACTACGCTCACTTCTCCCGGCAATTACGTTGATATCTGTGTAGGCTATCAATGCTGGTTCGCGCACCAGGGTAGAAAAGTATGACCGGCTGTCAGCTATCGAGAAAACACAGTATTATCATCACATATAGTAAAGACATATTTAAGTCGATTCAAGTCGACTTGAAGTCGACTCCAAGTTAGTAACTTGGTTTGGACGTCCAAGCTAAGTATTGCAAGCTGACTTGGGTTTTTAAGTATTTAAAAAAATTTTACTTGTCGAAAAAACCGAGTCGAAAATCAAGTCGAGTAGAAAACTCAAGTTTTTGCCATCCCTAATTGTATATCAATTTGTTTGGAAAATTGCATGGTTGCCCTTATGATTTGACGTTGCTTGTTTTTCAGACCGGAAACCAGCGCTTATTCAAAGGCACGATCCTGCTGCTCGGTGCGATCTGGCTGGCGACGATTATCTTGTTGATTCTATCCGCCACTCACGTGCTGGTTTGGCTGGATTATCTGTATTATTTTTCTTATGTCAAATTAGGGATTACGCTCATCAAATACATTCCGCAGGTAACCAAAATAAGCAAATATTATTATCAATTGCATCTGTACTTTAGGTATCTCGGTTGCCATTTTAGGTATGGATGAACTTTCGCCGCAAAAGTACAGTTGGTTGGAGTGTCGGGAATGTGCTGTTGGATTTTACCGGTGGAATGCTTTCGCTTGCTCAAATGTTTATAATTGCCTACAATTTTGGTAAGTTTAACAGTTTTTGATTGAGATATCGAGTTTCAGACTTTCAGTATTTCTCTAATACCTGAATGTGTCCGTCTCCGATTTCTGTAGATGATTGGTCATCAACGCTTGGAAACCCGACGAAAATTGGTCTTGGATTGTTGTCGATATTTTTTGACGTGATATTCATTATACAACATTATTGCCTGTACAGGAGACGTCAGCATGATCTAATTAGCTCCTATGAAGAGGATGTGGTTAGCGCGCCATCCGATGATCCTCTTATAAAGAATGTCTGAGATTGTTATTCTGGACTTCAGATTGCTTAAGTTTGTGCGTGGTGTCGTATTTTAAATTTGAGTTTTTCAACTGCGATGACGCAGTACGTACCTGTTTCGACGATGTAATTATACACCTCTTGCGTCTGATTTGATTTCATTCTAACGAGATTTGTTTCGGGAGAGCCTAACCTTTCCGTAATTTTTATTTGTAATTAAATTATGGGTTTTTTTTTAGTTTAGTTACGGATACCTAAGGAACTGTGATCAAATTGTGGATTGAGGTGCACACAAATGTGACATAATACAAATATTAAGTTGTAATGGCGTGGAAAGTTAATTTTTAAATTAATTTGTAATTGAAGATGGTATACGGAAGGTGTTCAGACTTCCTGCCGACACCAATCACAGCCCCGTAAGGCCGTAACCTGGCCGTAGGCTTGGCGCGACAACAAAGTTTTGTTCGATTCGCAGAATGAGTTTACAACAGCAAGTGATCGATTTTTTAATTAAAAAAGCATATTTTAAATGATGAATGTCCCGGTTCGCTCCATATCACACCACAAGGCATTACTAGGAAGTAGTACTAGTAGGTACCTTGGATCTGGTGGACCCAAGAAATGAAAATCGATTCACCCAAAGAAAGTCTGCCATGAATCATTAATGATTAAACTTTTGTCTGACACAAGCCATGGTCTGCGTATGTACAGTTCTTACAAATTTATAGTTACTTTAGTAATATGGTGACTACCATTGGCTGGTGAGTAGCCGTCACAATACAAACGAATACTGAAAGTTAAATAAATTACGAATTGTTTTACGCTAAAATATTAGTTTTTTAATTGCTTTGTTTGTATCATTCGTGAATCACGTCAATAAAAACTACGATCCACACCGAATAAACTTGCCAAATTCGCGATCATGCACAGACTACAGATACAGTCACGCTACGACACTATCCGGCCATACGTGTGCCGGTAATGGTAATTGTAACTTTGTAAGTAAAACTTAAACGCATGTTAAAAAATTTCTTTGAATGTCGTTAGCAAAATGTTAATTGCAATTATTGGACATCAGCGTTAATCTGTGGAATAAGTTAAATGCAGGTAGCGCAAATTATCAAAATTATCAAATATGTTCAATATTATCAAATATGTTCGCAAATTATCTATATGTTCGATGACGAAACGTTCTTGTGAATGTGAATGTGAATCTTGCCTATCGACTATAAGTACTTGCAGAATCGCATCGATGGCATATCACTGTATTCAATTTCAAAAAATCCCCAAAACTGGTTAAAATTGTAAAATCGCACAGCACCAGTGATAACGTTTTCGTTGAAAATTTATTTAGAAATATATACGATACTTGTTTCTCAGTTCTCAAATAGCCAACGAAAAGGGTAAACTTCTAACAGAAAGGATAAGACCTAAACATCACGGCTGATCTAATCCTCCTGGAGGGATTGGATGGGCGCTATTCACGCAATTCGGTTCATTTTATGGACTTTAGCGTCGTGCTCAGTGGCAGCGTTTACACATCCAATCTGCCACAAAATCCATTGGAAGTTGTTGCTTTTCAGTGCCTAAGCGCAAGCCCAAACACGAAAATAATTAATATTACTGTATTTGAAATTAGAAATTTTAGCTTTTATCAAAAGGAGGGCTTAAAAGCAAAGCGCAGAGCGTATCGACCCTGATAACAGGTACCCGATTTTCTGTTATTATGGTTAAGATTTTATTATTGTTAGAATCTGACTAGCGTGTGAAACATTTTGGGAATTGTAAAAGGTACCACATATCGACATATGCCTCGTTTAAGAAGAAGAATTGAAGATGAATTTCTCTCGCTCGTACTAACTTTTATTTTGACCAAATAACAAATGAACCTTTTTTCAGATACCTCTCCATATGTTACACTTTCAGACCAGCAATGGAAGCATTACAAAACTATTTTTTGTTTAAATTGAAAAGTCAAGGACCGTTTTTGTCCTACCGAAACATGCTTACAAAGAATTCTAAAATATCAAAAAATTATCACTTCCACTTAAGGAAAGCCCTTCGACAACACTAACATGAGCACTCGGGTTAAGACTATGGTTAAAACAAAGATCAACAATCAGGTTTTCACTGTGATAAGAACTAACGTTAGCACTCGGGTTATGGCTCCGGTCAAATTAAGGAAGTGGGCCGGTACAAGGTACCAAATTCGTGTACATGCACGAAAAGTTAACTTTTGCGCACTCCCAAACACATTTTTAGTTTTATTTTATGACATTCTGTTGTTATGACATTCTGTCAGATGATTTGTATACACGTTATGGCTGTTTGAAAATTCCAAAAAGTTTACCTGCATTCCGGTGTACCAAAAGTCTCATTATGGACCGATCTATTTCAAATTTTGCACATAAATGCACACGGTCTTTCGTGTTTACAGCGATCTAGACTTTCATGATTTGCTTAAAATTTTAAAATGAATTTTAGAATTTTTGAAAGTCATTTTAAAATTCGAAAAACATGCTAGATCAGTGGATCGGTGTAAAAAACGATATTCATAGCCAGGTGCTCCCGAACCGGATGTTGCGCGCACAAACGGTTTTCACGCCCGTGTATACAAGTCATCTGGCTACAGAATGTCATAAATAAAACCAAAAATGTGTTTGGGAGTGCGCAAAAGTTAACTTTTCGTGCATGTACACGAATTTGGTACCTTGTACCGGCCCACTTCCTTAATTTGACCGGAGCCATAACCCGAGTGCTAACGTTAGTTCTGATCAAAGTGAAAACCTGATTGTTGATCTTAGTTTTAACCATAGTCTTAACCCGAGTGCTCATGTTAGTGTTGTCGAAGGGCTTTCCTTAAGTGGAAGTGATAATTTTTTGATATTTTAGAATTCTTTGTAAGCATGTTTCGGTAGGACAAAAACGGTCCTTGACTTTTCAATTTAAACAAAAAATAGTTTTGTAATGCTTCCATTGCTGGTCTGAAAGTGTAACATATGGAAAGGTATCTGTAAAAGGTTCATTTGTTATTTGGTCAAAATAAAAGTTAGTACGAGCGAGAGAAATTCATCTTCAATTCTTCTTCTTAAACGAGGCATATGTCGATATGTGGTACCTCTTACAATTCACAAAATGTTTCACACGCTAGTCAGATTCTAACAATATAATAAAATCCTAACCATAATAACAGAAAATCGGGTACCTGTTATCAGGGTCGATACGCTCTGCGCTTTGCTTTTAAGCCCTCCTTTTGATAAAAGCTAAAATTTCTAATTTCAAATACAGTAATATTAATTATTTTCGTGTTTGGGCTTGCGCTTAGGCACTGAAAAGCAACAACTTCCAATGGATTTTGTGGCAGATTGGATGTGTAAACGCTGCCACTGAGCACGACGCTCAAGTCCATAAAATGAACCGAATTGCGTGAATAGCGCCCATCCAATCCCTCCAGGAGGATTAGATCAGCCGTGATGTTTAGGTAAAGGATAAGCCCAGATGAGTAATCGCAGTGCCAGTTGGTGAAAGTGGCAGTCGGCCCGCCCACTCGCTTCAACTTGCAGATCTGCAGCACACTCACCCACCGATGATCGTGAGCTGTTCCGTTGGTCTTTGTATTCGCGATCGCTTCTCAATTTTCTAACTGCAGATCACCAACGATTTGTCCGACAAGCCGTCCGATCGTTGAAATTGAAATGTGCGGCCAAGTAAATTGATTTTGTTATTGGTATTCGTTTATGGAAACATTAGACGCCAGATGATGGAAATATAATGTTGATATTGAAATAACTTTTACGTGTTGTTGTCGCTGCTGTGATGAGCTGGCCCGTTAGGATTGCGTAAAACTAATTACATCTCCGACTTACCACAAGAAGGACGGGTGAATTATTACAATTTATAAGCATATACGGATGTCCATGTTTCCCCCGCTGACACTAACAATGCCGGAATCTCCGCATTATCATCCACGGAATAATCACAATGAATTTAATGGGTATGCTCTGCCGTCCACAGGAGGAGGTCATTTTGCCATGGGCCTCGGAGAGACCGGAGGGAAAATGAACATGTCTCATTTACCTGATGTGGAATCACCTACATCTTGTGAGATGCCGACGCGGATAAAACTCGTCTTTGTCGGTGATGGATCAGTGGGAAAGACCAGTTTATTGGTGTCCTATACGACTAATGGATATCCGACTGAGTATATTCCAACGGCCTTTGATAAATATTCCGGTATGTCCGTATGTGGGTCGCACATTATTTTATCGTTGGCTTGTAACTTGTTTGTAAACAATTGTGACTGCCATCAAGAATCTCGAGTATCAGCGTGAAAAGAGATAATCCGTAATTGTGCTTGGGTTTATTTTTTAATTTTAGTTATAAAATCGTGAAAATTTCTCTAAAGATGAAGAAATTTTCTGCACCAAGTATACAGTACTGAGTACATGAACACCGAATATGAAAAACACCTTGGTTGTACTTTTGAAGCGATACGTGAAGCTTATTCTTTTTTCTCTTAAGATGAAATTTTTTATAGGTGGATTGTTTCACAATCAGATCAGATTTTTTTGAAAATTCCAAGTTTGTTACTCTGCTGTAGAGCTGGGCGCAGGGCAGGGATCCTGTCCTGAACCTGCAGGATCCTGTCCCTGCAGGACAGTTTCAGGGTAAAATGCTGACCTGAAATTTGGCTCAGGTTCAGGTTCAGGGCAGTTGAACTCCCTGAAAGTTCAGGGACAGGGCGTACCTTAGTCCTGCAGGAACCTGAATTTTTTCAAAAAAATTAAGGTTATCGAAATTTCACAAAGTTTCGAAAGGGAAACCTGGCGCCCGTAAGTTGACAACTGCGGGTGATGGCCCCAAGAAGTGCATCACGCGCTAAAAAGCGCATAAAAACTCGCTACCTTATTACGCTACTCTAAGAAATGCGAGCTTAGCTCGTTTCGCTACTGGCTACATATCGCTTTTGAAATGTGCCGATACGGAAAAAATTATACCTAAAAAGCGCATAAAAACTCGCTACCTTATTACGCTACTCTAAGAAATGCGAGCTTAGCTCGTTTCGCTACTGGCTACATATCGCTTTTGAAATGTGCCGATACGGAAAAAATTATACAACTACAATTTAACTTATTTAACTTAAACAGGCTCAGGATTTCAGGTCAGGCTCAGGGTGAATAGTTTCAGGCTCAGGACAGGTTCAGGTAATTCAGCACGGTGAGTTTCAGGGACAGGACAGGTTCAGGGAGGGAAAAATTGAAAAATTACAGGTTCAGGGCAATCTAGCCGTCCTGTTCCCAGCCCTACTCTGCTGACTATTAGAATAATTGTTGTGGGATAATTGTGCATGAAGTGTTTTTCTTTGTAGCAAAGTGTGCTTACTGTTCCGCACGGTATACATTACTCAACTTCCGTGTTTGTATTTTCGGCGGTTTAAGATGTTAACATAAGAGAAACTGAATCATTTTGTTTTCATTACACATCGAGTATGCTTTCGTTTTGCTTACTTTGCGAATCGCCTTCGTGAATCTTATTCAGAGCATAAAATGTTAGTTCTATAATCTCAAACGTGATTTCGTGTTGCATACAGTTTTACAGGCTGATTCCTATCAAAATTTTACAACGTTATAGAGACATTATATTAGAATTTATGGTATTTTCAGCAGCCGTAATCATGTGCAATCACGAAGCAGCAACGCTGGCTGTTGGTGAAATAATTGGTTTTTTACAGTGTCAGTCAACGTGGATAACCAGCCAATCCGGGTCCAACTGTTCGATACTGCGGGCCAGGTAAGATCGTTTTATTGCTGGCACCTCGAGCACGATAAGCGTTCATATTTGCACAATAGGGTTATTATGGCTCGACAATGCAGTATTGTATGCAAAAATCACCGCATTTCGTACTCTGTAGATTAGGCCATGGTCCATGACTCCATAGTAAGTTATCATTCAGGATGTACACGGAATTTTAGACGTGTGATGTGTTGGCTTTGTTGGCAAATACTATATTCAAATTATTATTATTCAAAAATAATGATAGCAAGTAACTGGAAGGATGAAGTCGTTTTCTTAGCAATAAATATATTTGACTTGCATTGACAATCAAATTGGCATTTACTGTTATATCTTTGTGCTGCGGTGTACTGTAGTTATAACTTATAAGTCAAAATTCCCGATGTATTACCAGTATTTATCGGCAGTTCCAATCAAAAAATTTAATGTCGGTAAATTATACAGCAGTATTTTAATTACAGTAATATTTGCCGCACTCAGAAGTCTCTGAAATTTTACCTACAAAAAATAGTGTTCGGTGAATTAGCATAGCGTTTTAATAAGCGTGCGGCAGTGGTGATCCGATTGTGGGTGGACCAGTTAGTCTGAAATCTTTGAATATTGGTCGAAAGTGGGTGAAAGCTGCCTGGTGACTCAATTGTTGGACGTTTGTTTATTTGATCTTCCGTCTGGCTGTTAGAATGTTGTTTGGTATGGCTAAAAATAAAGCTTGTCAAATGTAGATGATGGAGTTACTTGAGGTCAGTCGATGAAGCGTTAAGCTGGACGACGAGTAAATCTGCACGGCATACATTCACTGATTAGCACTTGAGATACGAAAAAAATACTGTTGCCAGATGCTGTATCACTCATTAGGGTGTTATTATTTTTCGTGTTTTCCACGTCCAAAAGAGAGCGTGACAGTTTTTTAACGTATGGCGTAATGACTACTTGTACTTTATGTAATGGATAGGTTCGAATTTCACTTTTTTTCTGGAGTTATGCGTACGACGCGAGTGAAAGCATTTTGAAGCGAACATGTCAAAATCGTGCATAAATTTTTAACTACTGGCAGCGCATGCACTGATGGTTTCACGAGGGACTAGTGTGAAAAGTGAATGTAAATATGTGTATTTCGCTAAATTTTTATTGACAATTCATATTTTGTTGACTTTGCTTCTCCACACAGACACACACCCTGTTTCGTTTGTTCTGCTTGCTGTTTTATCGTTTTCCTGTGTATTCGTAAAAAGTATTTAGGAGAATAAATTAACAAATAGTGGACACAAGATTTGGTTCATATATTTTTCTAGAAAAAATTAATTTTCGTGGCGCCAGCTTACATGACAGTTATTTTATTGGGTGCTGCTGCTTAGTCTCATAAGACTCTTATTACATTACCATAATAACTGTTGGTGGACGGTGAATAATAATAGCTTCGTTGACTGAAGAGACCTGTTGGTTGATCGTGATAAACGGTGCTGTTTCGTCGCGATTCGTGACTGAATGTCTGGCATGCTTTTTTATTAGCACGTTCCCAATTAATTTCAATTTTCTACTTTCATGATTGAGGTTTCAAAGTAATTGATTTTTATGTGCAGTAATATTATACGCTGCTTTCGTCGATTTGAGAAGCTACATACACGAAAACTATTAACTTCCTTGCAATTTCTTAATGAAAGCCTGAAAAGCAAGAGGAAATGCTTAATAGACTGTGAAAATTGAACAACACGGTCGGAGGTCAGCCAGCGTCAGCGTAGTCGACACATATATTCATCTGCAGTAGTAGAAGATATTTATGATGCCTTAAAATGGCAGACAGTGTGTATTATAGTGCATTAGCGATGCCGAAAAAAAGATGATTTTATCACTTACGAGATGTCCCGAAAATTAGGTCACAGTGTCGCATATTAAAACCGAAATTCGCCACTTGGCACAGTAGGTGATTGTTTGAGTAGTTATGCTACCTACTTTAGCAACTCTGTCACTTTAGGTCGGGGTTTACGTACGATGCCGGCTAATTTCACCAGAATTTGAAGCCAGTGGATGTGGAAGGCATGCTGTGTAATATCACTAATATGTATCTGTAAATATACGTCCAAGAGTTGAACTGGAAAAGTGAATTGCAAAAGTGTTTTATGAATACCTAAATGTATCCCTTCGTAACTTATGTTTGTCCGTTTTATGAGTGTTCTGTTATTAACTGCTTGAAACGTTAGGGAATTTAAATGCAGAGATCCTCTAAATGGAATTTTGTGCGACAACAGAAGTGGAGGAAAGCTTGTTAGAAAAACTTCAATTGTAGCTGGAAATTGATAACTATGTATGTGAAAAAATGTTGATCTCTAGCGTTTCGTTTTGATTGAAAGGCACAGCTCATGCACATCCTCTGTAATTCATTTACGCATATGCAATGTGCTAGGAGAATGTGTGTTTATTTGGTTATTGGCAAAATGTGCCATGTGGCCGGGGGGATTGTCGTAATGTGATATTATCCACTGGGTTAATGATAAATGGATTTTTCATTTTGTTGGACAAGCTCGTTTGGTCAGTTGCACTCATCGCTTCCCTAAAGTACGACTGCGATCGAAACAGAGAGAGCGCGCAGTTGCTTAACGTTACGGAAACAAATAAGCACGATTGCCACGCTACTACGGTTATTTTCCGTGGAATGACATGCCTGCCGGCCGAGTCGTAATTTGTGCGACGTTCTCGTAAGTAACTGGACATAGCCGGGATATTACACTGTCATGTTTGATGTAAAGCGTAATCGTCCTCCCGCGCGCTCTGATTACGCCAAGGATTTTGAACTTTGTCAGAGAAAACTTATCTGTATTTAAACATTCCGTTCAGTCCACTGCTTCGCCGTTCTGTTCTACAGTTCGCCTGATAAGCGCTTTGCCCGGTCACTATCTGGAAGAGGATCCAATATCCGTAGCATTCTGTTGTAGAATTCTTCCATGAGATTTTCAAAAGTTCGCAACTACCCATGAAAAAAGGACCAAAAAAATTAAAGGAGGACAACTGAAAGTATTAATGTAGCGTAGCAGCCACGAAAAAATACCACTTTAAAAAATTGCAAAGATACTGCTTACTGTTTCACATTTTTATATCTGTGAAATATTTGCTACCACCACTGGAGAATCATAGCACTGCAAATTTGACTTGGATCATTAGAATCGGATTGTCTAAAGAACCTTCGCACTTCTGATTGGTTTCAGTCCGATAAAGCTGGTGTCAGCGTACTTGATTGCCGGAACGACCAGCACGATACGTAGTGCCGCCAGTGCGAACGTAGGTAATCTGAGTTGCACTTCGCCAATGGGCCAGGGTCGTTTGTTTTCATAGGATGCCGCTTTCCCGAAAAACCTCATCGTATGTGTGACATATTTGCCTAAGATCGAATTCGATAACGATAATTGACAGATTTTTCTGCTTGCTCTTCACCCAGCCTAACACCCGCTATGATGTTTATTTGGATTGCGGCAGTGAAGTGCCGTATGTGTATTGAGTTTTTACACTGTTGTGAGCGGGAAATGCCTATCCGATAACGGAGTGCTTATGGGAATTGGGTCAAGAAAACGTTACAAATTTGATAGTTGTAAACGGTGATCTCGAGAGGGTACTTCAGCTGGGAATTGTTGAAGATTCTTTAAGAAGTTCACAAAAAAACCCCATAAAATTTAAATAATAACAAGACAGTTGCAAGGCTGACAACATGGAAAAATCGCAACAGCGCCGTTATACGTTTGCACTGTCCTTTGCCGGGACAATCGGTAGCCGAAGTGACTTTCTTTTTTAGTTTATCTTTTTTTGAGCTATGAAGGAACGGTTCAGAGATTTTTTGGCGTCCAGCTTGATTTGCATGTGTATGGTTTTTTGAGTAAATGCTCCGATTAAGCAAACAGTTTGATTGTTTTGTTTAGGGTTCTTTAGCGTCATATGATGTCAGTTGATTGTGTGGGTGTTGGTTCAATTCGCTGCGAGAACGATCGTAATTGCCGCTGACATGTCGAATTGTCGATGACGGAAAGTTTGTTCAACGTTTTAGCAAATTTTTGCCTTGCTGTTGGGCATTAATTTAGTTGACATTTTACAGTACATATGTTGTACCACTTCAGTCATTCCTCATGAGATAAAAGAGTGATCGTCAATATTTTCAGGTTGCGTTCAGACGAATTACGGTTTTTTTATTCCGATTTAAAGTAAACGTAGCAAGATTTTGTGCAACGTTAATGGCGGTCATTCGCGCACCGGCTTTTCTCTGTAAATCAGATTTGCAGTCTGATTTGATAAAATCACCTGTATCTGTACTTACTGTAGTTTTTGTTCAGCATGTTATCGCTTTTGATTATATGTAATTGTATGTATGTCTGCTGATGGTATGGGAAAATCGAAAGCTGCTTGAATAATGTGCGGAGGCTATTGAATAATGGATTTCATTAAATGTGACTTGGTAATTATTCATAGCGGGTGCAAAAGGACGAAAGCCCAAGCGAAACCTGATGGAAAATGATTCACAATTACGATGATTGTGCTGGTTCAGCTGTTGTGATCTCACTGACTTCCCATGAGGTTTCAGTTGTTTACATTGGCGGATGTGACTCATCATTTTCGCTTTGGCACTTGACCAGCGGACGAGATCGACTGCAGACAAAAGGATCACGGCACATGCTTACAAATGAAATATTTTTTTACTCGAAGTATTTTACTAGAGTGAGCGATACTAATTTCTGGCATGACGGACTTAATTTGGCTAATCTCGAACAACAGGAAGCTCCTACTGTAAAATTGTTGCTCTTCGATCCCTTCGCGTTATAGGCAAAAATAAAAAGGTGGACACCGTGAGGTGGATATCGGATTGGAAAAAAAAACAGACACGGGTTATACAGTCACTACTCGTTTAGACTCATTGCACCACAATCCAATGAATCCAGTGAGAGTTTTCCACTTTGTGTTTGAAGTACGTGAAATAAGAGAAAGGCTTTCTATTAAAATTGTGATTATTGTTTGCTACACGTTGCACAAGACGATTATGTAAAACCGAGTAAGTGGTGAAATGGGTTAATTTCAGTGTGGGAAACGTAAACGCCTTTGGCAGGAAAGCTGTGTACCGTTTGAATTGTATTTGCAGATTAAACGTGTTCCCTCCTATTCATGTTGACTTTGATTTCGTAAGGCTTCTTTTATCTTGTCATGAAAATAGTACAAACAAGAACGCGCACCACCACACGTACGTTTGACGGCCACAGTAACAACGGATGTGATTTTTATTCTCTCTAGTTCGCGTTTACTGAAAGCAGCCAGTAGATCGGTTTGTTCTCCTTTTTTCTTCGGCAGCGAAAATCTTGAAACTTTTTGTGAGCGCCGTAAATGCAGCAAAATGTTGCGATGTGCCACAAATAAAACAATTGCGAAAATTATTTGTCTGTTTGCCGGACAGACATTGATCAATTTTTATTATGATAAGCTTAATCAAAATTATAAGCAAAATAATTATGATGAGTTTAATATTCACTTTGACTTTGCCCTTAGGATCTGGTAACATCATGTAAAGATAGAAAAACGAACATTGGTGGCGTATTATGCAAATAAGCTGTGCTGGATCAAAAGCGCACAGCTGTGCCGGAATCCACTGCTTGATGATCTGAAATTGATCTTGACCCAGAAGTGGAAGTGGTTTACGCTGCGCAGAGCGGAAAATATTTGCAGAATATGTCCTTCTGGTTAAAAGTAAATCCTTAAAGGATTTTGTTTAGGTCGAATTGCAATTATTCCGGAATAAACGAAGAGTCTGTTGTACGGTATAACTTGTACTAGGCAATTCTCTGATATTTCAGACTCTCGTTTGTGGAAAATCTGACAAAGTTTTAAGTAAACTCTTTCAAGGAAAGTTTCGACGCACTAATGTTCCTTATCTCTTTTCTTTTGCTGCGGATTACTTATATGATATTAATAAGTCTGGCTTGCCGTACGTAAGTTGTAGTAAATTAAACTACTCGTACATTGTTTACAGTACACAGTCTTCGAAATTATGGGATGGAACACTTTTCTAGAGCCGTATGTGATTATGTATCAATATGAAGCTGACTTTTGAAGAAAATTGTTAGTGAACCATTTTTATTCGCACTTATTGTTATTTTCCTTTTCTTTAGGATGACTTTGATTCTCTACGGCCATTGTGCTATCCTGACACAGATGTTTTCCTACTGTGCTTCAGCATCGTTAATCCCACATCGTTTCGTAATATTCGCTCGAAATGGCTGCCGGAAATTCAGCGTTATTGGGGTCCAGCTCGCAGCAGTCCATTGATCCTCGTCGGGACCCAGTGTGATCTACGGAACGATGTTTCCGTTTTACTGGAATTAGCACGCTACAATGAACACCCTGTGACCGATGCCGAAGCTCGCGATCTCGCCCACAGTATCAGTGCCGACTGTTACATTGAGAGCTCGGCTCTGACGCAATGGAACCTGAAGAAAGTTTTTGATACAGCCATCCTCGCCGCTCTGAATAAGACGATCCGACCGGAAAAAGATGCGGAATCCAACACGGTAACGTGTACACAGTTGCTGAAAAGGACGGCATCGCGGACAAAAGAAGGCGGGAAGAAAATCATCCCGCGACGCAGCTGGAAAAAATATTGCTGTATTTTTTAACGGAAATTGGAACTGCTTGGCCTTTATTCTGTGATAAGGATTTATTTGCCTGGGCGGAACTGGTCGATCACTGTTCCTGGAACCGCGTGATAAAAGGGAATTTTTTTGCCGTCGATTATGGACCGTTATGGGAAGATTTTATAATTTTTATGACCGTTTTGGGGGATTTTACGAGGCGTGAACGGTCAGTGCAGCGCAAGAAAAGGAGCGTAATTATAGACTTTGATGGCCAGATGACTCTTTTGTTCGGGACCGGTTGCAGTCAGCTGCAGCTTATGGACGGAAACTGGAGATGGATAATTGGTGGCTGTTGACCATGGTGTTGGATTGAAATGTTCGAATGTGGGCCAATGTTCAATCGATACACAACGGCGCTCTTGTCTGTTGGACGCTTGTTGGTCGCTACATGACTACATGTGCGCTTGGATCTGCTTGAGTGAGCGCGCCTCATACTAGATAGACAAGCGCGCTGGTGGTACTCTTTCTCTTTCCGTCCTTAGCATCTGGCGAAGAATTTTGAAAGTGGATGGGAGAAAGATGATCGGAGCATGGTCCAAAGATTTGGGCTTAAATTGCCGTTGCTATTGTGGATGGCCTGTTAAAACAGCGAAATTGGCCGATTGTGGAAAGTTTTGGTGTCATCTGTGTTGCTAGCGGCAAAAGTGGTTTTTGGGTAGTCTTGATTGAAGGAAATCGGATTTATTTTTGAATTTTGACAAGTGGTGCGCCTGTTTCAAGTTTTGAGCTTTGTTGGTGTTGTTAGATGAAGGTGCTACAAATGGAGTTATGAGCAGTCCAGTGTATATACGCTGATTAAATTTGAAATATGTATTCGCTTTCAGTACGATTTGCTGTGGAGCTGGTATACTGAGCTATAGCCATATTCAAAACACCGTAATAAATTTTTACATAATAAGTATGTAGAGAGTAGAGACTAGAGACACATATATCTTCATGTTATTCAGCATTATGTAGAGGAAGATAGCCAAAAATCTATTTGGATGTCTGTATTTTCACTGTAATATCGAGGCTAATTGATCAGATAAAGTACGGCTGCAGATACAATAAGTGCAATACAAAACTTGCAAATATCTGGAAGTATACTTAAAAATAAAAATTACCGGAAATAAACATTTGGTCATTTTTATAATATTTTAAATAATGACAGGAAAGGTCACCATTACCATTACAGCTCATAAGATATGAGCAGTAAATATTGTACATGTACTATAAAAATTATAAGCATTATGTTTATCACGACATCACTCATCGATGTTAAATTGAGATTTCTACATGAGTGGGTTTCTTTCAGTCTTTCACTTAGTCAAACCTTTCCAAAGTTTACGCTTGGGCAAACTGTAAGATCAACTCAAACTGAGCAAAGGAAGTGACGGTTAATTAAAATCTGAAGCAAGTAAGTCAGCAAAAAATATCAAAATTCTACGTGGCAGTGGCGGATCGGACAGCGTTGCCTAACTAATGGCATTGATGTTAATTCTGCACTTTAGCCTTTCTTCGCTAACGATGTGCCGATATAAATAAAAAAATGTCAACTGAATTTTTATAGTGCAGTGGTGCACCGCACAGCATAACCGGGCAGTAACAAAACCCACAACTAAACGAGCAATGGAAGCTTTATCCATACAATATGGCAAATGTTAACATGGAACCGATTTCTTTATTTTATTTCGGTAGCACATGTAATATGTTATAAAGAAATCAAATACGTATACTTACGTTTAAATACCGTACTTGCTCGTGCTTCGCGCGGATGACTGGGGCGTGGAACAGTCACTTCCGCTGCTTCCTGGTGACCTAGCTCTTGATCTACCCGCTGTCCCAGCACTACGTAATCATTCATTAATACAATTAATTTGCACCGATCGCAGCGAAGAACTCCAGTTAACAAGTAAAACTAATATGCCTTTATCAAAAGCATATTCGCCAAGAGAGCTACGCATACTGCATAGCTGTTATGCAGAAATATTGTTATCGGCCATTGTGCTATCGATCGACTGTGTTCCCAGCACTATCGGTGATGACCCTCCTGATAAGAACCCGGTCTCCGGACCGACTTGATCCCTGATGCAACCAGCGCGGAGCGAGCAAACTTCTGCCATCAAGGATAAGAGCCTGCTCCTGCTGGTTTACGTTCTCTGCAAAACAAAGAAACGGCTAGCGCGCCCAGGCCTGCCCAGCTATCCATTTCACAGTTTTCACTAAAAAAAACGAAAACAAAAATATAGCGTATACGTAAATCTGCAGTTACGAGGCCTTCTATCTGTACGTATTTAAAAGCAGTACGTAATATTTAAGTAGGTATTATATTTGATGTAGATTTAATTAACAGCAAGAGTTATGATACAAGGAGTGTTGAAAATCGCTGGATTTGACGAGTGAATTCTACAAACTTAACGTTAACCATCCATATATTTTTCGGTTTTCAGCAACTTCCCCGGCGTGGCGTCTCCTTGGGTTAGCGTACGACAAAAATTCACGGGTTCGTCTTTCAGGTGCAAATGAAAATCCGCACTTTAGGATAAGTAATTATTCCGCTTTCGCTCATTTTTGACGTTAAAAGTGAAAGCTTGAAGGCTGTTGAATCCTGTATTTTGAAAGGGCAAATAATTATAAAAGTACCCCTCCGTTTCTCATCCAACAAGGTCCATTAAACCCATTCTGACACGGCTGGACTGCGATTTCTTAACTATGGACGATCTGCCAGATCTGGAACCCGTTCCTATTGATGTTGATCACCCGGTTCCTGCCAATGATGCCGCTTCCACATCCACTCAGAAATCCAAACGTATTCGAAAGCGGAAGCGGCGCAATACGCAGAACTCCGCAATGGAAGTGGATGTCGAAGAGGTGCTGCCGCGAAAAAAATCCAAATGGGTAAGAGCTAAGACTGACGAGCCAAAGGCAGCTTCGAAGTCTCGGAAAATGGACTTATCGCGTTCGTGAACTTCTCCGTGATTTTAACCGACACAATGCTGATAGGAAGGCGAAACTGATGTCCGTAAAGTACCCGTTCCTGCTCATCGATACACACCGCTGAAAGACAGCTGGACGAAACTCATACAACCAGTCGTGGAGCATCTGCATCTTCAGATGCGCTTCAACCTGAAAACCCGTAATGTGGAGATCCGAGTAGGTTCTATGATTCAGATCCCTTTGCTGTATGGTCGGAATTGGGCTTTTCTTCACAATTTTGAATTGGTTTTTAGCCTAGTCCGGAAACCGAGGATATTGGTGCGCTTCAGAAAGCAGCTGATTTTGTCCGAGCGTTCGTCTTGGGCTTCGAAGTTGACGTGAGTGTTTTAAATTGCGCATGGTGGTAAATAGAGTGGTCCGAGTATACTATTCACCATGGCATGGATATTTAATTAGTAGTGTATCATTTTAATTATACAGCTTTATGTTTTATCAGTAATGAATTTTACGTGGGTGTTTCATGTCTCATGAATCGTGCGACATAAATACAATTTTCTTTGGGCCTAGTCTTATCGAGCTCACACATACATGAAATTGTTTCGTGAAACAGTCGGCTAATATTGTTTTTTTTTGTAATTATGCCAAATGGGCGAACGCTTTTACTTACTTAACAACGCGTGTGCGTCCCGCGGTTCAGTATTTTTTTTTAATTTAACAGGATGCGATGGCGTTGATTCGTCTGGATGATCTTTTCATTGAGTCGTTTGAGATTACCGATGGTATGTGTGTGTGCCACAGTTTATATCTTTGCAAGAAACTCCAGTTGCTTGTGCCCGAATTTGATTATGTACAGCATTTAACGATCTTCGGTGTTTTGTTTTACATTGCAGTTAAGCCGTTGAAAGGCGACCATCTGGGACGTGCAATTGGTCGTATTGCTGGGAAAGGTGGACGCACCAAATTTACCATTGAAAATGTGACGAAAACCCGAATAGTCTTGGCTGATAAGTAAGTTTCTTACTTTGCATCTGCGCGCAGTACTATATAGTTTAATAGGCAAGCAGTGCGAAAAGTACTGTACCAAACCTTTAGGGTGTCTGGATAGATTAAATGATTCATGTATTTCCGATCTGGTGCTGACGTACATGTGCTTTATTTGCTGCGGTACGGCTGTGAATTTGAAAACAGCGAGGAATACAAACGCGAACACGGAATTCAGTTTTCGTTTTTTATTTCCATTTTCCCTATTTTACATTTTTTTAAGCTTTTATCATTAAGAATAGGAATTACCAACATAAAGAGTACTCGTACTTCATTATAGACTACAATGAATTAATGTGAATTGTAAAATAAGCAGACACTATGATGGACAAACGCATCGCAAACTCTCAGGCAGAAGCACTCCATTTTCTTTTTTATTCCTTTTTTTCGTTTTTTTTTCTTTTTTCAATTTTTTCTCTTTTTTTATAACATTTTCTATTTTTTCTGTTTTTAGGAATATCCATATTCTTGGATCTTTCCAGAATATTCAGACCGCCCGAAACGCGGTATGCAATCTGATATTAGGCAGTCCCCCATCAAAAGTCTACGGAAACATGCGAGCCATTTCTTCTCGCACAACAGAAAGATTGTGAAATAGTTCGAATGCTACTCCAGATAAATAATACACACAGCGTGTATTCTCAATCGTAAAATGAAAAAAAAACTTTTTGGTTTTTGCAACTAACTAACGTGTGAGAATTCGTATAAAAGTAACATCTTTTTTTACAGTTTTTTGCAGATATATGGTACATACAGTATCTGAAAGCATATAGTAATTAAAAAAAACCCTCCAACCGCAACGTTACTGTACAACTGCTTCCATTTCAATGTGAAGTCTTTTCGCCAACGGTACAGTAAATTCCTCCAAACCTGTCTCTGCAGCATCCAGCGATCGTTTGCTGCCCGAACCATTCCGGTTCTCGACGACTGGTGAACTCGTGGAATCCGCTTCTCGACGCTGCGGCGACACTCCCTCCTCCGACACTATCCCATCCTGGATAGGCAGTCCCAGTCCGCTATCATCACTGCGCTGGCTTGGGGGCGTTTTTTCTCGTGTGGACGGCTCCGGACCAGGAAACAGAGGTTTTTCAAAGGTCGGTGTGCCGGGGGTGGCCGGCGCTGGCGAACCGCCATTCGCCAAAGTCGGCATGGAGGGCGATTGCGTCGCAGCTTGATTATTCAGATCGCTAGAAGAGCTGGTAGTACGCATGCGTTTCGGCGGGCGTGCTGCTCCAAAGTTCTCCGTGCTGCTGTCGCGCCGCAGGAGCCGCGGTGGTCGCGTCCCTCCTCGGCCGGTCCCGTTCTGCGGTGGTGTTATTTTACTGCCACCGCCGCTATTGCGTGGTTTCATGTTGGCGAGGAGAGTGAGGCCTTCGTTACTTTTAATGGCCGCATCAGGAACGTAGCCAGCCAACTGAGGACGTTTACAATATTTCGCGGCGACTTCCATGCCCTCTTTCCACGTGCTATGGCGCCCAAAAGAGCGCACTGATTCCAGGAATGTGTTCACGTCGTGGGTTAAATTTAGGTTTACTTTTCCGCCCTTCGGAAAGTCAAAATCCAGTCCTAAACCAAACAGTATCTCATAAGAGCAGTTCACAAAAGTCTGCTAAACTAACGAATCTAAACCAAACAGGAAGTCTTTAGAAACATGAATTCAGGATACACACATTTTTCTCGCACACTTGTATACTGCTGGTGCATTCTATGTCAGACCTTAACGAAAGCTTTCTTCGTAACAGATTTTTCAAACGAATGAAAAGATTTGAAACGACACTAACTCCACTTTATAAATTTCAAAATGAATTTTTACAGTAGTGTAATCAGCTAATCATATGCTTTTTAAGCGCACTGAGCAATTAGGTATGATGAAATGCATGCCATGACGACATCTAATGAATACGTAAGAGTAAATTAAAGCACTCCTGTTCTTTGTAGCACACTTCACACATCGACCTAAATATAATTTTAAGTTAAATGTATGCAGTACTTTGTACGATACTGTATGTGTTGTAGGCTGTAGCAAAGCATGTGGTGACTTACAGAAACATTATACGCAGTGAAAAACTTAAACAGATGACAAACAGTTAGTAGTGCCAAAAACTTTAACAGTTAGTGCCACTAACCAGCAAAAAAATTGCAGTGATACTGCAATATGTTCCCATGAAAAACAAACTCGAACCACCATCTACTGTGACTGGCTGGTTTTATTTTCCTTAGCGCACGTCTGACTCACTTACCCACAAACCACTGAATTCCCACCGCACCAGGTGCAGCGTATTCTGGTTTCATTGGCAGATCACTAGGCCAGATATGTGCCACAGTGAGAAACTCGTTATTCTCCAGCTGTGTCACCAAGGTTCGTAGTCTGGATTCCACGCAGCCCTTCCATGACTTCAAATCCTCCTTGGTCTTCGCCGACACCATCACAATAATAAAATGATTGTACAAGAAGAAAAAGTTCAACGGTTTGAACAATTCCGTCCAGATCTGTGCTTTCGACATCTCATCGGGTTTACTGTATATCGCGTTCATCTGTTGTTCACCCAGTCGAAATTCCGCTTGCATGATCTTCAGCGTACTACGGCCGACATTGTAGGTAGAATTCTGGTGAGGGAAAGACGGCGTAATAATGGGCATGGAATGGCCCCGGTCCTGGGGATAACATCGCGGATCCCACACAGTGGAGCCAACATCGATATCCGTTGGATTGTCCGGCAGCTTCAGCATGATGGGCTGCGGCCATCTCCACTTGGCGAATATTGTGAAAAACTTGCGTAATATCATGGGGGCTGCAGCATTGGGATACTTCTGACATACAAAGGCAACTAACAGGGCCCAGGACACACCGCCTATAATTAATCCCCTTGTTACCAGAAAAACACACTGACAGAAGAACACAATCGTGATCCAGTCAATTACTTACGTTGCTTACTTCCTCAATTACCACGCAAAACCATTAACAGCTGACAAGCAGACTTACCCAAAAACCCAAGGACGTTTGAATAGATTCCTCTGCGTTTAGCCCACAATTTGATCCCTTTCAACGCTTCCCGAAATGAACTGCGATCGGGGACTAGAGCCAATATCTCGTCCGTCACACGACAGCCGTTCAAACTACGAATACACTTCAAATCCATCATCCGCAGTATCTCGTGATCCGACAGATTCAACGCCTCCGGGATTTCCTTCAGCATGAGCCGGGCGAACGTCAAATCAATCTCCACCCCGTCAAAGTACATCTTAATAACCGGAACAAAGGCACCCTCCACCGCGCGCAGATCGCTCACTTTCTCGTGGCGCAGTAAGCGCTCGGCGAAGGACTTGAAGAAATCCCCGCGATCCACATACTTGGGAGCAATAAGCAGCGCGTCGATATCACCGCCCCGCGCGTGTACACCCAGCCGATACGAGCCGAACGTACACACACGGCCTCCGACGGTATCCAGTTGGGTATCGGCGACACCCTTCTGGAAGCAGATCTCGCGGATCCATGATTTGGCCAGGGCGTCCAGTTCCGTCATCACTTGGAATCGATGGGTCTCCTCACTCTCGGACTCAATGACATTCTGATCCTGCAGATGCTGACGCAGTGATTCGAGGAGTTGGAGGTCTTGGGCTGTTGGAGAACTCTTGGAGATTGGTGATGATAAACCCACCCAGCCTCGGAACGCCATCATCCAACGCAGTAGCCGTAGATCTAAGAAGGTGTTATACTGTGCCTTCATAGGAGATAAATGCAGCAGCCAACCATTCAATCTATGATCATGATGCCGTCAAGCATAATCCACACCAAATGACATCATGTCGCTGGGAGAGGCGCACAGCCCGCGGCTAAAGAATTTGAACCATCCTAAAATAAATCCACTGATAAAATGTGCACAGAAAGATGCAGCAGAAGATGATTAATGTGTGAACTAATATATAACACTGAACAGATCTGAGAAGACGGTTTTCAAGGTGAAAACCTACAAGCCCACTGAACTTTGGTAAGATATTGGTTACGAGAAAAAACTCGGGGAATTTGTAACCAAACAACTTACCGAGTAGTACGCTCCGATAACTCCCTCTTGTAATCCCAGCTAAGCATACTAGTACTCTCACTCCAGTAAATTAACAACACAGGGAAAAGGTTTCCCAATCAGATACCAACACCAGATCAGCAAAACACACGTGGAGCTATCGGCCTGATGAGGCTATGAACCACACTGTATTAATCATCAAGATAAAACCGACAGGAAACGTTACGGCGGTTGAGATGAGTAGATCTGAGAAATTTTAGCAACTGATTCGGTGGCTGTCTGTGTCATTCACTTGTCAGAATGCCAAATTCCACAGGGTTTTTACAACCTGCGCCAGATTTACTCGATGGCCCACATGGGTCGGGTGTCAGGTGTTTGGCTATGATACAGGGAAATGGGGGCATTGACCACAGAACCGTACGACGTACGCGCGGCAGATCGGAAAGAGAAAACAGGAAGAAGACCACCGCGGCGTCCCTCCTTTGCCGCCTCTTTGATCAGAGCTCATTTGCAATGTTTTTGTAAACAATAGTGTAAATCAAAAATTTTTTCTGGTCGGTGAACAAATTTCTGTAATTTGCAAGCGTTGTCTTGACGCAAGTACTTTCGTGGTCACTTAGCGTTAATTTTATTTTCGTCGTGCACCTATCATTGGCTCAAAAAAATTGTTTTTCCTTGGATGAAGCGAATCCTTACATTCGGAATACGCGGCTTTGCCGCTGTTTATGCGCATTAGCAGGATTGTTTGCTGCTGGCAACTGCAGATTCTGCACTTTGACTTGGAACTCGTTCCAGCTGGATGGGAAATCTCGACCTGATTATTTATTTCCATCTAAATATCGATAATCGGATCAAGCTAAGCTTTGATTGAGAAAGCTTCCTTCACAATGGATTTTCTAGCGGATAATAATTTGTGCGGACAGACTGTTCTCCGATTGGTGTCGCGAGGAAACGCCACCATCGCCGAACTACTTCGGTTGTCGGAATATATTCCGCCGATTTACCGACTGGACTCCCGCCAGGAACAGCTGCAATATGGAGAAATTCTCCTGGATTTTAGTTATTTCAAATCCGTTGAAATGCATGAGAGGCGGATCGAAAACACGACGGTGAGATGAGAATCCGCATCGGATTGTCTCACGCACTGACGTCAAATCTGTATTTGCATTTATATTTATTGCGAAGTGTTCATCGCACCTTTCGTGTGGGAATTTTTGGACTGCACGAAATTTTGTTTACTTTGTTATTTGGTAGGGTATGCAAGAAACGGATTTGGAACTGCGGGATAATTATTTGGATATTTTGCGGCGTTTCTATGTGGCTTTCGAAAGCGTTCATCGATACGCAACAGAACTCAACAGGTGAACATTTTTTATGAATATTTTTACAATGATGAATTGTGTTTTTGAAAGATTATAATATAGCCGTTAATGATCTTTAATTTGAATTTTCTCATGTAATAATTTGTGGCAGATTTGTTGAGGATTTGGAAGATGGCATTTTTATTCAACAAAGCATGGAAACTGTTTTCATGAATTCCGATGGTAAACAACTTATGGTAAGTCCCTCTCTGATCGTGATAACTGATAAATGATGCCGTCGGTGGTAGCCTTTTATGTTTCTGATAGTGCGAAGCTTTGTACCTTTACGGCGTCATGTTGCTGATTATGGATGTTAAATATGAGGGAACTGTGCGAGAACGACTGCTGGTGGCTTATTATCGATATTGGTACGATTGGATGCGCAATTTTTTCAAGACTTTTGTTCGTTGAAAATTGTTTTTGTGTGTTTCAGTGCGGATACTTCTCGGGAAACAAACATCGACGAAGTGTGCACTTTATTGCGGAGCACCGGCTATTCATCCGCTCCCACCGCCAAGCGTCCGCCCAATTATCCCGAAGACTATTTCCGGCGAATAAAATTCAAGCCGCAGTATATTAGCATGGTCGTGGGTCGATTACGCTCGGACGATATTTATCATCGGGTATTTTAATATTCTCATACAGTTGCATGGAGGGTTTGATGGGATGCAACGGATCTTCTTTTAGTCGTTAGCGTTTCCGCTTCCCGAACATCGCAGCACCGCTCTCAGTACTCAAGCGGCAATGTTGTATGTTGTTCTTTACTTTGAACCGGATACACTGCACAATCAGCCGGCCAAGATGCGTGAAATTGTGGATAAACACTTCGCTGACAACTGGGTTAGTCCTGGAAAAGTACTTTAATTATTTTCACTGTGTAATTGATCTTCGCAACAGCTGTTGTCGTTTGTACTGACTTTATTCGGAAACCATTCAGTTAAGTTAATTGACATTTATTATTTGGCCCACCTGCTGTTTTTTCTTTTGTTTTGGTACAGTACGTTTTGTCATGCTGTCACTAACCGGGCTGTATGATCGTGTGTGTGTTTTCGTATGCGACGCCTCAGTATGCATTTTTGGTACTTCTGTCTAATTGCGCTTTGCATTTGCAGGTAATTGGCACATACATGGGAATGCTGGTCAATCTTTTGGACGCATGGGAGCCTTACAAGGCTGCTCGAGGTGCATTAGCGAACACTATTGATGCGGCTGTGGTGCGAAATATGGTAAATAAATTCAGTTGGCGCAACTTGGTACAGTAGTACTGATGTTGGAAGGTAATGCCCGGTTGTATCTGTAGGCCGCTAGAAAAGGAGAAAAACTGCAGAAAATCAACCAGATTTTGCAGCAGTTGCTGAAAGAGGGATCCTTAACGGAGGAAAACGCCATCAATAATGTCAGCAAGCTGCTGAATTTAGTCCGAGACTGCAACGTCACCGTCCGATGGTTAATGCTCCACACTGCACCATTAACTCCGGGTATGTGTACAGTGTACCAATTCCTTTGTGTGCATCTATTGCATACAGCTGGATGCGTTTTACAAATGATTGTGTGTGATACTTCTTTTATTCTATAGCACTAGAAATCAACAAGAAATGCAAAGCAATGCGCGATTTAGTCCTTGTTGAAATGAAATGCCGGCCCGTAGACATCTTTGAACTGTTGCTGAATACGGCGCAGTTTGAATTGAAATTGAAGGAGGTGGGATCTAAATTGGAGAATCCTTATGTTTATCAAGGATGCAATGTTTTGTCTTACAGTTATACAAGCTCATTTTGGCTGCCAAAGAGAGTAAGTGGACACTGTACAAAAGCGAAGCCAAGGAACGGCTGACGGATTTGTCAGACGCTTTCACCGGCGGCAAACCGTTAACTCGGATTGAGAAAAATGGTAAGCATTGGGCAGTAATACTGTACAACGGTGAATGAATTTAAGAATTTTGAAACCTGCAAAGACGGAATGCCTGAAACTGTCCGCGAAAAATGCTTTTGAAATGAGAAGTATTGGCTTCTTGCAATGATTTGATATCTTCTCAGCAATTTGATTTTTTTCATGAAAATAAAACGAATTTTTTGGTTGCAGAAAAGCTGCAGAACTGGTTTGCGGAAATGGCTCGACAAGTTGACAACCTAAGTTTCAGCGAGCTGGGCCTGGCTGGCCCGCGGATCATCCAGTTGATCCAGGCACTGGAAGAAGTCCAAGCTTTCCATCAACTGGAGTCCAACATTCAAGTGCGTCAGTTTATCACCGAAACTCAACAGTTTCTGCATAAAATGATCAAAATGGCCAACACAAAAGAAGACATCCTTGTTAACCTGGAAATTGTGGGCGATTTATCGTACGCATGGCAGTTGATCGACAGTTACACGAAACAGATGCAAGATGGAATCAAAGAGAATCCCTCACTTGTTATTAAACTGCGCGCGACGTTTTTGAAAATGGCATCAGCTATGGATTTACCGCTGCTGCGCATCAATCAGGCCAACAGTAATGATTTGGAGTCGGTGTCCCAGTATTATTCTGGCGAATTAGTGGCCTATGTCCGAAAAGTGTTGCATATCATTCCCGAGACGCTGTTTAATTTATTGGCACAAATTGTCAATATTCAAATCAATCGGTTGAAGGAGTTGCCGACGCGGTTGGACAAAGATAAGCTGAAGGATTTCGCGCAGCTGGATGAGCGCTTTGAGGTGAGCGTTTGAAGTGTGAGCTGTAGGGTGGTTTCTGCGTGGTAAAATTGTACAAATAACACTAAAAGGCAAATTTCTTACTGCTTAGGTCGCACGGCTGACTCATGCAATTTCTGTATTCACTGAAGGGATACTGCAGATGAAAACTACCTTGGTGGGAATAATTAAGGTGAGGCGCCGATTAATTGAATCGGCTATTTTAGTATTCAAGTAAATCAAGTCCTCCATAATACTGTTATTTCTGTTTACAATTAGATTGATCCAAAACAGCTTCTGGAAGATGGCATCCGAAAAGAATTGGTGCGATTGGTAGCGCAAGCGCTGCACAACGACTGCATTTTTGCACAGAAACAAAAGGTACGGGTGTCCACCTTTATTTGCTTTCTGTAGTCTTGTGAGTAACACTAATTGCACAATATTGCTTCATCTTTATAATGAAGTCTGATATGTACAAAGCTCTTAAAATCACGCCCCGTTTGTAGTCCAATGATTTTGTGCAACGCCTTGATATTCTGGGGGTAAAGATGGATGGTTTTCGTCGATCATTTGAATATATTCAAGATTATGTGGAATTGTACGGCCTGAAAATCTGGCAGGAAGAAACATCCAGAATTATCAATTATAACGTGGAGCAGGAATGCAACACTTTCTTGCGCAATAAGGTAAAAATTAGAGCTGCTTGTGTCAGCTAGATTTATCTAAAGGTTTGATAGGAAATTTACTGCGAAGAAATATTGAAAAATTTTTGCTCATAGGTGCAAGACTGGGAAAGCATCTACCAGTCCAAAACCATACCGATACCTAGATTTCAGCCAGTGGACGTATCAGTGACATTTGTGGGACGGTTGGCTCGTGAATTAATCAGGATCACTGATCCAAAGTACGTTCGAAAATGTGTGTATCGAGTTTGTAGTACATGCTTACGCTTGTATTAATTGTAGAGTCACTGTTTATATTGACCAAATGACGGCGTGGTTTGATGTGAAGACCCGACAGGAACTTGTGAATATCACAATATTCCGAAAGCTGCAGGTAATACTATGATTTCTGGTGTGCGGCGCATCTTAAATTTTTATATTGCAGTCTTGTGAGGGGATGCGTTTTTTTATTTGACCGCCTGAATTGGTTGCATTGCTATAGGAATTTTCTCTTATACATACATACGGTTGTTTGATTTTTGTAGCATGCCCTGGGTGTACCTGGGTTAGCTGGTTTGGATCGCTTATATTCATTCATGATCGTTCGTGAGCTACAGTCATTGCAAAAGATATTGGATGATCTTTTGAAGGAGCGGACATGGGTGGCGCATTATCAGGGCTTGTCGAAAATGTTGGGAACTGGCCAGAATACTATACGTAAGTTGTCCTTGATGAAATGGGGGTGTTTCTGTGAGTTAAAATAAATTAAATTTTTTTATGCAGCCCAAGCTGTGAAATTTTACGCCCAGGCAACATCAAAAGGTGCTAAAATTTGGCCTGCCATGATAGAGACATTCCAGAAGGTAATATTTGTGAGGCGCACCTTTAATTTTTTCCACTTGACTGTAATGAGTTGACTGTAATTAGATTGGACAGCTCCAGCTTCTTCGTCGGCAGCTGGCGTACGAACTGCGCACTGTCAGCCGATTTGACTCAAAGCATCTCGTCAACGCATTGGAAATCGTTAACGAGTAGGCGCTAATTTACCTAGTCGTTCATTTGTGTATATTAAACGTTTGATTTTATATTATTTATTTCAGAGTTGTTCTGACTGATTTCAAAACTCGACGTGTGGATAGAATGAAAGACATTCCGAAAGAACAGAGTTTCTTGATGTATGAATTGTCGCAGTATCTCCAGTGGACCGGTTTGACAGAACCACTGATGCAGGTGTTTGTCAAATCTGATAGCAATTTGTCTAGTGGAAATGAAGTTGTAGTAAAGTGACTAGTAAACACTTGATGTTTTGCTCAGTGTGGGAAAAATTTCGCTGTCGGTAACAAATGTCAACCGGTATTGTAGGTGTACATTGGCACGCGACGTGATCCTTATCTGGGCTTGGCAATGTTCCTAACTTTACTGAGCACGAGCGGCATGTTCATCCCTGCCGGAAATCTAGGTGGGTAGCGAATGTGCTATTAGTTGCATTGCTTAATCTATAAATGCAAGGTTAACTTAGGTAATACATTGGTGCCTCGTCGGCGCTATGATCCGATGGATGGAACGCCGTTTTTGGTCGGCTTTATCACCGTTATGAAGCAGTTCCACGGAGATTATATGCGGCAGGTCATGCAGATGCTGGGACAGTATTTGCGATCGGTGATTGAGAACGCCAAGAATATGGGCAGCAGTGATTTTGGTCCGGATGCGGCGACACTGGTGGTATCAGTTCAGTGGATGCTGCTATTAGGCGCTGTTGATCATGAGGTATATTTTTGTATTTGTTATTTTCTCTGCCAGGCTAGAAAATACGAAATTTCTGTGTGTTTGTTTATTTCAGATGAACAGTTTTCTGCTTTGCAGATGGTGGAATCGTACATCTCTGGCTATGTTGTTCGGAGCCTGCAGACCGTATCTTAACACTGTGACAGTTCCATGGTGAAATTTTGGTGTCTGTGATTTTAGACTTGATTGTGATATACCTCTGATAATTTTACGAGTATTTTTATTGTATCTTGTTTTCATTGAAGTTCTGTTACAAATCATGGTTTTGAAATTATGCCGGATTTTGTTGTTTACTTAGTGCTTCCTGCATGTGCACAAATGTTATCTGACAATGAAGTTGATGCGATTAACTACCCGGTAGGGCCTGCTGTTCTGGCAAGTGCGTTCATTTGTGCCTCGCTGGAACCAAGCGATTGAACGTGGATGAAACAAATATAAAAAAAAGTGTTGTGTGTCTAACAAGCATCGATGGAACGGTCTCCCGGTTTAAAAGTATCGTGCAAACACTTACCATTAGCAAATGAAATCACATTGTCGAAATCGAAATCGCGTAACGTGCCATTGAATGTACATTATATTTATTCATGTCTTCGGGTTTTGATTAGTGCTGCTTTATCCCCTTTCGCTTTACAGTAAATATCACGACTGTAAAATTTTGAATATTTAAGAAAGGTTTGCTTTATATCAGTTATTGCAATTACGTAAGTACACAAGTGAACAATGTGGCCCCGTTCTAATTCAACTTGTAAGTAATATCCAAGCAGGTGTTGCAGCAATATGTATCGTAAGCGAATGTCCAAGCAGGTGTTGCAGCATTACATGTATGATGTATCGTAAGTGAGTACTTACGTTTTGCTCAGAACATTAATTGTGAGTATTATTACGTACCTTTGACATTTAACCTGGTTCACGCATCGTTTATAGAAAAACAGAGTAGTTAGTTCGATAAGCTCATAGTTATCCTCATACCCGTAGTTTCTATAGACTTTTCATACGAACCACTAAATGTTCAGTATACCATGCGTGATACGAGTAGTGAAACTTTTGTTACGATGATTGTAAAGTTCTATTACTTATCTCATTACAATATTTAAAAATTATTCACCTTATTTTGATAGTATAGACTCAAACACAGATACTGTATGTACTAGACACATGCGCGAGAAATATTTGTAACGATTTTCGACGAAATGCGAACCACCGGCGAAAGTTTCGAAGAATAAGAGACTACTGTTAGTAGAATTTATCACGAATGCAAATGGCAAGTTTTCAGGTGTTGCCGTGTTGATACTTGCACAAATGTCGACGTTCAGGCCACATTAAGACATCTGACCTCGAAAAATGATTACCATCCAAAAATTACAGGCTAGCCCTTTTGTCAAAAGCGCTAAACCCGAAAAAAATTGCAGTTTTCTTGATAGTTTTTCGAGTACCTTCAGTAGCAGACCAACTGGATACTACAAGTGCCTGTTAATTAAAAACGCTGCGAAAACGTGACTCTCCCATTGAAACATGGCTAAAAGTGCTGAAGCCGGGGAAAAATTTTATGCAAAATCAGGCTGTTATTGGCAAACCGATTCCCCATTGTGGGTAGATACACTAATGGATATATAAAACAGAAACCAATCGGCTCACTTGGACTTCAGGTAGGATCAGACAATCCATCCGCAGCAAACCCATCTGGTTACTGTTACCGACAACATGGCTCGTATCTTCCTTTTGACCGCCCTTGTGGCACTGGCTGCATTGGTCAGCTTTGCGTAAGTGATGGATTTGGCGGCTGCCATTATCATACAGCGCGTAATACTGTGTCCTTGTCAACTGCAGTGATGCCAAGCCCGGCAAAGTTATTGAGCCGAGGGGAGGTGAAATCCCACTGTCCAAGCACGAGAAGAAGAAACAACCGGGATTCCAGATCCATCACAAACATCGCGCTCCGGCCACTCTTCCCCCTTCTTTCGATGCCCGCACAAAATGGTCTCAGTGCAAGAGTATTTCCGATATCCGTGATCAAGGTCAATGCGGTACCTGCTGGGTATGTGCGCAAGTGATTAATTACTCTATCGTTGATCAGTGAGTAATGTTAACACTATAATTTTTACGGCAACGTTTAGGCTGTTTCATCTGCCAGCGTTCTGTCCGACCGTCTCTGTATCGCTGAATTGACCGCTGGCAAAACCCCATCCCAAACCTACGTCTCGGCTTTGGATATTGCCACTTGCAAGGACTCTTCTCGCACTCCTGACCAAAAGTAAGCAGGACAGGGAACCTTTGAAAAAAAGTAGCCGTATCTTGCGCAAAGGTCAATGTATACAAATGGAACTATGAGGCGATACTGACTCTGATTCCGGCATTTCTTCTCGTAGCTGCAACCAAGGTGGCAACACTGCCAATGCCTACAAATGGGCTACCATTCAGGGCTTCGTCACCGGTGGCAACCTTAACAGCAAAGTCGGATGCAAGCCGTACCCAGTTGGCAATGATGGTCCCATGCCGTTGTCCTGCTCCAAAAGCTGCACCAACAGCGGCTATGGCAAGAGTCCTGCTCAAGATACCGCATACGGTAAACTCGCTGATTCGGCAGTAAAAGGGAGTATTATGAAATAAAATTGCTGTGGATGGTAGTTGATGGTTACTGGACTAGCTATCTTGATGAAAACCCAACCCAAGCCAAGATCCAGGAAAACGTCGTCAAGATGCAGCAAGACCTTTATGCCAACGGCCCAATCACCGTTTCCATGCGCGTATGGAGCGACTTCTCTAGCTGGAAACCAGAAAACGGTAATTACCGGAGCCGACCAAAACAATATACGGATATTATAAGAATTAATTACAAGTACTTCAAATTCCAATGAAAACACGCTTTCTAATTCTTTTCATTAATCAAAGCGACATTCACCTGTGCAACATGTAACACTGATGCAATTCTCATAGGTGCCTACCGCGGACCTGGTCCCACTGCTCAACGAAAGGAAGGTCACGCTGTCCGCATCATTGGTTGGAACACTGACAAGAACGGCGTGAAATACTGGATGATTGCCAACTCGTGGGGTGTCGGTGACCAATGGAACTCGCGTGGTGACAAGGGTGTCTACTGGATCGAAATGGGCAAAAACGTCGTCGGCATCGAAGACAGCCCAACGGCTCCCATTGTCGTTATGCCCAACACCTGCACTGGCTTCTGCGATTCGCCTATCACCCAGATTGTCCATTTGGATGCCAAGAATCTGAACTCTCCCGCCTATGCTTTCTCTGGTAACTGCACCACCCAAGTGACCGTTAGTGCTGGTGGAAAGATCACCCCAGTCGGATCTCCTCAACCCATCGCTAAGGTCTTCATCGGTGGCCCTGCTGGTCCGATTACCAGCTGGATGGGTGCCAACGGCCCCACTGACCCTCTGTGGATCATCAATGTAAGTTACATGGTCGGGTGGTACTGCTTGTCATATGAACAATTTTTAGGCAAGAAATTCATTGTATGTTTACATCTGCACTTGTGTTACCGTGATGCTCGTAGTTGAAATACTAAGCAAAAAAATTTTTACAGCCTCAAGGCGAAGCCGGCAACTGCCTGCCTGTTAGCGGATCAACCAAGGTTGACTGTGGTCGCGGCACTGCCACTGCAGGAGCTGCTGCCCAGACGATGGTCGGATCAGACAAGATCGCTTACTGTAAGTGTTCTATACTTACCAGATGCTCTATCGTGAAATTACTATCAAAAGCAAACTAAATCAGCCAACACTAACAGTCATATCTACATACAGATAACGACCAGAAGGAATTCCTCTTCACCTTCAAGGGTGGCAGCACGAGCGGCAGCGGTGCCTACATTGGTGATGGCATTAAGACCAAGTTCGCCCAAGTGAACTCCATGGTGAATATTGACAACGCTAACGTGTTGCTGTGCGGTTTGGATACGGCCGGAAAGACAGCCTGTGCAACAATGAAGGTTTCCGATAAATCGGTAAGAAAAATGACGTTTTATAATGGTATCGGTACATCTGGTTGAGGATTTGCAGTAACAATGGCAATTTGTATTTCAGGTGTCTCAACCACAACCAATCCGAAGCCTGGTCACCAAATGCTAAACGGTCTCATGATCCTACACGACTGCCGTCCCTGATTACAACTGTGCTACAAAACGCTTTAAAATGTGTGTTGTTCTGCACAAGAAAAATATCCTTTTTGCCAACTTATTATCGCGGTACATCTCACTGAAGTGATGGTACTCGTATTTTACCGGGTTGTTTTTACTGACTATTGCAACCGCTAAATCGTGGTGGCGTGCTTCAACATCACGAATAAAACTGACACTGAAGTCTGGTTTACTTGGTCGCTCTTGTCGTAACACTGGTAACAGTAATTTAACAATATGTATCATGAAAAGGTCACGCGCACCATGCTCCAGTTCGTTTACCACATGAAAGTAAGTAAAACATAAAACACGTCAAGTGCAAAAGCACGGAGTAACACGAAAACATCAGTGTTGTACTGACAAAGTTTATAGAATCAATCGTTTCAAAAAACGGCTAAAATTAAGAAACATTACGTAAAGACTAATAAACCACGTGGTTTCTGAATCCTTGTTTCAATCCCTTTAACATTAAAAATTTGTCCCCTTAACATCAGAAATTTAATTTACATTTGCGTTCCACACGTGGAAACAACAAACGATATCGTAATATCCCTATCACCAGTATTGGCATTTGTTACTCCGCCCTATAGCTTGCATGTCTATTGGATGATGAATTTGGATCCACACCAGATGCCATTAAAAACCAGAGGTCATCAAAGATAATTTAAAATTCCAACCATGCCTCTAGGAGCGTCAGTCAGACGCAACTTTACCGCCAACCCAATTTAAGGTGTTCTTAAGAAATCGTATTCAGCGCCATTCGCGGCTAAAGATGTGCTTGTTGAACAATCATTTTGCAAGTTAACTCTAAACATCGAAAAGTGAACATGATTTCTTGATATTTTAATAACGCTAAAATGGAAATGATACCACATGACTTATTTGAAATATGTACTAGCTACCATCTTTTGTCCTTGTTATACATTTTGTTTATATCCCTTATCGTGCGATTTTCAACGGCAGAACTGAGGCATTACGGTAGATTTGCAAGTCGGCTGCCTTTGGATGCTTGCATTGAAATACTAACGTTGGGAATAACTTCCACTATTACAGTACTGTATATATAAACACATGAAGCAGCAGTTTAAGCAGGCAAGTTAAACTTTTATCACACGTTTGTTACATTCTTAGTGTGTTCACGTTCTTTCGAGAAATAAAATTTTGCAAACAATACTTACGGAGAACTGTGCAGTGCTGTCGCATATTTAATGCCGAAATAGCGCTGAGGACAGCTGCGCGGCTGCTGCAATTGGCGGCTGCAGCGTTCGCCACGCCTGACTAAGCACCATTGAGTTCGCACGACATTTTGATCGGTCACCCTTTAATTAAGTGGATTCCGGTAAACCGTCTGTAAAAAAAACTGTTGATCACACAGGAACAGGCTAAAATTGCTGAAGTGGGGAAGAATTTATGCGCATGTGGTTTATTATGGACAGGGTAATTTTCCCATGATAAAGCTTTGGAGGTTCACAGCAAGGTATATAAATCAGCTCGGTTCAACTGGATCTACCACAGATTCGGTTGTTTAGTTGAGGAACAGTAGCACTGCTAAAAATGACGCGGGTTTTGGTTCTTCTCGCTCTTGTAGCAGTGGCTGGTTTTGTCACCTTTGCGTAAGTGTACAGCGGTTTTGCGCACGAATGCTTAACATCTTAAATTGTAACAACATTTCCTAATTGTATAGCAACGCCAAGCCAGGGAAAGTGATAACACCCAGAGGAGGACATGTTCCCCTGTCAAAGCACGAGCAGAAGAAACAACCGAAATTCCAGATCCATCATAAGCACCGTGCGCCTGCTACCCTTCCCAAATCATTTGACGCTCGCAAAAAATGGCCGCAGTGCAAGAGTATCCTGGATATCCGAGATCAAGGCCAGTGCGGCACTTGCTGGGTAAGTATATCTATATGCACAAATCGTATTGTTTGGCTTTGGAGCGGCTAATCATAACTTCGCGGCTGTGCGGATATGATTGCAAACGGACAACATGATTCTTTAGGCCGTTTCATCTGCCAGCGTTCTATCTGACCGTCTTTGTATCGCCGAACTGACAGCCGGCAAGACACCATCCCAAATCTACGTTTCCGCTTTGGATTTGGCCACGTGCAAAGACCTTACCCGCACTCCTGATGAGAAGTGAGTTCCATATAATTTTACTCCCAAGCAATTAAAATTAGTAATTTCGTACGTACAGATGGAATCCGATCTGCGTAGTACTTAATTTTGTTTGATACAAATTGTATAGAAGTATATTATGTTGCAGTTGTGAGGTGGGAGGAGCCACAGAAAACGCATACAAATGGGCTACTCTGACTGGTTACATGACCGGTGGCAATCTTAACAGCAAAGTCGGCTGTAAACCATATCCAGTTGGCAATGACGGTCCTATGCCACTATCGTGCTCGGACAGCTGCACCAACAGTGACTACGACAAAACTCCACAAGACGATACCGCATACGGTAAGTGCGCCATTTGATGAGAAGGAGAATAACGAAGCTTTACGAATTACGCTTTTTTTCTTTCAGTTGACAGTTACTGGACCAGCTACCTTGGAGACAACCCAACGTCGGCCAAGATCCAGGACAACGTCAACAAAATGCAGCAAGACCTGTATGCCAACGGCCCCATTACCGCTTCCATCCGAATTTGGAGCGATTGGAGCGGTTGGAAAACGTCAAGCGGTAAGCCACAACGGTCATCAACTATAGACTTCGCCGGATTGACAACTGTATATCTCTGTCTTTTGTCTTCAACCCTAATACTTCAATGTTTTGCGTTACGCATCAAGTTTACCGAACGGAAATCACCGGCCAACAGTTTTAAGACCGTCGCACTGTGTAAATCTAGGTGCCTACCGTGGGCCTAGTCCGACCGCGAAGAAGCAAGAAGGTCACGCTGTTCGTATCATTGGGTGGGACGTCGATGCGAATGGCATTAAATACTGGCTAATTGCCAATTCCTGGGGTGTCGGTGATCAGTGGAATTCCCGTGGTGACAAGGGTGTCTACTGGATAGAAATGGGCAAGAACGTTGTTGGCATCGAAGGCTCTCCGACAGCTCCCGTAATTGTCATGCCGAACAACTGCGGTGCATTCTGCAGTTCGCCCATCACCCAGATCGTCCGCATGGATTCCACTGACCTGAATTCGAACAGCTATGCCTTCCAGGGTAACTGCGTCACCCAGGTGACCGTTGGCGGCGATGGCACCATCACCACAACTGGATCGCCGCAGCCAATTAGCAAACTCTTTGTGGGCGGCCCCGCTGGACCAATTACCAGCTGGATGGGTGGCAATGGTCCCAGCGATCCTCTTTGGATCATCAATGTAAGCCGTTTTCAGCGGTTTATGCAGTACATGAGATACAACTTTGTTATAACAACTACGCTACGATATTTATTGAAATTAGAAGTGAATTTAATTTGATAACCCTCCGGTGGCTTACTCACAAGAAAAGCTTTATGACATAACGACAGTATGTATGGTGCGTTTGTTGCAGCCCAGTGGCGAGGCTGGCTCTTGTTCGCCTCCAGCGAGTGGATCCACTAAAGTTTCCTGCACCGGAGGCACTGCTACATCTGGCGCATCTGCTCAAACATATGTTGGCTCAGACAAGATTGTTTTCTGTACGCACTGCACAATACTGTGGCAACTTCCGTGTCTGTCTTTAGAGCTGACTGTTTTTGCAGATAACGATCAGAAGGACTGGCTTTTTACATTTAAGAGCGGAAGCACTAGCGGCAGTGGTGCGCCGATTGATGACGCCATCAGCAGCAAGTTCAGCCAAGTGAACGCTCTATACAACATCGACAATTCGCAGGTGTTGATCTGCGGGTTGGATACGAGCGGAACGTCGGCTTGCGCCACCATGCAGATGTCCGATAATACGGTAAGGGACTGAGTGACCTTTTCCCATGAATAATTTGCAAGGATTATGCGGCCATAAGGCGACGCAAAATATTACTTTTCAGGTCAGCGATCCCAAACCGTTGAACAGTATGGTCAGCAACTGCTAAACGATTCGTTTGGATTTCAACTCTTGCGAATGGGTTGCCTCACATTCGGTCATCAGAAGAACACTTTGTTGGATTTCGCTTTTTTTAAACCTTGCTCGCGCTGAATGTTGATACGTAACTAAAAGCTGATATGGTTTCGGGTTGGTGTTTTTATGTTTATGAGTTAAAGCGCATTTTGACAAGCTACGCTACTTTCGGTTGAAAAATTTGATAAAATAAAATAATTGTTTGAAGTGGGTGTGCAAAAATCTGTTCTCCTTAACTCAAACTATGGCGGAATTAAAGCAAACTGAAAAACTCTGTTTAGGACCATGCTAACTAATAATCATATCTGTTGTACGATTTCACAGCGAGTTTATTACATTTCCATAAAACAGCGACAAGGTTTCACAAGTCAGTCAGTAACTGTTAAGAACAATATCATGCTGATTAGTTCAATGAATTATGACCATATGCAACGTTGTTCAGTTCCCGAATGACTTCCGCTCTTTCTAAAAAATACATTATCGATAAATTGTTTCCCGAATATGGTCATTTACGTAGATTCAGGGTAGAATATGCAGTTATCACTGCAAGCATATCAACAGGTCCTTAAATTGCGGTGGATTATGAAGCTTTACATTCCTGTTAGATCGCTGATATTCATAATTTTCACATATATTCTATCTATATAATTTTATATGTACTTACAATTATACTATGTATACTTGTATCATAAAATCTAAATGTGAGTGAGAAGTACTACATGGACCGTGCTGTATGGTTCATCGGTATCATCACGGTTGATTAATTGCCGGGAACGGACGTGGATTATACATACAGCTTTTGCATAAATGTTATCGCACCTACACTTCACGCTTATCTGGCCGTCCAAGATTTTGTAACCATATTCCAGTGACTTTGTAAACCAATGAAAAAATATAATTTTCGTATTTCCCCATGAATTAATAGGAACATATTCTTGATATCACTGTATCGAAAATATAAATGTAATTCTCCAATATTTTCATTCTCCTTTTATATATGTACTGTAACTGCGTACGTCTGGTATACCAGACTAAATAAATTATGTCCGGTAAAAGTAATGAGAAAACGTGAAATGTCAGCAGACATCTACAATTGTAAATCAGCAAGTTTTCGTTCTCTAGGTGGAACACGTATCGTTCAAATTTTGACTTATGATATATTTCAGTGGCACTCATATTATATCGTAATACAAATTAAATGGATATCTACTAGACTTTAATTAATTTCTTAATTTATCGATCCAAGGAAAGCGATATCCTTATTCCAATTAATTAACGATCTTTGCAGTTTAAGTTAGATAGTGGCTGTATTAGGCTTGGTTCCAATTTTTAATTAAGTGAGATAAACGTAATTGGTCACAAAATGAAGTTGATTACTGCAAAAATGCATATATAGGTCCGCTAATTTTTGTGCCCGCAGATGAGCGCAATGATCAGGTATTCCAGTTTCAGAGTTGTGTTTGTTCACTGCATCTGTTTTGGGTAAAGGTAATTTGCAGCGGTTACACGCGCAGTCACAAAACTGACCTTTTCGTACGTTATCGGAACGCACGCACGCGGCCAGCACAAGATTGGTACCACACGTTTTGGTCACCTTGAGTGCGGCACTCTCATCAAGAACGCAATGGCAGTGTTTGTCCCGTTGAAGCATGACCGAAACTGCTGAACCAGGGGAAAAATTATGCAGAATCGCATTGTTTGCAGCAGGGTGAGTTTCTGCTGCACTTACCGACACACGATCACGAAGGTTAATTCCAATAATATAAAAGTTGCATCTTTTAGTCGATATCATCTGGTTGTGATTGCGATAGCAGCTGCAGTCTATTTGAAGATTGTTTTGCATGTCATCGACAAAAATGACTCGAGCGCTTATCTGGACCGCCGTGATGGGAATATCGTTTATGGCGACCTTTGTGTAAGGCTTGACCATTATCAGTTTCCGGATAGTATAGGCCTGGTCATTAACTGCCTGCAAATAGTCAACATTGTCATTGCTATTTATAGCGACGCCAAGCCAGGCAAAGTGATTGAACCCAGAGGAGGAGAAATCTCCTTGTCCAAGCATGAGGAGAAAAAGCAGCCCAAATTCCAGATCCATCACAAACATCGCGCGCCGGCAACTCTTCCCACCTCATTTGATTGCCGCAAGAAATGGTCGCAGTGCAAGAGTATTGCTGACATCCGCGATCAAGGTCAATGCGGCACTTGCTGGGTACGACTGTACTTGTATAGTTAATTTTTAAAATGTCTCTAATCGTAAATTAATCAGAGTACTGCAGAGATTTATGGTAACGCAAGTATATCAGAACGCAGTGCTTAAAGGCCGTAACCGCAAGCGTTTTTTGACTAAGAATGGAATTATACTATTTCCAGAACTATCCTTATTCGTAGGCTGTATCCTCCGCCAGCGTTTTATCTGACCGCATTTGCATTGCTGAACTCACCGCCGGCAAAACACCATCGCAAATCTACGTCTCCGCTTTGGACCTTGCCACGTGTAAAGATGCAACCCGTACACCTGACCAAAAGTAATGTTGCAAGAAAGCTCGTATTTGCTTCTTAACGCGCTTGGAAACTTGTATTTTAAGCATTATTAATTTTGGTATCAGCATCCATTTACGAAAAACTAATTATTTTACCAGCTGCAATCAGGGTGGCAACACCGCTACTGCCTACCGATGGGCCACACTGACCGGTTACATCACCGGTGGCAATCTCAACAGTAAAGTCGGCTGTAAGCCATATCCAGTGGGCAATGACGGGCCGATGCCGCTATCTTGCTCCAAGACCTGCACAAATACCGGCTATGGGAAAACTCCCTCACAAGATACTGCATATGGTGAGAAAGGCATCCAATATGTACGTAAGATCAAATAACGACATAAGAAATCGAAGTAACGCTGCTTTCCAGTTGACGGCTTCTGGACTAGCTATTTGGATGACAATCCATCGCCAGCTAAGATCCAAGAAAATGTCGTTAAAATGCAGCAGGATATCTACGCCAACGGTCCTCTTACGGCCAATATGCGGGTGTGGAGCGATTTTGCCGGATGGAAACCGGAAAACGGTAAAATCTAATACTTAAATTATATAACAAGAACGTCTAATTATAACAAATGTAAGTAATCAAGAATTAAAAAAAAAACATGAAGACTTAAAATATAAAGACGATTTTCGTATTTTTTGCGTATATGAGCAGGCGCCTATCGTGGACCTAGCACAACAGCTAAACAAAAGGAGGGTCACGCTGTCCGTATCATCGGTTGGGACACCGACAAGAACGGCGTGAAATACTGGATGATTGCCAACTCGTGGGGTGTCGGTGACCAATGGAACTCGCGTGGTGACAAGGGTGTCTACTGGATCGAAATGGGCAAGAACGTCGTCGGCATTGAAAGCAAGCCCACCGCTCCCATCGTGGTCCTGCCCAACAACTGTGCCGGTTTCTGCGATGCACCCATTACCCAGATTGTGCATCTGGATGCACAGAACCTGAAATCGCCAGTCTACGCTTTTCAAGGCAGCTGTACTACTCAGATCACCGTGGCGGCCAATGGTAAAATCACACCAGTCGGCACTCCACAGCCAATCGGCAAGGTCTTCGTTACCGGTCCCGCTGGCCCGATCACTAGCTGGATGGGTGCCACTGGTCCTACCGATCCTTTGTGGCTTGTCAACGTAAGACCGATATGCACCAAACCTACAAAATAAAATATTTGACATTTTCTGCAGCATGATAAATTTATCATAATACGTGTACGATGTGGTATGCACCGCATCGAGCACGGATTACATTAATTTTTTTCATAGTGCATATCAGTAAATACTCTGTAGGCGTCTAGGCCTTGAACAAACATGCGTAAAGCATATAAACATATATGCAATCGAAGAATTTTGCTTGTAAAGTAGTGGGCCCGCGCTTGCATCTAATTATTATTTTGAATTGCTACTGCCTGCTAAAATTAGAACCGGAAGTTACATCCGGTGTATATAATTACTTACTTTATATTGCTCTGCCTTCTACGAGGGCATATTATTTTCCTTGTGAGAAATAATTTCGCACGAAATTATTGAAATTTTTCGCAGCCTGCCGGTGAAGCCGCATCTTGCCTTCCGGTTAGCGGATCCACCAAGATTGACTGTTCATCGGGTACTGCCACCGCCGGAGCATCGGCTGCCACGATGGTTGGCGGAGACAGGATCGTGTACTGTACGTGTCCTCCGCATAACACCATTTTACCTCTTGCTAACGTTACGACACTTTATGAGCTATAAATGCAAATTTTATACAGATAACGACAGAAATCAGTACCTCTACACCTTTAAGGGCGCCGGAACCACCGGTTCACCTTCTAAAATCGCTGACGCTATCAGCAGCAAGTTCAGTCAGGTCAACTCGCTACTAAACATCGATAATGCCAATATACTGGTCTGCGGTTTGGATACAACCGGAAAGACTTCATGTGGACTGATGAAAGTTTCGGACAAATCGGTAAAGAAGAAAAAAAAAGAAAATTTAATCGAGTATGAATCCCAGTGCTTCACTGCGGCATTTTATTACATTATAGGTTACGGCACCACAACCGATCAAGAGCCTATCAACCAAGTGCTAAAGCAATTTTTGTCATAACGTTGCGTAAACAAAGATTATATTGCAAATCTTGACTGAAAATTTCGGACTGCGGAAAAGGTGCTAAATACTGATATTTCGATGTCTTTCTTACTGTTTACGCCTCAAGCTGTACACATGCATCCGACGATCTAATGTTCTGCACTGATTTTTTTAAAGAAGCGACTGATGCAAAAAAGAAGAGAAATAAATATATTGCTGGTGTAAAGCACACGTATTCCACCACTGCCATGCACTTGTACTGCAGTGACATACTTCACTAAAATGTATTTGTTTATCTGGATGTGTATTGAAGTTCACATATACGTAGTTCTACTTCTAGAAAACGGAACCATATCCAAAACAAAACAATTACCGTTTCAGATTACAGCTACATCGAAGCTTGCATATCTTTGAATTGTTGCTGGAAGTACATCGAAAAATGCTGATATAGTATGAATTGCAAATCTCCACTTTCCATTAATCTGGCCAAACCCAGAGATAACCTTTCCCGCAGCGGAGAGCCTATCGAAAATGGAAATGCTAGATAAACTGAAGCACCGCTACTTAAAAAATTACTTTCTATTACCTGATGGTACAGCAAAGGCAAGAAATCCTGCCGGGCAGAATTTTCCTAGCTCCTGTAGCTGACCATTAGAAGATTCTACTGCCTTGCTTAAACCAAACGATTCCATGATGTAGGCATACGGTCCGGTAGACAGTTTCTCAATAGCTTCTTGATCCGTCTCCATGTAGGAATGCGGAAAATTGTTCGCAATGTTATTCCATATATCACGGTATTTAGCCACTTGGGATTTCTATTCAAAAAATATTATTTATACGAAATTTGTAAAAGTATGAGTTCCCTGCTGCTGCGAATTCGTACAACAGGAAGATTATTTTTATCAGGTTAAGCAGCTCAGAATAAAATTGTTTTATAATATTAATTTGTTTTGTACATTGAGGAACGTGGCGTCAGCCGTGTCGCGAATGATGTACGAAATATTCCCTTCTCCATAAGACGAGAAGTTTTTGTGCGCCAAAATTCCCATCGAGTAATGAGAGAACGGTGTGGTAAAGTCGACCACGGTTTCTCGGTCTGGTGTAACGGAAAGGTCAGCGGCAGCGATGTCCATTTTCTGGAGGTAAACAAAAAACAAAAAAAACTTGTGTAGTAACGATAATGTAATTCTCAACAAAGCTGGCACCAAATGGTGACAATCTTTGGATAAAAGACGGGCAAAATACGTTTTAGCACCGTATTATCGCTTACATTATAAACCAAACTGCGAATCAGCCCATTCCAACTTCCATCAGGCAGTCGTTTACCATACTGCTGGTCCGGCTGGATACTGAATTCGTAGGAGAAATTTAGCATGACGGATAGTTTGTCCAGTATATCGATAATCGCCCCTGAATACTGCGGAGCGGATCCATTGTAACTGACTTCAAGGAATCCAGCAGACTGAAAATACAACGCTAGTATTATGTATGCAATTTTGAAAGAATCCAACTAGTCCCAGTTCCCGGTTCCTGGAAGCGCCTTGCTAGATTAATGCGCCAAAACTTACATTCAACAGTAACGATGATTATACGTGTTCCATATTAATACTTACGACTCCCATTTTTACAGTAAATAAATTTAATTACAGTGTGTTCATCAGTGCATGTATGCAGATTACGTAATCTGCTTAGGCATACTAAACACAGTTGGTCAGTTTCGCATAATTTTATCTGTAATGTACTGTATATGAAAAAATGCAGATACATATGCGAACTTGACCAATTTAAAAAGCCCGCTCTAATCTGTGTAGCGTGACAGTCAGCTTGTACAGATTTACAAGGAACACTGACTGCCCGTTCAAAGTTCCATATCGTGGTAATACGGCGAATTTTTATTTCAGACACCACATACCGGTACACCGAGAATTCGATAATGGGGCGTCGTTGCAGCTTTATGAGGATCCACAATATTCCGGGCATCTGCAGCGTTAAATCTGGTCTTTTGAGGCAGGGTCTGTTGCTGAATGCCGGCAGGATGTGCTTGTCCTATTTGACTATGAGCTGGTGGGAAATAAGTCTGTGTGCGAATCGGCATCTGCGAGAAGAATTGTGCAGGCACAAGGTGTTGCAACTTGATAGTAGCTATTGGGGTGAAAGTATTAACAGATGAGGACTCTGGAGGGGCGTAATGATACTGCTGGACAGGAGGTGATTGTGGCTGCAGTTGCAACACATGCGGAATTTCGCTGGGGAAAGGCTGTAGTGCTGCCTCCCGTTGGCGGAAAGGGTCATGGGTGCCGGGACTGTCTAGTGCCGGCGGGATTTCCGGCTGAGGACGCGGTTCAGTGTGTGCAATATTTAATTTCACGTCGGATGGGTTGCCGTTATGAAGTTCGGGGTGTAGTGCCGGTGGCTGTATTAATGCAAATACAGTATAATATGCGATTTTATTTCAAAGCTTATCAGTTATCACTGCTATGTCTCGCATACAAAACGATCTTATATCATGTTTAAAGTAAAAGAACTTCCCTACAATAGAATCGAGTACTACTTCAAATTAACAGCGACAGGAGTCTTTTGTTTATTATGATAAACGTTGTGTATTCGAGCTCACTGGTAGGAGTTCCTGATGAGGTGCAGGAAGTGTATGTAGCATTTGCTCTGCTGCCGGTGGAAAATGATCGAAGCCTTGTAGTCCAAATAAATGCTGATGGTGATCCGAGACGACGGGATTGGGCACGGGTACTTGACCATAACTGCAGCCGGCGACTAAAAGGTATCGCATTAACTAATTACCTACAGTAGCCGGTTTTACAATTATAGGTAGTCTCTGAGCTACAGTTGTATAAACACCGAGATAGTGCGCCATTTACAGTACATAGCCTTTTTGTATATCAACAATTATGTTTAAATTTAATTAGCCTATAAACGGATAATTAAAACAATTCATTTCAAAACATGTGACAGGACTGACCTTGCAAAATTTTTAGGTAACACGGAATAATGAAAGAAAAATTCTATTACGGGACTTCAAAATTACAGTCTATTTTGTGCATTGTAAGAATAAATCAGCAGCCGATCAAAATGCTACATAATTTCTACTGCATATATCGGTACCAGTTTTAAAGGTGCATACAAACTATGGAGCGAGCGCAATGGAAGTACTTACGCATAAACAAACTTGTTAAAAGCATGATAAATGGTGACATTTTTGGAAACTGCAATGGCGAAGCGAACAAAAGCCCAGAATGGAAGGGTATCACTTGCAGGTATCACTGACAATTTTCAAAGTTGCAGTTGACGGAGAGTGCAGTATACTGCAATAATGCAATTTAATGGCGAAAGCGCGCGCCCATAAATCCTGAAAAACGGTAATTGTGGAGGACCTGCAGTCTGCAATTGCAAATGTGTTTTTGCAACTAACTTACGGTACTTGCGTCGTTGTTATTGCAATCTTAAGTAGTTTAATCCAGTCTGCATACGTAATAATTATGTGGTATCGTTGATCTAAACTTTTTGCATGCTGACCTTTGAGGCCTGCATGCTTGCATATACATGCAACAGATCGCAACAGTGTATTAACGGAACGTATAAAAAACAAGTCTGAAAGTCAGACTCGTCAGTTAAAATGTTTTTATCCAAATATCAGCTTGCTGTAGTTCAAGTAAAATTGTAGATCGCTGTTATAAAGCTGGAAGATTAATATGTGCGCGTGAACCAAAATTTCTAATTTCAGTTTTCTTATACAGCTAGGACGGCTACGAATACGTGTTACACGTAATTAGGTGAAAATGAGATCGCTGATAATCTCTATAATATAATGCTGCTATTTCTCGAAAAAGGAAAAAATTCGTGATTAATGTACTTTTTTGAGTATTACGTAAACAAGAAACGATAAATATGTCTCTAACACTAAGTAAAGGCAAAGTTATGGTCCATTTTAATTAGTCCACCGCTTTAATAACCAGAAAGCTGGTTAGAGCAGTATCAATCAAAATAAAAACCGGATTAGCGGGTCAAATCAACAGATTCTGACAAATGCCATCTCCCAAATCAACCTTTTACCAATTCAGGGTTCTGAATAGAAAACTGGGTGTTGCATAATTTGCCATGCATCATGCTAAAATATTTCCAGCCAATTCCAGGTGCTCTGAAGAGTACAATTTGTACTTAATGAAGTGTACTTGTACTCTCTATTACGAATTCGTGTATCGGAAATATTGAGACAGTCGGGGTTCACCATCCAGGATTCGTTTCTTTAACTGCGATGGGTAAGGAAACTGTTCGAAATATTCCCAAGGAACAATAGCGGCTGCTACGATCTGATCCTTAAACAGCAACAATAACTTAAAGAACAGTATGGTGCATTAGCTGAAACGTAAATAATATTAAATGGGATAATAGGTGCACTTACAAACGTCGAATATGCAGCCAGATCGGCGTAGGTGAGCTGTTTAACAAAAACGTTACATGTCATGTTAACAGCGTAGCGTTTACATGTCATGTGAGATGTGTGGGACATCTGTCATAGTAAATCCATAAAGTGCAAATACACATTCTAGAATCTACAGTAGATCCGTGCTTGAAAATCTGGCATATAATGCAACGTGCATAATGTACTGTATGCGCTTTGAAAATTTTTTATTTAAATTCGCTATAGCTCTTAGAATAGCAGCGTGATAAAAAAGTACACTATGAGGACTGGATAATTGTTGTTCTGGCATAAATAATATATTAATAAATTGAAAACTATTTGTGCAACCTTACATAAAAGATACTAATTTACAAATAAAATCAGCTAAAAGTTAAACTGCCAGCTTACATCATTCCCAACGATATACCCATAACCCTTTCCGTATTTGGAATGGAATTCTTCGAGTCTGTGCATTTTTGCCGGTAATGTGATAGCACCAAATTTTTTGGTCGCACGAGCCTGTAAGTTTTAAGATTTGAAGGTCACACTCGTGGATTAGCATTTTGATGAAACAAATTGTGGTATGATCCACATTAACAAAGTTTGACTTTTGTTTGTTTATAAAAAAGGTATTAAACGTATTGTTTTCGAATGGTTCCCTTACCTTAGGATTATATCTAACTTATTATTGTTAGCACTCATAATTAATTAAAATACTTTCTAGACTAGCAGTGGTATACCCTGTATCAAATGGTACATCCTATAGAAGTATTGTACATAAACAGGCACACAAAACCGAACTTAGCCGATTAGAAAACTGGCCACGGTGTTAAAAAATCGAAAGAAAACAAAGTGTTCTTCACTATGGCAGTTCGTTGTAAATTAACTGTGTTTAAATCGACTTACAGTCACAGAGAAACCTTCCATCAAATAAGATAAATTATTGTAATCATTTGCGTATGGTATTTTTTCAACTTCTTTGTGCATCCTTTTAAAAAACTTAGAAATTAACACAGTAATGCGGTTAACGTTAGGCTTAGTGCATAATTCATTAATAATTTCAAATGAAATTCAAACATTGGATGAAATATTAAATGACTAAAAATTAATAAGATACATACTTTATATTTATGTTCTCGTTCATAGATTATTTTCAGTGCATCCGATAATAACTCGTCAATTAGTTCTGCTGCGGAGTCGACAAGCGCTTTCTCCAGATTATTCCTTCCGGCCATGTCTGAAAAGGGTGTGCACAATACCGATTACAGGTTTAATAACCGCACAGTCAGTTATGAAATAAAGAGTTAAGACTATAGTAAAACAACGGCAGTAAAATACTGCACAATATCGTACCAAATATGTTAGCCAAATACCGTGCAATGCTGAGACTCTGCGATAGCTGCTGTTCACCAATTTCCAATACCGGAAGCGTATGAAATGGCATTGCTAAAAGAATGGTGCAACAAATTTTTAAAAACAATGTGAACGTCTCTTAAAACAGCTTCTGCTATTTGATTCCTTAATCGTGCTGTGCTTAACGACTTGCGCAAGAATCACTTCCGTACGTTGGTTTAAATATAGATGAAATTTGCAAACAACTGATTATGTGTTTATAAGTAGAAATCTACAAGCAAATTACCGGGTTTCAGTTTTTCCCACATTCCTTGATAAACTTTGATATCCTCGAAATCTTCGCCGGCAGCATGAAATATAAGTCGAATCAATTCCCCTCTGGCACGTGCATCAAAATAATAAAGTTTAAATCGAGAATCCATGAGAGCGATACGACAATGTGCTCCAATGCTCCAATATGAAGATGACTTAACAATCGAAAGAAAATTCTAAACACTGTAAGCAAAGATACTGTACACTTAACAGATTAGCTCACACCTTAACAGTGAACTGCAGGGACATAAAACATTCCCAATACTATGAGACAGTATGAGTTGCATAATAAATTAGACACTCGGTGCCGGTCGCTACTGTCGATTATGTTTTATTAATAGATTCTATAATAAACGGATGAATGAAGAACCGGTCATACGGCAGTTATAACTGCCGGAAGAACGGAACAAAACTTGGCAGCCGTAATAGGAAGCACCGACAATGGCTGCTCGACTTCGAAGTATACTGGTAATGCAATCGGTGCGGTGTGAGAAAAACAGAATGTGCCCAATATGCGATAGCTAAACTTATGACAATCTACTGTAGATCACTCACAATCAGACCAAGGAAGAAAGTGTATATATGCGCGTATATTACTAACAATAAGCTTGTACATAGCAACTATATAAGTTAACATATATTATGCGCCTCTGGAAGATTGTGGATTTGTGGTCCAGCTTCGTTAAAAAGGGGAAATTTTTACACAATGTCTATACCAGCTATCACAATGCTTACCTACAGTCTAGAAAGCCAGACAATTCAAAAAAGCAAACACAGTAAACGAGCATAGTTAGCCAATTTAGCTGTAGGACACCGACCTGGAGGCTATATATTGCGGCACATTTCTTACGGTACCTAGTACCTTACTACCTACTTATACCCATCAAAACCAATGTACCGCTTAAGGGCTAAAGATGGTGCTTCGTATTTGTTACGGTGTTTACTGGGATGCTCCAGTTCTGTTTTTTTACGAAAATTTTTCTTTTCTTGTCATAAAAAGAACACATAAACTCTCTTCAGGTGTAAGATTTGCTGACCGGAGCACATAAACCACACAAGTGCAAAAGGGCGTTTTCAGTTCAAAAAAGCAAAAACCAGACGCACAGAAAATGCCCGCAGATATTGACAAAAATACAAATCATCATTTGTAAATCATTACAACTTCAGGCAGTCTGAACCAGTATGCATAACCATTTATGATTTAGACAATCAGCTGGTCTTGTCGGCACTAGCTTGGCAGCACGGATGGCTTCTGCTTCTTTACAAATTTAATTTTTTGCAATCAAGTTTCACCTTCTGCCAACAAAACATTGACACGATATTAATTCTCATAGCCGCAACCGGCAGGCTACACCACAACAATAACCAATAACAAACAAATAAAACTTATCAACAAAAGTAAAGGTACGGTTTCGGTTTCCAGAATCACTTCAATCGCAATCAAATATCAACAAACCAACACATCTGAACCAACCCCCTTAGTTCCTAACAATACAGATCGGGCAAATCGCATTTTCCGTTCGTCTACAACCACGGATGCCAGGACGGATCCATCCGGCAGAGATTATCGGGACTCTTGGCGATGTTGATCAATTTGAGCGCATGACTCTCGTGTCCTTGGAACTGCACGAGTTCATTCAGATCACCCAGCACCTGACTAACACCGCGCTGCACTAAACTCTGCATATCCGGCTCGGACAGCTGCTTCTCCAGCAGTGACTTGGGCGCGGAAGAAGAGGGTGTCGGTGGGAGCGGGTCGCCTTTATCGGTGGTCTGGGAGTCAGCAAAGGCTAAGCTGTTGCTCATCTCTTTACGGAAGATCATCCAATATGTCACTTCATCGGAGAAAATCGTTTTCACGTACGCCTGCAAAAATAACTTCACCAATTCAGCTAACGAGAAACCAATAATTTTGCCACATTAAACAATTCATTTTTAAACATGTTCATCAGAGTTGTGTGAACATTAAGCTTTACCAGGATATCAACCTAGCTGAGAATGCTCGACTTATTTTCATATCAATTTAGAATTTTGTAAACTCTTCCATATTTATGGAAGTGTTCCAAAAGTTGGACAAAGAATTAAGTACCTTGAATTTCGCTTCGCTGAGTTTTAGCGCTCTGGCAGCGGCCACCATCGAATGATGAAAGGGACCTTGAACACCGTACACCGTAAAGATCTCAGTCAGATTGGGAGTTAATCGGAAAGGTACAGTCCGCTGAATTAGGCGTTCTCCTGTTCTGTCGTCCATCTCAAATGTATAGGAATAAACACCTTCCACACCGCTCTCAATGTGGATGTGCATCATATCCGGCACCAGCTTGGTCAAACGCAGCAGATGTTCTGCCATACTGAGGATGGCATGAGATCGGATAAACTACCGAAAAAATCCAGTTCAATACATTCTGAAAGAACCGTCGTCTTGCTTCAGTAATCACAACCTACCGTTCGGCGGAATAAGAAGTATTCGTCAGCATTCGGGTATAGTTTCCAAAAATAATCTCGCAACACCCGAGGCTGGACCATCGCAATCTGGGTTTCTTTTAAGCAATCACGCAACGTAGCATTGGTTAACGTCTGGTTGTTTCGGTGCATGACCTAATTGCCAAATATTTCTCATTAAAAGGTGCGTCGAATTAGACAAAAAATTCATAAACATGGTTAAAAAACAATAAAATTCTTACAGCAACGATTCGTTCGTAGAATTTCATGATCGGTCCATCTGAATCGATATTCTTCTTATCGCAGTACTTTTTATACACATCCCAAATACAGACGGAATTCTGGCTATCTTCCATCAGTCGAATAGCCGGGGCGATGGGTGTAACCTTGGGCACGTAATACTTCAGCGTTCGTTTGTTCGATTCGGGAAATTCTTCAAAAATTGGATTGACAGCTGAGAACATCTGTAATATCCGTTCCTCCTTTCTTCCCTGCAGGGTGTTGGCATTGTCGGCGATGATTAAATACGGAATCGTCTCGCCCACATTATTGACAAAATATATCCTCCGGCATATGATGTTATGCTTGAAGACAACGTCCATTCGTGGCAGGATCTGCATGACACGGTTAATGTGAGGATTCCGCTGAATGGTAAAGTCACCGGGTAGCTCCATTTCCGCCGTGAAGTTGGTGAAATTGATCAGCTGACGATGATGCATGTCCAGATACGTGTATCCGGGATGCGATTTGATCACCTTTTCGAAAGTGCGGATCCACTTCTTCAATTTGGAAATCATGGTTTGGAGTTTCAGGTTCTCCGCTTCAGTGCAGTCGAAATCCTTAACGAAATCTTTGCGAAGCTTGTTATACTCCGAGCTCGTCTACACATGCAAACGAAGATGACAGACATTTAATTTCAAGAAATTTGTACGCTCTATCTGTACCTGCAACGCTTGCGCTCGTCGTTGGATGGCTTCGGATGTGACATCGCCCAGTGTCTTCGGCACACTCCCCGCGGCGCCTCCCGGTTCCTGATACACACCTGTACCAAAACTCCTGACAATCGTATTCATACACTGGATCATCGACGGTGTCATTTTGGCCTGCATGACTTTATCCCGGTTTTCAAACTCCAGCGCATAACATTTCTTCAGGGCCTGTATGAGATGCGCCAACAGATCTTCATGCCACCGATCCGCGGCCATAGTAATCCCCATAATCTGCGTCGTGAAATTCTCCAGGGCATTGCACAGGACCGGATGTGTCTCCGAGATGATCCGGACAATATTCACGCAGTTCATGACGAAACTCGACGCCCGTACCATGGCGCCGTCGGCCACGTGGGCTGCGTCCAGATCGATTTTCTCTTCCAAGGGCAACGGAGGCAAATCGCGCTGATTACGTCGCCGCTTGTTCAACTGCTTGACTTCCACCGGCGTGGGCGCAGTGGAGGAGGAGACGCCCATAGGAGCTGTTGAATCTTTGCTGAGCTCCACCACTTTCATTAGCCGGAAATACGTGCGAACGTGCAGGAATACCGGCTGCGGGTGGCCCTTGGCTACGTGGGTTAGCAAGTTAAAAGAGGCTTGGGCGGTTTCATCGCGCATCATTAAATGGATCAACTGGGGAACCCAAAACACTAAAGTGCTGGGTGGTATTACTGAAATAAAAACCAGAGTTACATCTGCGAACAATACAACCGTAACAATGCCCAAATCATGGATACAGTGCACGATATAGGGAATATAAAACCCGAAAGACGCACACAAATATATCCATAATGTTATCAAACAATTATACACAACGGTAACAGCAAGACTAATAATAAAATAAGAGCTCTCGAATTTAACCCGCAAAACTTACTGTTTCCAGCTTCATCAATGGCAGCAGAGATAGTTCCACTGGCATCGTCGTGATTGAGCAAGGCTAACAATTTGGCGCAACATTCACGAGCTGTCGCTTCGGTGTGGCTTCTCGAGCCAAAAATGTACGCTACTACCGCCCGCTTGGCATTCGATAGATCCGCGGGATTTTTGTAGAATAGCTGTAAAAACCCGCATGCAGTCAAAATATTCTTTTGAGCACTGCAGTTAAATTACCTCTTCGTAATAATCTCCAAATTTCAGCCAACCGTCCCAGCAGTTTTCGGAAAGCTGCACGGCGCTCGACAGTAACCGCTGTCCGTCTTCCGGCCTATAAAGAAAACGCCAAACTCATCAGAAATAACGCAAAATCTACCACACAAATCCAATTCGCTTGTACCTATCACGGTTAAGAACAATTAATCTGCAAATCGCGTCTGCACTCCACACCAGGACAAAAGCAGTTTAGCAATTCATGCAGTAGAACCATCAATTACCTTAGCAGTTTCATAGCGACTTGACCACGCAGCGAGCCCAGTTCCGAGTTCATTTCTTTGGTGAAGTATGACGTCGTAACGCCTTCAATGGCTTCCAGTGCCGAGAAGAGATCATCCCGATTCCCCGTCTGACTGAAGAGATCCAAGCAGGCCATCACATGGTTGCGGACCCGTTCGAAGCAGTCCACCAGCGGAACCACCGGTAGTGTTTGAACACTGCTACGTAAAGTAAAAATGCCGTAAACTAATTAAGCAACCGATCACCCCACAGGCACAAGACGACACGGACACCCATTAACATACATACCGGCTAAGAATTTCGACTGCGAAACGCGGCAGCTGCTGCAATCTGGCAGCCTTCGAAAAATTAAACAGATTCTGTGAGATCGTATGGATGGACATGATCGGGAATGCGGTGAGGTTGTTGGTGATGTCCAAATTGTTACAGGCATGTGATACTTCGGTGGACAAGTTAATCACGTGGGTAAGGATTTGCGAGCGGAGATCTGTAATTTCTCCCCAGAAGCGCAAATCATCCCCAGAACTTGGCACACGCACTTTCCAGTTTTTCACCATATTTCGTAGCGAGCCAACGTGGTGCAGATTACACTGTTGTGCGCTGTGTAAAGCCTAAATATTGGTAAAAGAATAAAAACGCTACACCATACGATCATAGATTCATATTGAAATTATACTTACCGGTAAAATACCAAGCAACTCTTTCAGATCGCCGACACGACATGCCATCTGCAACATCGGAAACCATAAATTGTGATTATTATGATTTCCTACCATGTTATTCGACCTCATGGTCAGTATAAAGTCAAACGAGTTATGTGTAAAAAGTAACATACTTCAATAAGTGGACGATGTGCCATCGTTCCCGTTTTTGGCAGGTGACGCCACATTTTGATACACATTTGCTGCAGTACATCAATTAACTTATCGACTCCTTCATCCTTGTAGGCTGACGGTGGGCTGTTCAAGCCTTCCTTCAGTACTTTATGCATGGCATTATATGCTTTACAGAAACCGAAATTCAATTCTTCGCGAGGTGGACACTGTTTCCCAGCACTCTGCAGCAGAGCCGGTACCACGTCGAATAAATCCTGATGCCATGCGGCCTCCAGCGCCATCGATGGATTATTCAGCGCCTCGGAAACCGCGGTGTGGTACAGTGCTGGCCACATATTCAGCTGTCGCAGGATTTCCGCATAGCGTTCGGTCAGAATCTGCAGCTCACCAAAATGCGTATCCGGCGCTGACTTATCGCGGTACTCCACCAGGAACGTATCGATGGCTTTGTCATAGCTTTCTTTGGCATCATAGTACATTCCCTGGCGTTCAAAGCCCAATCCCGATCGAAAATCCGGCATCGGTCGCGGAACCTGGGGATCGGATTTCGGTGTGATTAATCCACGCAGCTGCCAGACTGCCGCCATAAAATCATCTTCACCCAATGCCGAGTACATCCGCGCCAAGGATTCATCCGTCATCCACAGGGCCCCGCGGGCCAGCTGATTCATAGCAGCGGCAGGGTCATTATCGGACGGTGACTGTTGCAGAGCTTTATTGCCGCCCTTCTGATTCGGCACCAACACGGGAGCCGGAATGGCCATCTCTTCTAACAAAAACACCGATCGATACCACAGATTTTGTCGCTCTCCCAAAAACATCACGGCCACTGGATGCAGCTTGAACTGGGCGCCTTCGCACTTGCTCATGGCATCGAACATGGCCTGGATGGGAAAATGGGCCAAGTCCCGCTGTGCCTGGTGGGTATGCTGCATCAAGTAGGCTCTAAAAAACAACCAAATCAGAACAGTTTGTAGCTCGAAATCAACTACTTCATAAAAGCTTCTAAAAATTCTCTTTCACACTTAAACCTAAACAAATTTTGTATCGCAAAAAGACGCTCAGCATATCAGTGCCTGTTTATATTAAAAAAACATAAGATTCGGACATACTTGAAAGCGCCCACAATTTCTTCTTTTTGCTCGCCCGTTAAAATCTTCCAAATTTGCGGCATCAGAGCCGTCCAAACATCATGCGCCAGTTGATTTCGGGAGTTACACAGCTGATACACTCCCTCCAATAGTGTTCGCGCCGAAGCGGCTTTGGTCATCTCGTTCAATTTGTACACCTTCTCAACCAATACACCCACCGAAAGCGACTTCATCTTCGGTGTTTCGTCCATTAGTGAATCAACAGTGCCATTGTCCGAACAACTTTCCGAGAAACTCTCATTCAAATTCGCCTTGTCGCGTTGGTTTGCCGTTCCTGTCTGCAAAGCCGACGCATCTGGTACACTGGCCGTGACAGACTGAATAGTTTTTCCATTTGCAATGGTCACACCGCTGTCGATATTGTTGGCAACGTCCAGGATGCTGTTGATGCAGAATCCGATGTAATAGGTGTAACTGCACATATCCCAGTTAAAACCATTAAACAGACAGGTCAGGCGATCGTAGAGATGCTTAGGATAATCGTTGTTGTAGATGGTGTAGAACTTTTTCCGCCACTCTGGATCCGGGTGTCGTAGGCCATACATATAGGAATTAAACAAACGCTGCTGCAGGTCCAAAATACGCTTGTCATCCGACAAAGCAATCTTGTAAATCAAGTTGGTGTACTTCGTCTGTAGATCAATTTCGTCTGGAAATTTACGCTCCAGCTGAACTTGCAGCTTCAGGATCAGTGCTGTAACATCAAATAAGCGGTCAATTAAAGCAAAATTAGCCCACATAAAAAACTTGGATGTTCCACACACGTTATTATTCACATTATTTTGATCAAATACGGTATATGAAACGTACCGGACAAGTCCTTGTGCGACAACGTCTGCACATCTTCCGGGGGAGGCGGCAAGGCCGGCGGCATAATCGGTTCGTTAACGACATCCTTCATATTTTTCTTCTTCTTTTTCTTTACATCCACGGACGACGGCTCACTTTCCGACCTTTCCTCATTCTTTTTCTTTTTGGTTTTCTTGGTCGGCACAGGCACGGGCAGAACTGGCGCAGCCTTCATGGCTGACAACGAAATGGGTTCCGGCTGTTTCTCTACTGCCGTCAACCAGTCGTCGAATATCTGAATTAACGCCCTATGCACTCTGACATCCGTACCGCGACTGATTAAGTCGTTCATAATCTGCACTATCGACTGTCGATGGGAATTTCCTGAGGTGGAATCAAAGAACTTGGGCACTTTAATGATATCCAACACAATCACCACCAATTCACCCGACGCCAACCCATCCTGGGTCTGGGCTTGTTGTCCGCTGCTTTTAATACCCAGATGCTCATCCGTGATCTTCTTGGCACAGTTGACAATCATCGTAAGAAAACGCTCGAGAATGGAAGGAACATGCTGCATGGTGGCTTTTAGCAGCATCAGGGTGCAGAAAATGTGAATCGGGTGTCCCGGTGTGGTTTTCTCGTACTCACCAAGGCCCTCGTGGATGGTCTTGATAATGTGGGAGTACAAACTTTCCAGCTGAGAAGGAAGGTTGCGTTGCGACGGGTCACCGGGCCAGGTCTCGCAGAGTTTTGATACCAACTGATTCATACACTTGGCGATGCGAGCGTTGTACTGGTGCATCACTTTCTGCAGACTGGGAGAAAGATCATGGATCACATTTAAACAATGCGAGCGCATGAGGATGGGAACGAAATAAGTTAACGTTTCCAGGGCCAAACAAATTCCCGACACATTACTCGATGCAGCCTACAATTACAAATGCAAAAAACCATAAGTCAGAAATCAGAAGTGTAAAAAAAGTTTCCTTAATAAAAATACCTGTCCTCCTTGGTCGGCGGTATTGTGTTTCGCCGCTTGATCGGGATTGAGGACTTTATCCAGCCACTGCAGCTTGACATCGGCGGTGGAATACATTTCCTTCTTCATAAAGAACTTAAGGATTCGGATACACTTCCTTCCAAACGATTCCATCGGGTTTGTCTCACCGAACATGAAGGACAATCGCAATAAAATATTGGCAATACTGTCTGCCATCTTCTGATCCAAAGGCTTATCATCTTTCGGCAAGGGGACCATACTTGGCCGCCGCTTCGGTACATTTTTGTGTGTACCACCGAAGAGGCCCTCCCCGTCTGCGCCGTCCACATCGACTCCCTTCCGTATGGCTTCCCAGTGCACAATACATTCCAACATTTCCACAGCTGTCCGCTTTAACTCGATCTGGGTGGTCGTGACCAAGCCAAACTTCTGCGAATTCTGTACCATAATCCCAATAAAATGTCCTCGATAATTATACAGCGCCAGATGATGCCGCACTATTGCGGAAAAAATCACAGAATTATTCGACAAGTTAGACATATCGTCCGTTACATATCGCCGGAGGAACCTGCAGCATAACATCGCGCCATCCGTCGTGCGGCTGATCATATTCGGCAAGAGAATGTCAATTGCAGATTTATTCGATCCCCGTTCCATCATTCCACCAGTAAACAGGCTCCGCAAAATCGTCATGTAAAAGGATTGGGGAATAGTATACCGAATGGAAATTTGGGCTAACAAATTTTGAGACTGAAAAATCGTTCCCACATCAATCTGAATATGTTCCTGCTCTCTTTTTTGAAGCAATCCACAAGCTACCAAGCAGAAGCGAGCCAGCAGCTTGTCCTTTTCCACTTTCGGTTCCGGAAAATAATTTTCTCCTTGCTCGGTGAACAGTGCAAACAGCTTTAGTATGGAGACACGCAGAATATCCGACAGTTTAAGCAAAAATTCCATATTCAGCAACGCGTCCACGGTGATACTGATAAGGTTACCTTGTGCAGCACCTGCAGTAGCCGTCTTTGAGGTGTCATTAATCATCTGATCCGCAGTGGGCTGCATAAACTGCTGCTTCAATACCGGCTGTATAATCAAATCACAGATTTCCGACAAATATTCATCACTGTACTTTCGTTGCTTCACCAACTCCAGCCATTTAAGGAACATTTCGCGGCGATGTTTCGGCGAAAGACTCAGAACAATGTGACACTCTACAAACTGCCGCCAACGACTTCCTTCCGCGATCGATCGCGACGAATGCCGTGTCATTTCGAAAAGGGCATCAAAATCTTCTCCATGCATGCGAACATTCAGCATCAGGAGTACCAGAAACTTCACAGACAACTCCCACGTGTCATGATGTTGATTGGCAGTGTTCCGCAATTTAGCATGATACGACGGATTATTCCAGACTGAGCGTAGGAGCCCAATAATTTCCTGATTCGCAATTAGCCACTGTGGATCGCGTTTGGTCAGCAAGTAGAGAATCCGGACACCAACCGATAATCGTCGCCAGTTCGCTTCATAATCATCGCCAAACGTGATCAGCCGTACAATATAGGCTAACTTTCCGCTGGTTAGCTGTTGTTTCAACTCAGCCGCGAAATCATCCTTCCCCTTTAGCAGCTTCTCAAAGAATTCAGTCCATTTTGGAGTGAGAATCCTGTCTTCCGCGAAAAATAAGTCCACCACCATCGCACCGTATCCAGTCAGGTATCCCGATAACGCATTTGTTAGCTGTCGTCCGTTCCGAGACATCAGCGTTTCTTCTGTTGTCGACACCAGGTCCACCAAATTAGAGACATACTTCTCCGGTTCCTTTGCCGTACGACGCAGTAAGGTTATCATCAGCGCACACTTCTTAACCCCATCGCAAATATGTGGTGTTTCTTTCTGTTCTTCCGATGCAATATCCAGACTGGGCTGCAGTGCTGCATACGTCATGGTAGCAAACTCATCCGTGAACAACTGCGGATATACGGTCTGCAAACGACTTAACCGGTCCGTCAGGTCCTTATTCCAGGATGCAGGATTCTTCAGCCTTTCGGAGCAAGAAGCGATATGGGCAGTCACCACATCCAGCCCGCTTTTGGAAAGCGATGCAAATTTTTTCAAACATTCTGTCGTAATGTCAAGAAGTTCTTCCGACCCTTGGGAGAGTGTATTGAAAAGCACCAGGTGCACAGCTGCAGAGATAGATGGCACCGAGGCAAAGGTCGTCAGGAACTCTATAAACAGAGTGAAACCCTTAAAATTTTCAGAACAGCCAGTGTGAAGCACCGCATTTTTCAATGCGTTACAAAGACATTAAATCGCTTAAAACACTTTTACAACCACTATAAAGACTTACTAAACGCGGCTATTCGGAAGGGCAGAAAACTGACTGGATAATACTGATTAGGATCGAAGCAAGGGTACGATTTTTGCAGCTTCTCATCTTCGCATATCACAAAATCCAACACTTCTCTGACTATTTCGTAATCTTCCGCCTTGTTCAGATCGTATGCAACAACAGGAGGGGAGAGAGTCAAGAAGAACTCATTGGCCTCCAGCAGAGCAGTTTGATGAGCCATTTGATACGATTTCAGACTAGAAATTCCCTTAGGAGGAACGAATTCTATAAGGAGCTTTTTATGAGGCTCGAGGACGTCACCAAGAGGCTTATGCAGTGCTTCCGCGATAAATTTCAGGCCGTCCATTGCCTAGACATACAAATTACTCTTAAGAACACACCACAATTCGTGTCGTGTCCGTAATACTGTCACCGAGTGCTACAATCGTTTTAGATTCTTAACTCAAATAGTACAAAAGCGATTCACCTGTTTTCGTACATCATCCACCACACATATCGTATTCGGAATAAATTCTCGGATGATTTCCTGCAGGGCATGTTGCCGGAGATTTTGAATTTCCTGTGGTAAAGCGTCCAAGCCCGGCGGTTTCAATACCGTATTCAAGATGCGCTCCAATAACTTTTTTGCCTGATCGATGATCCCGTATGTCATCTGAAACACACAAAAGTCAGACGACCAAAACATTACACCTATACTGCAACACACCTTCTGGAAACTATCCCGTAAAACAAACATAAGCGCGCGTGTAAGTAATGCAGACATTTCCATTGTCCACGTGCACGGCATGTAAACGACAAGTTTGTCCAGGCCAGACAGTCTGAAAATTCAAAAAAATTACAATGCAAACAAGATGCACTAGATAAAACATTCACACTTACGCTCCAGCTTTGCAACACCACGATTTGTCATAGCACAGTGAATGCAACTTCTCATACAGGTAACCGAGGTACGGTAATCCCACACAATTTTTCAAATCCTCATACACTGCGTTCAGCGTTTCCAGAATCAACATAATTGCAGCGTTGGCCGTTTTACTGATGGCAGGTTCTTCTTGGCCCAGTACAAAAATTAAGGCGTCCAACATCACATATGGATCGATAGCATCGCCAGGATGCGAATTTCGAGGGGACCCGGCGTCAGTTTTACTTTCTGACTTGAAATCTGATTCAAAATACACAAATTACCGTTATCAACGCTTCGCTCCGGCATACATGTTAGAATTTTGCTATGTAGCCGTAAAAATCTTACTGTGCTGCTGAACGATTGCCATTAAACAGAAATGGCGAACCAATTTCGTTTTTAAAGGTACGGCAATCGGTTGGAAGTCTTTTGTAGCGCATGCCACCATCAGACCTTGCAGGCACATCTGAACAGCAAATCGGTTTTTCTCGTCCACACATTTCGGATACGGAGTGTCCAGATTGATGTTCTGGTGGACCACATATAACATCCGCTTTTCACTGTGTCTGAAACTGTTGAAAACACCACTTTTATACAGTCAAACACGAAACCTGGAGGTAGCAGAAAGGTAACTCATTCGTCAAATGTATCTTGGATGATGCAGCAAATTACCTAGGATGATGCAGCAAATTTTCTAACATCTGCATGTTTGTATCGGGTCTAATAATCCCCAACAGGAACGACTGCACAATATTCCAGGCGGCACTTCGAATAGTGGGATCGATGGTGGGCTCCAGCAATATCTTATACGATTCTTCGATTAAACGGTACAACGGCAACTGCAGGGGTTCTTGTACTGGTTGTACCGCCTAGAGAAAAGAATATTTAAAAACAAACAAACGCGCAACTCCACAAAAAACAAATATGCGAAACTACGTTTCCTTTCATTTAATTTTCTTACAGCCTCACATTACGCAGCAAAAAGATTACGCCTTCAACAAAATCTCTTACCGGCATTTGCAGCGTTAGACAAGGTCCCAGCTCATCCTCCATCGTTTTGGGGTGCAGCGGCTGTGGTTCCCTGATAGCTTTCAAGGCGTGCCCACAAATCTTACCCAGAAACTTCAGCGCCGAAATTTGCATTTGGTTGCTACCAGTCATCATGATATTCCAAAGAGCCTTCATCAGGTCTTTTTTCACAGGCTCGAGCTGTTCATAAAGGTAGTCGCTCTGCATATTGTCGATGCTCAGTTCTAATGTACGAAGGCCCTGCGTTACGGATTGTGGTGCTCCCTGCATGGCAGTCAATATCGCCGGAGCCAGTAAACTAATGTGGGGCATCAAAGTGCTAAGCCGCACAGGTACAATTAAGCACAATTCGTTAAAGATGTCTCGGAAATTCGGTTTCTGTCGCTGACTATGGAAAGTACACAACACTTGGAGAATCATCGGGAAATTTGGCAGGAAATCTTGGTATAATACTTCGTGCCCCCCGCCACCCATGGCTCGGAAGAATGCTCGGAACATAAGGAACAAATTAATTGGATCTCGTGCTCGCATGGCCAAATAAAACCCTTGCTGGAAGATCTTCTGCACCAGAGGCTTGAAGTACTGCTCGACTTCCTTAGGATACAGCGATACCGCACCGAACAGGATTTTAAAAATCTGAAGAACGGAGGATGATACTTCCATTCCAGCTTCCGCCAGCTCCGGAAATCGAGGAATCGCCACGTCCAACATTGTGGTTGTTGTAATGCCCGAAAAGCCAGGGTACGGCAAAAGACAATTCAGCAATGCACTCAAAATTTGCTGGAGTTGATCATCCTGAAAAATACATTTTCAAGGCAACTGTCAGTCATATTGATCAAATTATTCTCACTTTAAATAACTCCAAAAAGCGCCAAAATATATGCTGAAAGATATCCCGGTAGATGTCTAGAGGAAACTGCTTCATTGCGTCAGCAACGTGCTCTGTAAATTCCTTCTCCGATGGTCGTGCAGAGATGGAGGAGTTTGATTTCGAATGCGGGGGAATACCAACAACAAACAATTCCGTTGCCTGAACACCGTATTTGCAGATTCGGGTGAATATCTTAAGATCCTCCGCTCGAATGTTGGGCTGGCCTTCCGCACCACATTCCCGGACGCACCACAAAAATGTTTTAACGGCATTAAAAATGGCCCGTAAAAATCCGCGCTGCTCATGGAGATTCTGCGAGGCGTTATCAGTTAATTCCGTCGGCTCCACGGTTGAACCTTGTGCCAGTGCACTTTTAGCTCTGAAATATAACAGCATTAATTTCACAAGCAACCCAAAATTATGCTACTTCACTGTGTCATTCCTCTAATTCTTACTTCGTTTTATATACAGGTAACGAGTATTTGACCATGACTTTTAACCGCAGACTGAGCATGCTGAAAATCTTCATAATAACACCCCGACACTCCTCCAGCTTATTTTCTTCGCGTGCTTTCTGAACCATGCTTTCGGAGAGGTTGGTGCTGACAGTCCGCAGAACGTTCATATGCAGCATTAATCCCAGTGTGCGATCCGAAAAATACGAGATACACAAATCCGTCACTTGCTCGAATGTCGCGAACGACAAATTGCTGCGTAGGTAATGCAGTGCTTCCATTGCTATCGTAATTGCTGGTGCTCTGCAAAAACAGAATACCCATAGTTATCGCTAATACTAAGCAAGAATTTATCGTTTTGATTTACTTCAGCATATCTTTCGAGCCACTGGCCGAACCGACAAGAAAGTCCACATCAACCAGCTGCGGGATGTATGGAATCAATCCAGTTCGATAATCAGATCTGTCAAAAAATTATTAACAAACTCACAGGCAGCTATTCTAAATATCAAATACAAAGCAACGCATACTGAGCGATGAGTTTCAAAGCGCCGCACACATCTCTCCGTCCCCAAATGATTTCCTTCGGACAAATTGTCAGCAGCTTGACAATGCCAGCGCCAATAATCGTAGCCTGGTCGGTTGATGGCTAATCCGAAAATAACAGTCCAACTCAAAATTTTCAAAACCTGTTGTTAATATCTGTGGACTGTGCTCACCATAAAATGTCTCACTACGTATGCGAAAAGTTGTGGCACTTTGCAGTAAGCTAACATAAATTCATGATACGCTCCCAGAACACGGGCTTGATCCAGAGATTCCGTTAACGACTGAATGTACTTCTCGATTCTGCAAAGAAAGGTTCATTTCAATATTGATTCTACTATTGCCAACACATCCCATTGCGAACATACTCTTCCGCGTTGAAATCCACTCGCAAGACAGTAACAATATCCTGTCCAAACTGGGGATACATTTCGACAATCTTCGGCCTGATATTCTGCTGCGTATACATTATAAGAAATATACTTTCGGCAAGGAACCGCAGCGAATTTGTGGCTTTTGGCAATACGAAAATCTGAAGAACAAGTTGGCGTTTTTATAGCTGAATGTTGCAGGAAGCGTCGCAATCTTCTTTGCTTACAGTATTAGGGTTGACGTTTGGTTCGTCCCGATTGGATCGTGTAATCTCCACAGAGCAAAGCAACTGCTCAGCCAGATTATTAATATCGACAACATTGTCAGCAGTCAGGGGGATTTCGATATTGCCCAAATTCTTGATCTTTTCCACCAGGACAGGCAATTTTGCCCATCGCTTCAAGAGGTCCACAATGAACGAGCACAACTGCAGAACAGTAAAATGATCATCAATAGTGAAAGGAAATGCAAGTAAGTCTTTTAATTTACCAGCGGATTGGAAAATATAGCTGTGGGTGCCTGCTGCAAAGCACTGGAACGTGCTAATTTCACAATTTCCAAAATCAGTTTCAGACAAAGAATCCCAACTTCTTCGTTGTCAGCCTACAGCAACAAACAAATACAATAAACTGAACAAAACTTCAGACATAACAAACGACTTACTGCAATCAGAGGAATAAGCTGCTTCAACAGTTCGTTATGCAGTGGTCTCGCAATTTCCAGTAGTGCCAGACGATGCACCAGACGCACAATCGTTCGTCGAAGGGCCTGCAAGCGTAGGGCAAAACATCTTTTAATGTTTCACGTTGTTGCATAAGCGACAACTCACATTCTGCTGATCCTCCTGAACAAATTTGGGCTGCAGACTGCTTAAGATCTTGAAATTGAGATGGATAATTCGTTCTACGACTTGTGTAGTCACAAACGTCCCACTGATCGCCTGAAATTCAAATGCCCATCACAACCTCACAGACATCAGATTTTTCAGTTCTCCATTACAATTTACACGCTAAATGGCAAAATTTTAATGTGATACATGAACGAAACCCTTTATCAATCACACTATCGCTGAACTGCCATACCTCAAAGCCATCCACAGCTTCGTCTGCTTCTGCCTGGCGGTCTTTGAAATCTATAGTTTACAATAACACAAGACGGGCAAATTTCGGGATTTCACAATTAACATCAACTAAGTTGTAAGTTCTTACGGCACGTAAGAACTTACAAATGCGAATCTGGCAACCCGTATCGTAAATGTGCAGCAGAAATAAGTTGTAGGTACTAACTCAGAAGCGTAAGCTGCATTACACTAACAGTACTCGTGCGTTCTTCAGTGCGAACGTCTTAACTCTTACCTCGTTTGATGTCTGCCATTGCAACGACATGCAAGAACCAGGCTTTATTCAATGGGTGCGCCTCGGTCCACTGGATTGTTGCATGGCTCGGGGCGCTTGTGTCGAAGCTCGGGATGGGAAGAGCGGGAGGAAGACCCAGACTCGGATCTTGCTCCATTTTAATTGCTTCTTTACCACCCAATCGATCGCACTTTCAACTGACAGCAGCGATTAAGCACAAAGAAAGATCACCCATCACTAATATCGGAAAAACGGCTTAACTCAACCATGAAGCTTCATTATACCATTGGCGATAAAAAATGAATTACGGTACAAGTTAAAAAAATTAAACCTAAAAGTCAAAATTGCAACAGAGCTGGCTTAAAGAAAAGAATCGCTAAAATTGCATTAACGATTTCGCAAGTGCATCTGGCGACAGACTCTTTGTCGGTCCTACAGTCGGTTCACGGGTGGACCGAGGAAGCAAAATGAAGCATTCAAGAAGTCGGACATTGCATGACTGCAAACAGCAGAGTCGAGATTTCAGTCGGACAGGCCTAACATGGTGCGGGCCATGCCGTTCGGAAACCGTGCAATGTTTTCAGCAGGCAAAAATTATCATATTCGCTGTTTACTGTTTAGCCGCTTTAGTTGAAGTTAGCATGTATTAAAGTCAAAGTAAGTTTATAACGCAGTTTGAAATTTGCTGCAGTCTTTGTTGACTCGTAGTTATTTCGTTTTGATGTTACTTTTTTGGTAAGCGATAAAAGTCTTCTAAAAATCATCTGTTCGAATTAACAGTTTGTTGTCTGTGGATGACGTTGGAGGAGTGAGTACGCGTTAAAATCCTTTTGAGCTGCTTAAGTTTTTAACAGTAAGCTGTAAGTGTAAAGCACTTCGATTCTCCCAAATTCTGAGATTTTCAATCTGCACGCTCCGAGTTGTAAAAAATTTCTCTCGTTGTGCTTGCGTGGTGAGTGTGAGTTTCGGATTATTACAGAGTACAGACTACAGACAGTTGTTCATTTATTAGTAATTAGTCTAAGTTATAACATAATGGTAAGTGCATCGAAGAGTTCATCTCGAGATCATCCGTCGCAAGGCGATCTGGAGCCGAAAGCTCGCGGACCATGGACAACTACGAAAAAGGAGAAACTGTGGAGAAAGAAAACAATCATCGAGAACCATTTCAACACGTATCCGCGCTTCGGGACGATACGCCGGTCATAACTGTGCGGGGCGGTAGCAAAATTCAGAGTTTGGTGGATGTTGCGTTGTCGAAACTCAGAGTAAGAAATGTTTTCTTTAAAACCATTACTGGAATTTAATATTATATTATGATGTATTCTTCTACAATTACAGTGCACCGTAATAATCTGAAATGTCAAATGATGTCCGAGCTTCTTGAAACTATTGTAAATCTCCCGATAAGGAATGCTGACTTAGATTATCTGTACTTTATCAATAACTGCCAGCTGAGACACGTTGTTGTTGTAGGAAAACATTCCGGAGCAGCAAAAGTTCGTAATTTTCTATGGATCAGGACCGGCCATTAACAAAACTATATCCTGTGTTGAGATATTCAAGCGGCGAGTGAAGGTAAAAGCTATTAATATTACTTAGACTATTCGTCTGACTTAAGGGATTTGGCCCGGTACATAGCACCAATTTCGTGTACATACGCGGGAATATTCGCTTTCGCGCACTTCCAAACACTTTTTTGGGTTGCTTTTTGACAATGTGTAGCCAAATGATTTGTATACATAGGCGTGAAATCCGGCAGCATCCGGTTCGGGAGTTATGGCTGTTAGAAAATTTCCAAAAAGTTTAAATGCATTCAGGTGTACCAAAAGTCTCATTATGGACCGATCCCTTTCAACTTTTGCACGTAGGTAATTGCACATTACCATGAAGATCGTTCTTACACGGATTCAGACTTCCATGATTTTTTTCGAATTTTAAAATGAATTTGAAAATTTTTTAAATTCATTTTAAAATTTAAAAAGCATGCTAGAACAGTGGATCGGTGTAAGAACGATCTTCATGGTCAAGCGCATTTACCTGCAAAATTTGAAAGGGATCGGTCCATATTGAGACTTTTGGTACACCTGAATGCATTTAAACTTTTTGGAATTTTCTAACAGCCATAACTCCCGAACCGGGTGTTGCGCGCAAAAACGGATTTCACGCCTATGTATACAAATGTTTTGGCTACAAAATACCAGAAAGCAATGCAAAAACGTGTTTGGGAGTGCGCGACAGCGAAAGTTCCCGTGAATGTACACGAATTTGGTGCTATGTACCGGGCCAAATCCCTTAAGAACAGACTAGCTACTAGCAGCTGTAAGCTTTGCGTTTCATAGTCAACATTACTGTAGTCTATTACTACCGCCCGAATACTACGGTAGGCAGTAGCAAAACGTAATAGAGTGAAATAGCACAAGTTGAAACTTCGTACGTATTTCAAAACTGTCTATCGTTTGGTAATTTGATTCCGTCGCTACCGTATTGTTTGCCTAGATAATACAGTCTGCTTGTGTTTTGATTTTATTATTCTCCTTTAGGATCTTTATCAAATAAACAAGCTTGGATTTGAGGAGTAAGTCCTTCGTACCTGATTTGGCAGAACAGTATACGGTGATATTCGTTGCTGTATTTCGGCTAAAATGTTTGTGTGTGATTTGCAGAGTGGAAGAAATTTGGAATCCGAAAATTGAAGGATTGAATGTGTATGTGGCCTACTTGTAAGATTTAGAAAGTGGTGTAGTGATTTATTTATTGTGATTATTATACATTTTGCTTCTTTTTGTTTCCGTTAGATTAAAGGTGTCTCGAAAAATTCCGGCTCTTCATGTGTTGCTGTCCAAGGTGCCCTTACCGAAAGATGAGCCAGGGTATGGTTTCGAATCATTACTTTCCAGCTTTAATTACATTTACTGTACTTCAAGTGCGTGTTTGATTCTTAATTCTTACTCTTCTCGTATTTTGAAAACAATAATCCATTTCGAGGCCAACATGCAGACAAGTTATAAATTCTAATTAATTCTTATCTTCGGTTTTTGTAGATATCAGCAATAGGGCGGGTATTCGGCATCCTTATTTTGCCATTTGGAAAGCAATAGACTGCGATTCAGCCGCAGAGGAAACTCGATTTTCCGCGTTCGCATTTCCGCTGTCGTTTGTACTAATGGGACGAGGAAAAAGTTGAAGCAGTACTTTAAGATCGTAGCTGATTGATATGCTCACAATCATTTGATTTTTTTTAATGACCTACTATTTTGTACGGAGCCCGCCGGCGCCGAGAGCGATAACAGATTCTTTGTAAGAAGTTGCGAGATCTTCACCTCTGGGTGAATACAAACGGAAAGCCGGCCTGTGTTCAGGGCAGCCTCATGAATATTCCAACACGAATGTGGGATGTGGGACCATGGTCTTCAATGAAGACCGTGGTTTTATGCAGCGCGCTGTTAAAAATAATTTTGTATTGTGCTATGTTTCATGGTTAGTGAAAGAAAACAATTAGCAGCGTGGTCAGCAACTGCATCGTTATCTTGTTATCCACCTCTCTACAACTACCATCGGTGCATGAGTTTCATACTTTATGTACGGTCGATAGTCGGAATTCTCCTCAAGTATCCTTTTAAGTTTTTTTATTGTGCTGTTAAGCAAAAACCATTAACGCAGAATCTCAAGGCTGTTTCGCGCACAGGAAAGCCAGTATCTGATTTTGTGATTCTTGGATTTCTTTCTGCGTTTCTTGAATTTCTTTCTGGACCTTTCGGATTTCTTTCTGTTCATCTTGGACCTAAAATCAGGCAAACACATCTGGCTTAACTGCGCCCCACAATCGGTACTGATTCGGTAGCTTGCAGTTGCAGTTAACTGTGAAACTGATAACTTCCAAACGATTCATTAGTGGTAAGCAAAATTACAAATTCACCCACCTCTTTCAGGCCTGCGTCGAGTGCGTCCATCTTGCCTTCCAGTCCGGTCACGCGATCTTGAACTTCGGTTATCTGATTCTGGATTCCAGTCATCTGGTTCTCCACGGCAGTCAAGCGACGAGAATGATCGGCGAAGTCCGTGAAACTGCTGATCTCGTACGTTCCGTTGTTCGCTCGATCTACGGATGTCTACAACGGTCAACGCGTTGAACGGATCTGAACGTGTTGTAAGTTGATCATGAGAAACAACACACACCTGATCCTTACTTACGCCTGTGCTTACGCTGTCCGATCCGATCGACGAAATGGTCGCATTACTCTCGCCGCCGAACCGACCTAACACTGCGCGGCTGGGGGTTGACGTGTGAAGTCCCGGTGCACCAGGAATCGACGATGCTGGCTGAGGTGGAGTGCCAGGCTCATCTTCGTGTTGGTCCAGACTTTTATTAGGCTCCATGACTGCTATTAAAAGATAAAAATTCCACAACTTGAAATAAAACTCGCCAGAGCGGGAAAATTATACGATTCAATAAAGAAATAACAACGCATAAGGATGAGCGTGAAAACTTTCTCATCATTGCAACAGCACGGACTTGAGCACTCATTCACGGTAAGATTTACTTCAAAACTTGAAAACTGAAAATGATTTTTACACACCACTCAGCACTGGGTATACTTACATCTCGCAGTATGATAACGAACAGGTAAATTATTTAGTGTCACGCTAGAGTTATTACCAAAACTGTTAATCCCGAGCTGAACGAAGAAATAAACGAAATGTATGAGAACCGCTCTGGCCCGTAAATCTAAAAATTATGCTTTACAATTTGCACGTTCGAAGTAACATTCAGTGATGTCCCGTTTTTTCACGGGCTCGGTAAATCACGGGAATTTCCCGCATCCCGCACCCGCTTTTGCTCGGAAAGCGGTGCGGGAGGCTTTCTGCTCGGATCGGGTGCGGTCGGGAATATAGCCTGATTAGTACGCCCGCCCGCTACTCGGGAAAACACGGGATTTCTTTGAATTAAAAAATTTTTTATAGAATTTCTAGCAATTTTCGCAGCCAAAAAGTGCGTCAGCTTCGCGCGAAAGTTGGTGTCTTAGGGTGGGTCTCTGATTCAAAGCGAATCCAGTTGCGATACAGCGATTTGATAAGCGGCGGCTAGCTCCGTAGCTCCTGTGACGCAAACGTCGGTTTCGAAAGAAAATATATTTACGGCAATTGTATAAGTTATAATTACGAGCCAAGTTCAGTTTTTTTGAAAAGTAAAAGTAAGATTTATCATGCAGGTCTAGTCTTCTAGAAAATGCGTATCCATTAAACTTTTCGACGAAACTTTGTCACAAAAATTTTGTAATAGATTTGTAACAATTATTAAAATTATTGATTCATTGAAAATCGGGAATCGGAGCGGGTTGCGGGACGGTCCGAGCGCTCGGGTGCGGGAGCGGGTGCGGGAAAGTTTTTGATCGTGAAAGTGCGGTCGGGACATGAAAAACTGCAAACGGGACATCACTGGTAACATTAGCGCTGGACTGGTATAATTTGCACTTCTGAGTTCTGACATCACAACTCTCCTCGATTACCATATAAGGAGAATTACTTACAGAACAATTGCGCAACTTTTCGATTGGACTGTTTAATAAACCCGATTCTTCCTGTTATCCCATTGGTGCCCGCCGGGTCGGCCGATAACTGCAACACCCACGTTTTTAAGCACTGTCAAAATTCTCCCTTCGTAAATTTTAGAATCTAGTTTACGCTGTGATACCAGAACAACGTGTCCGTTCAGCCATACCTTGAGAATTAGCGTTCTGCACTTGCGCATTCGCTCGACAGTCGTTTCCGATGCTCCTAGACCTCGGTAGCATCGTACCGATCTGGACCTCCCCATCTTTCGATGACTGGACACTACTAACTGAAAGTTGAAAATAAATTGAACGGGATCAAAAAAATAAATATGCTCAGATTCTGAATTCTTTCGAATTAGTTTAACAAAGTGTTCGTTTAGTTTGATTAACAATACGTATAATAGAATCTGAAGTTTGAACGGTATTCAGCTGCATCAGTTCCATTCTAGTTTCAACGGCGCACTCAACGTAGTGCTCGTAATAACAATGGAATACGGTATGTTGCGAATATGTTACGTTGTTATGTTACGAATTAAGATCAGGCAATACAGAGCGCGCGCGCGGTTACTTGCAAATCGCAATCCTGCATTGCTGAACAGCCTGAAGTTATTAATTTTGGCACCTTTTATGATTTATCACTTTTATGTTTTTCCAGCTTTGCTGTTTTGCGCTTTTGAATCACAGCTCCTCACTTCTGTCATGTCAACAAAATTAATTTTATATTATCAGTTATCAGATTGCCCTTATTTTCAACCGTTCAGTGGTTGCGGCATTTATGAAAAATTCGTGTAAGTTTTTTATTGTTATGAGCAATGGTAGGACATGATCCCGAGGAATTGCGCAAAATTCCCCATTATATCTACGGTCTCAGTGGAGCGCTATCAGGCTTCGTTACTCGATTTCTCACACAGCCACTAGGTAGAGTGCGCACTCGAATCGCATTAGCTTGCAGTACGCCTTAGTGCCTTTCCCCAGAACTGTAGTTCGCAGCAGGCTTGTGTTCCTTTGTGTTCTAGACGTTTGCAAGATTCGTTTCCAGCTCCAGGTGGAGCCAATAAAGCGCACATCCCTCCTGTCAAAGTACCGCAGCCTACCACAAGCATGCACCTTAATTGTGCGCGAAGAAGGACTGGCAGCACTATGGGTATTCCACAGCCCGTTTCCCTTGATGTATGGCACTGGTTCTCATCGTTCTTCTGTAGAAAGGCATTATTCCGGGGCAGGCGCTGTCAGCTGTGTATGGACTAGCCGAGGTGAAGCGATGATTAATTGCTGTGACCAACATTGTTAAGCAGATTACGGGTATATTATGTAGTTCGCCACGTTTGAATTCTTGAACAAAACCCTGTTCGCTTGGAATCTCACCTCCAATCCCAAAGATCCCTTGGTGTACTTCCTGTGCGGGAGTGTAGCAGGAATGGTTGGAACGGTGGTATCGCAGCCTTTGGATGTCGTGCGCACTCGCTTGGTTTCGCAAGGACGCGATAAGGTATGTGAAAATATATAAATGCACAGCTGCTGTCTACATGCGATTATGGATTATATCATGTTCATCGTTATTCCTTTGACTTTTGCCGATGACCAATCTCTGCTTATTCTTTTTAGGTTCGTTTTGTAGCGGTTCCTCTACTCTCAGATTTTTTTACTCTGCTCTTGAACATACAGATGCATACTCTTGATAATTCCTGACTTATTTTTGAATTCCTTAATTTGCAAACACTTTTTAGCAACAGTATAATAATAATTTATGTCTTTACTGCTGCTGGAAAGTCTTTGCGTCAGTGGTTGTGTACACAAGACAAAAGCCAGTATTATTAATACTGATACAATAGTGTATCTGTAGCATTAATTAAATTTAAAAATTCTGGATAAATGTTGTAACTGGTAAAACTCGACCGGAGTTGTTGCGTCACATGCGTGTTAATCGAGTTGTTATGGGTGGCATTGTTTGCCCTTCAGGTGTACACGAGCCTCATGGATTCCTTCCGGCAGATCAAGCGGCAGGAAGGTTATCGTGGATTTTACCGTGGGCTGCTTCCTGGACTTTTGCAGATTGCTCCTTCCAGCGGTTTGAGTTTCGCATTTTACTCGCAGTGCCAAATTCTGTATCGGAAATGGTCAGGAAAACGCATCACCGAATCTAAGAGTGGTGCGTAATTTGTTAAGCGCTACCTTATGCGTTTGCTTGAATGTTTTGTACAAAGTCGATTGTCCCTGCATCAGGCTGCATGGTTTATTTTCTGCAGATGCTATGGAAAGTTTGTTCTGTGGTTGCATAGCTGGAGCTGCCTCAAAAAGCATAGTTCATCCGCTGGATGTTCTGAAAAAGCGCCTTCAGGTCCAAGGTTTTGAGCAAGGACGTAAAGGGTTTGGATTGTTCCTGTTCGCGTCGGGAATTGTGCATTTGATCAGAGAGACATACCGACTGGAAGGACTTCATGGATTTTTGAAAGGTTTCTCGTAAGTATATTTTAATTTCCCGAAATTTGGTGGATGTGTCACTTTGTTAAACGTATGTCCTCTGTGTACGTGCGTCGTTCGACCATAACGCGTTGTATCAGCATGCGAATCTGATAATGAGGGAAAGTGACATACCTTCTGGCAGGCAGCTGTATATTTGCTGTTTATGTTTGCTATGATTGTATTTTTTGAAATGGTAGCTTTTAGATCGATGCAAATGTTTTCTTCTATTTGCCAGATTCGATTAACATAAAATGCAACGCTTATTTTGATTGCGTACTTATTTTTGGTTTTGTAGGCCTGCGTTGTTGAAAGCGACGTCGAGTACCGGATTTACATTTTTCTTTTACGAACAGTTTCTGAGGGGATTTTCTCAGCTTTTGGTGTGATAAAAGTTTTAAATCGTTTTGGTTTTTAGTGATTGTTGTGATATAAGTGCTGTTTGATGTGCTGCACAATCAGTAAATGCTTTTAATTCACCGCTTAGATATGGACAGTAATGGAATGCTAATGAATTGATGTAATGGTTGCGCTAAACGATTAAATGGTCGCTGAACATGCCGGCTTTAGTGGCAAAGTCTATTAATTATTTTCATGTCGGATGGTTCTGTTTTTAGATTTTGAAATGTTCAATCTGTTCATTACCACAGTTTTCGGTGCGGCTTCGCAAATGTCGTGCCACTGACTTGTTTTCAGTGTGTGGTTTTATTTTCTGCTGTTTGTTAACGCAGCGTCGGCAGCTGAGACTGAAAGATGCCTCTTGTCGTGGCATCGTTCTGTTTTGCACATTTGCGTCACAGTGTACAAGTCCTGCATCATTAGGCTTTGTTGAGCACTGGAAAGTTTTTTATACGCCCGCCATGAAGAGGACCGTGGTTTCGTTTCAGTACGGAGAAGCAAAATATTTTGAGTCTTCATGTGGCGGAATCTTGGCGTTTCTGTGTGTTGTTTTAAATAATATTATCGTTCTGCTCATCGTCTAAGGCCGAAAAACTCGAAATGAAACACGTAAATCTGCTTTACGTAGGCGTTTGGTATGGTGTAATGCGCACATAAATTTTCTTCGTGTCGTAAAGTGGTGCAAAATGTTAGTTTTAATATCTGTAATCTGCATTTGATGTACGTCTGTATCTGCAGCTAGTTTTTTCCTAATCCGTTTTCCCGCCGGTATAGAGACGCTGAAATTGAGCGAGTATATCAACTTGCTAGTTTTTGATATGGCAGCTGTGGATACCCGGTTAGGTAAGCCTTCATAGATTACCGCCTTGTCCAGCCCATCTGCTATCAGCCCAGTTCTGTTTCGGTCGAGTTTATTTCAGTTGCAAATTTTGTTTGTTACTAATTATTTTTATGAAAACAAGAACTGTGCAATTTTTATTGGAAAACCACTGATTGTACTATTAAATTAGGTTGCAGAACAGTTTTACTCTCTACGCATAAATGCCTACACTTCTGCTCCCATAATCAACAAATCAACAGGCGTCTCGAATTTTTCTCGAATTCGAATTTTAATTGGCAGTTTTTTGTTAAATGTACTTATTATACATATACGTACGTTCATTCATGTTCTCAACAAAAGCGCTGACTTTTTATGTAACTTTTATCTATAGGTTTTATTGAAGCTCCGTGGCCATCATGGAATACGCCTTGCCTATCGCGTAATCCTGAGGTAGGACATCGATGTAATAATTATATGGATACTGCAGTATGACTGAATTTCACAATCAGCTTTTATCAGGAATAGCATTTTGCAATTTTTTGCTAAAATTAATTCGTTTTGATTACTCATGTTGCCGTTTTTGCTATAGTAATTATGCAGATACAGGCTAATAACAATTTTTAATTAACAAGTAACATTTTACGTTAATATTGTGGTAATCATGATTTTTCACCAGAATGACATTTACCGGCGTTTTGGCTTGCAAACACTACGTGACTTCTGTCATGGTCAATTACAGCATACCGGAAAATTACCAGCTTGGATAAATAAAATTATTTCTGCATGGAGATCTAAAGGGGACAAAACCGAACAATTGCAACCGGCGCCTAAAGATCCTGCCCAGCATGAAGCTTTATTACGGAGGGGATCCGTGTTATCTATGCTGTCAACGAAATCTGGAGCGGAGATTAATAATTACACCGCCAAGTATTTCGGGAATGCTGCGGATGCAGTAACCTCGGATCGGATTAACCGAAATGCGGACGATATAACGCAAAATATTCAAATTGCTGGAACCCTAAGCAAACAGGTTAATATTATCTTCCAAGTTCTTGATATTGTTTTAAAGTGCTTATTTTTAAAATCCTAGTTTTGTACGAGTATACCTATTGTAAATGTACTTGTATACCTATGTACACTGCACTAAAAATACTGACAACGTTGTGATTTTTATACTTTTTTGCTAAGTTATTCTGGGATTTTCTATACAATATTCGCGAATTAGTGTATGCTACAAGCACAGCTCACAGCTATTTATTGTGCAGTTCTACAACATGAACAGGTTTTCACTTTAGGTACAGCTGCTGGTACGTAATACCATTCAGACCGGCTGCACACCCATTGTGTTTGCCACCGGCCGAATTCCCGCACTGGGCAGCATTGCCGGACACGGAATGGCCGCATCCGATATGGGTATTCTGGACGTCGGTGACGCGTCATCCGTATGCCTAGTTTACTTGGATTTATTTGCCAATATGGACTCAGACATTCTGGACTATACGCAATATTCAACACGCTGTCCGGCTGCGTTTTTACTAAAAGAGTCATTTGGGAACATTCCGAAAAAATTCCCCGGATTTGAATGGTTGCGACCTTGGTAAATAGCAAAGCTGATTGACTGCTTCAGTTGTATTCCGTTAATATAAGCCGTGATATGAGTGCGTATTGTAATCACAATATTTTATGTAATATTGTAAATGTAAGTTATTTGTTATTGCGTAGGTTAGGATTTCGCCGAGTGGCGGTAATCGGATTGCAAAAGCCGTCAGAATCTGAGATGTAGGTCGGTGTAGTCGTGTTACCAAACATCTCAGCATCTTAACAAGCGCTTAGTGTATTTATCACGTCTTTCCACAGAGCGTTCTTGGAGAGTAAAAAAATTCACTACTGTACATGTGATGACCTGGCCAGTCGTGGAGCAGTTGATACTATTAAAACGGCGTTGAATGCCATTAATCCGCGGTTAGTACTTAGAACGACATATGCAGCGGATTGCTTATTTTTAGAAGATTCTGGTTTTAGTGCCGCTTCTGTGTGTCTGCATATGCATCATCCACTGTGTTTGTTTGTAGAAATGATCTGCCCATCCATCTGTCAATCAATGCATTTGCAGTGGATTTTGCACTGGAAGCTCGCGTATGGCCCGAAGGTCACCGGAAGATACTCGCAGTGGAAGCTTTGGATATTGTAAAAATTATTGTAAAAACTGGTGCGTGCACTGTAGACTCATTTTTTATAGTCGGATAAAACACAGTTGAAAACAAAGGGCTTAAAAACTGGTCGATCTTGGAATACTTTGTGTATTAAAACCTGACATACCGGTAAGTGGTTCGTCTTTTCACTCTGATTTTCTTTACTACGTTTGTAATAGCAATTATACAACGTTGCATCAATACCTAATTAATTAAGGGAGTAAGTTCATCGATTTGCATTTTGCGATCAAACGATAAGAACGAATTGTTTTGTCAGTTTTGTTTTATTGAATAGGTATGCTCGGAGCGCTGGATATTTTGGAAGTGGAGCAACTACCCATTGAAGATCAAGAAAATGCCGCCTCCGTATTCAATGAAATTCTTCAGCGTGTTGCAGTACAAACAAGGATACCCTATCCACCGCGTCTACCAGCACCGGAAGCACTATCTGCAGACTTTTGAACTATGTTTTTTTGTGAAATTCGGCAAGTTGGATAACATGCCACAACATCTATCGTTGCGTACATCTATCGTACTGCATTTTACTCGTATAATACTGAGGAGACATCTGCCTGAAAGAATCAACTGTGTATTGTATTTTACGACTTTGAAGAAGATTCAAGTCGTAATTCTTTAATAATGAATATCACCTTGTCGCCTCGTCGTAGGAAACGTAAAAGTATGGTAATGCCACGCTGTTTTATACGAGTATACAGTAAATAAAAGTCCTTCATTCAAGAGAGCAATAATTTTACGGTTTTTGGTTGAAATCCATTGACTGAAGGCTGACTGCAAGTGTCTGCAAATCGGCGGATTTTTTAGCGGATCTGCTATGTATGAAGCTGAAAATTGCATAGAAAATGGAAGCAGTAAACGAAAAAACACTGTAGCCGAGCCAAGTTGCTCTTGCTCCGTATTGCTGGTAGAACAGTCCGGCAGCAATTCCTCCGATGCCTTGTCCTATAACGCATCACTCAGAAGTCCAAGAATTTAAAGTTTCAAATTAGTAACGATTTCGGTAGCTAAAATTTTTTTCAGCTTGTATGTACGTTGTATGTCTCGTATTACATGTGTACCCCACGCTCTTAACTGCGAATTATAACTATTACAATAAATTGATATTTTGTACTTATACGTTGACCAAGCGTAGTATATCAGATGCCTGAAGTAAAAACCTACAACATTGTTTTTACCTATCCCTTCGTAAGTGGATCCAAGAATCCCTTGTAACGTGGCTGTTCCTCCGACTGGCGCTTTGGCAAACGCAAAATTCGTCATAGCGGCGTACGATAATCCAAACCCCACCGAGTGCACAATATCAATTAGCAGGACGAACCAAGGATCAACAATTAATCCATACGCCAAAAATCGTATGCCAAACGATACCAGACAAAGCAACATGCATCCGTGGTACCCAATTTTCTTAATTATCCAACCGGACACTGCCATCATTGGGGCTTCGTAGCAGCACTGGACAAACACCGTTATACCCAGTAGCAGATTGGTTGCTCCCAGATCCGACTGATACCAGGCCAGATATCCATATAACAGACCCGAATTTATGCCGGCTACAAACGTCCCTGCGCTAAAACAGAAGTTCCGTAAATTCGGTTGTGCAGTCATAGTCGTACGATTACAAATTTTAGGTGACCTATAAATATATCTGTGACCTTATAATGCTTAATATGTGTCCGCATATCGCGATTGTTTAAAAAATTTACGTTACCAACGTTTAACGTTTGCCTTACCAAAACAACAGCACCTCAAAGGTGAAAACGCTTTTCGTCACGGAAAGCAGCAATTTTTCATTCTCGACCAGTATCTGTTTAGGCAAGAATAACGTCGAAGCCACACCCAGCACGGCCGCCACGGCGAAGGCAATAAACGCCGGCGTAAAATCGCGATCTTGCGGCGATGTGTCGGAAAACTCGTCGAGAAGGAATCCCACAGCCAACGCCCCGATGGCCCAGCCCATGGTACCCAGTACTCGATTGGCCCCGTACGTCGTAGGGACTGGCGCTGAATTGACGATACCAAAGGCAATGGAATCATCCAGTGTGACCACGGACGCATAACCATACCATGCGAAGATCAGCAGGAGACCACTGAGCCAGAACTGCAGCGTCCATCGGATGGAGATGCCGTCGGCGGTTGTCTCCAATGGAGGAATCCATGAGCAGTTAAGGTCACACTGATCCGCAACGTAACTGGATATGTTAGCCGTAGGAACTTGGGCAGAGAAGGTGCTGTTGTCAATCAGGTTAATGCAGGTAAAATTACCCAGATTACTGCTGTCATAATATGCTGTATTGCTCGTGTGACAGGTAATGTTGTGAATCGGGTGCAGCACGTTCATCGACGGAACAAAGTAAACGGATATAAAGAAAGCTAGTTGCATTAGGGAAAATATGCGGGCTAATGCATACGGGGCCTTAAATTTGTCGGACAGAGCGCCGGTAACCGGCTTCGCTAGCATGGACACAAACGGCAGACTGCCGAAAATAATGCCGTTCTCCGATGCATTCAAGCCCAGGTGTTTGATGTAAAGAGGAACGTATGGAACCAGACATGATTGAGCTAAAAAGTTGGAAATAGCATTGTGGTATCGTTTATGTAGCAGAAAAAGCAAGGACTATCTACAGTAATATGGTTTCAGCAGATGAGAAAACTAAGACGGTTTAGGAAAACGCTAGTTCGTGACAGTCGACATCGTGCTTTCGACTTTAGTATATATATATATATATATATATATATATATATATATATATGCTAGTATGGTCAGTGATGGTCGAAGAAGCGGGTCACCACTCAATGATGTGACGAAAATGGGTAACGCTTTGGACACAAGGTCTTCACAAGGCCTTTGCTTAATTAGCTATAAACATAAACATTAGTCAGTACAAGTATCGCGAACACAAATACATTACATTGCGGTTTTGAGTCTCAACTTCTCACTTTAGTTAACGTTAACCATAGAAATGAAAACTGAAAAATATCTAAACCGTAATCAGAAGAGCAATGTTTTTTGCACATGGACGTGGGGCGGAAGTCGGGACAGAGGAAACTTTTCTGGCCAAACTTGCACAGAATTCAACAACTGGACACTAGTCAAGAAACAAACCCAGAAATCTTAAAATTCCAAGAAATGAATTATAGAAGGAAATTTTAAGTTACGAAGACACAGGTACCCTAATATTACGGTTAAACACGCTTTACAAGTTGAAACTCGCAATGGCCCGTGTTTGGAAAAGGTCAACATGAAGAATGACTTACCGCCTAACTGGAAGAAATACAGGGTCTTAAGCGACAAGAGGTAAGGATGGAAGAATGCTTTGACGTGGTTCCGCAGACTTTCGCTCATTTTACAAAATACAAATACTTTAAAACGGAAAGTTTATACTCTGTTGCAGGGAAGAATAGCAAGATCCATACACACACCAGGAAGGAAGCAGTCAAAGATTACAAACCGTAATGAATTAAAAATACTTCAAGTATTCGGCTGCATGCTTCTGAATTAACGAAGCCAAAACTTTCTACACAGGCCTTTTAGAAACGTATCTAAAAGATCAGCTGGGCATTAATTACATATAAGCGCGAGGTCACAAACACTAGCTAGCCAAATGTTACTTCGGTTCCCCTAATATATTAATAAAACCAAATTTATTTAAATATTTATCAAAAATAAGTAGGATGCTGATGCAATACGAGTGCCGGTGAAGTAAGTATGCATGTACATAGGGGTACAGTACCAATCTTCTCAAGAAATACAGTCTAATAAGTGTATACTGCCAACTGATCTATTGATTCTTACTTGCATAAATCGGCCTGGTACTGACATAATGCGAAGTATCAGCCGCATCAAACATGTTATCGCTTACGACGGCTTTTATCAGCTAATTTAGACGGTCATGATGATAGCGTAACATTACACGCAGATATTAGCTTGCAAAATGTCTGGTTTTCAGTACAAATAAATTTTTGTTGACGTTGCTGTATAATACCAGTCTGTGTATCATTATAATATAAATATTTGTGCCATCCTTGCGGTTATACACTTCGAAAATCACTGGGAAAAAAACTCAGAAATACCGACAAAAAGTACTTTCTTTTATGTACATCTGCCCAAGACGTACCATCTTCTTGTTTTTCGTTAATTTCAAGGAAAGCGAAAATCTTGTCCCAACTTTTTATAAACTAAAGGACTGTGTACTCGCTATTTACAGTAGGTAAATTATTCCATGTGAATGCCGGTCTTGTGAAGGAATTCTCGCTTTCTTGTTGATATTAAATGCAGATTCTAAAATTTTATAGAGTAAGTATTATTGTATGAGTACTATGTACTCGTATCAAAGTGCCTACCGCCTGGCAAAACAATGAGATATGGTGCACTAACCCGCGTCTTTGGACTTCACTGCAGCTGTGCACGTGCATCGGCATAGCGTGCAGTTGCATGGCGCAAAGTGCAAGTTTTCACTATTGTGTGAAGTATGAACTTTGAAGTTTACCAACCGATCTGTCATCTGTACTAAAAATAAGATTCGAGAAATCTTTAGGAACTTTGCAAAAAAACGATACGTGTTTCGGGTTTCCCATCGGATCCCATATGCAATATTAAAAAGAGCCGCCTTCGGCATCGCTCAGATGTTATGGTTTGGCTTGGGATGACCCTGGGATCTCACAAGTTTAGAAGCATAATACCACGTTCAGCTGTCAGCTTGCGGTCGTGTGGGAAATCTGATTGGTTTTGAGTAGTGCTGTTGCGTTGTTTGTCGCACGTTGTGCTGGTGCATCCTTTTTCTATCTTTCCTGACCTTCCATACTAATTTCCTTTACAAAACCTCACTTTCCATGGTATTTCGGTCTAGTCGTGTTTCGAATATGCCTCCCAAACAGCCTTCTTCGGGCAGAACCGTGACAAAAGCACCTCGTCCAGGCAATCATCCGGGTGCCAGCCAGCCAACCAACGATGCGCTGCTTATTTCGCGTCTGGACGAGCTGGGACAGAAAGTCAATCCCATGGAGCTCCAACTTCCACAGGTTAGAGATTTTGTCGTAATCGGTACTGGAAAAGGGCTTACTTGGTTGTTAACGATTACTGTAAATCGCGAAGGCTTCGCAAGATAATGAATGAAGCCGTAAATTTTTATTGACTTTGAAGTCTTTGATTGTAAATTAATCATTTTCAATCAGAGTCACAGCTTTATTCATTATCTTGCGAATCAAGTCTTCGAACAATAATGGCCATTAAATATGAAATCCTCAAAAGTGAATCTTGAACGCTTATATTGTTTCAAAACGTATTGCTTTTTTTGCAGAAATCTCCTCGTTTGATTACCGCAGTTATCCCAGATTTGATCCAGAAAGCCACTATTACGCCGCTGGACGATGCCCTAACGAAGGTTAGTTTCCATTTTTCAAATTTAAATTATGTTAATTTACCGTACTCTAGGGAAATATTATTTAACCACTTCTTAAACTTACGTAAATAATATGCATGGATTTACTTAGAGTGTCTACGGGGTTTATTAGTCTGCAGTTTTTCTATCATGTTGCGATCTGCCATAAATTTTTTGGAAATTATTCAGATTAACGAAACGATTGACGACGTTTGTAATCATCCGCACATACATCCCAAACTGATGGAAACCATTGGCTTACCTGCACTTATGTGAGTACGATACAGTGATTCATTGGATGCAGCAAAAGATGCGTTCACCAACGTTCAGTACCGTTAACTGCAAAAATTGCTTACAAAACGATTTGTTAGTAAAACGGTAATCTTCTTTGCAGAAATTATTTCCTCTCATCTGTGTTCCATGTGGATCAGACCTCCATCTGGTTCACTGCCCGAGATGTTGCGGAACCTAGTGGGTCCATGTTTTGCATTATGGTTTGTGGAACCACCGTGTACAAATGAATGTTCCAGGTGCCAAGTCGATTCCCCGTGTGCTAACCATTTTGACCAATATTCTTGCTGTCACTTCCCAACACGACTCCGCTGTCCTGGAGCATTACCAAACGATGGCAAGAATGTACCCGGTAGTACCTACGTTGGCGCTGATTAACTACAATTTTCTTGTAGAAATCTCAGCAAGATGTGATGTCCGAATTATGGAACCGTGAAGTTAACCTGAGAGGCGTGGAGGATCAACAACTGCAGCGAGAAGAACAGGAAAAGACCGAATGCGCTCGGGTAACTGTTTTGTTTTTGCAGTGAATAAACGAATTGAGAAGGTGATATTCAAAGCTGCACGCCTTTAGCCCATTATTTATTCTGCATTATTTACACTCCCATTTACCAAAAAATTCTAGCAACTTAAGCCCGAGTTCTGTGAGAACATTTGGATTTAAATGTCCGCTTTCCTTTAGATGCGGGAACTTTTGGAAACGGTGGAAAATGATGCAACTTTGGAGAATAAATTGGTGAGGTTATAATATCCCGGTGCAAAAGTTATATCAGCATTCAAACAGTTTTTGTATATACAGTACTTATGTGGGTGTTTTGCAGCGAGATAGCGCTCTGGTCTTGGAAAAGACTGTGAAAAAGCGGGATGCTGTTCTCGTCGATGTTGTAAGTCACTGAGTTTACGGTGCTGTGCATCGAGTTTTTTACGCTATCCCCGTTTTTCAGCGTCGAGTCGATTCTGAGCTGGAACAGATGCGTCACAAACTGAAAGTGTTGCAATCACAAATAATAACACCAGCAGATGCAGAGCGAGTTGAAAAGCAGTTGGAAGAAACTAAGCTGGAAGCTGAGGCAGTGCGAGCAGATTTGGGGCGGAAAACTGAGGTGAGCGCCGTTTCTCTTTAATGCTGATCGTTCTGTTTTTACACGCTTTTAATGCCAATTAATTAAAAATTTTGCAGTGCACATTGAAGCTTTACTTATTGAGAGTTGTTCCATAACTGGCTTTTTTATAGGATTATAGTGTTCGTACTCTGAAGAACAAGACCATACAAGATACGCTTCAGGCGGCTGAATTGGAAGGGAAAAATTTCATCAACTATGTAGAAAAAGCCTGTAGTGCTTATATGTACTTGAGAATCACGCTAGCCTTTGTTATAAATATCATAATGTAAACTGAGAAACGATTGTATTGATAGTGATCTGGATTGTGAAAAACTCCTTGAAGCTAAGCGATTGTACATGGTGCGTGAAGATCTCGAAAAGGCTCGTAACCAGGCTGACCGAGCCCGTGCAGATGTGGACGAGTTAAAGCAAAAGATGGAGCTACAAAAAGCGGACCGCAAAAACAGGCAGAATCAGCAAAATTTGCATCGCAGTGAATTGCAGAAGTAAATTATAAATTACAATCATCCTGGACATGTATTATACTATTGGGGGAGCTTTGCGCTCAGAAATTTCGATTATGTCGTATTTATATTGCAGAGAAATTTCCAGCATGAAAACTAAGCTGAAGGAATGCGCTGGTAACGAGGACCGGCTCATGGACAGCATTGCACTGGAAGAAAGGGCCATACAGAATTCCGACCGTCAGATTGCGGAGATCATGGCACAGACCGCTGATTTCGTTAAAAAGCTTGATGCACAGGTAGAGAAACAAGTAATCCTTCATTCCGGCTAAATTTTATCGCGGGTTGTAAATAAAGCTGATTGTTGGATTGTTGTTCATTACAGGTGGGCCTTATGGTGCAGAACGTGGTTTCGGCTAAAGCCGAGACTGATCGACAGTTGGAGCGTATGAAATATACAGTTCAGAGTGTTTACGGAGATTTTCCGGAGACTCCGGTGAAAAAGCCAATTCCTGTCGTCGTACTTCGCCTTTCCGAGGAGACGAAGGCTTTGCAACGGGAGCTCAATGCGGACCATGGACAGAGTGCTTAGTTTTGGGCCCAAGCCTCGATCCGCTTTAGCAACAGAATGATTCGAAAAAGACGATTAAAGAGAATATTTCCATCGTTAAATAATTATCGCTTGGTGTCGGAACTATGTTCGTATTAATCAACTTGTAGCATATCTTATCTCTTTATATCAGATATTATTTGAATATAATACAAGACAGCATTGAAAATGTTGTACTTTGAATTGTTTCGTTGTGGGTTGGTGTGGTACACCCATTTAAAAGTAGCGGATGAAAGTTGATTTGTTAATTACACTAACTACATTGTCGATATTTTTCGTTCTGCAGCTGAACTTTTAAGTGTAGTTGACTCACTGACTGGAGTCTGGGTGTATTGTCGTGGCTTGTGATTAGTTGTAAACGATTTTTTTTACGATGGGTTTTACGTGTTTATATTAGTGACGGTGGCTGTTTTGTCGATGTGCCTTTTGTTGATGTCGATTGTCGACTTTTATTCTTATTTGACTGTTTGTTTCTCGTTTTTGTAAAATTAACAAAGATGCCACAAATGACAAAAGTGAAGAATGAAGACGGATAGAAGTTTAAACTTTAAAGCTGGCACTATAGGAGTACAAGGTATAGCACCAATACGAGTAGTAATTTGCATAGCATTTTAAAATATCTATAATTAAACCTGTAATGCAAATACTCGTACCTATGTACAGAGTTGAAACAAACAAATTTCGACATTTAAATATCGCGAGTTTAATATCTGCCAATGCTGCAATGTAAACTTTGCCAAAGTTTCCACTGGTGGCACTAGCTTACAGTAGTCAAACGATAAACCTATAAAGAAAAATGGCGGTTATTTTCCGATTACAGTTTCAGTTTTATCCCGGTTTCTGGACTATTCTCAAGAAAATAGCGTATATTTATATACGAGTACGTCAGTAATTTCGCGCCTTAGGATGAGGCAAAAAGGAGTGCATTTTGATGACTGTGCACTTAAAATTCACGTTTATAGATTGTAGAATTCTCATTTCAGTGAACTGAATTCACAGTTTACAGAAATTACTTTTGCGAAAGACGAGAACTGTACCTTGTGCAATACATACCTTGTGCAATAGTAAGTACACTATTGTCAGTACCGAGCCGGTACGTACAAACTCGGTATTGCAAAGTGCAACATGAAATCCTATATGCGCCTACGTTCATATATTCGTTTATGTGATTGTTAGTTTGCTGCAGTATTTCATTTAATTACGCGCTGACCTGTTTTGCGTCGTTTTTGATGACGCTTGCAAAAAGCACGGAAAAATGCGGAATTTTCTACTTGGAATTCGCATCTGCACTTTCCCCAATAGTACCACTTTTTATGAGCTAGTTTTGACCTGGTAAATTTGGCACGTGCCGTCCAGGCAAACCTTAAAACACAAACTTAAAAATTCCACTCGTGCAAGGTATGGAATAAGTACTTTACTTAAAATTATTGAAGTAGTGCCTGCTTGCAACATAACGTCACAAAAGCTGGTATAAAAACTTGTAATACAGCCGCAAGACATCGCCATTGCGAGGTACGACAAATCGGCAGCAAAATCCGCAACTGAATTCTACTATTGTTTATGATTTCAAAACTGGTCGACATGGATTTGTGTAAAATTTTGTTGTATTGCCTCACGCTTTCTTTTTCGACATTGACAGCTTCTGCAGGTACGTAAATACATGTAAACAGTCTTGTAGCATATCGTATTTACCTAAAAACGTGGCTCAAAAAGAGCGTCAAAACATGACAAAGCTAAAATATATATACAGCGTAAAGATAATAATATTATTTATCTGCCTGCATATATGTACAATATTAAATTATACAACAGTTATTCTATTGCACAGAAAAAAACAACAGTATGTGTGTATACAACAAGGAAAAGCAATTTATTTATACTAATATTTTTTGTATTTTATACTAGTATAGTAGTAACATCTTGCTTACCCATATGTACTTGTACTCCCGAGTAAAACAGTTTGTAAAAAATACGTTAGTTAAACGCTAGTTAAAGGCCAAAATTCGAACACTGTTCGAATTTTGGCCTTTAACTAGCGTTTAACTAACGTATTTTTTACAAACTGTTTTACTCGGGACTTGAAAACTTATCCATCTGCGAAATAAACTGCCTATAGAAGAAAATGTTTAACATGCAGAGAATAAACTGACTGTAAGTACTATATACACACTTACATTAAATATATTTTAATATTGCTGTTCTTTGACTAACTTGTAAAGACTCTAAACTAACTTGTAAAGACTTGTAAAGGTATTATCATTAAATTTCTAATTCGTGATGGATTTCAATGCAATACAGTATTTGCACTTGGCAGTGTTGCGGAACATTGAGTTCGTGAACAACTGCAACCAACCGATCTGGGTAGGAGCCCAGGGGAATCCTCTGCCCTTCAAAGGCGGCTTTCAACTGGACGCCAAAAAATCCGCGGTCAAGCAGATACCCGGCAACACCGAAGCCGCTCGTTTCTGGCCGCGTACCGGCTGTCGCACCGAGAATGGCAAGTTCATCTGCCAGACCGGCGACTGCGGAGCCCCGCCAAATAAATTCGGCATGGAGTGCAACGGCATCGGTGGACAACCCCCGGCCACCCTGGCCGAGTTCACCTTTCTGGAAGGCGCCAACCAACATGACTTCTACGACCTGAGCAACGTCGACGGTTACAACGTCCCCATGAAGATTGAACCGGTGGGCGGGAGCAAAGCACCCGGTGCACCGGTGGACAAATTCAACTGCGGCGCTCCTAAATGCACCATGGATCTCAATAAGTGTCCAGCGGAGTTGAAAATGAATAAAGCCGGCACAGTGGTGTGCGCGTCCATCTGCGCCGCCGTCAACAATGCCGAACAGCGCGCTAAATTCCCTGCGCTGAAGGCCATCTTTGACAATCCCGAAAAGCGGGCGTTGGTATGCTGCGAGTGTCTGTGCCCGCCGAATAGTGGAGATTGTAACTGCAAGAATCCCAAGAGTAAGTACTGCTGTTCGCCATACAATAAGCCGTCAGCATTGGAAAACGGAGGCAAGTGCCGTGTGGAGGACTGGCCGCTGTCTTCCGCGAAGGAACGCTACGATGCGGTTTTCAAGAGTGCGTGTCCGGATGCGTACAGCTGGCAGTTTGATGATCATCAGAGTACATACGTCTGTGCTAAAGCAAATTATCGCATCACTTTTTGCTAATTGTACTCCAGCATGAAAGTTTCTCCGCCACTGTATTTTTGTATACAGGTACATCGTTGTTTTGCTTGTTTCAGTGCTTTTATGCTGTTATGAAGAACGACTGCATGCTAGTTCAGTCAGATCGAGATGCACTGCAGTTAAGAATTATTGTCATTAATTAAGACCAAAAAGACCCTACGTAAAAATTAAATTGTACAAGAAGCTCCCTGTTGCACATGGCCAGTGGTACATTATTGTTGCAAATGCCGTTATTAAATAAAGGTCAAGTGCAGGTCAGTAAATGCGCATCGGGCAGTGGGCAAAAGCGTAAAAAGCAGCCGATGAATCAGCCAAAAAGTTGTTTAGCATCACCGACACACTGGCGCCATGCATACTTATGTTTACAAGATGACATAGCTTACAGTTAGAAAGCTATACCGAACGGTCACGTAGTACCGTAGTAGTAGTTAATCACTGGAGAAGTCAATCGTGGAGCCGCGAAGGCACAAAGGAAATCGCGAGACACGGTCTACTGCATAACCAATAATCAGATGGCAGTTGCAGAAACTGCAGCACTGAAATGTTTGACAACGGCATAACGACGTGACAACGCTCAAGATTTTAAAAGTACAATTAATATAGTCAGAGTCGTTTTATGAGTCCTTCTGCACTTAAATTAGCTAATTTGACAGAACTACGGTATAAACCTTGATTTTGGTACATCATGGATCAAAAGAAGGAAGCTCTGGATGCAATCGATCGGATCATCCTGATGCGTGCTTTGGAGACAGCACTGGAGTCCTCCTCGGATAGCAGTTCCTCGTCTAGTAACGATTCATGGCTGGAGGATTCCTCATCAGACGAAGATGACCTTTTACCACTGCTGTTGTTACGGTACAGTGTGGAAAACGACGGATGTACCGCCAAACGGAAAGCAATCAAAGCATCACACAAAAGCATGGGTATCGTTCCGCGCACGCTGCCGCAGCTTCCCGATCACGCTTTTCCTCAGCAGATACGGATGTCCAAGAGTTCGTTCGAGCGCATCTTGGAATTAGTTAAAAACGATGACATTTTCAACAAGCACAACAACGCAAAATGCACTCCAGCGGACCAAGGCTTTCAGCTGTACGTTGCTTTGTATAGTTTTACATCCTACGGAAATTCACCAAGTCTTAAACCTGTCGCAGCTCATTTTGGTGTCAGTGAGGGCACGGTCCGTCTATACACGTCCCGTATCATTTGTGCCTTGCTTAAGCTGGAGCCGAAATATGCAGACTGGCCAGATGAGAATGAACGCCGGGATATATCACGCCGTATCAAGGAGAAACATCGATTTCCGGATTGTGTTGGGTTCTTCGATGGGACTCTTGTTCCTTTACTTAAGAAACCGGCAGTGCAGGGGGAAGAATATTTTTCACGGAAAGGAAAATACGCCATAACTGTCGGCATGGTTTGCGATGACAAAATGCGCATTCGACACGTTATTTCGGGATACACTGGTTCAGTGCGCGCAAACCGGGTGTACGGGAACTGCAAATTAGCTAAAAACCCTTCTAATTATTTTTCCGGCGATGAATATTTGGTTGGTGACAATGCATACGGTATCTCATCAATAATGATACCGCCATACAAATGTGATCGGTCGAACGTTGAGTTTAACGTTCGTCATGCGAAACTCCGCTTACCAGCTGAAAGTACGTGTGGGATGTTGAAGGAACGTTTCCAGTCTTTGAAGGGTTTGCCAATTGATGTTAATTGTGGAAACGCACACGCGCGGTGTAATTTCTGGATTCGTGCATGTTGTGTGCTGCACAACATTGTACTGGACACCGAATCCCGAGATACCAAGGACACAGCAGTTGATGAAAAACATAGCACCCTGTTGGAGGAAGTTGACACCGTGACCAACCACTAAGGTACGACTGGCAAATGAAGATATGCAGAAGACGAATTCCTTGTGATCTCTTCAGTTACGATTGCTACTCTAGATACTTTTCTTAGCAGGAAGAAATATTACTGTAATATAAGGAATAACTACGTTGTACATCAACTTCCGTTTATATGAAGCAAACAAATTTTAATGAATTTTGCCCATGTTAGCACAATTGGAAAGCACCAGTTAAATGTAGTGATTGGGGCTTACTTGTACCAAGGCTATATTGATTGAGCACAATTAAATTATGCATGTGAGCTGTAAAAATCTTTAAATTGTTCAGATGAAGTTTTTACGGTATGGTGCGAAGTTTTTGAGCGTTTGAGCCTCTTCAGGTCACACCCGCAAAGTCGTACACCACATAACCCACCAAACCGGCGCCAATATCGTCTCCGGAGCATTGTTATTCGCGACATGGATCGAAACGTTTTCGTGCAGCCTGAATCTTTTAACTGAGCGTACGTGACGTTTATATTATTCCTTTCCGCATCGCTATTTAGAAAAATTGGCTGGAATGATAACGGCTACCCAGTACCCACTGTCAAATGCCAAGTGATTCGTTAATATTTTGCTGCTTTGTTTCATTATAACCATACAAAATGTTGTTTTCGAAATTGTTTTTACGCAAAACACCTCTTCTAATTGTGGTTTTCTCTATTAGCGCTCTCTGCCTTTCGTTTTCATTTGTTAAATCTACTGCTGCTTTAATTCTCTTCCGATTATACTCGTATAAGTGCATTATCCAATAAACCACGCAAAAATGCGAACAAAGCATCTGGCTTCTTTTTTCCGAGAGCGCCGCATGTGCACAAGTATTGTACTATATGACAGTCCGAATCCGCTTACCGATTACGTATACGGTATACTTGCAATTCAAAGCATATCAATTTGGTTCGGGATTTATATTTTGTATGGTCTAATAAATAATTTTTATTCTATATAGTAAGTTAATAGATGACAAAGACAGCTGTAATAAATGACAAATGTCGACATTTAAAATGTGGTTTTCGACAACCGACGCTGCACTCATGGAGGAATAATACAAAAAGGTCATTACATCCGGTAGCACTACCTGGATCTTTTCTATTAACAATGATGGTGCAACACGAGAACAATTTCCAGTTAATAGTTATACGAGCAGTATTTATATAAAAGCCTTGCGCTTCAGAGTAAATCAGTTGTTTTTAGCGAGCAAATTAGTATTCGGAAGGTTGTTTTATTTTCACACAGCGAAATATTGTACAGTAATAAGCAAGTTGACCATATTCACTTTGCATAATGTACGGAAAATCGAAGCAGTGCTTTTATTACGCATCCATTTTGGTTGCCTACTTGAGTTTATCCGCAGCCGCAGGTAAGAATTCGTACCTCCTACATTTTCAGATTTATTTAGTAGCGGTATGGTAAAGATAGGATTTAATTAAATAACTGTTCTTCAATAAGCTTTAGGTCTGTCAGCGGGGTCACGTAATTATCATACCATGTGAAAACGGAAGGGGGCATTAAATTTGCTTTTGTGGAGAATTCTGCATTGTGCGATATATCAGATATAGGTATAGCCCATCACAGTGCACTAATTATTCATGATGTATTTGATGTTCCCAGAGGGAAGAGGAATTGAGCTGGTGAATCGCTGCCGAGAAACCATTTGGATCGGATCCCAAGGCAAACCCGTTCCCTTTGGAGGCGGCTTCGAACTAGGTGCCGGCCAAACCAGCGTCCAAAATATTGCCGGAAACACAGTTGCAGGTCGCATTTGGGCGCGCACCGGCTGTCGCTGGACCGGCGGACGCTTCGTATGTGAAACCGGAGACTGTGGCGGTTTTAATTGTGGAGAAAGAGGCGGCCTTCCACCTGCTACGCTAGCTGAATTCACCTTTCAAGAGGGCGGAAATAAGAACGATTTCTACGATCTCAGCAACGTCGACGGCTACAACATTGGTTTGAAAATGGAGCCGATTGGCCGCAGTGTTGATGCTCAAGACCCATTCAAATGCGGCGCTCCATCCTGCACAATGGACATGTCGGCCTGCCCGGAAGAGCTGAAGATGACCAAAGGTGGATTCACCGTATGCGCGTCCATCTGTGCGGCTATCAATAACGGTGAGCAGCGCGCAAAGTTCCGCGTATTGAGCGATATTTACGCAAATCCGGAAACGCGCGCACTGGTATGCTGCGCTTGCTGGTGTCCTCAAAGCGTGATCGGAGCGTGCAACTGTGCCAATCCCAGTAGCAAGTACTGCTGCTCGCCCTATAACAAGCCGTCACCTTTGGAAAATGGAGGAAAATGCCGAGTGGAAGAGTGGCCGCGGGCGAGCAATGGCAAGGAATACCACCGCGTCTTCAAGGATGTGTGTCCGCAAGCGTACAGCTGGCAGTTCGATGACCACAAGAGCACATATCAGTGCGCCCAACCGGATTACCGCATTATCTTTTGTCCGTAAATGATAAAGTACTTCTGGACCAGGCAAAGACTAACATACTCAAGACATGTAGCATTAATATTTTTTGCAGTTGTTCGGATTTCCGAGTGTACGCTTAAGGAAGATGAACGTTCGATATCTAGCATCACGTCGATGCAGAATTTTTCTTGATCTCTGGTTTATTGTTTGGCCCTTTCATTTATGAAATCAGTGAGCTGTATTTCATTACGATGCCGATAACATTCATATTGCGCTGTCCGCATTTCGTCGTTGATTGATGAATAATAATACCGCAAAAGAATGAAAAGATATGCACCATATTACTTTAGCTTATTTGTTTAACACTAATACTTTTACAGTTCACCAAAATTTGTAACAATACGCTAAACCGCTTCTAAAGATATACGTTGCAACTGGTTATGAGTGCGCTCCTGACTGTAGTAAGTAAGTATTGGACGAGTCCATACTGCATATGCATGTGCCATAAAGTGACATTACTACGTTGTCAAAAAGAACGTCGACACGTCAATAAACGCCGACACTCGCTAATGCAAAACTGCGAAATTCAAATGCAGTAAATCGTTTTTTAATTCAAATGCAGTAAATACATACTCGGGTGTTTTTCATTTGATCGCACAATCTGTTGAGGATACGAACATTTTTAAATACCTACCTTGGCCTTCTGTCTGTGTGATGTGTTCTTTTGTTCTGTATTTGTTTTTGCGAAAACAAGGTACAGACTTTGCATTTCGCACAAATATAGTTATATGATCATGAAGGAGCACAAGCCGGTATCACTCGTCAAAAGCTTAAACTAACAGCTTCGGATAAATTTAAGTACCGTACTTAGTTTGGTATCCGGTCTGTGTACTCATGCAACACGTTAATTTTACGATGATTATACAGTAAGTATTTACGCAAGTACCGTACAAGTTCAAAGAAATGTTGCAGGTATATTACAAATAACAATAACAACTGCCGGTAGTCTGGAGACTTAAAGTACAGTACAAACTGACGTCTGTGTATCATGATTTTTTTATCTGCTTCCGGGTAGATTCCGAACTCGCACCAACTAATGATGAGAGCTCATGCACAATAAACTACAATCATACTGCTTACATCGCTAGCTGCATTGATATCGATCAAAATTGCTGTAATTTGTTGCAAATTTGAATGAGTGAAAAGAAGTTCGTTACGGCCGTAGAAACTGCAAGCCGGTTTAATTTATATGAGTACAGTACATAAGCGTCAAAGTTTATGCAATACTTATTTGTTACTTGTGAGTACATACTTCTTCTGGATCGGAAATGAGTGGCCTACGAAAAGCTAAACCTTCCGCATATTTCTCCAAAATTGTTGCACTAGCAGTCATACCCTTCTGTTTTGTTGGTAAGTCAAATGAATACAGCATCCCATGATTTTATAAGCTTTGTGTGTTTGCTGAAAGTTGAGATTGTACGAATAACACCTTTTTAGATGGAAAGGCGGTAGAGTTTCATAATCAGTGTTCGCAGACCATTTGGGTGGGAGCGCAAGGGAACCCGTTGCCCTTTCAAGGCGGTTTTCAACTATTATCCGGTGAGACGGTCAGCCAGGATGTTACCGGTACGACTACGGGTGGGCGGTTCTGGGCGAGAACCGGATGCCGGAATACCACGGACGGAAAATTCGTCTGCGACACCGGTGACTGTGGTGCTCCGGCCAACAACTTCGGCATACACTGCGGAGGCATTGGTGGACAACCGCCGGCTACGCTAATTCAGTTTAATTTTCACGAAGAAAACGTGAAAATGTTCGACATGTATGACTTGAGCAATGTGGATGGTTTCAATGTCGGCATCAAGATGGAAGCGCTCGGGAGGGATGCAGTGGGTTTTGAGTGTGGAGCGCCGTCGTGTGCGATGAATATCAGCTTGTGTCCGCCGGAGCTGAGGATTGTTAAAGGATCATCTGTCATGTGCGCTTCCATCTGCACGGCCATACATAATGCGGAACACCGGGAAAAATTTCCTAAACTAAAGAAGATCTATGCTGATAAAAATACCGGAGCGCTTGTTTGTTGCGCGTGTTTATGTCCGTCAAATACCGCAGCGGAGTGCAACTGCAATAATCCAGTTAGTAAGCACTGCTGCTCACCAAGCAGTCGAATGGCGCCGGCCGAGCAAGGCACAAAGTGCGAGGTCGCGAAATGGCCCCGTGCCAGTAACGGGCAGGAATATCCACGGGTATTTAGAGACCAGTGTCCACAGGCTTACAGCTGGCCGTTTGATGAGCCCAGTGCGTACCATTGTAAACGAGCAGAGTACCGTGTTACATTTTGCCCTCAATGATCTGATTTAATTAAGAGATTGCTACAAAAATGTACATCTACCATGAAGATGGACGTACAATGTTTGTTTAGATTTGAGCGGATTTGATTAAAACGACGCTTTACTGGTAATAAAAATATGTTTTTACAAATGCTCCATGGTAATGTGCAGGTGCATACATGTTATACTTGAAAAAGCAAACAAATAATCATCATCCAAAAAGCGTTACCATGAAAAATCTGATCATAATTTTACCAGGAAAATTTTCCGAGCCATGAATCCGTTCACGGTAGCTCATCCACTCGATCCACTGCTTCAGGACGTTCTTGCATCAATCCTATTTGCGCCTGGGCGACTCAACTATACTAACCATAGAAGTACTGTCTTTACTTTTGTTAATTTACTGTACACTGAAAAAATCGTTGAAGATCTAAAGCATTGCCGCACTTTACAGCGAAGAGTTTTCAGATATCACTTCTGATTTACAAATAGTTGAACTATAATATAAAAATTTTGATCTTTGGCTTACACATAAACGAATTTTACTAAGGCGTGGTGGTGCATTAAAGGTCACCAAAATTTGGATTCTTTGAACATTTTTCGAGCCGGGCACGGGCACACATATTCGTTTTCAAAGATTGGCAACGCCATGCAGCTTGCATGTCGGAGTGCCTTTTTCTTCTTTTCAAGTTCGAAATGCTCCAGCGTGCCAACGCAGACACGATGGTATGGTCTCGGATTTATGACGAATATTCAATATGAAACTGGCGTAAACGGGTAAACCGAATACCTGCTCCCAACGAATCAGCAAGGATAAAAGAAGATATGCGTGCCCTGGCCGGGAACATCACCCACGCGGGAGCCACGACGAATTGTTGGGTGTGATTAAACCCCGAGAGGTTTGTATGCTGTATTATGACCTAAGGTATTCGTATAGTATGAACTATGACCTATGGCATTCGTATTTTCCCAACATGGATATCGAGATGGTTTGTCGCCCAGTTAATAAATGTGAACGATTTGCAAAACGAGTGAAAATAAAGGTAACGTTTTCGCGCCCAGTTTTGATTTATTTAATTTAGCAACCAACTACGCGTAAGTATGAGTGCACTGGCAAACATATATGGATATAACTACAGTATTATTAACAATAATCGCTTTTCCTATTCTGCATTTATTTGCAAGCGTAATATGCCGTCTGCATTGCTTGCTGTGATTGTTTTTGCACCAAAACATGAAGATTCCAGAGTGATGTCTAGAAGAAGGTTCTGTATGCGAAGAGCATAGAAAATTTGTAAAAGAAATGCCGGAAATACAGGTACCTTTATTACGTTTGGCTGGTACTGTAGTTTGGTACTTTTGATTGCGGTGTACGTTGCTTAACTTGAATTAACACATTTATTATTATCCGCTACACAAAGATTGTAAATATCTGCAAGTAAAGAATGTTATCAGCTGCTTTACTCAAAGAAGAAGTATAGAAGTCAAAAGTATAGAATTAGCCGTTGATAAATTATATTTATAGTAGTATGATATACAACAGAGCACCAATATTTTGAATTTGAATTACGGATCGAACAATACCTTCAATTTGATACAATGGAAAATTCTGCTTCACTTGCCAATTGGGAAATCATATCATGAGGGTCAATTCACACAGAAAATTTCGCGAAAAAAGATAGCACTGACGACCAGCGATCCTGGTTAGACATAATTCTGTAAATGTCGTTTCCGGTACCTGGATCCTTTCCGCTAACAAAGATTTTATCCGATTACTCATGCAGATATCACAAAATGTGTAACCTTTGATACGACTTACTTATTGCTCTACCGTACAAGCTTACAAGTTAGTACTTACGACTCTATTGCACATCCTGCTTCAGCGGCAAGGGTAGGATATAATTATACGTCAAAATGCACAGCCACAAGTATTGTTGTTTGCTTTGATAAGCAGATAACACAAAATTATTATAATACTGCTCTAGGTACTATAGTATATAATACCCAACACAAATGCTGTACGGAATACACTGTGATGGCAGTTTAGCGACTATACCATAATTATAAACAAAACCGTTTAAACTTTCTTGCATGCGACTAATTAACCTTATTAACGTTGAACATCATAATATTCACAAGAATGAGCGGAAATTTAAAGCTGTGTTTATTTGCTGCTGCAATTTGGGTATTTCTGGCCCTATCCGGCGCCGGTGAGAATTCCTGCTAATATTAGATATTTAATATGTGTTTACAACGCTGATTTAGTTGTTCACGGTATTCATTATTTCAGAGGGAAGACGAATTGAAATTGTGAATCGCTGTCGAGAAACTATTTGGATCGGCTCCCAAGGCAACCCGTTGCCCTTTGGAGGTGGCTTTGAACTGGGTGCCGGACAAACCAGCGTGCAAAATATTGCCGGGAATACAAACGCCGGTCGTATATGGGCGCGCACCGGATGTCAATGGAACAACGGGCGCTTCGTCTGCCAGACCGGTGACTGCGGCGCTCCACCTAATAACTTCGGAGTACAGTGCGGCGGCATCGGCGGACAACCACCAGCATCGCTGGCCGAGTTCACCTTTCAAGAAGGCCACAACCAGAATGATTTCTACGATCTCAGCAACGTCGACGGCTACAATATTGGCATCAAAATGGAACCGATCGGTCGCAGTGCCGACGCCAACGATCAGTACCGATGCGGCGCTCCGTCATGCACAATGGACATGTCGGCCTGTCCGGAAGAGCTGAAGATGACCAAAGGCGGGTTCACTGTATGCGCATCCATTTGTGCGGCTGTGCATAATAATGAGCAGCGAGCGCGATTCCAAAAACTACGACAGCTTTACGACAATCCGGATACACGAGCGCAGGTGTGCTGCGCGTGTTTGTGCCCGCCGAATACTGGGGAATGCAACTGCAGAAATCCTAACAGCAAATACTGCTGTTCGCCGTACAATTTGCCGTCTCCGCTGGAAAATGGAGGAAAATGCCGTGTGGAAGACTGGCCGCGTGCGAGCAATGGCAAGGAGTACCACCGCGTCTTCAAGGATGTGTGTCCGCAAGCGTACAGCTGGCAGTTCGATGACCACAAGAGCACATATCAGTGCGCCCAACCAGATTACCGCATCACCTTTTGCCCATAATTGTGGTGCGCTCCATATTTATAATTGAGATAGACCTTCAATCAGAATACTGGAATACGCTTCGTGAATGGATTTGCAGGCAGTTCTCAACTGATTAATGTGAATAGTTTTCAAATATTATAAAATACCTACTCTAGTACTAGTATTTAAGACTCATAATTTCTTATTTTGCTGATCATTATTTCTCTCACTATCTCTGCAGCCTGTAAGGTAACACTTCCATTGTTTTCCTCGATATTTAGATATCCCTGATCGAAATAAACGATCTACGAAATTACGAATATCCGGCCGTAGGACCGATGTGGCTTTGGTAAATCGGAAGTAATGTGCTATTCTGTTAAACAGCGAAGCACCGACGTCAATTTTTAACCTTTGCACGAACGTTTTCTGCGCGCAAATTGTGCTTACCAAAAGGAACCAGACCATGTAGTATTGTAGTGCATAAAGAATTTCACAGCGGAAGAACGTCACCCATCACTCACAAAATGATCTTCACTAAAAACAGTGCGTTGACTAATCGTATCGTAGCCGATGTAGCGGTACCCTGCCAAGGCTGACGCTACACTACTGCAGTCAAATTAACAAAAACCCGTCCATTTTTCAAACTTTAATAATATTAGCCATTTGGGTCTTTGGTCCCATGTGCGCTTTAAAACCAGAATCAACCTAACACACGGAAGATCGAAAAAAATGACAGAAACCCCATGTTGGTGGAAGAAAACGCTAAAACGATAAAACAAAGTCACAAATATAAATACGGAAGCAAATTGGCAACTATTACCATACGATCAATACTGAGCATTTACGGGCGATTACAAATCTACAGCTGCACCACATTTGACATTTACAATCGTATTCACCACTTTGTAATTATGGTCGCACGCTACACTCCCACCATTTTTCGCACTTGTTGGAACTTATCCGTCAAGAATCCCGTAACATAATCGCACGCCTTCCACGCCCCATCCATAAAACTCTCTTCCTTCTCCATGGTCGACTTCTTGACTTTCTCGAATTTGTCCTGTGCCTGATGGAGCTTTTCGTTGGCGGCTTTCTTTACGCCTTCCGCTGTTTTGCCCACACCAGCCATCTTTTCCGAGGCGTATTCCTTAGCGCTGGCCAACTTTTCATCGGCACTTTCTTTCAGATCCCCCATTTTCTCGGTGGCAGCCTTCTTCACATCGTGTGCTTTATGCTCGGCTTGCGTCCAGCGTTCCTTAGCTGATTCCTCCATATCTTCATACATTTCTTCGGCGCCTTCTTTCCAGTCTTCCAAGGTATCTTTGGTTTTGTCGTAAGCATCGCCAGCAGCCTCCTTAGCGTCATCGTATAGTTCGGATGCGCGATCTTGGAATGAATCGCACTGGATGGTGCTGATGCAGATCAATAACGCCAGAAACAGGCTCAACACGATAAACCTTATCGAAAACATTTTTAAACAAGGAAAGAGTGTGTCTGGGAGAAGGATTACACAGATGATCCCTTTCAATGCTCTAATCTAATGATAAAAAATTCTCAAATAGTTTATGTCTGAAAAGTCAGCAGAACAATTTGGCGATGAAATGAAAGCGGAGAGCTATTTATAAGCAGCCAGTAAATTCCAGTTCGCCTGCGGAATGGACGCCTGCTCGGCAAACGGGATTTGCCCAAACACGCTGCCACAAAAGATAATCAGATTTCCATTTACAGTAATTGCAATCATCCAATTCCATTAAACCTATGAGCTATGGAATTCCAAATCCGACAGCCTCATCGATTTGGAAATCTGGAATTGGAAAACATCGTTTCTCGATTTCAAAAACATCGATTACGATTTTGCCAACCGGATGCTGGACTTAGAATTTTTTTCAGCTTTTGATTTTCCAATTCCAGATTCCATTACACGCCCTGTAATGGACTTTTCCATATAACTTACTGGTATTGGCCTTAACCTGGCGTGCTCGCCATACTGTATGTGGAAATCTGGCAGTTTGCGTTGTTGTTGACGTTAGTAGAAGTAGAAACTAGAATTTTTTTGAAGAACGAAACCCGTTTATTTCTTCGAGTTGCAGCATCTTTTTTGTTTTATTCTGATTTTGTACTTGTGCCCGCTGAGGGGCTAAAGTCCTTCAAGTGTTTATGATCGGGCCGTTGAATGATGGAGTCCTCGATGTTTACGTCTTCTGGCCCGTGCTGGGGTTCTTGCCGTTGAGTAACAGCTGTATCTTTCCGCAACCCGAAGCTACCGTTCCATGTGTTGAACAAAAGTCTAAAATTTACTTCTGCCACTGTAACTTACAGTGGGATCCATAACGGTCGACTGCGTCCCAAAATCCGAAGTTCCCCGAACACGGTACGTTTTTTACGTTACACTTTGTACAGCAGCACTGTAATAAATAATGAATTGTTCGGCTGTGTCACAGCCCAAAATAATTTTTGGAAATTTCGTGGTATTGATGTAAGTACTTGTTACTATTGGTTTCAGTTTGGTGCAGATACAATGGAAGCTTTTTTTGTGTTTGCGGATTCTGTCGTCAGGCGGGCCAATAGGCTCTTGGATACTGCAGATAGGGATCAAGACGGCATTGAAGGAGCACTGGCGCAGATTGAATATTTAACTGGGTAAGCTGTAAAAATCCCATAAAATTGCAGTTAACCTAATTTGATTCTGCCACTTTTATTTTGCTGTTTTTCAGTTACACACGGGATATATGCGAAAACTTACCTAACGAAGTGACGGGAGATGCTCAGCAGTTGTTCGACGTTTTGCGAAACTGTTCAGAGGGCTTGCATCAGCTACTGCGGGAAGACGAAAATGGGTCGGATTATTTCTATGAAATGAAAGGCGGCACTAATAAATACGGAAAAATTTGTATTCCGGATAACGAACTCTGTGAAATGCGATGCGAAGGCTTCACAGTTAGGGAAATTGCTGGGTTCTTTGGAGTTACGACACGTACGATCGAGCGCAGGCTGGCTGAATACAATTTAAATCACAAGGTAAATTTTAATGCTAGCAAATATTTTAACGGTAGCGTCTTATTTGTATTAGCATGGTCAAGTAAAATAAGCTATTGTGAGTGCAGTAATATTTCCAAATTTTATCAGCGCGGAAAAAAAGTGTTTTGCGGTTTTTATCGTAGTACAGCGATATATCCGACGATGACTTGGACATTGCCGTGCAGGAAATACTCAGTTCGTTTGTGAATGTTGGATATCGTTTCGTATGTGGTCAGTTAAAGAGTGCTGGATTGTATGTCCAGCGAGCTAGGATTCTTTCATCTCTGCGACGCTTGGACCCTTATGGTGTTGCTAATCGGTTTTTCAACTTGGTCACTCGTCGTAAATATTCCAACCCTGGTCCGAACGCGTTGTGGCACATGGATGGTAATCACAAACTGGTGCGGTGGGGATTTGTTATTCATGGAATTATCGACGGATTCTCCAGGCTGATCATTTCACTTGTGGTTGCCACGAATAACCGTGCTAGCACAGTACAAGAAGCCTTTTTGAACGGAGCGGGGGCGTGTGGAGTCCCATCTCGAGTGAGAAGCGACTGCGGAGGTAGGTTTATATACATTATTCTAAACTAGTGGACCCCGCGCAAATTGCCCGGAGTAGAGAGGGTAGTAGAGATTAGCGTAGAGATAGATAAGAGAGAGATTAGCGGAGTAGTAGAGATTAGCGGCTGATAACTGCACGAACTAAATATATTATGGAGACCTACTCAATTACAATACATATTTTCGTTAATAATACCAAGATCATAATAAATACGTGCTTATCAGTAGTCAGTGTTAATGAACAGCCAGCCGAACAACCAAAAACAATTCAAATGCTCTAAATGGCGCGGTGGCATCATTTAGAGCATTTAAAAATAAATTAATAATTTGACCGCTCCGTTCACCACTTTTTATTGCCTTCCATCGTACTCGTATATCTGTACGCAAACAATTTGGAAACTATTTGGAAACTATCTGTACTTGTACTCGTACTGCTTCTCCCTCCATTCATTACTTTTATTGACTCGTCCAACGGTCTAAGTCAAAATTCCCTTCGCTTGATATTTATTTGCTTTCGCCACACTCGCTTGTTTTCAGAATATTTCTGTACTGTACATTCACTCTCATTTCCAAGATATTTCTATAGTATATGTTTTGTAAATGTTCGGAATATGCGCTACTTTAAACAGTTGGACAAAATACCAATTATGTAGGCGCGCAGTGAATTTTTGGACAAAGAATATGGAATAATTTTTGAAATTCAGAAGAATTTATTGCTCGAACTATAAGAATAATAATTTCTGGGATTTAGGTGTGTTTACAATAATAACGCGTACATCTTTTCAAACAAAGCCAAATCATTATGCAGGAAATATACTGCAAAGTGTTTTCCCACGTCGGACCATGAGGGACGGCAAAAGGCGAAAACCGAAAAGGTATTTTACCGGGTGAATAGTACGCCATAAGTGAGTCAATAACGCAATAATTAGTGCACGGGGAGACCGTAGTGAGCCAAACGAAAGGCAGTAAAAGTTTGTAACAGAATGGTCACCTTTACTTTTAGCTTTCAGTTTTCCAGGTCTACTTGTGCTTCGTGATTCCGTGGCGCCTCGGTGAAATACTGTAGCGTAGATCCGGTGAAATTTTCACCAGCAAGTACAAAAGCCCGAATTTACACAATGTATGCGTTTAGGTTGTGCAAGTTTGGTTTTGCTGTTCCACGGAAGGACGAAGAACTACGCAGAATGTCTAACTTGTTGTTCCGCGAGCTCCGCTCGTGTCGTGTCATGGCCGTCACCTGGCGGCGAAACAATCAAATTGGGTAACATGAGGTTTAAAACCCGAACGCAACATAGCTAGCAGAAGTTTCCACTCTTACAAAAACTGAACATAACAAACACAAAATTTCCCGGCTCTTTCAGATTTAGCTTGTAGCCATTTCCAATTTCCCACAAATTCACAATGCGAAACTTATGCAGCCGCTGCACAAATTTCATAACGGGAATAGTTGTCAGATTACTATGTGCAATTTTTTACAGTACGTTTTATAAAAACCTCCAGAGATGGCAGCTGGACAGTGGACAAACTTTAAAGTTTAAACGTGTTCCTTTTAACTTCAAAAATTTAAACGCAAATTATTAATTAAACGAAACTTAACTAGAAACGGGATAATGTGTTGCTAGCTGAAGCCGTACGTTTTCGCCATAGTACGGTAAAGTCGGCAGGCTATCGAACGGTACATACTACATAGACATTCAAGTTTGGTTGGACGTGTCAATGACTTAGACCCTGACATACACAAACTTTGTGCACCTTCCTATTCTTTTATATAGATAGATAGATTAAAAAGTAATTCAGCCATGACTAATATAAAATCTTTTGTTACATTAACTGCTTTAACTCTTATGATTCTAATTAAAGTATTATTGATATACAGGTGAAAATTTTGGAGTTGCAAGATGGATGGAGCATTACATGGGGCCTGATCGAGGCAGTATTATTATGGGTCCGTCCGTCCATAATCAAAGAATTGAGAGACTCTGGAGAGATTTGGGACGTGTGGTTATAAAACTTTTCCGGTCGGTTTTCATACACATGGAGAATACAGGCATTCTGGATGTTTCCTGTGCGCGCGACATGATGATACTGCATCTTGTGTACCAGCAAAGAATTCAAGAAAAACTTGGCCAGTTTATCGAATTTTTCAATAACCATAAAATGCGAACCGAGCACGAAAAGACGCCTAGGCAGCTACTTATATTAGGATGTCGCGAGAAGGGACTGCACGGATTTTCACTGGATCAGGTTCTTTCAGCAGACAATGTTTTGCCTGAAGCAGATGTTGATGTTGCGGAAAATTTTCCGGAGTATATCAGAAATCATGCCTCGCACTCAAGAGATTCAGTACCGGTATTCGACATCATCAGCAGTTTTCCGACTGAGGCGCAGCTGATTTTGGATAGTATAGACGTTATGGCCGATGATGGCATCTATGGAATTGACGTATTTCAGGCTGCAAAAGATTTAGTGCGGTTTAGTTTTGGTTAAAGGTACGAATTCTTAAAAATCTATTTTTGAAATTCGGTACTGACACGCGTGCTTTTTAGAGATTTTATTTTTGTATTTATTGAATATATTTCTCGTTAATTTACAGCAAAAAACGGAAACTCACAGAGATTTCCCGATGGTGCCTTTGTCTGAATTCTAATCATTATTCATATTAGAGTCAGGAGTGTTAACGTGTTGTCAAGAGTCAAGAGTGTTAACGTGGCTTTTGTGCATTCCGATCTGGGCGTCGGTGGTTCGGCGTTTCGTGGTGGACGCTGCTGTGGCACTGTAGAGCGAAAGCAATTCCATCCGCTTCCTCAGTGTTGACCATGAACCCTCTCAATGTTTTCCGGAAACCCGCGACGGCACTCCGAAAATCTGTTTCGTGTGTGCCTGGCTACCGCGGTCTTTAGGCGGACGACTGAACGCGCTTTTCGCCTATCTGCGCTGGCTGCGTATGGTCGTCTCATCGGCTGCAGTGGTTGGCAGTATGATGTCATGTTCTGTGGTCAGGTGTGAACCTGCTTTTCCGTGCTGAAGTGGAGCGAAAAGCCGGTAATCTTCTACTGCCACTTCCCTGATATGCTCCTGACGCAGCGGGCTTTGTGGTTAAAGCGACTGTATCGGGCTCTCATCGACTGGCTGGAAGAGTGGACGACGGGAAAAGCCTCGATGGGAAGGCGGGAGTATCCAGGTTCACAGTAAATTCACAGGTAATTCTCAATTTCTAATTATCATCAGGTTTCTCCCTTATCTTAGATTCTGTTTTCGATGAGTGTTATACGCTACCGACTGCTCAGCGGTCGTGGAGGTTTTGACAGCCAGCCAAAACAAACGATAGTACTGGCTAATTTACTGGCTGCTGTCGTTGGTATTGGCACCGTATTTTTAAGGAAATGATCTTTTTCCTTAAGTTTAAAAACTAAATTTTTTGCCACATAATTTCACGGCAGTAAAGTTATTGAATTTAAATTGCACGTTAGCAATACACAACTAACCGTTGAACCACCAGATTTTATCTTATCAAGTATTTAAAACTAAAGTAAAGTTGGAAAGTAATACAGTACTGAATGAACTTTTTCTGTATAGAGTGAAGAGGCTGTGGTGCCGATTTTGCGGCACAACATCCGACTGTCCGATAACAAGGAAGGCGTGATTGTCCCTAGCCCACCCAGCCGTCCACGTGCCTCTTGTCGCTCCTTGCGACGAAGTCGCTCTGCCGGATATTCTCATTGCCCTGGAAGTCCTGGCGGAGCATACGCGGCGTGAGGATAAACCACAGGCCAGTTTTTTTTCCCGCGCCCATATTCTTTACGAAGGCACACTGACACACCTGGACGACAGCACGCGCACGGTGTCCCTCTATAATGGTAACCCGGAAAACGCTTTTATCCATTCGGGGATCAGTTGGCGCCTACTGTGTTGGTATACTTTGCAGTAGTGCGCTATCTTGGTGCTGATTTGCTTGAACTTTCGGTTTTGAGCTTTTTCTGTCGGCTTTGAATTTCTGATAATTATGATGCAGCTCTGGAAAGTCACTGAAAGTGAACGAAAAAAAAAATTAACCATAAAAAATATAACTGGTGTTCTCTTAAGTCGAACTCAACATTGTTTTCGTTTTTCATACTCCTGACCAGTCCATAATGTTGGGAAAACTGATTTGTAACGAAATACCGCACAACGACAATTGCTGCGATAATTTTATTGTTACCAAATAGCGGCAAACTTAGTTAAACAGTCCAAAAACCGAAAAAGTTTCATCAGTTCGTCCGCACATTTCACATGGTGCCATAACTTATCCAAAAAGGAAAAGGTAAGAAGTATCAACATTCCAGAAAAAGCCCCACAATCGAATTCGAAGCAAATTACCTCCAAAAAAGCAGCACTAAACCAAACCTGTCAGCTTTTCGCCCAGTAAGCGAAAGTGCCGAAAATCGAAACAAAACAGGGGTGCGCAAAAAGCATACACACAAACCAAAGCAACAAAATATGTACTGCCGATGCCGGCATGTTTACACACCACCATCCTACTCGCTATCCAAATCCTAGCTGGACGAAATCCAAATTCAAATGATTATTCCACCCAAATCAGGTATAAAAAGTAATCCGCAGCTTCTCCCTCCATACAGCCGTCCAGTTACAGTTACCGCATAACAAACCCTGAAAACAGCAGCGATTTACAATGACACTACTTAGTTGTTTTATTTTAAATCAAAGGTCATTTTTATACGCCCGCGTTCTATGATTTCTGGCGCGTAGTCAGGTAAAGGTTAAGTTCCATTGGTTTATGGACGTCTTGAGTTCCCATGTTAATTTTATTGTAGAAAAATTATTATTATGGATTTGATTAACAAATAAACACCCATCGCACCCCGCTAACATAATTTTCGGGCGTTTAGCAGAGTTAACTATGCGTCCGGAGTGTTTCCGGACGCATAGCATTTTCATAAATTAAGTTATGTGACTTATTGTTGAATTACAGGTGTTAAAAATCCAAATAGTTATAGATAAAAATTTAAATTCCTTTACACGTTGTTCATTTGATCTGGAAAACAGTTCTATTAATCAGCGAATCGTTTTGGCTTCTATCACGCATATACAACTGCTATGCAACTAATATTGTTTAACGCAGTCCACTTAACTCAATTTTAGCCAAGCTGGAAACTTCCTTGAAGGGGATGATCCATCGTATCCAGACACTCCCGAATCAATTCCAGCAGTTTCTCTTTGCTCGGACAGGCCAAGGGAAGAAGCAGGGTATTATTACACGTTCCGGCCGTCGGTCGTCGCAAAAAACGTCCATCGTTGCTAAAAAGGATCTGAATCTTTGGAGATGCCGGCACTGAATGCGAGCCTGTGATAAATCGGAGCAACTTTCGACGGTCGGAGCAGGAGAGGTCATCTTTGATGATATCGTCGAGCCAGGCGGCGAGCACGACCTCATCGGCCGAAGCTTCATCGTAATCCACAGCGATAAATTGCTCCAACAGGTCGTTTCCCATCAATACTGAATTGTACAGCGCATCTTCCATTATCTTCCAATTTGGCAGCAGTGTTTTCAATTCCTGAAAGATGCGACAATAAGGAAACGCTTATTCGAAAATGAATGAAAATTATTTCTCATTTTCTATTATTATTTTCTTATTTTTTATTATTTATCATTTCTCACCTTAATAAAACCACCAGCTAAGAAACCTTCGTACACGTAGCGGAGATTTCCAACTCGCTTGCCTACCAGTTCGTACTCAGCAATGTACTGACAGAACGTTTCCCGGCTGTTTTTCATCAGCTCCCTACACTGTAAAATACTCTGCGATTATATTCAGTTGCACTAACCAAAAATTCACTATTACTACCGGGAAAGTTGGATTATTTTCCGCCCATTGTTTCAGCATCGGCTCTTGACGCATAGTTAAATCTCCAGACCCCGATAAAATGCGCTCGATCATATCTCCCACGCCCTTATCGAAATGGAACACCTCATTCAGTTCAAGGGGTAAACCTAGCATGCTTCGCAGAACGCTGCTGGACAGCCAGTCGGGATACGAGGCACCACGCATCACTGCTTCGCGCAACATAAAACCAGAAGCCCTTAAGACAGCGCGCCCTTCTTCGGTAACAATGGGAACATGTGTGTACAGCACCACCAGATTTATTTCCACGAAAAGGGGCTCGTTAATATCCGGGAATTTATAATAGCGAGCATCTTGCCAATAGCGGGATCCGAATTCTTTGTAAGGGCCATCGGCATCGACCGCACTGAAAATAAAAAACCGCAATAGAAAAATATTTATTGTATGTTCATAAGCAGATACACAATACAAAATTCCATTTTTAATCTTTAACAAAAATGCCGTGCGGACTTTAAAAATTCCAGCTTACCCATCCATTCGGACTTGAAACCGTCCCGTATTAGCAAGGTCATCACCATGCGCACAGTAGAAATTGCTGAAATTTTCCACATTTTTCTCCGGAAGCCACGCGTATACGAACTGTGACTTGACCATCGGATACTCGTGTGTCATTTTAACGGAAAATTGCTCACGCATATCCTTAACCGTCAAGTACTGATTTTCAGGTTCCGGAAGATCTCGTATTGCAAATCTTTTCTTTAACGTGGGATCTGAACTTTCCGCATCGTCTTTAGTGGATAATAAAGGCAGAATTTCTTTTACGGACGGCGTTTCAAGGGGTTCTACATCACTGTCGTCTGAGAAGTTCAGTGTTACAATCTCTGATCGGTTTCGCGGGCCTTTCGCTGGGATCCGAACACCCGCAAAGCGAACTGGGCGGTGATCTCGCTCCGGTGACGACGGTGGAGTGTCCAGGTCGACAACAGTGTTACGTCGCTTGCCAACTGTGAAGCCGTGGGATCCACGGCCGCCAAAGCTGGAAAAGTCTCCTTCATCATCCGCGCGGGCAGTTGAGCGAAGGCCGGATGTACTGGCCTGCTGGTCATCTCGGCGGTTGTTTTCTCGCTGAACCGCTTCTGAAAATCAAGAAATAATGTGTCTGTGCAGTGCAGCTTCTACACTGTGGCCTTATTGACTGCATGGTATTTCATCAAGCTTCACAAATTCAGCTGATTGTACGTCTCGGATACCTTCGATATTTTCCAGTGGTAATTCCTCAACGGTCATCCCTCGAGCCTAAAACCGGAAGCAACAAATTAAAAACTAAAAATTAAAGGATAATTAATTTCATATTTTAGTGAATTATCTTTGCTGTTTTAAAAAAATTAAGATCTATACCTCAGCAAATGTTTCTGCTATATCGCGCGCTACCGTGATGACCCCGTCATTCATTGCAATGAAAATGTGACGATAAACATCGCCAACCTCCGTTTCAGAAATCCTGCAAATAAAAAAATTACCATTGTAGCATTGTGGCCCGACGTTCTTCCCGAAAAACTAAATAAATACATTTCTTGCTTTTCCCACGCCCGGTGATCAACAACATTTGCCGCGTACAGCCAGTATCCTTTCTTTTTCCCCTTTTCAGTGCGCGACAAAAGTGTCCAAGGCCGGCCTTGCAGACGATCCACAAAAAGCTGAGAAATGCTCTGCATGATGTGATCTTGCGTTAGCTTATCAAATTCAATTAACCGAATGAGTCCCATATGCTCCATCAGCTCCAGTTCAAGCTGATGTTCGCTGCAAAATTTTAAATACTTAATCGTTTTTTACTTACTAAGCTAAGCAATAAAGTTAAGCTGACAATAACTGATAATTTGTGGCGAAATCATGTTAATGCAAAACTACGGAAAAGCGTACTTTTTCGATTTTGGAGGCGGAACCACATTTTTGTTCCTTTTTCGAAACAAATACACGCGGAAATTGTATGTATTCTCGAGTTGGGGCTCTTTAATGGGATCCGGTGGCGCTTGTGCATTGAATGCTGGCGACCGATGACTGGCTAAGTTCGGGCGCTTTGCAGTACTTCGTCCACCGGTCGTCGCAGCCCATCGCCCAGCTGACCCAATAATTGGAAACGACGGAGAGCCACCCAGTGCAACACATCTGCTTCCGCTGGGAAACCGGCTCCCATATCCGACACCTCCGCTTCCGCCGGGAAACCGGACCCCATGTCCAACACCTCCGCTTCCGCCGGGAAACCGGACCCCATGCTCAACACCTCCGCTTCCGCCGAGAAACCGGAGCCCTTGTCCAACAACGCCGCTTCCACCGGGAAGCTGATTTCCTGACCCAGCACCGACCCCGGCGCGGTAATTCATCGGCCCACTATGTGGAGCATGCGCAGATGGCTGTCTGTGGGTATTGCTTAAAGCACGAAATCCAGACTCACTGCCAGCTTCTTCTGTCGCAACCAGACTACAAAGCGAAAGCTCATAAATATACAGTGCAAAATTTTATACAACAATGAATTAAAAAATTACTCGTTCATAATCACTTTAAACGAGACAATAGTAAAATCCGAGTAACCACTGCTGTACTCTCACCGGTAAATATCATGCCAAAAACCTTTGATCTAAGCCGCAGCTCTTTTACTCACTGGCAGGTTTTACAAACTAATTTTAACCACCACTGCAAGCAAATTTTAATAATTATTAATTACCGAATTTTGATATTTCACCTGTTTTCTGGCAACTGATCGATGCTTTGCGGAGATGTGACAATCGCCGGATTGCCGTTCACACATTGGTCCGGTTCATTTCTGTTGCGTCCAGAGTGGCTGTCTACATGATGCCGCAAATGATCTTCCCAGTTACTTAAATGATGTATTGCCAAGTAATGACCGCAACCGTTACGTCCAGAACAGTTCGCATTGCCCAACGCCCATGAAAAATTCAGTTCTGTAGGAGATCGAATAGTGCAATGGCAGTCAGAGAAATTACACTTATACTCATACTGCAATAGACTCGCCATTATTTTTGCTGAGAAACTTCAGTTCATCGCAAAAGCGACTAGTATAATATCTCCGCTAATAAACTGCAGAAAAATGCGTCAGTTCTAACAAATTTTAATAGCAATTGCCTGCGACTGAAATTGAAACTAACCGTCCAGACGTCCAGTGCACTCTGCTCCCATCGGCAATTAGAACAATTGTGGCAAAGACTTACCAGTTCAGCACGCTTGTTATGTAACAGACCAATCGGAAGCGGGTTGACTAAGAAGCGCGCCGTTAACGTTTTAACAATGGTGAAATCGTCAATGGCGACCGGCGCGGTGAGGAAGAAACTCGGCACCCTTTGATCCAACGTAGCGGCACTGGCTTTTTTGTGAAACTGAATGAAGATACTTCTTTACAATGCATAATCTACCTTGTGAAACCCAAATGTTAATTACAAATAAACATACAAGTTACAACATAGGACTTGTGTGTAATAATGTGTAGAAGTAGGAAACCTTTGTTTTGTAGTTGTTTTGCATTATTGCCAGTTGTTTTCCAACCAAGTTAACGGCTATTACGTTTAAATTCACTCTTTACTCAGCAGTCCGCATGTTTCGGAAGTCAAGTTATCATCTACAAATGCCATCATCTCCTCCTTACTTGCGCATCTATCTCAGTGCAAATATTTCATATAGTACTCTCCAGTCTTTACTAGGTAGTACGAACTGCAGCTGCAACCAAAATTCGATGAAATAAACTTAATTTAAAAATTTCCGGAAAATTATTGTAGTCGGCAAATCTTGATCACAGAAAAGATAATTTCGTAACCGGAAGGCAAAACACAACAAAACACAAATAACAATAAATAAAGATCCGAAATAAACAGAAAACACTTGTCTAAAGCAGAAAAAAGAGTAATATTCAATCGCACTGACCCAATCACGCCGACTCGGCAATACTAGGAATATCGTACTCCACTTCCACCGGAATCACACGTATAAACTCCACTCCATTCTCGTCTTCTTCCAACTTGGAAGGAATCAGCTCTGGCGTGGGTGCCACACCACCGACCTCCTCGGCAAATCCGATAATGGAAATTTTTTGTCCGCTAGCGGTGGCGTGTCCATGTCGGAGGACGCGCCAACTGGCCAACGCCAACCGGTGTGTCTCGGTCCGCAGCCGCTTCAGCGCAAGCACACAAAACACCCAGTCGCCTAGTTTATAGCCTACATACCACCATTAAAAGGTCAGTCAATTTCGACAATTTACAGGCCAAATGCTTTTTCAAAATGTACGTCAAGTGGAACAGCAATGTTGTCAACTTTAATTCTACCCTTCTTCCATTAGATGTTTCTACTATTCCTAAACTGTCCTCCTGTTGTGGACACCAAAATACGCACCTCGTTTTAGTGCCCCTCGTTTGTGTCGTCCTTGCTCGAATTAGCGCTGTTTTGTCGTCAAAAAATCCGTAAACTCTGTCATCAGGCGTTTTCGTTGCCCCGACACTTCCTAAATCAACATAATCACTGTTTTTGGACTTTCTTCTGCTGCAGTCACATCAACCCACCTTCGACGCCTTCGATGCCAGCAACCGTTCCTTAATTTCAAATTCGGATGAGTATTTATTCAGATTTTTCTTGACGTCGTTAAGCTTCTGTGCTGGGAGAATCGAATGGGCGGTTCTCGGTCGCCAGCTCAACATACCCAATCCATCCACTTTCTATTTTCGGATACAGCGACCTTAGAAGGAGTACAGAGTAAATCCATTATCTTTCTGTAAATTCAAAAAAATTTCTGGATGACGAAAACCAACATAATTTAAAGAACATCAGCACCGAAAACGGTATCAATCTGGAAAGGTCGCAAACAACAGCACTGTCTTGAAATACAGAAAGTATCATAATAAATTTACAACAACCAGTTACCGGTCAATAAGGTTCGATGTTTTTCACATGAAAACCAAACGAAGAAACAAAAAATCGCTGGTAGTGCTCAATTATTAAACAATAATAATCACCCTGTTTCCGGCATTCGAAGAGGACGTAACTGCCTGAGGAAGCGTCCTGTGGGATCCCACTGGACATCAAAGAGCAGAAAGTGTTAACGGTATCCACAAAAATTAAATACCCGACGCTTCCGCTGCAAAACATACACAGTCTCAATCAACACACTGTCAGGAATACGACTGTGCTTTAACTGGAAGCCGTGTGAAGAACGACGAACTGCCCCATAGGCGACCAAGAGATTTTCTCCACCTTGTGCCGCAGCGCTAATTTTTCTGTAACGCAATCAAACATAATTAGCACCAGAAAACTGTAAAAAAATGCAGCAAACAAAACAAATGCTAAACTACTAAATAAATGATACTAAATTACATCGCAGAAAAACTTCATAAAGTCAAGAAATAAAATGCACTTCGACTACTTGGCAAGAAATAAAATGCACTTCGACTCTTCAGAAATGTCCTAAATGTAATTTATGTAACTCTCTTGAATTGTCTCAAATTTCTGCTCATTACATAAATGCTACAAGCAGATACTTGTAATCAAAGATCTGAATGTTGCAAAAGACCTGCAACTTTTCCATGGACAAGGACTCTTGCTGACTAATTCCAGAATGACGCCTTGTCGTCCATCATAGAAATTAGCCAGTTTACTAAACCAGCAATAGTCAGCACTACTAATTTGTTGCCATCTGGTTCCAAGATAAATCCACGATGGAATCTGTAAACGCCAATAAAATTCATTCTAAGTTTTCCTGATAAATCACCGCATATTACTAAAATAAATTAACTTTAAAGTTTTCACTAATCAAAGGAAGATACTCTGTAGAGGCAAAAAGATCATCAACGTGGTTACAAAACAAAGCTGATCTTGTAAAATAAGCCCAATCAATCTGGTTTTCTAACAACCTGATACGAAAACTGGTAGTCTAAAATATCAAGTCACGTGTTAATTCTTATTTCAGTACTGAAAAATCTTGCAACGTATAAATTTATAACTTCTCAAACCGGTCCCATTCTACTGTACTCACCTTGAGTTTTAATGGATTCTACGGGGACTTCCGTTCGTTTAATTTGGGCGAAAACCTCCAGGTTGATAAAATATTCCACCGTAGTCAAACTTTGTTTCGCCTTTCTCTTGATATGGTTATAACGCTCCACTTTGACGGCCAGGTAATCGCCGTTTTTCTACCAGTAGAACTCGCAGTCCTCGACGCCGAACAGCTGTATAATGGGGATCTCCTCCATGGGCTCGTCTTTATCGGGTGGAATAAACAGAAGAATGACTGATGGCGACGGGGTTTTCATAGACCCTGAATCTCCAGAAACGTCCTGGAGATCCATGGAAACAACATAGTGGAGATTGAGAACTCGATGGATTCGACAAAACGGGACGACATAGCCAGGAGACACGAGATAGCAAGACGACACTTCAAAGGGATCGAAATCTACCATAATCAGAACTCAGATTTCTCTGAAATACAAATATCCGCAAATCTGAATAAATCCACTCAAACAGACTAAAAAATAAGAAAAAACAACCTTTTATCGTAGTTGTACTGTAAATTGCAACGCCAACGGCAACATCCAGACTTCACTATGGCGTAAACACCAGATTAGGGCCAATTCCAGTCATTTATATGGAAAAATCCATTACACTAAGTGTAATAGAATGTGGAATTGGAAAATCAAAATTTGAGAAAAATTCTAAGTCCAGCATCCGGGTTGGCAAAATCGTAATCGATGTTTTCAAAATCGACAATCGATGTTTTCCAATTCCAGATTTCCAAATCGGATGAGGCTGTCGGATTTGGAATTCCATAATGAGCAACTTCCAATACCATCCGTTTGGAACTGCTGCTTTGTTTTCGTTTCACCTGGCAGGTGATCCGCCAGTTGCCAAAAACCTTCGGTAAAATTTAATGTCAAAATCACTCAAAAATAAAAATCTAAAGTTTATTTTGTTTGTGTATGATTTTATCAGTATATTTGATATTTCCCTGGCGGCTGGCAGCACGATTGCCATTGTAATTTTATTCCAGCTATGCTTTGAATATAATTTAACATATGGCATCAGAACCCGTCCAACGTGCGCAATCCGCGACTCATCCTCTGATGTGTCTGGATTTTTCTGACTATGTTCCCGACGCACGTAGCGCTAATCTGGCCCCCATTGGCGGTTTGCCTTATCTGGTGCAGGAAAGCATCGTAGTACGCGAATTGCTGCTCGTTCTGGAGGGATACCAAGGCATCTACATCACAACGCCGCCGTTGCAGAATGAGGATACCACGCGCGATTTTAACGTGGATTCCTCGCTGGATCTGGCTTTGAAACACACGGTGGAGGAACTAATTCCTTGTGCCAGCATGTACTCGACATTAGCACAATTTGTCGACTCCGCTGGTGATCCTAAAATGGGGATGACGGTGCGCGCGTTCGCGCATGCCATTCGACAGTTTCTCAGAGACTATAAAAGTTTTATGGGTGAGACTTTTTTGGGATTTTTCAGGAAAATTTTTCTGAATTTTCATTTGTTGTGTTTTTTCATAAACAGTAGAAGTTGTTTAATAAAATATTTTCGGACTGATAAATTCATGCTTTCAGTTTTTGGAAAAAATTTACGAGGCAAGTGAGGAAGTGAAAGTTCGGAGATAAGTTTTTTCATCATTGAATTAATGTCGATTTTTTGCAGTTGAATTAGATGATGTTTTCCGGGATGGTCAGTTAACCATCCAGCGACTGCATTCCCAGATGATGCCCCTCTTTCCCGCCCTGGAAATGATGGCTGGTATTGTGCAGACGGTCACCGAGGGAAAGCTCCGCGGTGGCGCTCTGCTTTCCGCGCTGCACGATAGAGTTGTGCGCTTTTCTCCGAAAAAGGAAATTGAACAGCTTGTCTTGCACGTGGTAACTGCGACGGCGGTGCCGTTTCTGCGCATGCTCTCCAAATGGATCTATGAAGGTGTCGTGGAGGATCCTCATCGCGAATTTATGGTGTGCATTTATAATGTGGAAATTAAGCGGTCAAAACAGCAGTCGGACAAGGGGAATGTCAACACGGGAATTCATACTTGTGCGTATTGGGAAAACCGGTACAAACTGGTCCAGACGATGGTGCCTGATTTTATGGAGGAATACACAGAGAAGATTGTGTTGTGCGGAAAGTATTTGAATATTATTCGCCAGTGTGGTAAGCGTTCAACATCTGTCAGTTATGTTACTTTTTTATGCGAGATTGTGATCATTACTTATTTGCATTTTGCTGGGAATTTACTATTTATAGAATCGATAAGCTGAACGAATTTTCATTACCCTAGATTTTTTATGCAGTTTTGCTTGAGGCGAATTTAGCAGAAATTGCAAAATTATATGAAATTGAACTGACGCTTAATGGTTAGGTAGCATAAAACGCAACAAAAGTATGTTATTTTTTATTTTTAGGAGAAGAAATCTCGGTTGCTGATGCGTCCCCTCTAGCGTATAATCGCGATCCACGGCACCTTCAGATGCTCGTGGACGACGCCTTCACGATGGCCAGCGGACGACTACTGACGCTCATGATGGAGTCTGAAGATCTCATCACGAGATTGCGTTCAGTGAAGCACTTCTTCCTGCTGGATCACGACGACTTTATTGCGGAGTTCTTAAGCTTTGCTGCGCACGAATTAACCCTGCCGCTATCTGGTCAGGTTGTCACCGTCAACAAACCATTTGTTTATTCAGCCTTTGAGGACGCTCTTCGCTACAGCACTCTCTATCACGATCCGTACAAAAAAATGATGAAGTGAGTTGTATGCCGTGTTGACTGTTTCTCAAGCGACATCATGTGTGTATCTTTCAGGCCCACGTTTTCGAAATTTAACATACTACAAATTCACGCAAAGGATAGGAAGAATCATAACCAAATAAGTAAGGTCGTTAGGTATATGCAGAACATAACAGCATCAGCCGAAACGGAAGGATAGATATGGAGGTGACGTTGGTTTCTTTCTAGGTTCATCGTCATCATCGTCCTCCGACATACTTCTCGGTATGGATTCGTTCTCCATGAACTGCGAGATTCAGTTTCCTTTTTGTTTAATAATTTACGACGAGGTGGGTTCGGCTGGACAAAAAAGCGACGCGCGCATTTATATCCTGCTGCTGAATAATTCCCTGTGTTTCGATTTATAGGCTAAATTCCACTACCAAATGCTATTTAAATTGTTTTTCCGGCTGAAACTCATCGAGTATCATCTGAGTCGGTGCGGTGATTTTGCACATTTGCGGTTCTACAATCAATGGGTTAAATTTTACACCAGTATTGCTGTGTCGTAGGGTGCGGATGAATTGCAAAGATCCCATTTGTCGTCAGTACAAACCCTACTGTCTGCCCTTCGTACACCAGATGCGCGATTTCATCAACAGTTTGCAGCAGTATTTTTCTGCCGAAGTCATTGAACCCTTGTGGCACGCGATGATGCAACAGATTCGCACGGCTAAAACATTCGATGAAGTGTTTGTACTGCATAGGGAATTCATTAGCACATGCGCTAACGATTGCTTCCTTGGGGACCGTGACATCCTCAGTCAGCTGTACCGACTTCTCGATGGATGTCTCAAGTTGTCTGCCGATTTAATGGTGTGTAAATTATGAACTTTGGTTATTACTTGTTGCGGATATCATTAATTTTTCGCTTTGTTTAGGTAACATTAAAGATTTATTAAGCTAGTATTTATACGGAAACATATTTCCTCAATTTTTCTGTACTTTTTCTTCTACGCTATCCGTATTTGGTTAATTCCCATTTGATCAATCTCGGATACACAATTTCACCACAATTTTCGGAAGTTCGGATACAAAATTTTACCATACAAAATTTTTTTGGATGTTTTGCCTGCATTTGCAGCGTTTCCTTGTTATGTGAAACCTTTGATATCTGCGTATTCCAGTCGGTCAATAGCTAATTTTGTTTGATTCTAATTTTGTTCCTAGCCGTAATAAATTCTGCGCTAACAGGATCCACAATTTTTCGCCGGAGACGATTGCCTGGCCAAAATTGACAAGATGCGGGCGCGTTTCACTCATCGAATGGTCAGTCTGCTGGAGCACATGAGCAACACTTCCGAAACCCGTGAATTTGAAGGCCGACTGCTGAGCGCCATGCACCGTCTGGATTACAATATGTTCTACACGGTGAAACTAGCTGAGCGTGTCCGCGAGAAAGCCCAGTCCAATTCACATAGCTCGCATGCATCGACAGCAGCGGGCACTCTATCATCCCATTCCTCCCGTACTTCCTCCCATCAGGCGCCCGCCAGCCGTTCAGTGGCCTCTTTGGCCATTGGAACAATCTCCAGGAATTAAGCATATTCCCGAATTAGGGTCAGTTCTGTCGGCGTCGGTTGATGACAGCCGGGCTGACTGACCGGCGGATGTTGGATTTATGATCTACTTGTGCCTTTTACTAAATTAATTATAAGCGGCATGGCTGACCTTGCGTTTGCCCAGGGGCCAGCAGGAGAGCGGAGTGCATTTAATAGTGATCAGTTGATCGGTGGCACTAACACGATTAAACTGACCGGAAATGGCATGCAGCTGCGAAGCCATTTGGCCGAGAGTGGACAAGTGCATTGATTTCTCTGGGATATTGGTCACGATTTACTAATAAAACGTCCGTGCTGTCGGTTCAGTGAAGTCGCCCTTTAAATTGTTTACATTTCATGAGAATATGATATGCACAAACAGCATAATATGCGCCGGGGCAATCGACTTGCAAATGTGCTCAAAACAGTTCCCGGCAGTATTTATCGGGCTATGCATGCTAACGGCAGTTTATGCTGCCAAATGAAGCGATAATAGGTCCAGTTTAGAACTAAGTATTCATGCTGAGGATTACCAATATCGCGCGATTAAAATATGAGGTTCTAAAAAGCGCGGGATGTTCTGAATGCTACCAAAAAGTAAACGTTGACCGTGTCGTTAGTAACTCCAGTAATTTCCTTTCTGCGGTTTACATAAGGAAGAGAAGACTGCTCATATAAATCACAGGAATTATGAGATCGGATGGCCTAACTCGCAAGGTTGTTTTCTTCGTGATGGGAAGATCAGCTGTTAGTTGAAAAGATTTTACAGAATACAACAGTACAGCCTGATCGCTCGCTGACACTTTCATAAAACAGTTTCAGACATACATATCACTGCAATTTTATTCCAAAAAGCAAAAATTTGGTCAAAGTACACATCTATAATAGGTCATCTACCGAAATTTCCACTGTCTAAAAAATCCACCAGAAAAAAAGCAATCCAATTTCCATTCCAAACAGCGACATCAGAGCGCCAATAACGCGCGGCAATCCGATGAAAGTAATAAGCAACTTCAACAATAAATCAGATTAGCAAACCTCATCGTCGGCAAAAAAATTGCATTACCCCTTGAAAACAGACGACAGTCTACAACCAGCGAAAAATATCCAGAACATCTCTCTTCAACCTGTCAATCAAACTCTCAGGTTGCTGGTATACACACAAAAACCCAAAAAATCGATTAGGCATGTTAATTCTTAGTAAAAATTTCCATAAGCACCGCGCGGCTGGCAGATCTCCGGGGTCAATGCACAAGCGAACCACTTACGTAATCCAGTTTCCAGGCCCATTCACTGCACACCGCCACCCGCACACAACACACAAACAGTAGTCCCATTCTTCTCTTCCCCCGGTGTCACTTGCGGATAAACGGCGACGAACGATCACGACACTGATCCGGATTGACTTTCCGCAAATAGAATGCACCGTTGCGAATCTGCTCAAACAGCCCATTTCGCCCGCCATCACCACCGGCATGCACCGCCACGGCCGCTCTGGGGGGACCCCCCGCTACCGGGGCCACCACACTTGCCGGTCCGTTAGTTGTGCGTACAACAGCGCCATTGGAGTGTGGCACAGCGCCGTTCGGCGGCTGTTGCTTAACCGGCGCTTTAGCCCCCTGACGTAAGCGTTCCTGTAGGGCGTTAATCATCGTGGCGTGATTGTCCGTTGGTTTGGGACGAGATTGGTCCAGAGATTTCACTGGCGGTGTCGAGTACACCGGCCCATGGAGAGGAACATCGGCGTCCGTATCACAGATCGACTGGTGCAGACTAGGCGTACGACGGATGGGCAGGGGCGGCGGAGGAGGTCGGTTGAACGACTGCGGTACGCCATAGATTTGCTGACTGTGGCGGCGCAGTTGGCGCTCCTGAATCATCTGCTTCCGCATCACTAGAAGAATTACAACAACAACACTCGTTAATTTTTTGACGATCAATTTAGGGCGTGGTACTGGAATCATACTGACCTTCCGCTTGAGGGCCTTCACCGAAATACTCTGCTTTATCTTTCACACGTCGAATAGTCATGGACACCGTCACTTGTTGGGCATCGTCCAGGCGCTTATCACCAACCGACAGATCACCAGGTTTCAGATCATTCTGACCAATCCAGCAGTCCGGCGGTGGAGGCAGACAAGAGGTATCGTTCAGCAGATCCGAATTAGCATACACCACCGTGTCGTCCTTCAGCTGCGGATGGTTGTCGAGATTACATGATCGGCGAAATTCTGTAAAACAGAAACCATGAACTCATATCACTGATTAAAAACCTCGCGTCTACACTAAAACTGACTAAATATCAAATGATTCTGATGGACATAGTTCTGTGCAAACAACGACACTGTATCCAGTCAGGAAGAAAAGAGCTATTACTACCATTATTCCATGTAGCGTAAATTAAGATTAACACTTCCTGCCAATGTCTATTTAATCTACCAGTTATATGGGCTAACAAGCGTACAAATTACCATCTGGAAATCAATCTAAACATCAAACAAACAGCACATAAGCCCCAGTGCAATTACCTTTGGGCAATACAATCTGCGCCATGGACGGAAATCCCGCTGTTGGCACGGGTGGCGGAGGCACAAAGGTTTCCTGCGTCAAGGGAGGTCGCTTATGATTTCTGGCCACCTGTCGACAGGACGCTGCGTCCTCCCCGCGGCTTCCCATCAGATTCATCCCCCCGTTATAAGCGATGGTATGAGGTCGACCGGCATCCACCGCGTCCATACGGTGCTCGCGCAGCACTGACCCAAATGGCGGCACCGGCGGACGACGCAGACCGGCCGCATTATCGGAATCAGACGAAGAGATGCTAGTCGGTGATGACCATGTGCTCTTATCGCCGCCCTTCCCGCAGCCATTCTGCATCGTTGGGGTTAACAAAGAATCCTGAGCATCCTGTCAAATTATGGCTTTAATTCATACTGAAACATGTGTTGCCTTTATTCATTTAAGAACTATTCTTTCGTTCTCCTATACAGACCGAATGTCAGATTTTTATTAAGCAGTACTATAACAATCACTAAATACTCGTATAGCATTCCCACTGAAAAGATACGTCAACCATACGGTCAACTGTTATGCATTTCACGTTTCTAATAAGCGTCATAAGGATCGATTAAAAATTTGAATGTTATGTGCTATGTTTTTCTCCACCCGTATTGCACGAAAAGATACGGCTTTAAATGGTAATTAACAACTTGAAAACGTACTCTAGCAAATGTGCGTAAAATCGGACTACGGAATCAATCAATAAATCGGTTCCGGACCTGCAGTTACATAAACAAAATACAGGTAATTCGTGATTAATTTCGCAAAAACAGTTTATGAGAAAGTAATTTAGGTGAAAGCATACGTGACGCTGGCGTTTCCCACGGTAGTGCGAAAGTAGCCGTTACGAAACCTAATTTTTGGAACACAGCATGCCAATAATACTCTCAAAACGGGCAACTAATGCGAAAATCGATACCCGGCAAATCACGAAATTAACTACCACTACGACAGTTCCAGCGTACGTGAAAGACAATTTAAAAACCGTTAACCCTGTAGTTATTTGTAATTATTGACACTCAAACCGTCTGTTGAACTCGTCAGCTCAAATCAGAGTGTACAGATAGTATGTATAGAAGTAGTGTTTTCACACGGTAATTAACTTGTCTTCACCAACTAAATCAACAAAAAGAACCAAAAAAAAGTAAATTGAAAAATAATTACTATTTAATGCAGATTTCACGAAAAATTTTAAGGGATTTTTTTCAGTAAGACTGATGTTTATTTGATCAGTTCAAAGCTGCGTACATTTACTTGTGAGCCATCGGCGTGGTTGCCATGATTTTGGTCTGGATGAGAGATGAATCCCGAATCACCACTGGAAATACTGCTGAACCGAATGGAGCTGTAGTACTCATTCCGCACCGCCAAACTCAGCGGATGCAGTCGATTATCCGGATGCAAATCTTCCGAACGCGACACCGATGACCTCCGCTGTCTTGTGCCTCGCCGCTGCCCATTCACTTCCACACCCGCACCCATTCCCCCTTTTCCTTCCCCTGTTCCCAGCTCCACATCGTTGTCATTTTCCACAATCGATGATGCAATGGAAGACGGGTAATAATGCTGCTCATGGCCGTTATTGTCGCTGAAACAGCGGCGATAGGCTTTGGCGGCAGAGGGGGCCGGACAGAGGGTTTTATCCTGGAGATTAATTCCGCCATACGATGACAATGAGACGTCAGAGGAAGCATAGGAGGACGTGGAGGCATTGCTAATACTGCAGATGCTCCCGTGGCGACCGCTCAGGCTCGAGTAGGCATCGGCGTGATGGGTGGAAGCTGCCTCGCGAAAACTAATACCGTCATCCTGATTAGAGCTGCGCGAACTCACGGGCTCCTCTGGTAAGGGAGAATTTGGAGGGCTCTGTGCACAGTGGAGAGTATTATTACAAGCTCCGACAAGTAGCTACTAATCACATGCTTGCGCAATCTGGGTAAATTTAGTCATAATCGAATGTAGGCCGATCGCTCGCGATCACCAAACAAATCAAACCACTTTATGCGCGGTATTCCCCATGCACGAAGACAAAAATCAATGGACCAAGTTCACAAAATGATCACACTAAAATCTTAGCTATTTGTCTGCGTTCATATAGAAACAATAATAATCTGTAATACTAATTCAAAAATGAAGACAGCAATATGGTGCTGCAAAACCGAAAAGCTACCTACTATTCCAGAAATGCAGACTAGATAAAACGTTTCAGATATTCTCAACTATGAACGTGAAATCGCTTTGGATGATTACTTTATGAGGATAACGAGTTTTCTCCTAAACGTATTAAAATCAAGCACTTTCTGAAGTGATAAAAACCTCAGAAACGAAATTTTCTAATGGCCAATTTTAAAAATTAATCTTTCGCAGCCGTAATCAGGAAAGCAAGGAAACGTGTTGCATTAAAACAGCCAAAACCCATGCGTAGTTACCGTGTGCTAAAATATCTTAACCCAATTTTGGTGTAATTACCATATAGTTTCCCCATTGATTAGATCCAGAACTGCAGCTGCTACTGTAGTACGTCTCATTAGCCAAATGGTCCTGTAAGAGGATGTCCGTCGTGGAAACCGTGGACGAGCACGTGGCTTTGACATCTAGGATGGCTTGCAGACTGGCAGGCGGAAGTTGGAAGGGATCAGCGGAATGCTGCATCAGTGAGTCGGTAATCTCTTCCAAATGGACCATTTCACTCAGCATACTCAACTCTTCATCCTAAAAATCAACCGGAAACGACAAAATACATTTTAGCTGTCGTACATAAAAGCGACCAGTGCGATCACTGGTGATAGTATTGTATTTAAGGACAGAAATTAGCCAGCATACCAAAAAAGGTTTCAGACAGGAGACAAAGAGACACAAACGCGAGCGCTCCTCAATCATGGCTTGGCGGACGGCCTCAAACTCTTTCTCCTGTAGTTGTCGCTTCATTTCCACCAAGTCATTCCAGGCTTCCATGGCTTTACTTGAGCCGTTTCCTACAAAGAAAAGTCCTGGCTTAACTGATGTGGCCCAATTTGTAGCGGGAGCATTGGTGGCGCTAGGCTTCCCATGTCCCGCTGTAATATCCCATACAGATAGCGCATAATTGCTCATAGCTTTGTGTAATTATCTGCCCAGCTGTTTGAATTGCACTTCCGCAAGGAGCGAAATTGTTGCAAATCGTAACATACCCCTAACCCTCTCCAATCATAACATAAACAGCGTTACGCATCGCGGGACAGGGGTTAAACTTTAAAGCGAACTGCGCAAATCATGACGACCGAAATACCACTAACTGTTAAGTAATGTGAACGCTAAAGCAATAAAATACTGTGAAAGTTTTCAAGAATATTGTGAAATAGTGTTATTATTAAAATTCTGCAAATGAATAACCCATTTCCATTAATCGTGTAATAAACTACGCAAATAAATTCAAAACCGATAATAATTCGACCAATATCAATGCATAACAGCCTCTTCACATACCTTTCTTGGCCTTCTTCTGCAGACGTATTGTGTCGGTGCTGCGCTTTTTGATTTCCTGACGCCATTTTTTGTACTCTACAAGGACAAGCCCAGGGATGGCCTTAACATTGGGGTCAAAAAGCCGGTCAGTCCAGCGCATAATGCCGCTTGGATAATCAACACGAAACAGCGATTAGTGTAAACATTAAACACCACCAACTACGTGCCTTTGGCGTGCTCTTTATCCATGTACAAGCACGTTTTCTTCCAGTCCTCCATTTTTTCCTGCAGCGGAGTGACCAAACAGTCCATCAAGGCACTAAACAAACAGCAGACACCCGACATACAATTACCGCCATTGATACATTTGCTGAGGTCATTTCTGTCAGTTATAATATGTCGCACATGCTACCGCAGGCCGCTGACCGACGTAATTATTATTAGCGCCACATATATACCAGAGCAATTTTCTTACAATTTTGACTCTCTTTTACCTAGTAAATGTTTTCATCTTTGCTTCGATGCTCCGCTGACGAAGCACCATGCGTGTCAAACACTTGCCAATTTCCTTCGTTCCTCCTGTGCAAAAAATAAATTATTACAGTTTGAGAATATTAGAAACGTGGATTGTCGCTATTCCAGCGCATAGTTTACATACATATAATACAATGCAGTAATGCTATTTTCGGTGTGGTCAAGATTGTGAACCATAAGTGCCCCATGTGGAGTGGGTGCCAACGCGAGTACTAGCATACCAAAATTGCCAAGTGGACCCACTTTACTGTAGCATTCAACAACGATGCTACGGAAATGCACAACATACATCATCAAACGACCACTCTAAAAACCTCCGCAAATATTTGACATTTTAAAGTTATGGCTCGTTTTTCCTCAAATTCCACTTCGACATCGTTTAATTCCAGCCACGACCTCCCGCGATGTCAAAACAAAAATTCAGGATTTCGAACCAAGAAATATTTCGCAAGAACATCTGAATTTTTGACTGACGATTGGCTAGGTTCAGTCTTAAGCTTTTCCTACGAGTTGACGGCAACTAGTACAACTCTTCATTTTCTCATCTGCTTATTGTATTGTATTTATTTAAATTTTACGGAAGTTTACTTGGTCAGACCCAAATATGCGTCATCAAAATACGATCAGCCGTTTACCCTCGGAATTTGTAAATGCTTCGTTTCTATAAAAACTAGAAAAGCAAACATGGATAATGATCCAACAACATAACGCTTGTCCGTATTTACTGAGTTTAAACCGCAGAAATCAAAACCAGTTTTCTTGGCTACTTTCGACAGAAAACAAAATAAACCAAGTAAATGCAACGTAGTCACTGTGGTTGGCAGTTTTATTATGATACGCAACATCCATGACAAATAAACTGTCCATACTCGGACCAACCGGTGCGGTCACGCGAGAAGGGTACGAGGAAACCGTAATAACCATGAACGCATGAACGAAAACAGAATCCATCGCTTCTTTAACAAAATATTTCCAGTGCTTTTTAGGTCTAACTATGCAAACTTTTTCAAGCTATAAACCAATACCAAATCTCCATCCGCCGCTTTCCACAAAAGTCTAGAAATTTTCTTTTTCTTTCCTGTAAAAAACTGTCAAAAAATGACAAATTTCAGGCTGACTAGCTGCTGTAAACAGTCGTCCGAAAAATGCCGACCGTAAGGAAATCGATCTGTTAATTAAACTTGCAGTTATCCATCACAAGCTGACCCCAACTGCAGCTGGATAAGTGGCAGCGGAAAAAAATTAGGACAGCCTAAAAATTAGCACTCTTCCCCAACCGACCATATGGAAGCATTTTCCAATCGATGCATCATTAAAGAAGTGTGACTTTCATAGCGCTTTTTTCTGACGCCTTAATAGGCGCTATATAACCAAGCGTAACTCCGAAATCGGAGGGCGAATGAATATCGCCTTCCCACCACAACTGGTTTGTTGACAGACTGTTTGATCTCTCGTCATATCGTTTTTCTTTATTATCACATTTTCTCCAACTTCTACACGCATATAAAACGCACCCGTATCCAGTTTGACACAGATTTCTCCCTCATCATTCTCAATTTTCTCCAAACCGAACAAAAACATTACCATCCTATTAAACTGTGTAAGCCAAAGGCGTTTTGTTCGGCTCGTTTATTAGCTGCAGCGCGTCGGCTTCTGCCTTGCTCCTTTCCTACCATATGGTAAACTATTATTTGTCCAAAGCCAAAAAAAAGAGAAAATGCAGCCCAAGACGCTGCTGACCTAGAAAACACATTCACTGTTCCAAAAAATCTCCCATGCATACGACTAGGGATACGCCACAAGGAGAGCCAGCCACAAAACTCTTCACATGCACACGCTGCTATTGTGTGTGGGCTGCCGGCCCAGTTCAATGATCGAGTCGGGAACAAAAGTTAATCGATATGCATCTTTTCCGGCAGGGCACAGCGAAAGGGATGAAGCAGAACAATCTGCATGTAAAACCCAAGCTTTTTCTAAAAGCTTCCGATATATATCGTAAGAGAGGAAGAATAAGATGCAATTTATATTTGAGTTAATACACAATTTTGCCGCTGGTGACGCTGTACAAGTTTATCTGTACAGCCAAGCTTTCGTGATTTACAATCTTACATTAATTATTTACGTTGTAACAGTTAATAAAAACTAAAACTAGACAAAGCTATAGCAAAAAAAAAGTTCAACTGATAATTTGTAAGCGATGAAAAAAAATCCGAACCACAGCAAAATTTAATGTCCTCTCGGGAAACCGCTTTTTACTGAGCAGTCATATTTGTAGCATAATCTTCCGGCCACTTTGCGAAATGAAAAGCCGGTCGGATATAGAGCATCCCCTAATGTGTTTGCATCTGGAGTACAGAACCCCTTACAACATCCAGATGCATCTGTCAACGCTGAAGAAATCCGTGAAGATGGTAATGAAACTGCCAGTCTCACGATCATACATGCCGTGCGCTGGACAATTCTAAATACTTGTTTATACAGTCGTTCAAAAGCGGTACAAGCCCGAACCAGCTTCTTGATGATATCCCATCATCAATTCGTGCTGGACCGGCCTGCTCGCCTTCCGCTCCCTTTCATACCAATCAAATACAACATTTCGCAACACTTTTATTAGCAACTACAGCTGTGGCCAGAGGAGCGGTCATGTTGGTGTTCATGGTTAATCTTAACACGCTGACCACGCCATTGCGTGGTAGATTGCTGATTAATGCCATCTGACCACACTTGAAGGGCGTTGGAAGCGGCGAAAATAAACTGAAAATAATTAAAGCTACAAACACCGGTCCTAATAGACTGCCCGCAAACCAAGCGGAAGAATAATTCTCACAATGCGACTCGGACTGCTACCATATTTCCAGCAGAGTTGAGACGAAGTGTGTGACATTTCATTGCCGGCAACCACAACAGCACTTCGACAGCTGATTACTAGCCGAAAAATTATCAATTTTTTATTTCAGTGTAACTTTCTAGTAGGGTATAAACGCTTACAAATTATAGAATAAAAATTCTAACGACATATCAAACCCTATACACAGCTATCAATCATCATAAAACCATTTAGCAATAACCGCGAAATTTTTCATTTGGCAAAAACCATTCTGGTCCTCAGTGGAAGCGCAAAGCGTGATGCAATTAGTACTAAAAGCGCTTCCTCAGCCATCAACGCTCTAATCTGATCACGATCTACGGTAATTCAGTGCACGAGCGGCTAATCCGCTAGCAAAACCTTAATCCATATTCTTCGCTTTTACGTAACAATTTCCGGTCTGCAACGGTACGTAAAAGCCGTTTCTTTATCCCCAAGCATCCATTAAAAGATTTCTTTATGCTTCTTACCACAAAACATGTTCTTCAAGGCAGTGACAATAAAAAACCCACAATTTTAAACAATTTCCGGTCAAATCCCAGCCCAACGGGATTCCGTGCACTCCTGATGACCTAGTTTCGTCCAGGTACTGAGCTCTAAGAAAACTTGCACACAAGAATACCATATTGCATAAACTGACACCTGCAAATAAATTCTCGACCGCTTTTAAATTTTCAATACTACCTAGTGCCTGTTAAAGTTGTGTTTCACAGAAAATTTTCATACATTCCTGATCTCATTGGATCTATTTGGGTATATCTTCAAATTCACCATCCGAAAAATGCCTCACTAGAATTTTCTTCCAGTACTACCGTACTTTCATCTATAGTACTGAAGGCGCATTTAAAATGCCGACCACACATAGTGGGCCATTATGTCTTTTTACATTCTACGGGTAGCGAATTTTTCAAATAATAACTCCAAAAATCTTTTCAGTCAATAAGAAAGACTCCCTGTCATGCGGCATTGAACCTGCCACTGCCGGAAACCACAAAGGAACACACTGTCGACAAATCGCACGGAAAACGATCAAAACAAAACCCCAAACTCAAACATACAAGCCCGGGTCAATCGCCGACTGGAAAGTTTTTATACCCATAAACTCGTTAAATTCCGCCGCTCTCGTCGGCTCTCTAATCACCCCTTTTCCTTATCAATACACACAGCCAGCAATCATCGCGTCTACCCACTCCACGACCATATATCGCATAAAAACATGACGGGCGAGTTTTAATGTAACTGAACAAAATGACCAGCAGCTGGAAGACGCGTACAGTCGCTTATTTACCTCGTGCATTAGTAGCCACATCTGCCACACGCTGGAACGCGTCGAGAAAGGCCGAACTAGCCACAAGTGTCGATCTAGTTGAGTAAACAGACAGAAAAAACTCAGCATAATTTTAACAAGTGAAGGACTCTGATCAGATCTAATGATCGCCAGCCAAGATACACTTGATTTTTCTACGCTTGCTCGGCGGTGAATCAACATAACTTTGTATAATGTAGTTTACAAATTATTTAACGCCAAACGTTTATCACTTACTTGAGCGCCGTATGTAGTCGACCAGACTTCGTCAAAAAATCCTCCCAAACGAACGTACTCCCCTGCAATAAAATTATCAATGATGTTATTTGCGAACTTCTGATTACAGGCACTGACAGCGCTTTATAACGGGTTAAAATCGTAAACTGCTTAACAGCTTTGTTCAAATCGAAAAACTGATTCTCTACAGCGGTGCAGTTCGTTGAGTGTTGCTAAAATATTCAGCTCTGGGAAACATCGACGGCGATGTTACAAGTTACAACTTCCCAACATGCGTGTCCAAGTAAAGAGTTCATCAGTTTTATTTTTTTTCATTGAATTCCCAAAATTAATAACCTTAGGTTGTGAGCAGGGGACAAGCAGCTTGCAGAAGGCCCGGCATCCACAGAAACCATACCATGCCACCGACTATGTATGAACACACTACACAGTACACACAGTAGTGATATAGGCGATATTTTCGGGTAAACTTTGTTTAAATAGCAAAAATATTATTACAGGAAAAACGTAATGCTACGATTCGGTATTTTGGAAAAAACTGGATTACAGCTCACGTGCGGCTTTTTTTTGCGGAGACGTAAGAGCTCACCTAGATTGACAAGTGCTAATCTCCTGTATCAGTTTTCACACAATCGTAGTCGATTATGCAAATGAGGGGAAAACAAATCACAATCAATCAACTTCAGTAATCACATTCATCCTCTTGTCAGCAAGCCCTCCAAAACTTCAACATCTTTAAAAAAAACTGCCAACCGCAAGCATATCAAATTTATATACTACTTTTCTACATTTCTATGCACAGAGAACACGACTGAAACGAGCACAATACTAGCAACATAAAATTAAAAACTACGTATTCCAAACCAAACACTGTCCGATTCTACTACCGGGTGGCTGAACAAAATGGCTTTCTCGTTTACCATGGTGCGCTGGGTTCGCCCATTATCTGATTAACGTCGTCTTAGTTTCACTGGAAAGAGCAAAGTTTTGCAGCATACAAAAGTAAAGTTAAACTAACATTAAAGAAAATCTTATCGGTTTTATAAATTATTTTTAAAATTATGGTGGGGTTGAAAGCTGGCCCGGAATAAAAAACCCGAGTTTACTAATTTCCGACTAAAAATTCTTGTTATTGAACTGAACAATTTACTGTATGTCGCGTTGCTATTTCGGATAAAGGGGATGTTTCTTGTTTTTTTACTGTAAAAAATTGCGATATCATAGTGGCCGTGTTTGAACAAGAGGCGGTAGAACTGAGAGCCCCCACATTTTGTTCTCGTGAAATCTGTAAGCAGACGTTTTGAATGAAGTTTTCTCACCAACCCTTCACCTGTTTATCGGGCTAAAACTTGCTTCTGTTTGAGCTATGTCTTCACTACATTTATCATCAAAACAATTAATTTTTGTTGCAGCCTGTCAAGCAGCAAAAACTTCTAACGAAAACACCCAAAATGCTAGATTAAAAAACCGGCATTTTTTGGGAAAAGTACTGTGTAACTTCCCCAGCACGTTCACCATGCCAACAACTTTTTTTCTGTTGAAACATAAAGTCCTTCTCTAGACAAAACAGTTATAGAAATTCGAATGATTTGAACGGGACAGAATTGCCACTCAATTTCGTGTTTGGCAACCGGGGCCAAAATAAATTTTGACAAGACTTTACTTGTCACCTTTGTATACAAGCAGGGTTTAATTTTCTACAAAACAATTCAATGATTTTGGTAGATGACAAAATTGTCTATCGAACGATGCTAAGCTGCTTAGTGTACGATGAACGGCTCGAGAGAACCAAACAAAAAACGGAGAAGGCCATTTTCTTCAGCCACCCGGTACATAGTAGCCAGTAGATCTATGGTAAACTGCAGGAATATAAAAATTATCTAAAAGTCGATAACTTATCAAAAATAACCACACATAATTATATTACTCGCTAGTCGCTGCAGGCTTGCAGTTTTCAAAATAATACAACAGTCTGCAAACAACAAAACCGAAACACCAAGTGCAACGTTAGCTTGTGTCGTGATTAACAGAAAAATCTGTATTAAACAGAATTTCAATAAAATAAAAAACCGATCAGTGTTTTCTTGGAACAAAGTGCATTTGTATATTTGATTTGATTAAGGCGACCACCTGCCAGGAGTAATAACAGTTAAGTACCCTCGGAATACAACTCAGCATTAAATTAACTTTTACTTTCCGGCCACATTACACAACCACAACAAGCAGCTGTTCAACCGATTTATCTTTTTTATCACGTTATTATGCTTTCACAGCGGTTCCACTCATGTCGGTTACGCAAAAAAACGAGAACCAATCCGTCAATATTGTGCTCCAACAGTTAGCTTTACAGTTTTCCCGGCAGTACTAACACACGGCAAAACGCAAATCAAGTGAACGAAGCAGCAACGATTACCATAGAGCACTAAAGCAAACAATGGTGAATTTATTAAGAGCTTCTCAAATAACCTGACAAAGAATAATCACTCTCACGGCCCTATCGACTGGAACCGATGGGGATCTCCATGCGACGTCCATGTGGACATATATACTAACGTCGCTCACAGTTCTCTTTGAAAAGCGTATGGCGGAACTGAAATGTCTGGCAAGAAAGTTGCATCAGACAATCAAAACCAGCTGAACACATATGATTTCCGAATTTTTACTACGTCTTGTACATTTTTATTATTCCGACGACTAAACGAAGAACGGCATTTGCACCATAAAAATCTGCTCCTAATCTTCAAACGACTCGAAGTCGTAAAAATGGGCCAAGGTTATCGAAAATTAAAGTGCGCCGCAGCTAGCATTGATTTGGGAATCAACGAGCGAAAACAAACATTAAATTTAAAACGAGAACGAACGAGATATTAACTGTATTAAGAGCGCGCCCCCTGCGTATGAAGTGAAACAATAGCAATAAACTTTGTGTATACCAACTAATCCATAATTCACCGTCAATAAGCAACCAATAATGATTGTCTGTCAAACCTTGCAAACTATGTGCCCTGCAGGCAGGAATAAATTACTATTCAAAACCATCATAATACGTCCGAACTGGACACTAGCTGTTTCTCATGCACTTGAGTTGACTTGACAAATGAACCGGTCGGAAAAAGCTTCGCAGTGGAAAATTAAAAAAGAACTACTGTTAATTACTACCAAAGACATTTATGTGTTGATGTCTGCGGCACTTGAAGTGAAAAATCGCACCTGAGCGCTTCACAGCGTTAGATAATCATTGATTGTGTTTGTTACCTTCATGTCATTCATGATCTGCTGAAACAGTCCAGCCAAGGCCACATTGCAGTGATCTTCAGATCCATTGGCCATCGCAAAGCCCAGCGCCGTGGACGAGCACGTGGAAGCAGCGGCGCCTGTGCCAGTCGTCGTACTGCCGCTGTTCCCTCCATGATGCAGCAGGCCCGGACCGGCGTCACGCGACGGATAACCGGAAGTGGCCGTAGCCATCACTTCCAATCAACAATACTTCATAAAACCCAGCACACCGAGCTGCAATAATTTCCAATCCCTGACCAGGGCTTATAGTGATTTGGACACACGTGCCGTGTTAATTAACGCCAATATTCATCCACTCTAACCCCTGGAACATACATGTTTCGTGACAAACATCACGGCCATCGCTACAAAAGCTGGCTATTATCAAAATATGATAATTCTATGGTTTGTTACGGGTTGCATTTGCAAAAGGATCATTATCCCAGTCAGTCGTCAGCACTCACATGTACAGGTTCTAACAGAAAGTCAAAAACTCTAAAATCTACAGTAAAATCCGATTTCAAAATTCAACACCAGATGAAATGCAGCATCTTGTAATAACTCCTAACGGTTTTTATGATAACGTCTTAAATAGAATTAACACGGGAATGTCCAACTTTTGCTCACATAACAAGGAAATCGACTGGAGAGTGCCAGACAAAACATCGTTAAGCAGATCGTCTGGAAGGTGTTCAACGCTTGCCCTCTTACGATTATCTTACCAGCAATTCAATTGAGAAGGCGACAAGTAATATGAATCACACAAAAGAACGCCGATAACAACATCCTTTCCGAAAGCACGATATTAATTCCGATACGCATAAATGCGGAGTCTTTTCACAAGTCGCGGCAGCAAAATCTGATTTTAGAACCGATGATGTCGACTTGCAATTGCCAGATAGGGATCGGTATGCTTAACAATTGTAGCCAGACGCTAATAAGGATGGCAGGATCAATGCACTTGGCAGGGCCCACAAACGCATGCGCCACAGCTGGTTCACAAACAGTGCCGTCAACAAAAACTAGGCTTTCCCGCTTTTCCAGCCCTGATTCTTTGACCCAGTATATACAACACACAACCTTCCACAAACCGCACACACATGCACACGCAATTTTTACAAATGCCAGGGAAACATGTGAATTTTACGTCAAACAATCGATAAACGGGTTAGTGCTGTAAAGGGACCTTCGAATGAATGCCGAATACGAAAACTGGCACAACTGAAACTGTAGCCCTGACTGGCCGGCCTTCTCCAGTGCTATGCGTACGGCACTACGGCGTAGCTTATCTCATCCAATCAGAGCAAGAATCAACAAAGCTTCGGTCAGTTGAGCTCCACCCACCTTGTTCGCCGTTCGCCGTCATAATTATATGCGATACAAAATAATTATTATATGCAATATTTTCGGTAGTTTTGAAGTACTGTATGTGTTTTACCATGTTTATGACATTTCACAAGCAATGCATGGAAGTGATGGAACTGAAAAAATTCAAAAATTTATATTTCAAGAAAAAGTTAAAACCTTCAACTCATTTTTTATAATTTCATAGCCTACAGGCTCGTTTTCTTTATGAATTTAATCTTTTCCGGGCAGAATTTACGTACTGTATTCTGTCCCTTAATATCGTGTAAATACAGTACAATAATAATAATATCTATACGTTTTCGTAATAAAATAAATTTATCTTTTTTTAAGTGATTTATAGTACAGCTTTATTATGAAAATTAATAATATTTAATAGAAATAACGGCTTGTATAACAAAACGTTCATTTTACTAAATATGTACAGCAGATATCGGTCATGCCGAAAATCTTTGAAAAAGAACCCGTAAAACACAACAAGAGGTTTGAGCAATCAAAATTCAGAGGTGTAGTCGTGTAGACTGTAGAGTATTTTGTAGATTGTGAAAGTTTTCAAACTTCAGCAAAATTCGATCGCAGTACAGAATACTCAATGCCGCTGCATCTTTCGTCGATCTTTTTAAATGCGGTAAACGTTGCTGAAACTGCTACTCATACGTCGCGTAGTGCGTAGTGACCGTACTGCAGTCTCCAGTTGTATTTATTTTTATTGTTGACCTTATTTATTGTACGCTATCGCATCTGCCGTTTTAAGGGCCGTTAAGTGCAGTGATCCGATAAAACATAGATAACGTTATGAATAATCAACTTCTCAGTTTATGTTAATACGGCGACTGTGCAAAGTTTCAAACGGTTCACAGTCGAGTACTTTATGGCGCAGCTAGCAGTTTATGAGTTATGGGCCTTGCAACACATCCGATCCCGACTGTGGTCTTGTATACTTACGAGTGACGTAATACGAGTATAGTTATGTAGCCACGGATCTGCATTTGGGCATTTGATAATGTACGAGTAAATAGTAATGTGTAATTTTTAGTTTTTTATTGACAAAAAATAGTGGTAGTACAAAGGTGCAGCATCGTTGAAATTTCTTTCTAAACAATTAAAAGGAGGTTCTTTGATAACAAATTAACAATATTACATTATATGTAAAACAAAAGCCGAAGGAAGCTTTCGGTTCCATGACTTCGATTTGTTCAATGGGCTCTTGTGCGCATGCACTGTCAAAAGTGGACAAATGACCCCTGGTATAGACAAACAAGAACATACTGATTATTATTCAGCATTTATGCATAAACAAATTGCTGTACACCAAACACACGTTCATCGTTACTCTTACCGTTACCGGTGAGCTAAAATCGTCCCGACGATCTCACATGTCAGACACCGGTATTTTTCCATCGACAGTCACACGAATGATGCGCATTCTTGAGAACAACCGTCCTTTCCGGATGCATCCCAGCGTTGCACTGGTGGCGCTGGACGTTGTCGTCATCTTAGCGGGATTTAGTGCTTTTATCTGTGTTTTAGCAGCATTCTCTGGGAACTACATCGACGATGAAAATGTATTCCATGCGGTTGTTATGTTTTGTACTTTCTTTCTGAAATCCACATCGTCCATCTTGGACGTTTGTGGTGTTTGGCACTTTTGGCTCGATTCGAAGACCATTCACGTGATGGTGAGTGCTTTGTACTCTGTAAGTCTGCATGGATACCGCTTGCAGCGTCTTCCAGCGCGACAACAAAATAAAACATAGACTTGCTACAATATTATAAATTCATTGCTAAATTGAATTCGTAATGTTTGTGTACTCGTAATTTTAAATAAAGTTTGTATACATGTGGTTTCTGTATGAAATACAGTTCAAAAAAATATTCCAAAATATATCACGGAGCGAAGCGATTATAAATAATTAAGTGCGGCTAGAATCTTATGTAAGCAATACTTGTATCCTTTATTATGCATTTTAAGTGCATAACAATAAACGCTGACAAGACTCCTTTGATTTTAAAAGTATGAAAAATGCTGTGTATCAAGTCGAAGTCGGTTACAAGCTGCATCCAACTTTTTCGATTCATCTAATTTTGAGGGAACGCAGAGCACAGACTTGCGAGTGCGTCAGCGGTTATTTCTCCATTTTTATATATAGTATATATTTTAGCAAAAACTTTAATGTGAATCAAAATTTCAACAAAGCAGTAGAGAACCTGTCATCTTGAACACTGTACAGATTTTGCAACAATGCGTTATAACAAAGCTGTTACAGTAACAATTTAACATTATACGGTACATCGCACTCCGCACAATCGCAGTTGACAACTTGACATAATCAGCCAACTTGCCCCTACGTAATTTCATTTTAAGATACTAGAGTAGTATCTTGCGTTACTGCGGGAAGCATCGTCCTCATATCACATAAAATTCAGTTGTTACTCAATAATGATGTATTTCATTTAATTGTGGTGGGAATTACAGAATGTTGTGGAGTGTTTTACCGGCACATTCTTCGCTCTAATATCTTCCTCCGTAGCCACAGGATTTTACGTAAAACGCTGGGAGATCCCATGTGAACTTCAACGAGGACGCGGAAATTTCCAAAAATGCGACTGCTTGGTAGCCAGTATCGTGAGTCTAAAATCAGGAAAAATTAGACCTTTCTACCTTGCAGCTAAATATATGTCGTTTAAAACAACGGCTGTTACAATGGAATAACACTGCAAAATAAAAACAAGACTGCCCTGTACGTTAAAATGATGGGCACTCGTTTTTCTTGTTGCAGGTTTTGGGATTTCTGGCTGCTACCGTTCTGTTTTTAAAAGGTTACATCTGTTTTAAACGGGCCAGATCTGCAGACAGCGACTGCAACGCTGCTAGTATTTTGTTTTCTGATAAGTAGAGTCTAAATTTTAATCCTGCATTACTATGACTACTGTCGACCGAAATGAACTATAATTATTTGCGTGGCGCGTGTACCGAAAATTATTAAAATACTCCCACTGACTGAGCTGTTCGTCATGGCACTATCGAGTGCTTTTTAGACATATGTGGTCATTTGAACTCATTTCGTAGTATGTTTCGACTCGAGCGAGTAAAACCGTACTCTACAACGATAATATATATTAAACTGGACTTGTGAGAAATCTGGTACGTACGTATCTGAAATACCTGGACTTCCGTCAGCCAGTCGATCTAAGGTCATCTGTTGTAACGGTATACCAGATGAATTACGAAAGGCTGCAGCGTAAGAATTTGAACGTTGCAGACGTTTATTACAACTAACAGTACAATTTTAACATGGGTCTTGGTCAGAACAAAATTATTAAATGACTTTCCAATACCGGCAGCACGTAACTTAAATAGCTCGATTTTGTCGTAATTTATTGTATAAATGCATTTATATGCAGGTACCACGAGTCCACCACGATAACGACCACAACACCTTGCTAGTATCGACAAATCATCTAATTAAATATGTGCCGATTAGCGGATCTCTCGATCTCGTACGAAGCTTATCTGTAAAATATGTGGATTATCATTAATGTGGTTATCTTGCAATAATTAATAACCTCCGACAACTTTCTGTCAATTTACACCTCGCTGTGTCGATTATAAGCGAAGATTTGTACTCCTAATCTCTACGCTCGCGAAGTACCGAAAGCGAAATAATGGTATTTCAGAGTACTTTGTAAAACTGCCCTTCCGAATAAATGCATTCCACGCTAAATTGTTTATTTTGCTCTTAAAAATATTCAACCACAATCAACCAAGTTCATAGTTAACGCATTTCAAATGCCAACCACTGCGAAGAATCTGTACAAGGAAATAAGCCGAATCTCTTGTTGGGACACTTACGGTAGAACGAAGGTACTGATATTCCTGTTCTCCTTCAGTGCACTAGTTTCGTTTTTCATTGCATACGAAACCGATGACGAGGATGCTTCCATATCCGGCCAAGAAACATACCGCAACATCAAACGTGCCAATGGAAATCTGCTTATTGTCAGCCTTCTCATGACGTTCACTATCAATGCGATTCTGACGGGGATACATTTAGGAGAATGGTTTTTTCCTAATAAATTTCTCACTAAAGAGGGCCGCTTGATCACATCGAGCTGGACATTCCGATTTTCGGTAAGACTCCTAAAATATTTGTACCATAATGCAGTGTGACAAAGAAAATGCAACTGGTTGCAAAGCACAGCTTCCAAAGGCAAATTCAACGGTGCAGAGTACAAACATAAATACCACATAGTTGTAGACTTGTAGTTAAATTACTAATATCTATATGTATAGATATATAAAATGATTTGTGTAGTATACTACACAAATCATATAATTATAGTATTATATATATTAGTGTGATTTACAATGTATTTTATTACATAATGTAATACGTTATGAGTTTGTAATACTTACTTTATGTAGCACTTCCACTGCTGATTTAGATCACCTTTCCCAAGATCTGCTGACATTGAAATTGAAGGCTTATAATTTGACGCATATCATACAGTCAAGTGTCAACTGGCAGTTACCTAACCGCAATTTGGTGTATTGTCGAAGTGATTCCTCAAACGCTGTATAAAATAGTTTTAGTTATTTGTAAACAAAATTGAGAAAACAATTAAATAATAATCTTTATCACAGGAAGTCTCGTATGGTTTGATATCGTCCGTATTGCTCCTCGGAAGTGCTTGCAGTTTGCTTTTTACGGATAACTCATTGGTTTACCACTGCACAAAATGGTGGTTCTGCACATCGACTACTTCAGCGCTGGTAACATATTTATTTCTTGATATTTTTAAAGAGTTCTTACTAACCATTATTGTCTTTAGTTTTTCAGCTTCTTTACAGTCGTAACTACGATGGCAAACTTTCTCATCGGATTGTGCGAGACCTTAAAGGATGTGAAAACTCTAGAGTACCATTTTGGGAAATCGTACGTGGCTGTTCCCGTGGACAATGACCGGATGATCAGCGAAGTTTGAGCAGCTTTAATACCGCCATGAAAGAAAGAACGTATTCTGATCGGCTTATCACTGGATGTCTGTATCTATCTATATTAAATGTACATACATACATTGTCAGTTCAATATTTTAACGTTCGTATTGATTCTGTATACAATTACTGAGCTCCGTAGAAAAAAACCAGCCAACTGAAACTGGTACCGGTACGTAAAAATTAATACTACCTACATTTTTAGTTTTTTATTCTTACAACATCCCAAAAAAATGGTAAGAGCTGCAACATAGGAGCATAAAACGACCATATAGTGGCGTATTGTACATCGTATAATTCGATTTTCAAGGCTGTCAGTTGCACACTGCAACATATTAATATGCTATTAAATTTTATTAAACTACAGCAACGCAGTTTCGAAAAACTTGTTTTCTTGTCAATAAACTTAAACTGAGTAAATTGTGAGCTTAAAAACGTAAAACCATTGGTCCACTGCCCATTGACACAAACTTACAAACCAATTTCCAAAAGGCAACCCACAGTATCAAATTTAACATTGTTGTACTACAGTAATTTCATAAGAAGAGCATTACTTATAATATTTTGTTAAAACTTTCGGACGATCGATCATCCATTATTCGGTACAAACGGCTTGCCATAAACACAAATAAAAGCGCTAAATTTTCGCTCTCTGTTCGGTTTCCTACATCTCGGTACATGCTACGTAAGCAAGGCAGCCAATCAGCATCCATGCAGATCTGCCTTCCACCAATCACGGTAAGTTTACTTGATACCAACCATTCATTAATTTCCATACAAAAAGCCCGCCAATAAACACAAGCGTTCATATGATCCAAACCGGACAGAAGACAGCAGCCAAAATCAACTCGTAATGGACGCCATATTTGAGTTCGAAATTCGACCCCGGTATCTAACCCCCGAAAGGTGATAAGACAAAGAATGCGCTACTAATTAACTTACCGATCTCTGATATCAGATCAAACGATGCGCTACTGGTTACCGATGATAAAACATCAACTGGATAATTAAGAATCACACAGTCTCAAACCATACAGGCAAATCACTGCGGTTTAGACACCAAAGCAGGCTGTGATATGCAAAAGATGCCTTCGCCATAGAACAACAATTCTGCAATGTTCAAGCTGATAATCAGCTGACATCTACAAAAATTGATCCACAGGAAGTACATCATAAGCCGCATTTCACCAGTCTCTTTGGCGATTAAACATCGCAGCGCAGCCTTTTTACCGACGCCAGATCCGGTGCACGAGATCGCATCAATGACTTCAAATCGACGAGGATTCAGATGCTTCGGTTTGCCGGTTTAAACATATCGATCAGCCGCAATATAATAAGTAACTATTATGATGCGTTAACAGCGAGTAGCAGATATAAACAAATCAGCCGTTCAAAACATGCCTTAAATCAAGCCGATAAGATTCTCTTCAAATGCGAACAAAACCATAACCATTACCTATTATTCATAAATGTCGACGCGGTTACGGTGCCTGAGAATGCAAAACCATAACAATCTTCGTCGGAATGTGCGATCTTGAAAACAGGAGGAGAATCGAATAATTTCCGGATAGTTTCAATATCCAGCTAACTAAACAAGAACAAATAATAACAACAGGTGCTCGCTCATGAACACGACACGGAACAATGGGAGATGCATCTCGCTAGTTCCAAGGCCGAACACCACGCCTGCAAATTCATATTTCACACCCATATATAATACGATCATGCACAGTATGTAAAACAAGTCAAACAACAGCTTACAATATAACTCTTCAAAAAAGAAAAAACTATAAAGAAAACTATGGATTATTTATCAGATTCAAGCCTAAAACACAACCTCGAATTACACTGATGAGACTACGGAAGATTGAAAACTTCTGGAGGTTCAACAGCTTTGGTTACAACAATCACAAAATCAATCCGCTCTGGAACTGCTGTATCTCCACAGAAGCAAAATACGAAAACTAAAAAAACACAATTATCGAAGAATTTGAACTTATCGAAGATCTGGAAATTTCAGGAGTTTAGACTTAGAAAGTAGCTTACTGCTTACAGCTTACACTTCGGAAATGGGAAATCAAGAAAATGAATGGATGCTAGACGTTGACCATCAAGAATGAGACGCATTCCAACTGACTGGTGTGGCTGCGCTTTCTCTTTTACAGCTGTCCAACGCTGTTTATGCACGCAGCACACTTCGAAAAGATGCCATTGCACTCTGATCTCGTGAGCGGTGGGGTAGCGCAATGAGGATCGATCAGGACCGGCAGAAGGAGATACGATTCGGCTCCCGCCCAGAGAGACAGTCGATAAATAAAAAAGCTGCAGAGGGCTAGTAAATGGCTTTACCTCGTCTCTCGACGCCCAAATACAGCGCATTTTAACTACTGAACTCCGGTCTGGGGGGAGGCGCCTAAATCTGAAAGACCGGCCCAGACGGACGTGATACCTAGCCGAGACCCGAAAGATGGCGCCAGGGTCCAACGGAACAAAACGACGTCAGCCAGAACGTGGGAAATTCACATGCGTTTTCCGCTGTTTCGGCTGTTCCCGCAAACTACTCCTGGAAACCTAAACGTTCAGTAGTGACCTCAGTACATTCCCTTTAATGGTACCCCCTTTAATATAACGCTATTAATATTCCCTTTGACAGAGCGCATCGTGAGAAAAGAACTGCAGAAGAAAGACTACTCTAGAGTGTCTAGAGCATAAACATTCATAAGGTGAGAATCAGTGCATTTGCGATACTCACTGACTCACTGTCATTAATTTTCCTCTTCGCAACGACTTTGTTGCTGTGGCCTGTGGGCCGTGGCGCCTCTTTTGCACCCCTAACTCTGGGACCACAATGTCATCAACAAAATTTCGGCTTCGCTTCTGCTTTTTTTTTGCTCTGCGGCGGTCGCTGTTTGCATTCTGAGGAAACCCTACACTTGGGGTGCAGACAAATCTTGTGAAGAGGCAATTATTTCTTATTTTAATTTCGGCCACTCTCGCTGATTAAAAAGAAACAAAAAAGAAGACAAAAGGAAGCTGCCTAATGACAAAAATAGGAATAAGTTCATGAGGCGCGACCGCGGACCGACCGACCACTTTCGAATTATTTCTGTCATATACTGTAGCAATTAATTGTTGTGACAAATTTCGTCCAATATCCTTATGCTTATGGTTGGTTTTTTCTTACCGGCCATATTTTTTAGTATAGGTGTGGCGGTTTCCTACCATCAGGACGGTACAGGCCTACGCTACCCGCTCGGTACTCGGTAGTCGTTAATAATGTTATAAATCTGATAAGTACCTCTAGTGCGCTCTACTGCATATTTCCGCGGCTTTGTACTCGTAAAACTACCTGGTGGTTGTTAATCACGTCACTTGCAAGTCTACGACAACGACAAACACGCCATATCAAAGGCATAACCATAAAGGGAACAAACATACGCCGCTTCGCTCTGCTCCGTTCATACAAAGCGGAGCAAAGCGAAGCGGCGTAGGTATGTTGGTTCCCTCTATGGCATATTAAACTTGATTTGGACATTGCAACTGGGTAAAAGCTCTAGCTGCGGACACGGGTCACCTGTGCAATCTTCCCATTGTTGCTGCTAATAAGTAAAACTGCCCCCATACACACAAAACAGGGTGGACGTATTTCTCCAGCATCTCATCCCATCGACACATTCCGATGGAGTGAACACCACATCGACACCAGGGCCACCCTAATGGTTTTTGCAATTGCGGCTGGACATTGGTCACCCAAGTAGTCCAGTCTCGCAAATACCTCTCTTGTGTTTACCGGAATTAGCTTTGCTCATTCTATTTTACTGATTTGTTTTCGACCGCGAATTCACGATATTTTGTTTTCTTATCCAGCTGCAAAACAACAGTTACTGTTAATTACGCACCCAGTCTAGGTGTCGTAAAATTTCCTCTTCCGATCGATTGTGGCAAAGGAAAATGTTTTTATTGACTTTCCGGTGCCAGTTTTTCAAAACTTCGCTAAAGTAAACATAAACTGGAATAACAGTGAGTTACAGTTACACAGCAACATCTACAAACAGAGGCGGTCGGATAACAGAAAGATTTCGTTTAAATTCACCGCCGGTACGTTGGTGCTGTTCCTCGCTGGATTTCTATGCTGACCCGTTGACGAAAATATTCTTTTCTGCTGCTCGCGTTTCGCCTGTTTCCTTTCTATTGCAAATGGCGAGTAGCAACAAACACAAGTACGAGTAGCAGTTATTATAATAAGCAGGTAAGCGACAATTTCCTCTGTTCGCATTGGTTGCCCAGATTCGTTAATCGCTTATGTTCAAATAAATATTTAAGAGGACTTGTGAACTCATTAAGTCAACAAGAATTTTGTATTTTGGAGTAGAAGAATGCCACAATTTGCAAATTAAACGAAACTGAAAAAATTTCTTAGTGCCGAAAACTGATTTGTGGTTAGAAACTTCATATTCGTACTTATGGTTAGACGCTGACTTCGTAACAGATGATTATTTTATCATTTATGTATGTACTCACAGACTACAGTCAAACTTATAAATAAGTATAATGCGCGGACAATCAAAACCCGGGCAAATTTCATGCAAATTTGCTGATGGATTAATTTTTTTCGAAGCTTAAATGTAGTAATTATGTGGTATAAAAACGGAATAGGAGGCTTCTTTTTCTTTTGCATACTTTACAACACTACATATCTATATACATGTATATCCATATATGGAGTATGGAACGGTCGACGAACAGCCAGTATTACTAACAATAACATATTTATATATTCATATTATTCTAGCTTGATTTGCAGAGCTGAACTGCTTTATAATAGTATGATCACGGATTCACGGTGGTGTGATATTGAAATCATAAACCATTGTATTGTAGTAATTAATGTATTGAGAAATAAGTACTACTCGGTACGTACTGTAACTGGTTTACTAATTTTTTCCTGCTCACACGTCGGTATTCCAAGCAGCACGTAATCTAAGCAGTAAGTACTTAGTTATGGTACTTAATGTATTTAGTTATATTTCATAAAATAAGTCTGCCTGCGTATAGGTGCGATTGTAGTAGATTTTTACTGTACCAGTACGAGACCTTCACTTCAATATTTACGACAAACTTAAGATTTACTTTAACTGGAGTTGTGACACACTACTCTGTATAGTTCAAGAGCTGTTTTTTCGAAAGACTTACTAGTACTAGTACTTTCAGTTTCAGACAAAATCGGACTAGGTAAGCAAAGTATAGTTTGCAATTAATTAAACTTCTGTAGAAATGCACAAGCATTGTCTTCTCCTCTCGTAGTGCATCTGTACTCGTATAATTGTACTTGTAAACATAATAATTATGTTTATCGTAATTATTACGATTAGTAAGAACGATTATACCAGCCGTGCTTGACCCGTATGTTGCTCGAAAAGTTTTGGTACGGTTTTAAAGGTCAATGCATTGTATGCCGTCATTAAGCAGCTTTCATCGCACAAAGTAATAAGTCAAATAACGTACCATTATTGCCGAAATATTAATAAATATGTTGTATTTCATCCTGCCTTTGCAGAAAACTTATTGCGAAGCGCCGCCGGCGCATGAATCATAAGCCTCAAAGCACATTGTTGACATGAAACTGCAGACTATTGCATATCGCTCATCACTACTAGACTTCCATGCCAATATAATGTGGGTGCCGTTCGGCGAATTTCGAAGGACACCGAAAACGTAAACGTCCCAGGAAGCACGCTGCGAGAGCGTGTTCATGCGATTGTGGTAGCTCGAAGTTATCGTAAATGTCGCACATTCTGCCTTAAACCATACACCAGTTGACTTATATATAAGTAATCGGAAAATAGACATCGATCTCATTGTTTCACAGATTTCATAATACGTAATTTACACGGAGCTGCATGCCGAGCTTATCTTGCTATCTTTTCGAAAGATCATATTGCATTATTAATTCTTTGGTGAAGCGGGTGTAGAGTTTCGGTCTGTATTTCGGATTCTGGACATATCTTTCGTAAGCCAATATGCCGGTCATGGATTCCGCACGAGGACGGATACCACTAAACAGAACCGGTAGCGGTGTCGAAGAATTACAGCAGTATTCACCACAGTCCGTTTTCTATGCTATGGCGAAATTTAATTCAGCTGTGGCGGATATGGAACATAATGTTCTTGTTCCCTGCCGACTGCAGGATGTTAACGATCCCATGATGGGTGATCTGCATGCCGCATATAAACTACTGGCTAAGACAAAAGTGGATCTGCTGTTCGGCGATGACTCCAAAAAGCTGAGCATGCGCCGACCGGGGAAGGCATCACGGTTAGGAATTGTAGTAGAGAATGGTGAGGGATCCAAAACACCACTGCAGCGGTCGTTGTCGATGAACTCTAATCCGGCATCCAATGCCAGCAGTCTGCCGGAAACACCACTCGACCAGAATTCGCCACCGAATAATGATCCCGCAGTGGGAAATGTGGATCCTACTATGATGATTTTGCATGCTAGTCTCAATCAGGTAAATGCTCGAATCAAGTAAAACCTAAATTGTTATCTTTTGCTGAGTACGCATCGCAAGTTCGCAACACGAGGTACTTGCACTGACGGCAGATCTGAATTTATTTTAATCTTGTGGTTACTTGTGGCCGTATTCTAAATTTCTAATAAAACACAAACAATGTTACTGGCTCAATATAACGCCCGATAGGTTCTGTAGAAGTATACCCGTTAGAAAATATTTAAATCTTAATATTTTTATGAATGTACTATTTTTGTTATGGATGCTTTACTTCGGTATGTCTGCTCACGGTCAGATATAAGTACGTGCATGTATGTAACGAAAAATAACAAATTCTACTTGTAATTACAAAATAATAAGCAATTGCAAACCAAAATAACAATCAATTCCAGTATCAAATAATTTATTGAGTAAGCTGCAGATTTTTCTGTTTGCAGAATCTGAAAAATTTGTATTCAATCTTGGAACAAATGACCGAGGCCGCCAACCGGGTAACGACGCTGTACCTTAATGAAGTTGGCGGTAGCCAGCAGCTCTGAATATCCGGAACCAGGCCACGGCTTTGCAACATTTATTTGATCATCTGAGGATTTTTTTCTCACAAAGATGCCGCTAGTAGGAATTGAAAGCAACGTAGCATTTATCTGGAAATGAAATTATTTGTAACATCTATGGATAGCACTTCCCAAAGATGTCTTTGGTAAACCTCGCATGATTTTCTGCGGCAATTGTCGGCACAACATGCACAACAAAAGTTTCGACATTTTAAGGATCATGTTTAAATATTATTGTCGATATTGTGCATTGCCATCTTTGTATTTATGTACAATGCTATTGAAATTTAAATTAATTTAAGAGTTTTATTTCGTTTTGTTCTGTGAGTTGCTATATAAATAACATACGCAATAATGTCTTTTCTGTCTGACAGTGTATGGCTTGTCCTATATTCTCACAATATTTGATGCTGCTAAAATTCCGTGATGAACCGTGGTCTCATAAAGATTTAATGAATCAACTGTGACATGTTTCCTAATTATGGTACCGGTATTTTTCTTTCCTGTAATTATCCTGGTCTGCTTTGTAATCAATTCAGACGTTTATTTCTCCATGCGCGCTATTTTCTCTTTTTTATGTCTGCAACAATATGCATGTATTTATTACGGAACTATTTAATTAGGGAATTTTTTTTCTTTCTTTTTGGCAGTAAGTATGTAGCAAGTAAAGTAAATATTATGTACAGTAATTTGGGCAAGTACTGCACGCAAACTATAGCTAAGACTAGTAAGCTTTCAGTTATTCGATTGGGCAAATGTACTGGAGCATTAATCTATGAATAACGATTTACGGTAAAAACTGTTGGATTAGAACTATAAATATGCCACGGACACTTATAATTTGCAGTTTTGTCCAATTCGACAATTAAACTTTCAGTTCCGTCTATGATCCATGGCCATTACCCACTGGTAAACACAGAATTACTCAAACCCAGCATCAGCCATGCTCTGTAAGCGTGAAGTTTTTTTTTGCCAAAAACCGCAAATTAATATTGCCATGGGATACGTTAGTCACAAAGTCGAGCCGGCATGTTAAAAAAATTGGAACATTACACCATCAAAACCACCGCATAGCACAGAGTAGTGTTCGAAGCAGGTTTGGCAGTTGTTACTCGTTAACGTTAACGATGCACGGTGACTTATTTATATGTCGATGTATGGCGGCGGTACACCAATATCCATTAATATCAATCAGTGCCAGAATATATTGTTGTATTAGAGTAGCGCCATGAATTGTATTTAATTCATTTCCGGAGCGTAGCGTTTTTTTCTCAATGAAAAAAATTATTACAACTGCAGAAGTCCTAGCAGTTAGGATTTGGATAACATTAATGTACCCGTTACCCGTAATAAAATTAATTTCCGATGCTTCTTCATCATTATTAGCTCGACTGCTGACTCAGGCCAAATGCCGGCGACATTGGCCATGGAAGACGTTGCTTAATAGGCTTTCAGCACAATCTAGAGATTAACTGCAGTTACAGCATCTCCATTTAAAAATTAAAACAATAGCGGATTTTTCCAAACAACAATGTATTTTTAAAGGTGAAACGTTTGGTTCCCTAAAACTGTTCGATAGATGAATCAGCTGCCTTTTGGTCAAGATCTGGCTGTTTATTTTAGCCGGAAGTAGTCCGTGACCTGTACTTGACGGGTGAATCACGAATGCTGGTTATTGTTTTGAACAAAACAAACTTCTCAGTTGCCAAAATCATCGTTGATTAATGTGCAATTCGTATTTTCTGATTTTTGGTGTCTGAAAGTTGACGCATCCTGAAGTGACCGACCAGACAACTGCTACGCATTTGCTGGCAGAACCGGAAAGCGTAGAAGCGGATATTACGTTGTTTCCGGTAGAAAGCGGCTTTTATCAGGAGTACATTCACTGCCCAGAGTCCAACAAAAAATGAACCCACACATTCCTGATTACATCTCCACGCCGTACTTATTGTTAATATAGTAACAGGCATAATCGACCGGAGCGTAGCGAAGGTCCTCTTAATTCATTCAGCACCAATGCAAAAATGTGTCTGTGTCCGTTGCGAAAGGTTGTTACGAAAGGTCATTACGAAAATGTTTCTGGCTGGTTATGTTGCTAAGTTGAAATTATTGATTATGTTAATTGTAAGTTAAAATTGATTATCATTTGCACAAGCGAAAAGCTGCTTTCTGCGCTCCGGTCTGCCATTGCACGCCAACGTGCATTTTTCCTATTATAATATTAGTACTGCTAGTGACTTAAAGTACTGTACAGTACTTAGGTCTTCACTGTCTCGGTAATACCATAATTATGGCAGAGAAACCAGCTGAACACCAGTAAAGGCTCAGAGGATAATATTTTATGAACGAACAAAACTGTGGGAATACAGTTTGCCCCTGCGAAGTAAAGTCCATTTTCTTTCGATAATTTGTGCCGAAGATGGATACCTTACGGCTTACAATATTAGTAACAGCGCTACTGCCGCTAGTAACCTCGTTTCACCTTCAGGTTACCTAATCTTGGCGATAACGCATAACAATTGTAGTTTGCTCGTACGATCCAGTTTTATCGAGCTAATCAGTTCGATTGCCAAAAATGCATAATTGTACCATAATCACGTTGATCACCATCTGATCGTCGGATTTACCGTTGGAAACACGCTTGTTCGTTAACATCAAGCAAGTCACAATCGGGTATTTACAAATTAGTACAAGAATAATGCATGACCGGCTCGTGAATATTCCAGGAAAACAGTATACAGAAAGCACAACATTGCCTAACAGCGACGTTTCGATCCACTGCGTGCCTGGTAAATTTAACACAAAAACCAGAATGCCGATGAACTAACGGGGAGATTACAATTTTATGACTTCAAGTCAAAAAACACCGGAGATACACAATAAATATTTTTTTTGCATGGTACATACACACGGTAAAACTTACATTAAAGTATTTTAATTTATATCTGTTAAGTTATCACAGGAACAAACCACAACTCATTAATTAAAGACCTTCTAAACACAGAGCCCATTATCGAAAACACTAAAACCCATATTTAACGCAAACTATCGCTTGTAATACCATTTTGAATCGGCAAGCGGAAGTAGTGGGTGATCTTCGTGTACAATTTCTCCCACCAATTCATTTAACATCCGGGAAATCTGTAAAGGTACGCTCAATCACTTCCCAAACAAGGAATAAGAACACTCGACAAGGACGGGACAAAGATCAAATCAGCATGCGGCCGTCCATTCTTTGTACGGTTCCAACATTCGCATATCACGCCAAGCAGTGTTTTATTATTATGACAACGCATTCGCAAACATCATGCAAAACGGGCACATTCACGTCAGGGTCGCAGGTCGCCGATAACGCTGAGATTCGGTGCGTCCTACCTGCCACTCATGAGGCAACGCTGATCTCGCCGGATAAAACGTATGATTTAGAGAAAACGGCAATAAATTACTCAATGCCGATGTGTAAATCTGTAAAAACAAACCGTTACGAAGTAAATGATAAAATTTAATGCTTTCACCACGGTTCGCAATTAAAGTTACAAGCACAACAAAAACATCGAGAACTATTTTAGAAGCACGAAACTTCCGTCAGCCACAATAATGCCGTGTCGCTACCAATTACGAAACTGCTAATTCAAACTCACGTCTGCAAACCGAGATAATCTCCGGAAAAGATAAGTCGGATTATGGTGAGTGCGAAATAGTGAGCCGAAATATGGATTGAACATAGACTTTAGGCGCTGTCGCATGGAATCCCGTTCGTCCAACCAACCATCCAAAATGAGATTTTTTTCTCTCGAATCTGCCATCTGTTGCAACTGTTCGATCAGGAACTGCAGCGTTGATAACCACGTCAAATCCCGAACGAATTCAGATGAACTCTGAATGAGAATTTCGCGTTCCAATTCCGGAATGATCGCACCCGTCCGCCAACCGTGTTTCAGGGTCACATCCTAAAACGTGAAAATTAACAGAATACATTTTAGCAGTCGTTAACATTAGAATATATAAAAACAGTTTCTTTGTATTATATTACTGATGAAGCTACGTGTACAATAAAAGAAAGTCCCGTTTGCTCACCGCAAGATCACTGTACACATGATCACCGAAATACAAAACTTGCGACCCAACCCATCCGGTCAGTTTGAGAAAACTTGAGAGATTCCCCTCGATATAAACCTGCCCCTTTTGCAACTCCGTGACTTTGTCCCACGAGTGTGAATCGGTGGATAAATTTACCAGCCGGAACGGACGATTTGTTTGATAGAAGAATTTTGGCTTCCTAGCCTGGCACACCACAACATCGAATAAATCCTGCCAATCCGGACCAATTAGATGCTTCAAACCAGTTTCAATAAAGCGGAATCCGCTGTTTGTGATCAAAAATATTTTCTTTCCGTTGTCATGTAATCGGTTCAGAAAGTCTCGGATACCACAGTCTTGTAAGAGATACTGAGGGACATCGGACATTATCGCTTTATACATCAGTCCACTACTATGCACAGACTGTATGGCCATCTAAAAACGAAAACGGGCATTAGTCACTTTGAAAAAGTTTATCCAGGTTGCATGTAGGCACTGGATCTTAAGTCACCGTGTCACACGGTAACTTAAGACACACGGTCCGTGTGTAAAAACTGAACATAATAATACACTGCTTAAGCACCACCTAATGTTTTGATTTCCGGTTAAGCGGGAAACTACAAACTTTCCGTTACAGATCAAATTAACTGACGTCTGACGTAATTCGCTAAATAGTACTGTACTTACAAAAACATCCCAGTAAACAAATTCTGAATCGAACGGAATCTGATTCTGAGTAAAATATTCCACAGTATTGGCCAGAAGCATGGTTTCCGGAGGCGAAAACAGATCTATTAAATGCACCATTGTTGGTCCCTAGAAAGTGCGAAAAAGCACCACGGCTGTAATAATGTTGACGCAACACTCCGTGAAAACAACAAGCGAGTGACGTACAACATTTTTTCCGTAGAAATTATTCAGCATGTCTAACGGAATGTGTGTTCCACCATAAATTTCACGAACTTCATCATCCGTCACCGGGGTCAAACCTCTACAACAGCAAACCGCCAATATCGAACCGGTTATGCAAACAATTATTTCTGCAGAAGTACACCGAATCAATAGGTGTAACGGTACAACGTGAAACTCTTCCAGCATACCTGTACACAGTACCTAATTGTATGTTGTGATAGGAGTCGATCTTCATCAGCAAAGATTTTCCAACATCGAAATGCAATCCCCTAACGCTGAACGATGGATTGTACGGCATTTCAAGAATTTGGGCTGGATACTACAGAAAATTTAACAAATTTAAAATATAAAATAAAACATAAAATTTAACAAATTTATATCAGAGTAACAAAAACCGGCATATAATAATTACACAATAAAATTTGTCCTAATTAAACAATAAAATTTGTCATAAAAGGCCAAATAGAAGTAAATTGTACGTGTATTGATTATGTATGATGCAGAGCAACAGCATTATCTGCGTGTACTAGAGTTAAACATTAACTAGCTGCAAAGTACTGCAACAACTTCCTTAAAATTAAATGCACGTATTAACAGTCAAAAGAAGCTTTAACAGCTTCGACGCTGAAATTTAAAGTGACCAGTGAAAAACAACAGCTGGTACAGAAATAGCAAAATAAATCACACTGCAGAAAAATTGTCAACTCAGCTGTACATCACCTTGCAGTGATCGACGAGGTGTTGTTTGGCGAAGTTGTAGATGAGCGGATGCAAAGTGGGAGCATACGCTGCCAACGTATAGTCGTAATCAAATCCGAAAACATCCACATCCGCCAGCTCCAGCTCATTATTGGCAAAGACACCTCGAGGATTTTTGAATTTCAAATCAAATTCTCCTTGCACTACAACGGGATCTCGTGAAACCACAGGAAAAGATCACTAGCCAAATAATTTTGTAATCTATATAACCGCTCATTTAGCATAAAAACCAACCTTCAATCGCTCTCTTGGCCCGCTCGTACAATTCCAGTATGCGCCGCACCGTATCCAGAACAGGTTCTTCGGGATTAATGCTTTCCGGCACCCGAGTTGAGGCTTGCTCACGAGGAGCGTAACTGTGGGATTTTTCCAGCTTTTCAGCTGCTGGAGAGGGTCCTGATGATAGAGAGACTAGCCTATCTCGTCGTGCATTCGTGGCGCGTAAAATGCTTCCTTCAAAGATCACTGGCCCGAGCTGGAGAGATCGAAGCGCGCGAGTACAGAGCTGAGTTAAAAGCATTGTGTCAGTTCACCAAAATCCTCGAAAGAAGCGTACATCAGATCTTCCTGTTGGCTGCAGAACAAGGACTAGTCGGACCATTCGTCCGCGAATTTTTAAAAGTGATGGGAGGTCTATGCTCTATACAAATGCAATATCAATAAGCGGACATGGTGCAATATACAGTAATAAAATCGGAATCCTTGCAGCTATGACGTTAGTAAGCTTTTATCAAGAACTTCATAGCGAATCCAGATCAGCTAAAGATCTGCAAAGTTTTTCCAAATAAGATTTCCACTTTAGAAAATTAACCACTAAACTGACGAGCTTAACAATTTTAAGACCATACAACAGTCGTGACGCATTCTCTGCCGTCACGTAGTACTTCACAATTTCACAATATGAAAACATAGGTTCAAACAGCTGATCGGTCTGCTCCATTCATTTCAAATTTGCTTACGATTCGACATCTATGCATTCCACACCAACAACCAGTGACATCACTACGTGACTATTGTACACACACATACGGTCTGTGATTTTGAAGAACTCTTCTGTACTACGAATTTAATAAAACTGATACAATACATAATCTTTACAGTTTTGTTAAAATTAACTTCAAACTTATAAGTGACTTTAAGTGACTTTAATATTGTTTCTCCATGTGCTATTATCTTTTTTGGGTAGAAAAAAACTAGATTCCACTGTTTCCCGTCCCGTGACTTTTTGTGAACGAAGTTACACACGAACTTACATTACTGTAACATCAGTCATTTCTGATTATATCGTCCGCCGAAGACGTATTAAGTGTTCGTATTGGGACAGCATTTCGGGATCGGGCCTGACTACAAATCATTTATGGATCGTTTGGGACTGTTGTTTCTTCGAGGTTTCGTGATGACATCTGGACGGGTTGTCCCTACTATGTCTGTCAAGTAAGAAATGAATGCGGAACATGTTGCCGTGATGGTAAGCTCACTAAGCTGTGATTCGACTGATCCTTCCCATTGATGCTGATAGATCTGCGGCGACTAGACCCAAGTTTTACCGACATTTATCAACAAACTTGCGATGTCGGAGCATTCGCTTCTCACCAGCTCCTTGGGGAACGCTCAGTGTGCGACCTGCTACGAGCACTGTTTCAGCGGAATCAGTGCAGGATGACGAGCCCATCATCCGTCTGGCAGATAGTTGTGTTAAAGTAAGAATTGCTGGAATGCTTCATTTGTTCTTGGCATTATTTTTAGTATTGTTCTCTCATAGAGGTTGAAAAGACTGCAGAGCGAGGAGCCAGGAACGGAGTTACTGTTGAGAGTGGCCGTGGAGGGAGGCGGATGTTCTGGGTTTCAGTACAATTTCACTCTCGATCACCAGATTAATGATGACGACAAGTAAGCATGCTTTACTCAAATACTTCTATGCATCCTGGCTTATATACCGTATATATATATATATATATATATATATATATGTATATTCTGTAATAGAAATCAACTTAAAAATTTCGAAATAAGTAGATGTACCATGTGACTGGTTTTCTTAGTGTTGTTTTTTATTGGCGTCAATATTGGCTTTTTGTAACGTATGGCTGATCGTTGTTACCGTTTTGTTTTGTGTTTACACATTGTCGGTATTGTTGCAGCAGCGAAAGCTGTTTCACAGTTTTCATTCTGTTGCTTCTGTTAATTTTCTTTCTCTTTGGGTTGAAATCTTCCAAAAAACCGGAAACATATAACGTACGGCTTCAGTTTTTCTTAATAACATAGCGTACTTAGTACATACTACATACAGTAGTAAAAATGTACGGAGTCTATACACTACTGCATCTGTATTTGTTTTTTTTGGTACTGTAAAATTCAGAATAGAATTCTGTGTATAATAAGTACTCACAAAGCAGAGCCACATTCAGAAAGTTTTCTTGAGGTGTTTATGTGCTGAATATTTTACAGAGTTTTCGAAAAAGATGGAGCTAAAGTAGTAGTGGACGAAGTGTCCCTGGATTATCTCAAAGGATCCACAGTGGAATTCTCCGAAGAATTAATTCGTTCGGCATTTCGAGTGGTCAGCAACCCAAAAGCTGAGCACGGGTGTTCGTGTGGATCATCTTTTTCTGTAAAAATATGATCTCTTATTGGTCTTGTATTTATTCTAGTGTTTGCCTTTGCGATGTGCATGTTTGTAAGTGCAATATTGGACAATTTTTCTGTGATAGCGTAATGGTGAGTAACGGTCCTTCGAAAGGCTTGTGACAAATTAGTGTGCTCGAAATGTCCCAGTGGGAAGAAAGTACTCCAAAAATCCTAAAAAACTGTAAACCAGACCTCGTGGTATAGCTAACGTTGGTAGCAGAAAATTATGGTATAACACTCGCAAAATTTCGGCGATTGTGTTATACACGACATCCCACGCAAAGTAAGCAAAATGTGTTAAGAGCTGGCCATTTAAATCGATTAAATCATTTCCATATAAAATTGCTACGAGACTAATTATGACAACGCTCCAGCTGAATGTCTTGAGCCTGTATGCTGGATGAAAAAGCCAGAGAAATACAATATGATTGACAAATCCTTGTGTAATTTGCACAATCCCCATAATGACATCTAACAGCTGATCTGTCAAAGTTTTCTGCGTCTGCATGTTTTCCAAATCGGAACCGGCATCGTACAGTGCAGCATGCTGCTGGTCGAACCGCCTTAACATCGCGATGATCTTATTCTCCATTTCCAGAAATATCATATCGCGAAAATGAAAATATTCATCTAAAAATTCCTCCACCTCTTCCTTATGATCATCAATAATATTGCTGATACTTTCGAAATGCGCTTCTTTAGCCTCTTCTAAACTGACGACTTTTCGCGTAATGGACTGCACAACCAAGCTAAGGTCATGGACAATCCGTTGGACTTTGGCCAACTCGCGTTTATCATCTTTACCCTTGGATTCCGCCACTTCTTGCAGAACATCAACATCCATTTTCAGATCCGTCAGTAGGTCTTCTGCATCGCGAAACATAGCCAACAACGCCCGATACTCAGTATCCACACTAACAAATCGACTCGTCTCTTCCGGAACTTTTCGCGCAGCGTTTTCGTCCAGTTTCGCTAATGTCTCCACAACTTTTGGAATTTTACCCGTGCTCTTAGAATGTGCGCTTTTCAAGTTAGGCATCGAAATTCGAAAGAGTTTCGGCGTCTTTAGTGAGCGCAATTTAAAAGCTGAACGTGCACTTGACCTTATTCTCTTGCGAAGGCGCGAGGCCTTTTCCTTTTTGGAATGCAACCATGTCGCCGTGCGGTAACCTTTACCGTGTTCTGCGGTATGCTTGATGGCTTTCCGGGATTTTCTGTGCGGGAATATGCGCCGCAAATTGGTTTGCAGTCTGTCGCGTACATTAATCAGCGCTTTCTCCCCTTTTTCTTTCCAGTTCCAGTTAACGTCATTAATGTCGAAACTGCTGCTAGATGAACTATTGGACATTCCAACCGTATTCCTGGAGAAATGGTCCCCATTCTCCTGAATTAGAGATTTTGTTGATTTGGTCATGATCATATCTGACGTTTGTGGTTGTGTGTCGATCCGTAAAAGATTCTGGCGGATCTTTTCGATAGGTAATTCCTGGCCGATCTCGCGCGTGTACTCCGGATCCGCTGCATCCGAAACAGCGAAAGACCGCTGTGTTTCAGGAGAGCGGGTAATAACTGACATTGTGGGACCAAAATTGTTTATAAAATTAAGGATGTAAGGCAATAATTTTATGATGTCAGTAAATGTATACTACACAATGGCGCGTTTAACTTTATCTGGTTAACTCTGGTGGCGTATTTAATATAATTCTTTGATAGATCACAAAATTCATGAGCACTGGGCACTGCTAGAGTAACATACGAACTGTAAACGCTAAATTCAAAAGAATGACATAAAAAATTTTAAAAACGGATTGCTTCCCAGAGAAAATGAAAGTGTAATTTGGCTGAAGTGTATGAGCATCAAGCTACATATACCAACAGCATGTACGTCTGTAGTTGCACTTCCCATCATCTAGCAGTTAGAACGGCATTTTTCGTCACATGAGTTGCTAAGAGTGAGTTAAACGCCATTTTTATTCCTGTTTTTGTATTATGATGTATAATAAATAACCGCTCGAAGAAACCTAGTTTTCAGAACAATGCTGTACTTAACAATATTTTTTGAAATTGTGCACCTTGATGATGTTGGAGAGGTCGAGATGTTACACTTTAGTATTGCAACAACTCAAAGCATTACGACGAATACAACGCTGAATACAACTGTTCATAAGACTTAAAAGTACACAATTACACTATAGTATTTGGATAAAAGAAATCCACTTTGCGAAAACGAAAGAAGGAACAAAAGGAAACTCATCAGAGACCGGATCCACGTAAGCAACTGTTAAAAAATTCACTTCGCGTCACCGAACATGCTAGGACACTAGATCACTTGACAAAACATTACACAAAGTTAAAATATCGCACAATGAAAGAAACTGTAAAATAAAACTCATATCATTCAAAAAAGTAAGATCCATCCACCATGTTCGCACGGGATTTACGTAGCTGCATCATGATCATTCAATAAGCAATAGAAAATCGACATTATATCGCGCATTATACAGTTCACGCGTGGTCGTTGTGCGGTCGCAGTAGTTTGACAATTTCCAGCATCAGCTTATTCTGCTCCTGCTGAGCACGAATCTGCAATTCCTGCATTTCGGCATGACATTTTAACTGTAATTCATGGCGTTTGTATTCCGCTTCACGGTCTTTATCTCGCTGTTCTGTCTCGAATGCCAAACGCTGCACGGCCATTTCCCTCTCGAATTTATCCCGAGCTAGCATAATGTCAATCTCCAATTTGCGCCGCATCTGTTCTTCAGTGAAGCGCTGCTTTGCTAAGTTGATTTCTTCTTTCCACAGTTCTAATTTCTGCAGTTCGGTGTCCCTTTTATTATTGGAGGGCAGCGGTCGAGTTGAAATATCATCTAAGACGTTAATACCGGTTCGCTCGTCTTCGGAGATGCTGGCAGACGAGACGGGATCTCCGTATCCGCGTCTGAGGTATGGGGATGAGTTGCTATTGATAAAGTGTGGAAAAGAAGACGATCCTGCGTGTTCGCAGTGAAGTTCGCCATTGCCAAACGCATCGAGACCTGTAACGTAGGAGCACATGTTTATAACATGAACGAGTTTCCAAAATCTACAAAATCATACCTGCCCATACCGGTAATAAATTTCATAGGTGTAGTTTATTTGATAAAATTTAGTGCAAATACTGTTTAACATAGATCTTTGATTCCCTACCATGGTGACCGTCAGAGTAGTCCAGATCTTCATCCAAATCCTGATATGCCACATCCGCCAACTTTTGCCGGGGACTGGTTATTTTACTTTCGTTTTCTTCACTGGATAAACCAAAATCATCTTCGTTGAGTGCCAGGGAGTGCGATCCATTGATGGATCGCTCATGTGCGCCAGAATCCAAATGTGCGTGTCCGTAGTATTCATCGTCAGCGATGTCGTCTCCCAGATCATTATCGTACTCAATAAGAGGAACTGCAACGGGCGTCAGGACTCTTCTATTGCTACCAGTGTCATTCAAATCAGATATCCTTTCGTCGGTTGCGGTTGTATATAGCTTCTGCTGGGTTCCGCCTGTAAAACTAATTGTAGGCTTCTTGTTCGGCGGTGCGGATGAGAAAGTGGCGGCCCCGGTGGATTTAGGTGTCGATTGTATTTTAGTTGTGTATGTGGAATTTGTTGATTGAATAATCATTTTCAAGCCTTTTCGAGGCGGTGCATTTTTCCCGGTAGAATTCCGATCCGCCTGAAAAGCAGCACACTTTATAAGTAGCAGTATTATCGCAAATTCCATCCATTCTCGTAACCAGACGCAAAATACATGCACGGCATAGTGGGAGTACATTAGTGTACACACATTAGTGAACGGTACATTAGCGTAATCTGTTTAAATTTTAACAACCAAAATTTAATAATGCTAAAACATTAAATTATCTGGCCACTAATCTAAACCAACATAACAATATTACCCTGCAGAAACCACTGTTTTGAATAACTTTCGGATTTTATTGCGATTTCTATACTTAAAGTTGAATTTGCAGCCACACCCGTGCCATTTTAAGTTATTGCGTGTAATAAAAGCACCCCAACTGCTTAAAACTTCCCCAACAAATTCACGCACCTGTTCCTGATGTGTCGCAGCCATTCCATCCGCCTGCAGATTTCCCTGCCAGTCCACATTGGACCGTTCATTCCCCATCAAACCATGACTAGGCGCCATCGAATACGACACAGGCGACTTGCGGCTGTAGCACGATCTCTGCCCATAGACACCCTGCTTAACAATGCTCTCCAGCTGATCCAACAAGGCATCTTTCTCCATTTCCATACTGGTCGTCGGATTGTACTTGGACGACCGTTTGCGTTCGCGATGTGCCCGTAGATTGCGTCGCAAGCGCTGCCGTACAACTTTGATGTTAGTGTTTAAACCTTCCTTCTGCAGGCGCTTCATCACCTGCTTCCACACTGGTCCGCGATCCACTTTGGCAAACTGATACGGATTCTCCGCCAACACAGCGCGGACGATCACCAACAGATCACGATCGGTGCGATGCGGACCAAACAGGGCGGCCTCGGATTTGGTGAGGGCCTGGCCGTTCGTAGTTACGGCCGCGGAGGGCAGGGGAGGGTTGCGCGGGGCCATGGGCATGTCGGCGGGGCGTATGCGAATGCCTCGATTGCCCCGATGGAGTTCCGTAGTGGCAGATGCCTCGGGACGGGCTAAAGACGGGATTGTTGCTGCGGGCAGACGCTGCAGATCGCCCATGCTGGATGCCAACATCAGTGCACAGACAGCAAATGCTGATGTTTGAAAGATTTGAGTGTTAACTCAATGAGACAGAGGACTGTAAAATTATCGATTTTGGAGGCCTTCTGTGTACAATCGGGCTTTTCACCGCTTTTGGAGGCTCTGCAGCCTGTGCTTGTCCCAGTCGCAGTCTCACACTGTCACTCGCAACCTCCAGAATCCAGGCACCTTCTTTAATGCTGTCATTACTGTAAATTCTGGATTCTTGTCTTCCAAGTCGCAATTTCAGCTCGCAGCATAAACCGCTTTAAAGAAACTGCAATAGTCAGTGTATAATTTAGGAAACTGCATGAATAAATTAAAATAACTTCATGCAAATTAAACTTTCTGTGCAATGGCAAAAAAGGCCTAAAAAGGCACAGCGACAACTGCGATATGGAATGATCGATAAAACTCACAATTCAAAATCGGAAGTCCGTCGAGTATACTGTACTCACTATCTTAGCGGCTGCTACGTGAATAAAAATAATTTTCAAATCGATATTCGAATTATTTAGCATTTATTTAGCATTTATTATTTATCAGTTTTATCAACCGGTGACCTATTGTGCTACACTGATCTGAACATACTCGCACATTTATTTTTTAAACTGTTGTGAGACCAGAAATGGTGCACATTTTATTTTCACGGACAACATTTTGTAAAAACGCAAAACAGGTATAATAATAAATACATACAGTATAAAACTATAAAAACCGCACGCATAGAAGACCCCATATCGGGGTATCACAATTTTCAAAAAAGACAACCTTCAAACAGCTCGCCCCAAGGAAACTGGTACATAACACTGGATAAAATAAAAATCTTTTCTGAAATTGCGTGACGGACTATAACGCTGGGCTACACAGGATCTTTTAGCGCCATTACTCTGACATATTGAAGAGCTTTGCGCGCCGCGCTATATCGAGCGTCCTTAGGAGTGGATCCACATCCCAGTAGCCGAATAGGATTTTTGATCGGTAATTTGAGAATACAATAAGCCGTATAATTATCTCTCAACTTGGTGCCCACATCTTCTGCAAGCAACAGTTAAAGAAAATTTCTTTACGTCTCTGCAAACCAACCGTTAATCACCCCACTCTTTCACAAGACAAGGGCTTACTTTTTTTCACAGTTTCATTTTCACCACCGGAATCATAATCATCTTCGGAATGCTTTTGTGGAACACCACTCTGGCGATAAAGCGGCAATTTCAACATCCGGGCGGTAATTTCCGGTGAGATTTCCCCATCACTATCTATATTATGGGAGGATAGGTCCTCCATCAAACTTTCGAACTGCATCTCAAAGTGACACTCTTTAATAATGCTACGCAAAAAGATTTCCGGGTTAGCGATTTCGTCCACTGAGCCGATATTCTTCAGCATATCGATGCTCTGAGCACCGGCGATCTCGAGGATTTTGGGAACGCCACTGTAGCAAAAATCAATGCCGGATGCGTATGGTTCCGATCCCATCAGTTCGAGGCTGTTAGTATTCCATACCGAAGACGGATCCTGCAAACAAACTCACGGTTTGCACAGGACGTACCTATACGAGTACAGTTTTCTATGGTATTTTTCTTTCCATAAAACAAGATAAACTGATAAAAATACCCACTTACACAAGAGATTACAGTACGGGTATGCAAAATTATCCACAGACTGCAGTATTTCGTACACGGTGCACGTTATTATGTTAGTTCAGAAAAAATACAAATAAAAATGAGTCGCCAATAAAGACTACGAATAAAAACCGCGCGAAATTCTTGGGAAAGTCCAGACACCGTTCCGAGATGCATTACAAAATTTACAAATTGTCTGTATTAACAAGTGTAAGCTTTACCAGGGGACGGCCAGTGCGTAATGAATATTTGTACATAATTTCCGGCTGATAACGCATGTTTTCGTGCATCTCCAGAGCAGCCAGCCTTTTGGCTTCCTTTTTTGATTTGGACGTAGCAAACGTTTTGAACTTGGCGAAGTAACACGACACCGTAAAGCGCGGATCATGGGCTGGACCGGTTTTCTGTTCGTCGACGACTTTCGGATGCGGCCATCCCATAATCAGGCTGATTTCGATTAAGCTGCAAAACAGTTTAAGTTCTGGCTAGTGAAGTATTCGTAACAAATACAGAGTGCCACACTGCTGTCCAGTCACCAGTCTTTCTTACGTAATAAATTATAAGCGTATAATGCGTATTCAACTATTCATATGTACTTTTACGTTGTGTTCTGAGGTTAAATTTAAAATTTTCTTAGGAATTTCTTTATTACAGAACGTTTACACTGTAAACGTGCTGTAAACTTTACAGCATATAGAAGTGAGAATATACATGCAGATGCAGTACTGCAGTAATCTGCTGCTACACGTACAAATTATTTCAAGTACAACACGAAAAAATAAAAATAATCAATACAATTTAAAAATCGCGGGTAAATAAAAATAAACAAAATGTAACTTACTCTCCCAAAGGATTGATTTGATTGGTCACTGGAATTGGAGTGTATGTATTTCGGTTGCGTTCTTTGTCTTTTATCCTGAAAAATGATCCTAACTGTATTACTGCAATCAGCAAGAACTATTACAGCGGGTCGTCTTACGGAATTGCGCCTGGATTACTTCTGGAACAACCATCCACAACATTGCCAATAACTTTTGCTGATTCAAATCCAGCCTTGCTTTCCATAATCTTCAAATCCTCCAGACTTAATTCACCCATTTCCAAAAGGATTTTCTTCGCGGCTTCTTGCTTGGCGGTCTGCTTTTTCGAACCCCGACCATCAGCCTGATATTTCCCAGCTACAGCGCGGATAATAAACACGGGATCATGACAGGGGCCTTCAACTTTCAGCAAATCGTAATCGGGAATTATGTTATCACGACTGCACACCTCTCCCAAGGCTGCGACGAACGATAAAATTCGGTTCGCCATAATCGTCCGGAAACTGCACGGTTAACTTAACATTATAAAAGAAAGCTTGTGAACGACCCGCGACAACTACCAAACTAACGATTAAGAAAAAGTACTTCCGAACTACGAAATCAGGCATATCACCGAATACCGATAACCATTTGCAAAACTTTCGGAAGCTGCAGCTGGATGCGTGGTGTCGCGGTACCAATTCCAAAAGCCTATGATGAATAATTCCATTGGAATATTAGAAAAGTAGATATGTACCCCGATTCCACTGTGGATGGTAGTTCCATTTCAGATAGCCAGTTGAAGTTGAAGGTGTGACCGATTTCGTAATCACCGATTCACATTTTTTACTTTTAGCAGTGTTTTGTGATTCAGTGCTTTAATTAAATTCTTAATTTTTAAGGATTTACGTAAAATTTAGTAGCGAATTTCTTATCAGTTTTTGTGTCGCTTGATATGTTATGTGCGTGGCGAAGGTCTGTCTATAACTACATACTGTTTTTGAATTTGAAGGATTTTTTGAACTACGATGGGGAATTCACCGTCCGTAGTGCATTCGGAGCAGAGAGCTGCAAACGGGGAACCCATTGCGCCATCTCTTCCGCAGGCCGTTTCCTCTTCGCCACCTGCAGTTCGACACTATGAAGGCAACATTAGTGAATGCCCCATGCACGCCGAACTGGCTAACAAAGAGAATCGCACCAGTAAGGCGTCGCTGGTATCAGAATGCCCCATAAAAGGCGAGAAACCCAGCGACATCGACCCGATGAACATGATGCCTCCTCCCAACCAGAGACCGTCGCCTGAACAGCCCTTTCCACTACCGACGGCACGACAGGAGTCATCCATACCGAAATTTGATACGAAGGACGGTGAGAAATGGGTATATCCATCGCAGCAGATGTTCTGGAATGCCATGTTAAGAAAAGGCTGGAGATGGCAGGAGGCGGACATTTCCGCCAATGATATGGCTCATATAATACGGATTCACAATGTTAATAACGAAGTCGCATGGCAGGAGGTGCTAAAGTGGGAAGCTCTGCATATGAACGAATGTGCATGCCCGAGACTGAAGAAATTCGGCGGAAAGGCGCAAGAGTTCTCACCGCGTGCTCGAATTCGCTCCTGGTTGGGGTAAGGTTTTATATAGCTGAGAATTATGTTGAATGCAGCATGCTGCATTCAAGTTCTGTTGAAGAAGGATAATTTTACTTTGAAAATAATTGCAGTTTGTTCTGTTCGTCTTTTCCTGGATAATATATTTATATCAGTAGCCTGTACTTCCTTGCTTTTAACGCACGAAGTGACGAAGGACTTATCACTCATGTAAATTCAATTTGATCCGTCTTATTAAAATTGTCGCTGGTATCTCTTTTGTGCCGGGCACTTGCCACTTATCAGTACATCGCTGTGCGTGCGTATTGTTTTTCAAAATTGTGTATCCTGTTTGGTATTTTGGCTGTCTATTGGGCTTTACTTCCTGGTCTTGTCTGGCGGAGTGTGTTATTAGTGGTAAATTACTAATTTGGCAAATGTGCCACGAAAGTATTTGTACTACATTAAATTTTGATATTATTTTGGCAAGTCTTTATGCTGGCAGATATGAGCTGCCATTTGACCGGCACGACTGGATTGTGGATCGTTGTGGAAAAGAAGTCCGATACATCATCGATTATTACGATGTGGGAGAAGTTAACAGCCAAACTGGCAAATTTGCCGTTCTGGATGTGCGACCGGCATTTGATTCCTTCGGAGCCATGTGGGACCGAATGCGTGTGTCCTACTGGCGTTTCCGACACGGCGATCATGGAAAACCGCAACAGCTATCACCGCAAGAAGTGCTGCAGCAAAATGTTCCTGCTCAGAATGCCAAAGCGTCCGCGTGAATTAATCTGGTGTCGCATTGTATTGTTGCAGTGTTTTTTTGTGGCCGTCTGTTACGAGGAAGCAGTTTTTGCCTTTGGTGCTCTTTTGTTTTGCTGTGGTTTGTTACAGTTTAGCCAAATAATGTGGTCAACCAAGATCTTTATTTATAAATCTTGCCGACGTATTTCGACGCATAAACGTATCGGGTATCTTCTGTACAGTGGAGAGCTTTTCGCTTTCCTTCGCTGTAAATCGCAATGATTTGACAGCATCACAGCCAAACCACCAGATATTCGTGGTACGAGGATAGCTTGGGTCGACACGGAAATTGCGATCGTCGAAGCGATAATAAGAATTGTCAACAAAAAAATAAGTTTTGCCATTCTTCCATTGAAAGGCCGCTTCTATTTTCTTGGGCAGGCCGGACCACACTGACAACGGACGGGGATAGGAGCTGGCAACTGGCGGATTGCTGCCACGATCATAACGCCAATATCGTTCGCCTGAAAATAATAATTTAAAATTTACTGCATGTAATGTCGAATGTTGATGCTTTTTAAGGGCAGGAATAGGCAGCATATGTCATGTACTAGATAACAAAACAAAACTAAAATTCGCCGATACAGCAACATTAAAAGACAGTAGCCCTGACCTTTGATGAAATAGGTCTTGTCGTTTCCTCCCCATACAAACGCAGCATCGATATTATCAGGTATCCCCGCAAAGCCATCTCGAATCTGTTTGGGATATCCAGGATCGATGGCATTGTCTTGCCATCTCCAATAGTAACTGCCCTGAGATTACCACAAATTATGCTAAGATTATTAATCGCTTCGCACTTATCTCGTTACTGTTACTCAAACTTTCTCGGTCAAGTGCATATTCTCATCATAAGCATCATATTATGTATCTACGTAATATATAAACAGTATGTGCTTGCTATCGCGAAGGTAAAGCAAAATGTTTACGTTTTTAGATTTGGACATCATTTGGTCATAACATGCAACATGAGTCTTGTGTAACAGTTACGACTACCTTGCGCTCTGTAGTAATTAGTAATTTGAAAAGGTTATTTAATACTTTAAAGAAGTAGATTTTGCCGTCCGGCCAGGAGAGCGCGGCATCCAAATGCGACGGCAATCCTCCCCATCCTTCAGAAATCCGTCGAGGATATCCAGGTATTACATCGGTGTCGGCTAATTTCCAGTAATATTCACCTAAAAGATTTATCTCATATATACTCATACTGGATAAATCATTTCACTCACTACTCAGCAGGCAATAAATAGTGCATTTTACAATATCTGCAGTAGGAGTACCTATACTCCGCGGTAAAATATTGTTGCTTTTGACCTCTCCTTATGCCAGGTAGTCGTGCACTTACCGTACCTAATGCGTTTTTGTGGCTTACCTCGATAGATTCAAAGATTTTTTCTGTTCTTTGAACTTTAAAACTGCCGTTAACATGAAGCATAAACTATCGTTAATCATCAGTTATATATTGTTCTCATGCTGTCAATGAATAGTATGTTCTCCTGTACGCGTCAATTTCACAAACCTGCTTTGTACACATGTGTATTGCACACTGACAACATGTATTCATAGAATGATAGTCGAAACTGTCAAATTTCTTTTTATTTTCTTTTATATTATAGGCCTTTTCCATTCCTCATGGTCAGTATTAATGGTATTAAAAATATTGAAATCCATTGGGGACTATAAATCTATAATGCGAACTAAATCGTGCGCCAAATCCAGAAAACTGCGACATTGCAGATGGTTTGCAGTCTGCTGTGTACAGATAAAATTTGCGAAGGTGGTACAAATTAGCATTTCATCCTGTTCTCTTATCACTTATTCATGCAGCAGCTCACCTTGCTAATGATAAAATTGAATAAAATTACCTCGCAAAACCCTTTGGTAAGCAAAAATACACACTGATTTTGCGTCAAAATTTTGCTAGTTTTTCTACTCTACTGCTCGCAGTGGCCCTGCACGTTGAATACCTATATAGATATTAGAATGATATGTTCGTACTTCTGTCTTAACCGTCTACTCATACTGATTTTCGATTACCCCTAAAAACGAACGTCTCCCCGTGAACATTCATGGTAATAGCATCCATCCTATCCATCATACAAATATCCGGCATGGCTGACGTGCCGCCGAACCCGGGATCGGGCGGCGGCGGCGGCGGCTCCCATATATCCGTCCAAATCGGATAGCCCGGATTGACTGTATTGAAGAGATCCAAATCGGGTTGTACGGCCGGGTTCATGCCCGGATTGGGCTTAGGATTAGAGCCGCCGCCGGCCGCCTCTTCCGGCCCGCGCCGTCCGTTAGGCAATCGGGGCGGCCAGTTGCCGGCGGCCGCAGGCGGGGCGCTGACCGCCGTATCGGCGTGGACGTGCTTTTTGTAATTGTAGTTCTTTTTCGTCGGCATATCTCCGTACAAGGCCTGGATGGCGGCGATATCATCCTCGGCCAGGCGCAGTGTCGGTTTGTAGCCTCGATAGAACGGTGCCATTAGTGCACCTTGAACTTCAGAGTGCTCCAATCCAAGGGCATGACCTATCTCGTGAGCCGCCGTTTGCAGCAGATTCACACCTAATCATCACATTGCACAATTTAATTTTTGTCGAAGTATGGTGGCTTTCTCGTGCGTTCAGCTATAGTTACCGTTGTAAGAACTGAGAGTCCATCCCTCGTCATCATCGAAGTGAACGTCACCTTAATGCACACCAGCATGTAGTGCTTACTGCTTAATATTTTTGATACTGTAATTCAATCTCTTAATGCATAATTATGGTATACCTCCAAATTGTGGAAAGAACGCATGAGCCAGGGTTTTACCGGGTCCGTCAAATGGCTGACCATCGCCGTGATCCCCGGTGGCAAACAGCAATTCAATATGTACCGGACCATTGCGCTTATGGTTAAAGGTTAACGGAGTGAATTCACTCCACACTTTGAAAGCACGTCCAATTTCCAAATCTATAAGACTTCTCTCGAGATCCTGCGTATAACGGGCGATGTTGTAACTTAAATCTGCAAAATAATTTCATAATCGGCCATCCCGCGCTCATCAGCTATACTCACCTGCACAAGTCGAAACAGTCGTGTTATAAATGCGTACGACGTATTAATTCTTGTATTAACTATATTTTTCGTTATTACGAGTATACATGTACTGCTACTGCACTTCCACAACCAAAACAGTAAGGCGACAAAAAAGGAACCAATTCAAGTACTTCGTAAATAATATTAATATAGCAAATAGGGTGCAAAAAGTACTTGTACAATATCTCTACCTGTAAACACATTGCGAAATACCGTATTACAAATTTTAATCGCTAGCAACATTCCTAATTAAACGCGTTACCGACTAAAGATGGGTCAAAACCAAGCATCTCAAAAAGTACGGCGTAAATTTACGTGAATACTTCAGTCTGCGATATGTATCTTGAGAAACTGAAGTACTGCTGTAGGGAATTATTTACCTAGGTCAACTGCGGTATTCCCGTATGCGGAACTTAATATAAGAGAAAGTAACAACCCAGGCGAAATTTGGGCAGATACAAGTACGGAACGTACCTGTTGTACTCCATTTGCTTCCCTGAAGGGAAAATCGTTTGACTCTTCTGTCGACGGATGTTGTGTTGTGTGATAAAATATCTGGTACTCCGCAGCGCGGCAAATTCATTACTTCCATTGTTGCGGTGTCCATTTCGCCTACGCGACAATAAGAATATTATAAGTACGTAGTTTAGTCAGAGTTTTTATAATAAGCATTGCCGATTTAGCAGGAGGTGACGGCAATATTTTACTCGCGTATTAAACTGCATACACTTAATTTCAAATTCTTGTGTACCACTAATTGCTTTTTCTAAAACAGCTGATTTGCATTTCATTTTTATAGCTGCGCGTACTGAACACAAGTCAAACCAAAAACTCACCCTACTGTAGATTTCATTCACCCTACTGTAGATTTTGGTGGTGTAAATGGTTAAAAGTGATTCCGTATACGATACGATGAAGCGATCGTCATTATTATGAGGAAGTTTAAAAAAATCGCAACAGATTTAAGCTTTATAACATTTAAGCTTTAAAGTTTACCTGCTGTCCTCACTACCGAAGTACAATATTTGTATTTTACGCTTACACACGAGTAAATGTTTAGATTAGCCAATGTCCCAAAACAAGGTAATTCATGGTGAAGAACTTTCGAAAGTACTGTATAATCATTGTTAGATTCATTTAAGGCGTTCTTACGTTCAAATTTGTTGTAAGGGTACATTTTAAGTTGTGCGTTTTTAAAAAAATATGATAGAATTATGTACTCGTATATAACGTTGACATAAATATTTCTGCAGCTGCTGCATCTGTAGCGCTCGTATAATTAACACCCCACGCTTCGTGTGGACAGTGTATGCGCAATAATAGTTTGCTTGCTGCAAGCACTTACCGGTTTGCTCAAGACCGGCAAATTTTTGAAAGGCCTTCAACGCCTCGACAATACTGGAATATGAGAAGAAGGCTTGTGACGAGATTTGAGCAACTGGCTTCAAATATCCATAGCGTGTTAAATATTGCTGTAACAATAGTTTGTAAACGATACGGCATCTTCTTGTTGTTTATGACCTGTCGTCAAGAACTTAAGCGTTGACACTTTAGTCAAAATTGATACACATGGTCTTACAGAGGCCTGATATTCGGTCCGTATCGGTGCAAACGAATAAAACTTTAGCTCCACACAGAAGACGTATAGTAATCCTAACAACAACAGCCATCGTACAGAACCCAACATAGTGCATCACAAATAACCGATCAAAACCAGTCCTCTGCCTGGAACGAAACATGCAATCTTCCTTCTGGTGGCGACACATTGATAAAGGTCATCGTATCCGCATGTTCGCGTTTACGGTCGCATGCAACAGCATTAAACCAGGCAGACGTCTCAATTGCTGATTACATTAAGATACTCGTAGTACATAATCGTAATAATTATGACGATCACGATATATGGAGCAGAAACCACGGAAGATAGCAAACCAGCACATTATCTGAGCAATCTCGCTGTACGCAGCATAGCGATCCGGGTTTCCGTGCTCCAAACGGTGATGATGGTTAACAACAGCTACCACAAAAAATCTATCAGACTGTAATGTTCATCAGCTTCCTCTGGCTGTAAACAACCGGCCGGACATAACAAGGAAATTTAATCTACCCACCGATCATTGTAATGTTACTAGTTAGCCTTGACGTATGAAATATTATCAAGCGTGTATGAATTCTGTGCTGGACGGGCTAGAGTAACGGTCGCCGTTATGGCCGTTCTTTGCAACGTCAATATGGAGTTCGACCGCAAGACCTTATCGAACTTTCTTCGAGTATCGCCGATACGGCCGGAAATCCATGGAGTTTATGGTGCGGTAATTTGGTTACCGTGCATGTTCGTTTGGAAACTGATGCCTATCCATATTATTGTCGACAGATTTGCCGTTGTAGATGCTTGGCCCTGCATGCATGCCGGTACACCGCTTTAATATACCCAGACGCCAACCAATCACAATTGTTGCTTGGGTGAAAACTTGGGACTGCATGGCGCCATTTGCGATGTCCGGCGCTATGATGGTCTTGATAACTCGCTTGAAGAGAAACTTGTGGTTTTATAGAATAAAGTAAAGAAGTTGGACCTGCTAGAAATGTGCAGTGGTTTCTTAATTTTGCCTTTTCAGCAAACATGACATACGCGTGGCTTAAAGCTATTCCACAGTACATGTATCCACAAAACATTAAAAACTGCTGGAAAAGCTATGAAATCTGCTGTAACGAATAAAATTCCGTAGTGATTCATTATAAAACACCACATCAGGGCCTTCCAGGCGGAATTCGGCTAAAGATGCTTAATCGAATGCTAATGTGGACGAATGTCGCGCGGCTGCGACAAATGTGCGTTGCAAACCGACCAGCTCGGTGTATAACAACAATCAAGAAGTATATTAAGGAATGACGAGAGAAAATTGACCGTCTTTTGGTAGGGTTCAATATTGGAACGACGTTAGTCCAAAATGAAGTCTCTAATATTGTTAACCTTTACCGCAGCCCTTTCATACAATGCCGTTTTATTGTCGGCCCAGACAACTGTCGAAAGCCCACCGACTGGTATAACTTACTGTTCCTTACGCCGCCTATTATTTATTTACTTTTTAACGATTTCTGATTCGGGATTTCGCAATTGCGGCGTGGTTAATTTTGTTACTGGTTTCTTGCTCTTTTATTTTGACGATGCGATTGGATAACTGTTTTCTGTGGTTATAGACTTCGGTTGCACGAAACCTTTCGATGCAGTGGATTTAGGTCCTGACAATTTGTACTATTTTTTCATTGGATCATACCTGTATACCGTAGAGTGAGTGGACACTGGACATATTGTGATGAACATTTAAGCTATTCATCACGAATTTATACAATCAACGCTTTCGTAAATGATTTCCATGTAATTAATGCATACACCGCTTGGATTATGGAATGACTGTTGTTTTTCATAGCTCAACTACCAATGCTACAGTTGGACCACGTCTTATTTCGGATTACTTCCAAGGCGTCTCATTGCCTATTTTAGCCGCGTTTACCATCGGACCTTTGAATGCGGCCATGTACATTATTGATGTAAGTGGCCCTTACTTTTCGGATCTGTATAACAATCCATACAAATATGTCGTTTTATATTTTAATCATGAATAAATGCCAATTTACTATCATAAATTTGCCAGGTTAAAACGGCAAACAATATCTCGAATATTAATGCTGTACATTCTTTTGGTAATGAGTACTTTATACTACAAGGAATTAAAATCGTCATATCCTATGGTGCGACGATATAATAGAATAGATACAATTGTACGTAGTTCAGTAGTTGTATCAAACGCAAATCGTTTTTGTAAGAAAATGTTTATAACTTACATGTTTTATTCATTTGTTAGCACAGCACAAATATACAGTATTAATCTATGAAGTTAATAAGAATTGCTAAATAGTTAAATTGTTCATCGCCATAGAGTGATCCTGTTAATAATCTCAAACGATACAAATTTACCACTTCGGCGCCGCATCCAGTGGACGGTGTAGCGGTATCCGCATCTTCAAAGTTCATGAGCGGTCTTCCTAATCCGATCAAAGCGGCTCTTACGACGTACCAACCAGCGCGGGTTTATTTATTCGGAGGTTCTTCCAGTTCACCAACAATATACATCTACAATTTTAACCCAAACGCTGCAGTCTTCACTTACTCCCAGCAGTACACGCCGTCGCAGTGGGCATGGGGTGGAGCTGATATTAATAGTGCAACTATGTTCTATAATGCTTCCGACGGTACAAAAACATCGAATTATCTCTATCATTCAGGCGGTTCGGTTGCAGCGTTAAACAGCGGATTAACTGCGGTACGTTCACGGTATTTTTCTTATTAGATTCAATCCAGTGCTTTCGCAAGTAAGTCAATAACCCTCTGTGATGCAGTACATGTCCCCGAGTTCCCCGACGCCCATGAACAGTTGTCCCTCATGGCTGCCACCACAGTTAAGCGGTTGTTGTCAAAGCCCTACTACCACGTTAACCACAACGCTTGCGACCACTACGACCCCAGCAGCAAGCACCACCACGTCTGGTAAGCCTCTAAATCTAGCTTTGACAACTCGACTACCTCGACCAAATCGTTACTCGAAAAACAAAAGGTCACCAAGCTGCGGTCGCTTATTGCGGTATTTTGCGCAAAGTATTTTCGATTTTAACTCGTCATATCGCCTGCATGAAGTTAACTAAAGACAGCAAAACTGCAAGAGCTCTTTTAAACCGTTGACGCAAAATCTGAATGAAAATATAACGATGTATGCATAATACATAAACACTTACAGCGAGAGATCGTATTATGTCAGGGCCAGTCAGGCCGCCGCAGGACCAGAAGGTCACGCTTTGCGCGATGCATTCATTTGAGCGTACTCAGAGTAGTAAAAATACAATTTTGAAATACTTACTCCCTAGAGTAGAGTAGAGGAGTGGAGTCCCTTCTGTACATGCATGTACTGCAAATTGTAAGTACTATGTATTATGGTGGAGCTGCTCCTCCATCTTTGAGATTTCGAAAACAGCGTACAGCGGCTGTAGTCTCGATTTTTGTTTTTGAAAAGCACAGGTTTATTTACTTTTTTACTGCAAGTGTCACGAAGTTAAATCGTACGCGTACCTCAAGTTCTCAACACACTTATCGTACTCAACGTCAACGTAGTTGTAAACCTATACTTACGCGTATCCTACCGCTTCGTACGTGATAAAATTTGGATTAATAATAAGCACATAAATTATACCTATTAGGCTGTTACTAATTACAATGTATCTTATACCAGGTTAAAATACGTACGGTTGTTGGAAGAGTTGATGCGAAGGCCATGTGCCATAGCATGCCGTCAGCGGACAGCGGCATGCTATGGCCCATGGCTGCTGCATGGAAACAAAAAAACATTAATTTTGATGAAAAAATTTTACTGAACACTATCGAATGTTTTCACGCAGTTGGTTCTGATTTATAAAATGGGTACGACCTTATCAATAATGAGAATTGCTATGGTAGTATAATGCAACAAGTGAACTGGAGAATTTCTGCCATTGTTACTGATATTAATTTTCATTACAGTACTTATTATTTCACACCTAGGTCCTTGCGCAAATGGTTACGACGCCGTGGACTTAGCTCCGGATAACAAGTATTATTTTTTCACTGGATCCACGGTTTCCACTGTTGAGTAAGTTTCGCTTCGTTATGGCTAGACCTTCAGCTGTCGCTCTGGAGCTGCGAATTTGCAAACTTGTACTTTGCTTTCAATGATTAAAGCCAACAAGAAATTACTGTCCTTTTGCAGGAAGCTGACGCCTGACACACCTACAACTGCAGTACCAATCAGTACTTTGTTCCAAAACATTACCGGTCGAGTAATTGCGGTATTTTCAACTGGGCCATCTCCTGCTTTGGCCAGAATGTACATCATTGATGTAAGCATAAATGTGTATGTGCTACTACAGGCACAGTCCACATATAGAGTTTACGGTTGTTGATGTTGTATTAACTTATTTAGTCCCATGCGACCACACCGGTCAAAATCTTCCGAATGACGGATCAAGTGCCCCGTGGTCCCTTAACCATAACAGATTTCAGCCTTTTCCCTTCAGCAGCCGCGAATATCCCGATGCCTCTCCTGTCGGCGTTTTCCTCAATTAATCCGGCTCGCGTCAACTTTATCGGTGGTTTACCGGGCAATAGGAAAGTAGGGTCGTACACATACTACCTGGCCGGGGGAACGTTCACTCCGATGGGTACAACGACTGTCCTGCATTCGGCGTGGAATGATGATATCACGGCAGCTACAATGCATTACAACACCAACGGCGGAGCCATTACATACTATGGATTTTCACAGTATCAGACTGCACGATTGGATGCGGCTTCAACTGTAAGTCAGCCAGACAACCAACGAAAGGGGCAGATTAGGTCTTCATCTCTTATGGGCCATAGGTTCAAATAGGACCTACGGATAGTGGAACTTGTCCGACGTGGCAACCCAGCATGTTCAGCAGTTGTTGTAGCAGTATGACATCCGTGGCCACGACCACACCGGTACCAGCTACCACAACAATTCCACCACCACAGCGTTAGTGCGGATAATAGAATGCGCACCAAGCTTTCTGGCAAACGGTTTCATGCGAGTTGGTTTTGTAGCATTCTCCTGTACGACCACTCCAGATGCTATTGATTTGGCACCCGATAGCCAGTACTACTTTTTCGTCGGTTATTACTTCTACACAGTGCAGTAAGTTGGATATTGTTGAAGTTTAATTAGCACTGTATATCGTGATGGATTAGAAGTTCTGAAAGAAAGCAACAATATGATTTTGAAAAAATTTATGTTTATGAAGACATTGTTTATAATTTATATTTATAATGATAATTTATAACTGACTGTGACTGACTGTGCGTTCTAGTAAAACAACGAAAGTTATGGCTGGCCCAACGTTGATCACTTCCAAGTTCGGTCAGATTGTCCCGCCAGTTATTGCGGCCTTCAGTATTGGGCCGATGAATGCCAAAATGTACCTGATTGATGTAAGAGTTTCATGCCAATAATTTCTATGGAAAATCTTTTAGCGTTGCAATTAATTTTTAGAGCTCTGCCACAGCAAACGTGAAGCAATACGAAAAGATCGATGTTACCTCGAGCTCTCCCTTACAACCTACTGCAAGCAAGATGCTTGAACAATTTTTCCCTAGTGGAAGCACAATTCCCAAACCACTGACAGCCGCTATGAGTACCTTTATTCCAGCAAGAGTCTACTTTTTCGGCGGTCTTCCGCGTACAGCAGCCATGTATTCATTTAATACAGCGACGGCAGCCTTCGCGTCATTATCTACCTCCTCGAATTTAGCTCAAAAATGGAATGTCGATGTTCAAGCAGCTACCATGCATTTTTACCCGAATAACGGGTCATATGGTTTCTTCGCATTTGGAAAAACTGACGCAGTCCAACTCAATTCCAATATAGAGGTAAGGAAATACATGATTTACAAGATAATCGTTTCCAATATGCTAACGCTAACTGACTACAACGTGACCTCAACTAGTATTGAATCTGAGGTTTGATTTCCTTGTAAAATTACTCTTCACAACAAAATATAATAAAAATGTTTAAAAGGTTTTCCAAGGCCCCGCTAGCAACGCTAACTGTCCCACATGGATGCCCGCTCTTCTCATACCAGCATGCTGCGGATCTGCGACCACAATCGCATCCAGCACTCTCAACACCATACCCGCTACGCCGACAACGACACCAACTACCACAATCACCACCACGCCGACAACGACATCAACTACCACAACGTCGACGACTACCACTACGTCGGCTACTACATCCACTACGACAGACACAACAACGCCGACTACCACGTCAACTACAACGGACACCACCACACCGACAACGACATCAACTACCACAGATACCAGCACGTCGACGGCTACAACCACGCCGACGACATCAACTACAACGGACACCACCCCGTCGACAACTACATCCACTACCACTGACACAACCACGCCGACTTCTACGTCAACTACTACGGATACCACAACGTCGACGGCTACCACCACGCCGACAACTACGTCAACTACAACGGACACCACCACGCCGACAACGACATCAACCACAACGGACACCACCACGCCGACAACGACATCACCCACAACGGACACCACCACGCCGACAACGACATCAACCACAACGGACACCACCACGCCGACAACTACATCCACTACGACTGACACAACCACGCCGACTACTACGTCAACTACAACGGACACCACCACACCGACAAGTACATCCACTACGACTGACACAACCACGCCGACTACTACGTCAATTTCTACGGATACCACAACGTCGACGGCTACCACCACGGCGACTGCTACGTCAACCACTACCGATACCACAACTACAACGGACACCACCACACCGACAACGACATCAACTTCTACGGATACCACAACGTCTACAGGTACCACCACGCCGACGACATCAACTACAACGGACACCACCACGTCGACAACTACATCCACTACGACTGACACAACCACGCCGACTTCTACGTCAACTACTACGGATACCACAACGTCGACGGCTACCACCACGCCGACAACTACGTCAACTACAACGGACACCACCACGCCGACAACGACATCAACTACTACGGATACCACAACGTCGACGGGTACCACCACGCCGACCACTACATCCTCTACGACAGACACAACAACTCCGACTACTACGTCAACTACAACGGACACCACCACGCCGACGACGACATCAGCCACAACGGACACCACCACGCCGACAACGACCTCAACCACAACAGACACGTCCACGCCGACAACGACATCAACCACAACGGACACCACCACGCCGACAACTACATCCACTACGACTGACACAACCACGCCGACAACGACATCAACCACAACGGACACCACCACGCCGACAACGACATCAACCACAACGGACACCACCACGCCGACAACTACATCCACTACGACTGACACAACCACGCCGACTACTACGTCAATTTCTACGGATACCACAACGTCGACGGCTACCACCACGGCGACTGCTACGTCAACCACTACCGATACCACAACTACAACGGACACCACCACACCGACAACGACATCAACTTCTACGGATACCACAACGTCTACAGGTACCACCACGCCGACGACATCAACTACAACGGACACCACCACGTCGACAACTACATCCACTACGACTGACACAACCACGCCGACTTCTACGTCAACTACTACGGATACCACAACGTCGACGGCTACCACCACGCCGACAACTACGTCAACTACAACGGACACCACCACGCCGACAACGACATCAACTACTACGGATACCACAACGTCGACGGGTACCACCACGCCGACCACTACATCCTCTACGACAGACACAGCCACGCCGACTACGACAACTACAACGGTTACGACATCGACGACCACGGACACGACCACCAGTACTGACACAACGTCCACGTCCACGGACACGACCACCAGTACTGACAGGTAACTTAGCGGCGACGGGACTTGTAACATTGAGATTGTGTTTCTGAGTGCGGTCGGCCGAATGGAATGTTTTGGAGAATAGCAAAGCCCCCGGTTTTAGCACGCAGGAAAGAGTAGGCAGTCGAGAACGGGTTGGGAGTCTGACATAACGCGCTTAGCTCCAAGAGGGTAGTGGATTAGTCGGAGCAGTGAGAAAAATCGTTGAGCACATGCTGGCCTAGCGCCAGCCGGTCTTAGGCTAGCAGCCAAAAGCATCATGATCACAGGGAGTGCTGACCGGCATGTTGTATCTTTGCTGCAGCACTACCGACACAACAACCACTCCCACCACGACAGACACGACAACAACCGCGACCAGTACTGATACGACAACGGACACTACCACAACTGACACGACGACAAGCACCGCCAGTACGTCGACGGACACTAGCACCGATACCAGCACGTCTACAGTGTCCAGTACGGATACTACCACTGACACGACATCGACGTCCACGGACACGACCACCAGTACTGACACAACGTCCACGTCCACGGACACGACCACCAGTACTGACAGGTAACTTAGCGGCGACGGGACTTGTAACATTGAGATTGTGTTTCTGAGTGCGGTCGGCCGAATGGAATGTTTTGGAGAATAGCAAAGCCCCCGGTTTTTGCACGCAGGAAAGAGTAGGCAGTCGAGAACGGGTTGGGAGTCTGACATAACGCGCTTAGCTCCAAGGGGGTAGTGGATTAGTCGGAGCAGTGAGAAAAATCGTTGAGCACATGCTGGCCTAGCGCCAGCCGGTCTTAGGCTAGCAGCCAAAAGCATCATGATCACAGGGAGTGCTGACCGGCATGTTCTATCTTTGCTGCAGCACTACCGACACAACAACCACTCCCACCACGACAGACACGACAACAACCGCGACCAGTACTGATACGACAACGGACACTACCACAACTGACACGACGACAAGCACCGCCAGTACGTCGACGGACACTAGCACCGATACCAGCACGTCTACAGTGTCCAGTACGGATACTACCACTGACACGACATCGACGTCCACGGACACGACCACCAGTACTGACACAACGTCCACGTCCACGGACACGACCACCAGTACTGACAGGTAACTTAGCGGCGACGGGACTTGTAACATTGAGATTGTGTTTCTGAGTGCGGTCGGCCGAATGGAATGTTTTGGAGAATAGCAAAGCCCCCGGTTTTTGCACGCAGGAAAGAGTAGGCAGTCGAGAACGGGTTGGGAGTCTGACATAACGCGCTTAGCTCCAAGGGGTAGTGGATTAGTCGGAGCAGTGAGAAAAATCGTTGAGCACATGCTGGCCTAGCGCCAGCCGGTCTTAGGCTAGCAGCCAAAAGCATCATGATCACAGGGAGTGCTGACCGGCATGTTGTATCTTTGCTGCAGCACTACCGACACAACAACCACTCCCACCACGACAGACACGACAACAACCGCGACCAGTACTGATACGACAACGGACACTACCACAACTGACACGACGACAAGCACCGCCAGTACGTCGACGGACACTAGCACCGATACCAGCACGTCTACAGTGTCCAGTACGGATACTACCACTGACACGACATCGACGTCCACGGACACGACCACCAGTACTGACACAACGTCCACGTCCACGGACACGACCACCAGTGCTGACAGGTAACTTAGCGGCGACGGGACTTGTAACATTGAGATTGTGTTTCTGAGTGCGGTCGGCCGAATGGAATGTTTTGGAGAATAGCAAAGCCCCCGGTTTTTGCACGCAGGAAAGAGTAGGCAGTCGAGAACGGGTTGGGAGTCTGACATAACGCGCTTAGCTCCAAGGGGGTAGTGGATTAGTCGGAGCAGTGAGAAAAATCGTTGAGCACATGCTGGCCTAGCGCCAGCCGGTCTTAGGCTAGCAGCCAAAAGCATCATGATCACAGGGAGTGCTGACCGGCATGTTCTATCTTTGCTGCAGCACTACCGACACAACAACCACTCCCACCACGACAGACACGACAACAACCGCGACCAGTACTGATACGACAACGGACACTACCACAACTGACACGACGACAAGCACCGCCAGTACGTCGACGGACACTAGCACCGATACCAGCACGTCTACAGTGTCCAGTACGGATACTACCACTGACACGACATCGACGTCCACGGACACGACCACCAGTACTGACACAACGTCCACGTCCACGGACACGACCACCAGTACTGACAGGTAACTTAGCGGCGACGGGACTTGTAACATTGAGATTGTGTTTCTGAGTGCGGTCGGCCGAATGGAATGTTTTGGAGAATAGCAAAGCCCCCGGTTTTTGCACGCAGGAAAGAGTAGGCAGTCGAGAACGGGTTGGGAGTCTGACATAACGCGCTTAGCTCCAAGGGGTAGTGGATTAGTCGGAGCAGTGAGAAAAATCGTTGAGCACATGCTGGCCTAGCGCCAGCCGGTCTTAGGCTAGCAGCCAAAAGCATCATGATCACAGGGAGTGCTGACCGGCATGTTGTATCTTTGCTGCAGCACTACCGACACAACAACCACTCCCACCACGACAGACACGACAACAACCGCGACCAGTACTGATACGACAACGGACACTACCACAACTGACACGACGACAAGCACCGCCAGTACGTCGACGGACACTAGCACCGATACCAGCACGTCTACAGTGTCCAGTACGGATACTACCACTGACACGACATCGACGTCCACGGACACGACCACCAGTACTGACACAACGTCCACGTCCACGGACACGACCACCAGTGCTGACAGGTAACTTAGCGGCGACGGGACTTGTAACATTGAGATTGTGTTTCTGAGTGCGGTCGGCCGAATGGAATGTTTTGGAGAATAGCAAAGCCCCCGGTTTTTGCACGCAGGAAAGAGTAGGCAGTCGAGAACGGGTTGGGAGTCTGACATAACGCGCTTAGCTCCAAGGGGGTAGTGGATTAGTCGGAGCAGTGAGAAAAATCGTTGAGCACATGCTGGCCTAGCGCCAGCCGGTCTTAGGCTAGCAGCCAAAAGCATCATGATCACAGGAGTGCTGACCGGCATGTTCTATCTTTGCTGCAGCACTACCGACACAACAACCACTCCCACCACGACAGACACGACAACAACCGCGACCAGTACTGATACGACAACGGACACTACCACAACTGACACGACGACAAGCACCGCCAGTACGTCGACGGACACTAGCACCGATACCAGCACGTCTACAGTGTCCAGTACGGATACTACCACTGACACGACATCGACGTCCACGGACACGACCACCAGTACTGACACAACGTCCACGTCCACGGACACGACCACCAGTACTGACAGGTAACTTAGCGGCGACGGGACTTGTAACATTGAGATTGTGTTTCTGAGTGCGGTCGGCCGAATGGAATGTTTTGGAGAATAGCAAAGCCCCCGGTTTTTGCACGCAGGAAAGAGTAGGCAGTCGAGAACGGGTTGGGAGTCTGACATAACGCGCTTAGCTCCAAGGGGGTAGTGGATTAGTCGGAGCAGTGAGAAAAATCGTTGAGCACATGCTGGCCTAGCGCCAGCCGGTCTTAGGCCAGCAGCCAAAAGCATCATGGTCACAGGGAGTGCTGACCGGCATGTTGTATCTTTGCTGCAGCACTACCGACACAACAACCACTCCCACCACGACAGACACGACAACAACCGCGACCAGTACTGATACGACAACGGACACTACCACAACTGACACGACGACAAGCACCGCCAGTACGTCGACGGACACTAGCACCGATACCAGCACGTCTACAGTGTCCAGTACGGATACTACCACTGACACGACATCGACGTCCACGGACACGACCACCAGTACTGACACAACGTCCACGTCCACGGACACGACCACCAGTACTGACAGGTAACTTAGCGGCGACGGGACTTGTAACATTGAGATTGTGTTTCTGAGTGCGGTCGGCCGAATGGAATGTTTTGGAGAATAGCAAAGCCCCCGGTTTTTGCACGCAGGAAAGAGTAGGCAGTCGAGAACGGGTTGGGAGTCTGACATAACGCGCTTAGCTCCAAGGGGGTAGTGGATTAGTCGGAGCAGTGAGAAAAATCGTTGAGCACATGCTGGCCTAGCGCCAGCCGGTCTTAGGCTAGCAGCCAAAAGCATCATGATCACAGGGAGTGCTGACCGGCATGTTGTATCTTTGCTGCAGCACTACCGACACAACTACCACTCCCACCACGACAGACACGACAACAACCGCGACCAGTACTGATACGACAACGGACACTACCACAACTGACACGACGACAAGCACCGCCAGTACGTCGACGGACACTAGCACCGATACCAGCACGTCTACAGTGTCCAGTACGGATACTACCACTGACACGACATCGACGTCCACGGACACGACCACCAGTACTGACACAACGTCCACGTCCACGGACACGACCACCAGTACTGACAGGTAACTTAGCGGCGACGGGACTTGTAACATTGAGATTGTGTTTCTGAGTGCGGTCGGCCGAATGGAATGTTTTGGAGAATAGCAAAAGCCCCCGGTTTTAGCACGCAGGAAAGAGTAGGCAGTCGAGAACGGGTTGGGAGTCTGACATAACGCGCTTAGCTCCAAGGGGTAGTGGATTAGTCGGAGCAGTGAGAAAAATCGTTGAGCACATGCTGGCCTAGCGCCAGCCGGTCTTAGGCTAGCAGCCAAAAGCATCATGATCACAGGAGTGCTGACCGGCATGTTGTATCTTTGCTGCAGCACTACCGACACAACAACCACTCCCACCACGACAGACACGACAACAACCGCGACCAGTACTGATACGACAACGGACACTACCACAACTGACACGACGACAAGCACCGCCAGTACGTCGACGGACACTAGCACCGATACCAGCACGTCTACAGTGTCCAGTACGGATACTACCACTGACACGACATCGACGTCCACGGACACGACCACCAGTACTGACACAACGTCCACGTC